CCCCCTGTTTCTATTTTGGATCATTCGCGTTGGATCTTGGGGCCCGGGCTGGGCGCGTTGCGGCGCCCTCTCTCCGACGGCCGCGGCAGGCTTCTTCGCCTGCGTGGCCGGGACAAGAGCGGCCGGATTTGCGTTGCTGCGTTCCTCGCAGGGAGGCACCTGCCGCCATGGCCTTTGTGGCGTCACGGGGCAGATGGTGGGCCATGCAAATACTACGACAAACTTTCCGCCCCCCCCCGCCATGCCTCTTCTGCCACCGCCCTCGCATCCTCTGCCTGGATGCGGGGTGGCGACCGTTGTGGCTCGGCTGGGCGCGCCTTCTGTGATCTTACTGGCGCTGCTGGCCTGCCTGGCCCCTGCTCTTGCGGTCTTCTCGACCTGCTTGGGCAGGGCCTGGGCGGCCGGCAGTTTGTTACTGCGCTATTTCCTTCATGCATGTTCTCGCTTCTCGTTTATCAAAGAACTGTGGCGACAAGAGTTGCATACTTGTATATAAGCAAAGCTGCATCTACTTCGTGGACTAAGAAGTGCCGTCTGTCGGAAAAAATTGCTGCTGCGTTTATTTTTCACGTAGTTGGCTCTCTGTTTGTCGGTTCTTAAGTACATTCTTTCACGGAGATTACTATGATGGTGATCCACATCGGTTTACCGTCCTGTAGTTCTATGCTAGAGGAGTTTATTCCGCGTCAAGAAGAAGCATATTATGGGTCTTTTCGCTTTCGCGTCTGTCAGTAACTAATATATTCGGTTTGATGCGACGTACTTAGAAGTTTTGATGGCACCAGGTTAAGCTTTGATTCTTTCTGGTACGATATCACATGATCGGTAGCTCCTTCGCTTCGGTTTCTCTCTTCCCGTCGTCGGTAGCGTCGAGAAGTAAAAATGGCACATAGAACAGCAATTCGTTCCTGCTTCGGTGGACCTGCTTCCTTCCAATTTCAACTCTGTCGCGTAGCCTAGCGGTTGATGTCAGTGTCCGTGTTTTTCTCTCTTTCATCGGTGTCTTTTTATGAGGATAATTTGGCCACTTGTTGTCAGATAGTTAGACCTGTCCATGTCGTCTCTCAGGAGCAACAAGCGTCGCGTGGTCTAGATGAGTGGCGTTATCGGTTGTTACTTTTCGTACTAGTAGTACGTGATAGAATCATTTCTATGATATCCGTGTCTGTGTAAGTATGCGACATTGTCTTGGTCCTTCTCCTTGTCCGACATCGAATGCAACGCGCGTGTCAAAGTCATCTAAATTCATTGATTTGTCACCTCGCTCCCGCAGTTCCTGTTTCAGTAGAATTTGAACTAAGTAGTCTTGCACGTGCTAAATATGACCCCTTGATAGAATTAGAGTGTAGAACTTCTACTGAGATAAAGTGGTCGTACATGTGATCATAACATAATGCTTTTCATTTTTCGGCCACCTTTACCAAACGATATAATCCGAACTCCAACGACAAAAAAGAAAAACATCATTTCCATTTTGATTTCGCCCTGAGTCCTCCATTTAAGATGTTGTACCCTACTAATCCTGCTCGAGCATCTCGCTCGGCACGACTCTGTCTTTTCCTGTCCCTGTGGTCCGGCGTTCATATAATTCCCGTGCTTGTTGTCGCAGAAACAGAAAGAGAAAATCAAAATGAAACCCCTCGACGTCCTCGGGGACGACAACTACAAGAGCGCGACCGGGACAATAAAGCAAAAGGGTTTCTCGCCCTGCGGAATGACTACGTCGGCCCATCTCCGTATGAGAAGCTCAAAGCGTTTGTCCAAAGCAGTCTCGGGTATCAGGATCATGATGTTCATGGTGGGAAACAGGCCGCTGGACGTACAACTGCCTCCGAGGGCGTCGAGGAAGATGCACCCCAAGGAGAACAAATGAAACTACAGGGAGAGCAGGAAAAGGATCCGTCCTATTCCGCTCTACAGCTTCACGAGGATCAGATAACTAAAAACGGCGTCGACGATGGCGCTGAAGCATCAAAGGGTGAGGCTCTTAACGGAGGTGGTATTAAAAGCGCACCCTTGAAGGGGCAGGCTTTGCCTCGCATAGAATTACATCGTCCCCCGCGGCTAGATGAGGTCCTTGCGACGCAACTGCGCGAGGGGCAGCAAACCGAAGATCCGGCGTTTCTGCAGCTCGACGCCGAAATAAGAAACATTTCACCGGCGGCGTACCAGCGTCTACTTAATGGTGGAGGCGCGGTGCATACGCATTGCAAGTGTGATGCTGATGTGTTTCATTATGTTCCTGCCCAGTAAATACAAATAGCCCTAGCGTCGTTCATAAAAGCTTTTTGCTTTTTTCATGTTCGGTGAGTCCGGATGAAGATCGATGATCAGCTGGTTCACGCTTGCTGCGTGAGCCACAGCGGAACCGCTTTTTTCTACTCGTCTGCCAGGGCCAGGATTGAACAAAAGAGAAAGTCAATATTTTCGATTATTGCCCTACACAGGACCGAGCGATCGTGCTGTGTTGCAACAATTTGCTACGTCCGCACGCTCTTCGGAAACTGGCTGGAGCCGTACTGCCAGAAGATCTTCCTCGTCGCTCGAGCGCAGTCATTTTTTAACAATCGATTGCTCCGCATGAGTTGAAGTTATTAATTTGACTCACACATCACTTTTGCAAGGCATAGTTGTACCCGCCCCTGGACAGCAGCAGTACCCCGGACAGCAGCCGTACCCACAGCAGCCGCAGGCCCCAGCACCGGCTTACCCTCAGCTGCAAGGACCGGTTTACCCCCAGCTGCAGGTAACGAAGAGTCCTAACCCCCCTAGGCTCTGGGAACCAGCTATCCTGATGAAAAACTTCCCCACCCGATAGTCAATTTGCAAACTCTGCAACACCAATCCAGAAGTTTCGGGAGCCCCCACGCATGACAAATTCGTCTCTGTATTGTTGTAGTGCATGTTAGCAAGGACAGCCGCATCACAAACCCATCTCCTCATCCTGTTTACAGCGTTACAAATCCCAAAACACGACTAGAAATGGCTCTCATGGGGATGCGCATTAGATAGAAGGCTTTCCGTCTTCGCAAATCTGCATGACAACTCTGGGGTGGAGACGTTTTTTCTCAGGATACCAGCGCTAGCGGCGTCGCCGCGTGCAGCTCCTGGCAGCGCTTGTGCTCTGAACGACGAGGAGGAGAGGTGGATCTTTGAAAATTCCTTGCTGCACACCAAAGACGAGCAACGGCTGCCCGGGGGTAGCGAGATGAAGGAAGTTTACCGAGTGACCAACAAGAAACAGATATACCCCCCGAATTTCCCGGACGGGAGGGTGCGGGTGCTATCGCAAGAAAAAAGTGTTACAGTTACACATTGTGTTGCAGGCCATGCAAGACAGACAAGCTCTGTCATGCCGGATATGCATAGGACCCTCGTTTCATAGGGGTTTTCCCGTAGGATTTCTGCATTGCAAGTTTTCTTTCTCATGCAGAGAAATTTGTGTTGCTGAATTGACTACAAATGTGTAACTGTAACACGTTTTTCGTGGGATAGGTGCTCAACTTGATTCAGTACGACCAGGATGAGCTTGACATCAGCGCGCAAAAGGACTTCGTGCAACGGTTGGAACTAAATGGCCGCGTGAAAGCGTTTGACCGCGCCTTTGCCATGCCATTGATAACACAGTCCGAAGTAGGGAGGGAAAAAAGTGTTTTCACAGTTTTTACACACTGTAATGGAAAAGTAGCAAGACAGGCAACCTCTACTTCTGTCATGCCGGAAAGGCTTGCTAGCCTCGTTTCATACGAACGTGTTTTCTCTCAGGATTTTTGCATTGCAAGTTTTGTCTGTCATGTAGAGCAAGTTTGTGTTGCTAGAGTTCCTACAAATACGTAACTGTATAGAACACTTCTTTTTATTTCTTGGGATACGAAGAGGATCCGATTGCGCAGGCGAAGCTGAGACAGGGGCAGCTTGCTGTGGGAGTGGGTCTTCTTCAACAAGAACACCAGCAACTGATGCGCTTCACGAGACTCGGGGACATGTATGAGCAAAATCCGGGACATTTCGCGACGCCCGGGCAGCCCGTTCCGTTCGCAAGCGTGGTACAGGGTTCGCTTATCCACAGGAAATTTCGTGTACACGTACAAATCCAAATGCAGTCTCTGCATGACAAAACTTGCCTTCGATCCTAGTCTAGCATGACATGTTGGGAACTGCAAGTTAGCAAAATTTGTCATGCATTTTGTACATGTACGGGAAATTTACAATGCATATCGCTTGGAAACTGCTACTTCCTCGCGGCACTGCAGACTCTTATCAGCCACAGTTTTCTGATCGAACCGGTATGCTGTGCAAAAGTATCGTAATTGCGATCATGCATTACAAATTATCTTGTTCTTAAGCTAAATCCGCATTCCAAATTTTCTTTCTCATGCTGAGGTAATTATTTGTATGTGCATTTACACGAGTACGATACTTTTGCAGTTCATAACCGGAGAAGCGGAGCGATGCGGGGTTGTACCTGGTGCCACTCTTTTTGAATGGGCATTGGCAAAGCATATTGGTCGATGATCGTGTCCCAACCAGCACAGGCATGATCACGACAGCCACAGCACCAGCCGCGCAGCAGTGCGGTGCGACGCCTTTCTTTACGTTTCCAAGTGGCCTGGAGAAGGTACAGGGAAAGATCTCGTTCGCCGTGGAGCTCACTGTGTATCCTGTGCAAAAGTATCGTACTCGTAGTAATTGCGATCATGCGTTACAAATGTTTTTTTTAAGGCAAATCCGCATTACAAATTTTATATTTGTTCCTCATGCTGAGGAAATTTGTAATGCATTTATACGAGTACCGGATACTTTTGCAGTTCATACTGTGAAAGCCGCGGCGAAAGTGGTGGGTGGTTTTTACCCAATGGAGGGCGGAGTCGTTCCGTTTGCCGCACGCTTGCTCTCTGGTGGGAACCCGTATTACAAGCAGTGGGCCGCGCGCAGGGGCACAAATGTTGACCCGACTCAGCGGGTAGCTCAGAAAACGATGGAACTCGTGACCATGGGAGACCACTTGGGTGGCAGGTACGGCATCTCGCCGATAGAAATGGGCGAGTCTTTGATCGACCTATGCATTGCAAATATGTCTGGGGCTGGAAGGATGCAAACTTGTGATGCGGATTCTGGAACAGGCAAAAGTCTGTATTGCGTAGTGAGCAAAAGGTATCTAAGTAGATTTTTGTCTCCAGAAGAGGGCATTTGTCATGCGGAATAGGTATGGAGAAGCCTCCACAGAGGTTGTCATGCACTGTGTGCATTCCAGACCTTTTTGTAGATGTAAAAAATGCATGACAAATATCTGATTTCTTCCAGACGTAAACATATAATTTGCATTTGATACGACCCCACGAAATGCAAGCTGTTCTTCGACGGCCCCCAATCGCTGGCGCTGCGGAAAGCCTTGAAATTTTTGAAGCGCGGGAAAAAGTTCGTCTACCAGGCAGACTTCGTCGGTCAGAAAGAAGTAGCCACGTCTCTGCTCAATCCCCCCGTAGCTCCTCCTGCTTCCGGTAGTTCCGATACCGACGACTGTGGCGCCTCTCGCGGTTACGTGATGTTTCCAGTTACGTGGAAGAAGTTTTTTCCGAAGGTGTTATGTGAAAAGACGTGCTATATTGCAATGAAAAATCCTAAAAATCCCTCTGTCATCCCATACCTACTAAAACGAAGGTCTCTTGTGTAGCATGATTTGCGATCACAAATGGCGTTGTCATGCAGCTAGAAGGGTCGTGGAAATTTTTTTCCAGCAGATTGTAGAGCTCGCTGGCGTGGGAAACAAGCCTTGCCTCTTCAGCATGACACGAAGCAACTGGAAGCGGGAATAAACATAGTGACAAATAATTACAACCTGCAACGGCAATCGCAATGCCACAGCTGCGTCTTTTGGCCTTCTAGCAATGCAAGCCGAGGATTTGTCTCCTGTTCCACCACTTCCTCTTACTCTTAGCGGTACTCTAGTTTCGCCCACGCCCACACAGCTCTAGCATCACAGACTTCCATTTTGTTGAGTACTATGGGGAGGGGGGATTTATTTTCCCTCGCAATATGCTACATGGACAGTAAGTGCACCGATTTTTTCTATGTCGAGATTCTCGACAGAAGAGCGCCTGAAGGTATGCACGGCCGAAATGTGCTGTATCTGGGTCTGTAAACTTGTGTTGCTGGTGAAGATTCCTCGAAGATTTTCGCAAGGCCGCCACGACTGGTAGGGCATAGCAGCAGGATGGGTGCTCGAGGAAGTTATTTTTGGATGCCTGTACTAAGAGCTCCTGACAAGCAGAATAAACTGACTTTCAGATGAACGACAAAAATAAAAAAAGCTGCCAACTGCTCGTGATATAATGTAATATGCCGGGCAGGACGAGTCTTTCATAGATTGTCGCGCATCACTTCACAAGAACAAATCCAGACCCAGATCTGCGATATTTCCAATGCATAGAAGGGAAGACTGCGCACTGCTTCCTCCTGAAACTGCAGATCGGGGATCGCTCAACATATGATTATGTTGGAGGCATGGTCCAGGCTATCCTGTGCAAAAGTATCTTCGTACTCGTAGTAATTGCATTTATGCATTACAAATCTCTTTTTCAAGGTATATCAGCACTACAAATTGAATTTGTAATGCAGAGCCAATTTGTACTTGTACTATTGCAATTTATACTAGTACGATGCTTTTGCATTGCATACAGGCCCGAGGCAACCCGACGCTGCTCGGAATGAAATCGCCCCGTCTGGACTTCGTGGAAAGCAGCCTGAAGAAGAAAGAGGCAAGAGAGATATTACAGTGAAAAACGCCCCCACACCCAAAGCTGCAAAAATTTGTGATGCGAAGTTTCCAAATGAAAACTTTCTGTCATGCATGAAAGGAGTATGCATCTTTCTGATGCAGAGTCTAGGCGTGTATCGCATCGCCTACATGACAAGCGCCGCTCTTGCTGGAATCTTTTGCAATACAAATTTTTGCTATTCACGATAAGAAACCTGTGATGCTGATAGATGCAAGAAGGCGAATGCTTCATTTGGAAAGATTTGCAATACAAATGCTTCTAAATCGGGGGTGGGGGCATTTTTCATTGCAATAAGAGAAAGACAAGAATCAGGTAGAAAACCACCTGAAGCGGTGCGTCCCGAAATTTATGAATGTGCACAACTCCCCCTCCCCCTCATTTGTCATGCAAAATGCCCAATCCACCGTTGGCCCCCTGGCACTGTTTGCATGACAAGTTGTAGCCCAAATAGCACTATATTCAAGTGCAAGTTTGTCATGCAAAACCGGCGCTCTTGCTGATGCTTGTATTGCCGTTCCTGCTATACAAATGAGGGGGAGGGGGAGTTGTGCACTGTTATAAAATTGGTTGCGAGCCTACAGGGGATAGATCCCCGCAACGTGCAGCAGGTTTCGTTCGGGGCGCGGAGCCTATCCAGGTTTCTGTCGGAGCAGATTGTGCAGCCGCTGCAAGGACTAGTACAGGAGGGTCGTGCCGCAGCTCCCGGCGGACAACATCAAAGTTCTGCAGGAGGACAGCAGCAGGAGAAAAACAAAAAAGCACAACAACAAGAAGAAGATGCGAGACAGGCTCTGTCGGGCTTGGCCTGGGTTGCCACGCGGGCACTGAGTCCAGCGGTCTTGAACAGGAAAGCGAACGAAGATTCACGGATGCGGAGGGACATTCAGCAGCTGCGACAAGTGCAAACGCAAGTAGCGCAGGCGGTGTTTGGAAAAGAACATGCAGCAGCAGTGGCTCAAGGACAAGAAATAACGGGACAGTTCAACATGGATCTGCGTATCCTGGAACTGTTGGCGAAATTTGTTAAAAAAGGGGACGAAGGAGATGACAAGGTGGGAGATGACGTGGTTGCTTTGTATCTATGCATTGCAAAAGTATCGTACTAGTATAAATCGCATGACAAATTTCCTCAGAATGGCAAATGGAATTTGTCACGCTGATTTACCTTGGGAGCCAGATTTGTCATGCATACCTTTGTACTCGTACGATGTTTTTGCATTTGATAGTATTGGCTGTTCAATGAAGTGCTTGCTGAAACGGACGCCTGGCACCCCTCTATGGAAGCCGGGTTTCTCAAGCAGTTTCCGGTGCCGAACACGGGGACGACAAATACACAGGCTCACTCGGTTATGGAAGCGTCAGGATGGAAATCATCAAAGTTGAAGTAATTTGCAATGCATAAAACGGATACCAGTTGGTGCCTAGTTTTCAACCGGCGCATGACAAAGTTGGGTAGAGCCGGGATCCAGTTTGTAATGCTGTTTGGGTAAGGAAGGCGCCTTCTATCATGCTGCTTTAACAGCCCTATTTCTACCCCTCAACAGGCTTGCCATCTGTCTCTCTTGCCTACTCTGCAAGAGAGGCATTTTGTGGGTTGCATTTTATGCATCACAAACGATTTCAACTTTGTCGATTTCAAGCCTGACGCTTCCATATCGGTGAAGCGCTGTTGGTTTTTTGATCTTCAAGCGCACGTACGAAGTGTAAAAATGTCTGGGTCTGGAAGAATGCATGTTTGTCATGCTTGTCTGGCATGACTCTTAAATCTGTCATGCACGTTACCCAAGAGCTCCAATTTTCTGTGATGCAGAAACGCAGTTTGTCATGCAGAATAGGCAACACCTAGAAGCTCAGAAACTTGTCATGCTGAGCCAGCACTTGTGGGCTCCTCATGATACGCCAGCCAGCATCACAAGTTTCCAGACCCAGACACTTTTACATTTGATAGCACGCCCGCACGGCAGAAGACGTCGAGACCACCCCAGCCACGGCTTTGGAGAAGGGAAACAAGGAGAAAAGCCAGGCCCAGTGGATGTTATCAACTGTAAAAATGTCTGGGTCCTCTGGAAGATTCTGACACTTGTCATGCACGTTTTGCATGAGCCATTCATTTGTGATCCATACCCTAGCAATACAGATTTTTTGAGGGCTTCTTGATGCCTATTCCGCGTGACAAATGCCTTCTCAGCGTAGCAAAAATTGCATTCCCTTTGGCACTCATGCAATACAGATTTTTTTGGAATCCAGACGCAGCATCACAAGTTGCATTCTTCCAGACACAGACATTTTTACATTTGATAGATGTCCCGCAGGTCTCACGTCCTCAGCTGGCAGATCGCAAACCCAAACAATTCCCCAGGAGCTTCTCAGCTATTGCAAGGAAAAATCCCCCGCCCTCCCCATCATATGGAAAGCGCATCCTTCTGAAAATTTGCGATGCAAATTGGCGACCACAGATCGGGTCTGTCTTGCAAGGAGGCAGCACATAGCTCAGGCTTTCCGCCACGTTATGCAGGTGATTTGTAAAAATGCTCTAAGGCCTGCTACGGGGTTGCACCCGTCTACCATGTTAGGCGCCTAGTACACCAAAAGGCCCTTACCTAGGCTCGGGATCTGCGTGCAGTCCTCCTGCAACACAAAACTGATTTGGGTGTGAGCATCCAAATCCAGCATCAGAAGTCTCGTTTTGATAATATGGGGAGGGGGAATTATTTTTCCTTTTGATATCAGCACGAGGGCATTTATCCTGCACACGCGTACACGTTGACAAGCCTCCAGGTCCTGGCGTTTCCCCTGGGAAACGGGGACCATTTGCTGATCTACTGCACCCAGACTCGCAATCCACACGCCACCGACGTGAGCGGCTGGAGCCCGTACTCGGTTCACGGCACCCCAAACGCGGCGGCTGGCTTTCAGATCGTTCCCCACTTTGCTGGCATGCTGAGCATGTACCAGGACACGAAAATGAGCGACTACCTGAGTCGGTACCTGGTCCACCTGCTGAACGTACCCGACATATTTCCCGACGTGAAGGCCTTCGGCCATGGCGCGAAAGAGCAGCGGGACAACATGTGGGCGCATTTGGACTTATACAGTTATCTCAACTCAGCCGAAAAATCTCAGCGTCGAGACTTTAGCCCGCAATTTTTGGGAATTTATCCCTACTGCCGGCACCTCGGTGCCCCCGGCAGCTGCATTAGTTGGCCGCATTGGCTTAGCGTTCTAGGCTTAGGCTTTGGGGTTTATTAGCGCCGTCGGGCAAGCAGGCAGGGCCGGCCGGCGGCGGCTGCCCTGCCCGACGCTTCTTCCTTCGCCCCCCCGTCTCCTACGTTCCGCGCCCCCTGTGGCTTTTGTTTTGTGGCCGTCCGTGCCCCCGGTGTTTCTTCTCGTGACTGCCCGGTGTTTCTTCTCGCCGACCCATGCGCCGTCCCACGGCCATCGCTTCGCTCACATTGATGATCCATATGTAGGTGTGGTCGGGGCCGCCCTCCGGGTCTTTGGGGTCGCGGCGCTGAGATAAAAGAGTTGACATTCCTGCATGCCATCCGAAACTCTTGGCAGATCGTAAACGAGGACTGTTTCAGTAAATTTATCGAGAACAAGGCAACAATTCGAGAAGCCGATGGCATTCGAGAAGCCAATGGAGCTAAAAGGGCCCAGGCCGATCCGTACCTCCTATCCGGTGCAAAAATATCGCACTCGTACTGCCATCTTCAGAATGATCATGTGTGACAAAGAAATCTGGCGCTCGGCCCCGATGCCTGTGCTGACGTAAACGTCGCGTTCCATTTTATTTCATCTTGTCCTCTTGAGAAAATTTGTGATGCAGCTTCTACATGATAGATACAAGAAGTACAACTGCACGTGCCAGTGCTACATTTTTGCATTGCATACGCCCAACACGCGAGCCGTATGCCACCGGAGTGCTTGAAACCTTACACACGGCAGATCAACACGTGGGACCAAAAAAATCGCCTGTCCTGGATCCCCTGGCACACGTTCTCGGAGTTCTATCAACTGCAAATATGTTGCCCGGGTCTGGAAGAGTGCCAGCCTTGTCACGCAGGTTTTCCATGACCCATGAGGACTGATATGTAGGACATAGCATGACACCAGATTTAGTGAGAGTTCTATCATGCCTATCCTGCATGAGAAACTTCTGCCTCTCGGTTAGGTCAAAAGTGGACAGCGTTTGGTAATCATGCAGCACAGATTTACTTTGCATGTTTCAGTGTTAAATGGCATGACAAGTTGCAGAGTTCCAGACCCAGACATGATATTTGCATATGCATATATTCCCGGGCTTGTTCATTCAGGATTTTACCATTCCCTCCGATGATGCAGTCTCGCACGGCGCACGCTTCACGATCAAGCCGCTGGAATACGACAAAAGAGGGGAATTGGTTGTGCCCAGCATGAAGAAAGCGACAGGTGTACCACATTGAGAAGTGCAGCCTCCACACCCGTCACCCCAGAGTGTGGCAGCGTTTCTTGCATACGAGGAAAACAAGTTTTCAATAGAAACACTTGGTAACTGCTTGCATGTGTAAAAAACATGTCAAATTTTATGGAAGCCGGACCATCGTCGAAAGTCTGCGTTCTATCTTGCACGGCGCCAGAGTATAGGCAATATCTGTCAAGTCGAAAATTGCTTAACTGGATGAGGATGTTCCGAACAGAATAAATGCGGCACATTCATCCCTTTATGCAGTACAAAAAGCTTGTGTATGCTTGAAAGTTGGTAATGCAAGTTATTCAGACGGAATAATTTGCATTGCCAAGAACTTTCCAGCCAACTGAACAAGACTCTTGTTCCTGTGGCGGTGATGGGGCCGCGCTTGTCATTGTGATAAGCTGAAGAAGAGCAGCTTCGCCGAGAGGCCGAGGAGGAAAAAGCGGCTGTAGAGGCATATGACTTTCTCAGGTGTTACAAGAACCTCAAACGCTTCACCAACTCAATAGAAATGGAGATCTGTGAAGATGCAAGAAAAAGTGCATCACGACTTCGCCATGTCTCACAGAATAATTGCGCATGACAAGTTCTTCCGGAGCGGCCCCAAACCCTCCTCAAATACGACAAAATCTGCATGGCGATGAAAAGCGCACGACTTTGTATGCTACTTGTCATGTTGCTCCTGCAAGACTGACAGACTCCAGATTCTGTTGTAGCGTGTGACGAGATTGTAACAGCTGAGGAGGCTATAAAGCAGAGATCCAAAAGCGCGAGAAATTGGCGGCTGCGGTCAAGGAGCAAGCCGCCAAAAGAGAGGAAGCCGAACGAAACCGTTTGGAGGAGGAGAGACGAGTCCGGGAAGATGCCGAACGGAAGCGATTGGACGAGGAGAGACGAGTCCGGGAAGCAGCTGCAGCCGAAAAGAAACGGTTGCAGGAGGAAGCCGAAAAAGCGCGAAAAGCTGCCGAAGAGGCCGAACAAGCACGGAGGGCTGCCGAAGAAGCACGGAGGGCTGCCGCAGAGGCCGAACAAAAACGGAGGGCTGCCGAAGAGGCGGAACAAGCACGGAGAGAGGCCGAACAAACACGGAGGGCTGCCGCGGAGGCGGAACAAAAACGGATGGACGCTGCCGAAGCACGGAAACAGTCTGAAGCCCTTCGTCAGAAGGAACTGGAACAGCAGGAGGAGGAGCGTATCCAATGCAAAAGTATCGTATTCGTATAAATGCAAGTCTTGCATCACGAATTTTTTTCTGAAGGCAAATCAGCATTAATTCACGCTGAGGTATCAATGGACAAATTACAGTTAGGGACATATCCGCCAGCCGAAAGAATTCGCGCTTGGAGCCGAAGTTTTTTGCTTTTCGCACAAAAAAATGCGACTTTCAGAAAGAGTGCGACTTTCCGCCAGCCGAAAATTTCGGCTCCAAGCGCGAATTCTTTCGGCTGGCGGATATGTCCCTAACTGTAATTTGTCCACTCATACGCTGAGGAAATTTGTAATGCATTTTTACTGGTGCGATACTTTTGCAGTTCATAGAGCGTCGTCGGCGGCTACAAGATGAAGAACAGCGCCGCCGGCGGGAAGCGGCAGAAGCCGAGGAAAGAAGCAGGAAAGCCACCGAGGCCGCAGAAAGACTAGCCCAGACGCGGTTGGACGAGGAACGCAAACGGAGGGAAGCCGCAGAAGCTGCGGAGAGACGGCGACAAGAAGAAGAAGAACGCAACCTGGCCAACAAGCAGAAGGAAAAGGAGAAAGCGCTTGCTCGTGCAAGAGCCAATGTCGCCCGAAGGCGAGAGGAGCGCCAGCGGAATATTAAAGCAGAACAACAGCTGCGACAGCAGGAGGAGAGCATGAAGAATTCATCTCCAGCACAGCAACCGGGCCCTAGCAGCGCACAACAGCAGGGAGGCGATCGGCCGTCCTCTCCAACGGGCGACAACTTGATGACACCGCGCAGAGATGAAAGGAACAACGCCTCGCTTCGGCGAGATCGCCCGTGGTTCTCCCCGAGAGGACGAGAAGCTGCACGAGGGGGCGACGCGTCTCCGCCACCAGATTGGTGGAAAAATCCCCCCGCGGCGCGGCTGGGGCTGGGTCGCCGTAACTTGGCCGGCCCGCCAAGGGGTCTACAAGATGACAGGCGGGAAGGACGAGGGCGCTCTCGCTTCCGTGGTCCGCACGAAAGTGGCGAAGGCACCCTTGGCCGTCGCCGCGTTGAGCAGCCGGCGCGCGGAGGACCACTTTCATCCTTTCGGGCGAGGCGAGCAGGGGCAGGGGCGCCCGGAGGAGAGAGAAGGCGTGGCGCGGCCGGCGAGCGCCGGACGTCGATGGGCGGCCGAGCAGGGGCAGCTGCTCGCAGGTCCAGGTGGAACTTGTTCGGAAATGATCACAACTTCTACGGGCCAGCGCCCGTCAGCGAGAGCTACGGGGAACAAGACGGCGGCCTTGCAGCCGCCCGACGAAGGGACGTCGAGAACATGATCAGGCTCAGGCGGGAAAGAGAAAGGCGCGCCGCCAAAGATCGGGAGATGGCACAAGGGATGCGCCGCGATGTGTTCAGCAACCTGCCGGGTGGACGAGGTGACGCAGAGGACCTCTCTGGAGATACCGAAGGGGGCGGAGAGACCAGTGACGCCGGGGAAGAGTGATCCGGTGCGTGGCGGTGCTTAGGGGGGATTCGGCTTTTACGGTTAGAATGCGTTCAGGGCCGTCAGGTTGTGCACGTGTCTGATACATCAAGAAATTATTGCAAACTCACCACTCGCCACATTCTATTTCCGACTTGATTTTTATTCGACGCGATGAACTACGAACAGTATACTTACTCATGCCTTATTCTTTTCCACTTCAATAGTACTACTTTTCATACGTTTTTTTTTTCTTTACAACATTGCACACATTTTTCTTGCTAATTCACGTAATTTTCTGTCATTTTCAAACGTGCTTATCCTTCGCAAAGCTTGTTGGTATCGCATAAAGTGGTGCACTGTTATCCTAGGTTACATATACAATTATTACTCATGGAGATGGACATGGAGGGCACTCGCACTAGAACGCCGAATTTATTACTCATGGAAGACTAAGTTTTACTATTACTTCTCTTTTTCCGACTCGAGCTCGATTCTTTTCTTCATTTTTGCAACTTCGACAAATACAAAGACAACATTGATCACGACCTATTTACACGACAATTATTGCAGCTCACACACACTTTTTTTTTTCACAGTATAAAGCTTGTTATTGTTTCATATTATTTTATATCGCATGTATTATTTGTTTTGCAGAGGGTTTTCTTTTCAGAATTATCGATACGATTGAGAACAAGATGATGAAGCAGCACGAGCACCCCGAAGAAATTTTTCATATTGCCGCACAAGTCGCCAGGGACAAGGACTTCGTGTTCTCCAGCCCTCTTATTTTCAAAGTCCGTGGCGCATCGGCATCGACATAGTTAGGCTCTTGTTTGGCGGGGACCATGCCCGTCTATCTTCACAACTAAGTTTCTTCTCACCGCTACGTGACTCGTCTTGTAGCCGTCGTGGTAGTATCCATTAGAGTCGACAGTTTGATACTTATTATCAAAGTGCCATGGTCTACTTCGTGAAAACCCTGCTCGTCACGTTCATAAGGCGCATTCTCTTCCTGCTTTTCACGCTCGCCCTACCCAGGTGCGGCTACCGTGCGCAAGAAACCTCTGACAAGTCAGAAGACGGGAGAACCGGACGGGGTGATGAACGCGGAGGAGGAGGAGGAGGAGGAGGAGGTGCAGCCACTTCTACAACAACAGTACCGAGGATCACAGATGAAATAAATGACGCTACTAGAAGTTCCGTTCCTGATGAAGTTGAAGACGACCCGAATTTCAAGGTGATTTTTCTCCACATCCCCAAGACCGGCGGATTGTCTATCGAGAAAACTCTTCGGGCGATCCACAAACTCGCGACCTATGGCACTGACGCAACGATTCAGGGACACAGGCAGGCGATCGGCGGGCACCTGCTGAATGTGCAGTTAAAGAGGAAGATTGGGAGATTGCTGCAGAAAGGTACTGGGCGGGATGAGAACCATAAAACTTCTAGTACAACTACCGCACAATTTGACATTATTTCGCAGGAGCTGCACCATCAAACCGCACTGAAGGAGAGCGACTTTCCGGACTTACCGAGCGACGTGCTCGCGAATTCCGCAAGCTGGCCGGTCTTGACCATCACCAGAAACCCCTACGATAGACTGTGGTCCATATACAACTTTCCCTTCACCCTGGAGCACGAAAACGCTCCGTTCTGGCGGCCGCCGCAACAAACCTTCGAGCAGTTTGTGCTGAATTTCCAAAATATGAATTGCAAAATTATCGTACTAGTATAAATTGCATGTCAAATTGAATTTGTAATGCGGATTTTCCTTAAGAAAAATATTTGTAATGCATAAAAGCAATTAGTACGAGTACGATAGTTTTGCACTGAATACAAAAAGACTACCAAGATTTGCAGGTCGGCGGGACGGCGCCCCTGGGGAATCTGATCGAGTTTTTATCCTGTGCAAAAGTATCGTACTCGTAGTAATTGCAATCATGCAGTAGCAGTACAAATTTTTTTCTAAAGGTAAATCCGCATTACAGATTTTATTTCTCACGCTGAGGAAATTTGTAATGCATTTATACGAGTGCGATGCTTTTGCAATGCATAGCTTTTGATCAAGGACAAATTTGTCGTGGAGTACACCTACACTGGAACCATTTACAACCGAACCGAAAAAGTCACGCACAGTGCGGTGGATCCTTCGCTACTAAACCGGGGCGTGATTGACAAAAAAACGCACCTACTGCCGACGGACTACTTGCGGTTTGAAAATTTGGAGGCGGATATAACCTGCTCAGCTGTTACAATCTCAAGCGTTACGAATAGAATATGGAAATGGAAATTTATGATGCGAGAGTGCATGTTCTAGCCAACTCTCAATAGGAGTGCGCATGACAAGTTCCGGAGTCCCAAGCCGCGCTACAATCTGGCGAAATTTGTATTGCAGAAAGTGGAACCCTCTGCGAGTCTGTCATGCTCATCGTGCAGCATAAGTCTCAAACTCTATTGTAACGTTCGAGCTTGTAACACCTGAGCGGGTTATAGCGGACTTTGACCACTTTTGCAAAAAGTACAACATCCTGAACGCGCTGGCATTGCTATCCTCTGCAAAAACGTCACCACCCGCACCCCAGAGTCAAGTTGGGAATCTAGCAACACAAATCTCCAAGTTTTGGGAGCTGTGCATGACAAGTCTTCCTCTGTAGTGCAGTGCCGTGGTCGGCAAGTGAAGCCGCATAAGAATAAGAAAGCCATTTTAATACCATCCTGTTTACAGCATTACAAATTCCAAAACACGCCTGGCAATGCCTGTGATGGAACTGCGCAATACAAATGTTCGTATCATTGCGCATTTGTATGACAACTCTGGGGTCGTGGGGACGTTTTTGCACGGGATAATTGCGATTGGTGAACACGAACCCAGTACTGCACACGACAAGTAGTCCACCATCTAGTGCAGCTGTCGTGAACATGGGCGGAGGAGGTGGTGTCACTTCGACATCTAGTACAACTGGCGAGCAGCAGGCGGACCACAGCGGTGTTGTAGTCGGCACGTCTCCTTCTGGAAGTACAACTCCAGCTTCCTCTTCCGTCGAAACAGAAGCTGGGCAAAGTGGTGGAAAAATGTTGACGGATGGTGCCACGATAACCGCAGAGCAGATCAACTCTGAGTTGGAATTTACCAGACAGCAACTTCTTCTCCAAAGAGACGCCGAAATTGAAAAACTGAAAAGAAAAAATATCCAACAAAAAAACTGCGTCAGTGTAGGTCGTGTGGTCTTAGAGTGACAGCATGACAAATTTGCTCTACATTATGACAGAGAAAGGGACGAGGCTGTCATGCACACGACCTAGCGCATCGGGACACGTGAATGAAAAGAGGTGAAGATCAACAGCGCTGGCCAGCATGACAAATGTTGTGACTACTTTATGAATGTTGTATGCTTTTATGCATGACATCAGACTTACTGTTACTCTCACGCAGTTTCATTCTTCGATAAAAATGGAGAGAAAACTCCACGAGGTCAACACCCGGTATACTTTTCGCTATCCTGAGTAAAAACATCCCCACACCAGAGTCAAGATGGGGATTTTGCAACACAAACCTAGAACTTTTGGGGGTCACGCATCACAAGTTGCAGTCCGTAGTGTAGTGCAGGTTCGCAAGGCCAGCTGCATCAGAAATCCATCTGCTGATCCTTTTTACAGCATTATAAATTCCAAAACACGACTAAAAATGCCTCTCCTGGCGATGCGCATTACAAATGTTTCTGTCATTGCAAATCTGCATGACAACGCTGGTGTGGGTACGTTTTTACTCAGGATATTCGCATGCGACGCTTCATGGAGACCGTTTTCGCGGAAGAGATGCGGCTTTTATGCACAAAAAAAAGATCCATCCCCATGATCCACTTTGTCATGCAAAAGATGCGTGCAGTTCTGTGTTTGTCATGTGAAAAATAGAAATGGGGATTATCAGATACTTTTTTTGTGGATAGCTTTTTGACTACTCCTACGAGGGGTTTCTCGCGCGGGAGAGAAGCCGACAGTATCCCCCAGAAAAAGACCGACAGGTCATTACTATCTATTATATTCATGCGAAAAAAGAGGTCTACAGAGGATAGAAGAGAGGTGGCCGAGAGGTCAAAAAGAGGTGAAAAGAGGTCAAAAAGAGGTCCACAGAGGTGGAGAGGTGGCGCGGGAGGTCATTCGGGAGGGTGGCCGAGAGGTGGCGCGGGTATAGCCAGCCGAACCGGTCGCCCTAAAGCCGCGCCTATGGGGCCCGGAGGTGGCCGAGAGGGTGCCAAGAGGGTAAGCGAGAGGGGGACAGAGGTGCCGAGAGGTTGCGCGAATAAGGGCGAACCTCTCGCGCACCCTCCTGGCCACCTCTCGGCCACCCCTGTAGACCTCTACCGGCGAGTATAGCCGGACTATTAGCAACACCTCTCGCGAGAGGTAAAAAAGAGGGCCAGCGAGGGGGTACAAACAACCCGAATCCGCCCGGTACAGGGCCGATCTTCTGGGGATTTTTGCATCGTTTGGGCCCGCACCCTCTCGCGCCGCCCTTTCGCGCCACCTTCTCGCGCACCCTCTCGCGCCACCCTCTCGCGGTACCCTCTTGCGCCAGCAGCTCCGTCGGCCGGGAAGCCATTGGGCGGGGGCAGGAGAGTGATCAACACAGGGCAGCGCGGTCCCCCTTGTGCTTCGGCACTTACGCCGAGGCGGCTTCTCTTTGCCCCCAAGCTTCGCTGCAGCTGCTCCCTGCGCATAGCGCCTAAAGGCGCGGGAAGCGCGCAGGAGACCCTGCGGGTTTGCATGGCGCAAAACGGCGACAATATGTTCCTCGGGGGGGGGGCTGTCGCGCTGCGTCCAAAGCTCTGGCGCGGCGTCCCGATCCGCAAATAGTCCTGCCCCGCCACAACAGCCTAGCGCCCCGGCGTCAGCCGGGGCATGGCTGGTATTTGTAATGCAAAAATAAATAGACAAAAAAATCTGTATTGCATGCCCTAAACAGGATGTTATGGCCTCGCCCATGACAGATTTTCCTGTGTATTTATTTTTGCATTACAAATACCAGCCATGCCCCGGCTGACGCCGGGGCGCGAGGCTGTTGGGGCGGGGCAGGATTATTTGCGGATCGGGCCATAATGCCACAGGCCTAATATGCATAATGAAACATACTGGAGTCCTGCCGCCTGAGTTTGCGCGGCGCCAACCCGCAGGACCACTTGCGCGCTTCCCGCGCCTGTGGGCGCTCTGCGCAGGGAGCAGCTGCAAAGGACACCGGGGGCGAACAGAAGCCGCCCGGCGCGGGAGGGTGGCGCGAGAGGGCGCGCGAGAGGGTGGCGCGAGAGGGTGCGCGAAAGGGTTCGGGCCTAAGCATGAAAAGGCCGCAAAAGAATCAGCCTCGTGCCGGGCGGATTCGGGTTTTTCTACCCCTCTCGCAGACCCTCTTTTTGACCTCTCCCGAGAGGTGTTGCTAATAGTCCGGCTATACTCGCCAGCAGAGGTCTACAGGGGTGGCCGAGAGGTGGCCCAGAGGGTGCGCGAGAGGTCCGCCCATATTCGCGCAACCTCTCGGCACCTCTGTCCCCCTCTCGCTTACCCTCTCCCGACCCTCTCGGCCACCTCCGTCCCCCATAGGCGCGGCTTTAGGGTGAACGGTTCGGCTGGCTATACCCGCGCCACCTCTCGGCCACCCCCTCGAATGACCTCCCGCGCCACCTCTCCACCTCTGTCGACCTCTTTTTGACCTCTCTTGACCTCTTTTTGACCTCTCGGCCACCTCCCTTCGGCCCTCTGTAGACCTCTTTTTTCGCATGAATATAATAGATAGTATTGACCTGTCGGTCTTTTTCTGTGGGATAGACAGGAGATGAAGTTTAGGCTGAAAAAAAACATCGTAGAGTGGAAGTATCGAAACATACTAGACCGACTAGAGGAAAAATCTTTCTCAGTAGAGAAGATGAATACGGTAGTACACGACAACATCCCTCCACCAGTCTTAAGCAGCCCGAACGCCACGGAGGAAGCCATCGCGTATGCGGAAGTGGTCCACAACAAGCACTTTCAAACCGCGTCGTCCTATATGAGACTGCATAACTCCCCCTCCCCCTCATTTGTCATGCAAAATACCCAATCCAGACTTTTCCTCTTGGTACTGTTTCCATGACAAGTTCTGGTAGCCCAAATAGCACTAAAATTATAATCCAGTGCAAATTTGTCATGCAAAACCGGTATTCTTGCTGATGCTTGTATTGCTGTTCATGCTACACAAATGAGGGGGAGGGGGAGTTGTGCACTGTCATACCCTACGCCATGCACGGCATCGACACGGTCGACATTGAGACCAAAGCCGGCTTATCCTGTGCAAAAGTATCGTACTCGTAGTAATTGCAAACATGCAAGACAATTTTTTTTCCAAGCCAAATCAGCATGAGAAATTCCATTTGCCATGCTGAGCTAATTTGTATTGCAATACTACGAGTGCGATACTTTTGCAATGCATACGGCTACGGCCAGTGGCTGCGGCAGTCGCGCATCCAGAACCTGACCAAAGTGAGTTTGCCAGCCAGGAGCTGGATGACGGCAGATCTACTCGTGCACCCCAGTATCAAATGCAAAAATGTCTGGGTCTGCAAGGATGCGAATTTGATGTCGTGCAGGTTTTCCAAGACACATGAGGTGTGTCGTACATAATCTAGCATGACAGATTCTGCGCGGCCTCTATCATGCCTCGCCTGCATGAGAAACCGCCTCTCAACTTGGTCAAAAGTGGGCAGCTTTTGGTAATTACGCAACACAGATTTTTGCACTATCCAGAATTAGCATGACAAGTTCCAGCGTTCCAGACCCAGACACATTTGCATTTGATACCCAGGTATGGATTGCAAAAGTGTGAGGAGCATCGTACTTCTTGGGTGGGCGAGAATAAGAATTCGCATGAGGAATTTTTCCCCAGGGAAGGAGGAAACGTGAGACTTGATGTTATGCAGATCTGTCATGTCCTCACCCTGAAATTCAAATTGAGTAGCGTACGAAAGTTCGGTACTTTTGCAATGGATACCAGATTGGCGAGGTACAGAACGACGAGTCAAGACGAAGAAGGAGCAGCAGCTGCGGGGGGTTCGTCATCTTCTTTCACAACTCATCATACCAGCAGAAACGCGATAGAGAGGGTGCACGCCGGAGAAGATAGCAGGGTGTGGCGCAGGCGGCATTCAGAGGAGCGGCAGGATGAGGAAATGTGGCTGAAAGGAGGTTCTTCCGCGAACGGGGGAAAGGGCTCGAGTTCGTGAGGATTTCCATACTATGTACAGCTTGTAGTAGTTCTGTAGTACAGAACGACAACGCCCACGACCGACCGCGCCCATCTAGAGATAGACTGGGCTGTCTCGCCTCTGCTTGCCATCGAGCATCTTGCTTTCATCATTTCCAGATGCAGAACCACGTTTGAACGATACAACAACACTGTTTCCGACATTTTCGTTGCAACACGCGCATTAGAATCTCCACAAAGCAGAAAAAGTAAAAGAAGTTCGAGGACGAGATGAAGTAAATTTTTGCTGTTCATGGTAAGAGCAAAGAATCGAAAGTAGAGGAAGAGTCGCCTTCTTCTGCTCGTCGAGCGACCTTTCTTCCATGTTTCATGCATCTGTCGTTTGCAATTCGTAGTACTACTCGGCGCTTCTTGATTCTTGATATGGAAAGAATCTGATGCATTAGATCTAGAACTTCAGTCTTCAGCCCGCTCCCTAGAATACGATCTATCGGTTCTTGTGCCAAAGACAGATGATGTCATTGGTTCCTCGGTTTCTTTCTATAGCTAACAGTTGCTGGAGCATAAATCGGTTTCTTTGATTTCATTCGAAAGAACAAATCCGGATCGGTTTTTTACAACATTCTTGGCGGCTCATAAATACGAATAGAAGTCGCGCTCCTGATCGGTCCGTGTGTCGTGTTTCCTGCCAGTTCGGTTGTTACGTGTTTGTCCTTGTCGGTCGTGAAGAACGGAAGTCACGTTGCCATAACGCTAACGCTATCGGTTTATAATCCACCGGAAAAATGCAGACGATGTAGTGATGGTTTCTGTAGTGTTGCGTTCATCTTCTTTGCAAAAGCCAGACGACAAGTGGTTTGATGTACTGTAGGACGACACACTTTGATAAACACGATTCTAGAACTGAAGTCCTCGTCCAGCTTGATCTGCTCTAAGTCTGAAGTGAAAAACAGGACCATTCCACGGGAGGTTTTTGAATCTTCGCTTTCTGATGTCCTCACCTGATTTGTTCTTAGGCTTCCCTAATTCATCACAGCATTTCTCAACCTAAGTCTTAAATCCACCAAAAAAATCATGTTTTCCTCCACCGATGACCCGAACAGTGGGGCCACCATCGAGCCAAATTCGCAATCGATTCGCCAAGGCGGGCCGGATGAGACGACGTATCTGTACCCTCGAGGGAAAAACAACCAAGGAACACTAAATTCCCGACTCGCTTCGTCCGGAAAGACGAACAGAAGTTCCTACGACACGGCCTCATCTGCGAAAATCTATCAAATGCAAATATGTCCGGGTCTGGGAGATTCCGAGATTTGTCATGCTAGTCTGGCATGTGACTCTGAGCTCTGTATTGCGTGGCCGCGAAGAGCCTTACTCCCCGTCATGCAAAAACGGAGTTTCTCATGCGAGGTACGCAACTCAGAACCATGAAAAACAAAATTGTCATGCTTGGCAGCGCATTACAGTGAGCTCACTATTCCCTTCCGTGCATCACAAGGTTCCAGACATCCAGGGATATTTGCAATGCATAAGATGCAGAAGATGACCAACGCGTCCACCTTCTCCTGGCGCCCAAACGCTGGGGAAGTCGTCTATGACAGTGCGCAACTCCCCCTCCCCCTCATTTGTATAGCATGAACGGCAATACAAGCATCAGCAAGAGTGCCGGTTTTGCATGACAAATTTACGCTGGGGCGTAGTGCTATTTGGGCTACTAGAAGTTGTCATGCAAACAGTGCCATGAAGATGCAGTGACTGGATTCGGGGTTCTGCATGACAAAAAATGAGGGGGATGGGGAGTTGTGCACTTTCATATTGTCATCCAGGAAGTGATGAACGAGAAGGTCCGGGCGAGATTCGCGAAAAAAGTGTTGGGGCTGACGTGCGTATGAATTGCAGCAAGAGTATCGTACTTCTAGGAGTAATTGCAATACAAATTCCCTCAGCATTAGAAATCGAATTTGTAATGCGGAATTACCATAGGAAAGGAATTTGTAATGCACAAATGCAATTACTACGTCGAGTGCGATACTTTTGCAGAGGATAGTGCGCGATGCTGTTTGTCGTGGCGATTATCATCGTGCTTTTCAAAATGAGTGTATCCCCCAGATATTTCCCGTACACGTACAAATGGGGTCTCTGCATGACAAAACTTTGCTTCGATTCTAGTTTAGCATGACAAGTTTTCGGCTCCAAATTGGCGAAATTTGTGATGCATCTTGTACATCATGTACGGGAAATTTGTATTGCATAGAGTGCGTACTACGCCATCATGCGCGTTCCCATCACCACCGACGTCGCACATTTTCCGCTCACCCTCGCGGATGAAGATTTTCTGAAGACCACTTCGAAGATGTACATCATGACCATAAAAATCGGGCGAGTGGACCACAACTTCGCCGACGCGGTGCGTGCCGTGCACGACCGGTCGTTTTACGTCTCGCTCGGCTTTTCCCTCAGCGCCATCGTCGTGGGTCTCACGCTGTACTGCACCATGATCTGTTGCTGCCGGAACGTGATGCGCAAAGCTCCGCACAACGTCATCCTGTGCTTCGGCTTCGCGGTTCTCTGGGGTTTCGCTTTGCAGGTATACCTGTTTGATACGATGTTAAAGTTAACTATTTGTGGCCATGCGCCTAGAAGTACCAACTCCTACAAGCAGAAGCACAGGCTTCCTTGTTGTAATGCGAGGCACTCCACGTCCACTGCAAATGATAACATGAGATCATCAAAACACGACAAAACAGCTGCTGTGCTTTTCTTCCGAGTGGACCGATATCATGATGGCCTCGTATGCTTTGCAAAATAAGTGTCGCACTACGTATAAATTGCATTACAAATAAGTAACTAGCTTAGGATGAAAGATGAAATTTGTAGTGCTGTTTATTTAGCTTCGGAATGCGATAGGTGCAATTAGTTTTACGAGTGCGATACTTTTGCCATTCATACCACCAGCTTCACGGCGATTTTATGTTTCAGGAAAAGTAGAGTTTGAGTCGACTTTTCTGTCGAAATTTGTCATGCGGGGGAAACAGAATCAAGGACTAAGAAGATAGAGTACGATTCAGAATAAAGATGAGCGACGAGGTCCTGCATGGTGGAAGATATTTTTACTTTCGAGGATCCTGCATGAGAAAAAGCTTTCCCATTTTCCGAAACACGCAAGACAAATTTCTCCGCGCCAGCGTCTACTCGGACAGCTATTCCACTTCTTTCCATACCCCCTGGTTCTCGTGCTCTGGAGCGCCGCCCAATGTTGCCGGCTGAACCTGTCCCGCGGCGGCGCCATCTGGCTCTTGATCTGTTCGCTGTTCGTGTTTTTCATCGTGGTCACTATCGCCATCCCGTTGTGGAACTACGGGACGATGCGGTTTAATTACAAGCTGGTGTTGCTCAACTGCTTCTTCCTGGTTCTGCTATCCACCTACCTGTATGCATTGCAAATATCGTTCATCTGGGTCTGGAACGTTCGAACTTGTAAATGCTGGTCTCACATGAATACGTCGAAGTCTGTATTTTTGCATAAAACCAACAATAACAAAAGTCGCAGCCCCATCTTTTTGATCATGCAGAAAGAAACGCAGTGGCAGTTTGTTCTCATGCGGGCTGCGTGTCCGAAAGCGTTGTGAATAAATGTTGTCATGCTTGGCTGCATTCGGAAGTGTTTCCACCATCCACATTTTAGCATCACAAGTTTATTCCGTCCGCGAACCCAGACACATTTGCAACGCATAACCTGATGGTGTTATTCCAAATGATCATTGGGGGCAAGCACACACGACACCAGTTTGCGGTGGATGATTACGCGTTTGCGGCGCTGCTCCTGTTTGTGGACATTTATGAATTCTGCAAAAGTACTTAACGTAGTCGTACTAGTACCGATCGCATCACAAATTTCTGCAGCATGAACGAAAAATGGAATTTGTAATGCGTATGTACCTTAGAAGTGAGACTCTGTAATGCATGGCTCGATGCTGCTTTTGCAGTGCATAAGATTGTGGACGTTCTCGTCTTGCTGTTGGAGTGCTGCGGAATCGCGCGGCGTACCGCAGCGGCGTGACGAGGAGATGATGGGCTTGATGATGCACCAGGAAGAATCATTGATTTACATGACGAGGATTCTAAGTAGTACTAGTGGATGGTTGTATTTCATGACATGACTTCTTGTCTAGCATAGCATAACTTATTGCATTCAGTTTTACCTAATCTTGTAAGTATACTGTTACATGATAACTGAGATTCACCACTGTTACAGTGGATACAAAATCGAGAGTGCACTGCAGTTTGTTTCTGACACCGACATGATTTTTAAGAGTGATTCACTTTTATTTTGAGTGCATTTTCAAGATTTTCCAGTTCTACTTTGTGTGTGCTAATAAATTCTTCTGAAGGTTTTGTCACACACATATGACACTAGCACGTACTTCTCTACTGTCTGAATTGTTATTGTTCCATAACTGGAATAGGAACTACAGCAGACGTCAAATAACGTTGATGACAAGAACAAGTTTCCTTTCAACATCCGTACTCGAAAATAAATAAACACTGCAAAAATTAGTTCCCCATCAGAGGTTGAATTATTTCTATCGTGGTGCACTTCCACGACTCCCACTTGATGCGACCATCGGTTGTAGGTGCGATGTAGCATGATGACCTGGTCATCGACCATCGACATTGCTCTCGGTTCTTGTACTTCTACCGTGCCCTACTAAAAGGCTTGCTCGTGCGTTAGAAAGATTTTGATTTCATTCGGTTTGTGCTAATAAATCAATGACTTTCGGTTCGTACTGAAACTGCCAAAATCTCCTCGTCGGTTCGTATTGAGAAAGCTCCTCGTCTGGCGGTCGTCTGTGGAATTCGTACAACTACAGGTCTGGTAACTAAAACAAAAAAAAAGAAACGTGCAATCCTAACAATTTATGCCTTCGTCAAATATCTAAGATCTACTTCGTCCATAACCAGATGTACTAAAATCCTTTTCATCCACTTACTGCAGGAGGAGGAAAAAACGCAATCGCGAACTATCTACCCATCATGTAATTTGCACACACGCGGATTATCTTGCAACTACATATGCATGCTTTTATTCGTTTTGACGTCAACTACATGTAGATGTAAGTAAGTACAACTATGAGAGCTGCTTCACAACTTTCACGTCTGGCGTTGGGCGCACGACAGTTCGATCACCCGTAGCTCTCACCGGCAACATCAAAAGCCACGGGTCGTCGTAGCGAGGCGGGCAGTCCCAGGAGCGACGGGTCGTCGTTGTAGCGAGGCCACGGGGCGTCCTCCCGGCGCTTCGAATCGTCCAACATATTGCAGTAGCTGGAAGTATGTTTGGAAGTAGCCTCAAGATTTCAACCGAAGAATTCGACATTGTTCCATTTATTTAGCGTGTCTCCTGCTACTCTTCTTTTTTTGCACATTCACACTACAAGAAACAAGAATAACATTTTGAAAACGAAATAAACCATGGCCGCGCGCCGGACCTCCAACCAGTTGTACGGTGCCGCCGACGCGGCGGCCCGGGATGGCAACGACAATATTTTCGTCGGCGGAGGTGCTGATGATAACATCTATGGCACCCACATGATCACGGAAAACATGGACGAGGCCGTGCGAAAAAGCTTTGCCCGCAAGGTGTTGGGCATTGTCACCGTCATGTTCACCCTGGTTGCGGGCATTGTGTTCACCGTGAAATACGTCGGGTACTCCAAGGTGAAAGGCGTTCCTTTCGCCGCCGCCGTGGCGGGAGACTCGGATGGAGCCAAAAACCAAGAACTTCTGCACCATATCAGTGGCATGTTCATGACGGAGCTAAATACAAGTGGTATTAAAGTCGTAAGTACTTGTAGAGTTGTTGTAAATTATCTAGTACGTACCAACTCTTGTTCTTACACAAAAGCAGATGGTGATCCACTTACAATTATTCAAGGCTCGATGAAAAAATCCATGCTTCTTTTCTAGTCGAATCTGAAGCCTGATTCTTGTGCAACTACGTTCTAGAAGTGTATCGCTCTACTCAAAAATAGACATGTTGCGCAACCAAAAAAAAAAAACAGAGAAAAACGCGGACGGTGAATTCACGCAATTTCCGTCCTCTGACTACGTTGAGGAGGTTGCCGCTTCCCTTGCCACGCTCGTGATGGTGTCCGCGATCCTCGCCGGCGTTGGGTTTCTCATCGGGCTTCCCACCTACTGCGCGGTGATGTGTTATGAAAGCCTCAGAATGGAAATCCTCAAAGTGGAAATAATTTGTGATGCATGAAATGCAAGGCAGAAAAGAGCGTATTGCAGAGGACACAATGGAGACCGACTATTGTCCTGCTAGGGGTTCATAATTGGGCTGCTGATTAGCACGAGAGAAGGGCACCCCTTTGCCTGTCTAGCATGACAGACATGCTTTGAGTGCCCGGAAAATTTGTCATGCGCCGACTAGAAATGGCACTTCAACTGGATTCGTTTTTTTGCATTACAAATTATTTCCACTTTGAGGATTTCCAACCTGAGGCTCTCATATGTGTGGTTGCTGCGGCGAGGCGCCCCGGAAATTCCCCTGCAGTTACATTCTCTGCTATCCTGTGCAAAAGTATCGTACTCGTACAAATGCTAATGCAAGCCTTGCATTACAAATCTTGTTTCCAAGGCAAATCTGCATTACAAATCTTCTTTCTCATGCTGAGGAAATTTGTAATGCATTTATACGAGTACGATACTTTTGCAGTTCATATCTGTGCCGTCATCGCGATCTCTATCAAATGCAAACGTGTCTGGGTTCGGAAGAGTGCTGATTTTTGTCATGCTGTTTTTGCATGACACAGAAGGTGAAGGTCTGTCATGGAAGCCCTTGCGTCACAGATCTCGAGATTCTTTCGCATTGCCTAATTCGCATGACAAATTGGTGACAGGGAATGGGCCTCTTTTGCTGGTGCCTCTGCATGAGAGATTTGTGTGTGTTGTGAAATGCGCATCACAAGTTCGCATCCTTCCCGACCCAGACATATTTGCAACGCATAATCTCCTTCGGGCTGCAGCTCCAGCTGACCTGCTTTTTCGAGGCGACGTCGGTAATTTTCATCGCGTTGGCCATCACGGTGGGCATGGTGCTGATACTCTACCTCATGTCCTTCTGCTGTCTGGACTTCACGGGCTGCGGCATGTGGTTCTTCGGGCTCTCTATCGCGCTGCTCCTGGTCTCCATGTTCTCGATGCTCATCTGCGTCTGCTTATCCGGTGGCGGCGGAAAGCAGTATGATATTCATTTATTTCATCCGATGTCTTTATTTTATGATCGACATATCCTTTCGAATTCGTGTTCGATAGCGTATATCGAATCGACTGAATAATACAGCTATAATCTTTATCTTCTAGGTTGTGGCTACATCGATCTTCTGGCTCATGACCCAGGCGCCCACTTGTACTACTATACTCGCTCGCTTTGCATATGATCAAACTGACACTGAACAACAAAAACGAATGCATCAAACATAAACATTAACAGTGTGACCGTTTTGGCTCTGGTTTTGAACGGGCTGTGCGCCTTGCTGACCTGTGCGTACATTATCTACGCGTTTCAGCTCATCATTGGCGGGAAAAACCGGGCCCACGAGTTCTCGACCGACGACTACGCGATCGCGTCCATGTTTCTCTTCGTTGAGATTTACAACCTGTTTCTGACGATCTTGCGGTTCGTCGGCGCTATGAACCGATGAAGAGGTGGATCCTGCTGTGCTCGACGTCCCAAGAACAGGACGATAATTAGTAGCACGAGGAGGAAAACAAGAACGAGGACAAGGTGACAAGGACACCGTATCGGGTTCGTTTTGAGAGCAGCAGCGGTTTCTACTCCATCGACATGGAAGTGGATCATCCTGGTAATTGGAAGCATAATTGGAATTCTCATTTTTCCATCCTTATTTCCGGTACCAGTAGAACAAGAATCACGCCGAAGAATTTCGTTTTTCATCATATACATCGAGAAGCTGCGAGTAAGTTTTCAGCTAAGTAGGTACTTACGGTACATACATGTTCATGTTGTGATTTTCATTTTTGTGTGCAATCAATTACTACTAAGAAGTAGTTTAGATTTAGAAGAGCAGAGTAGGCGGGCACGACCAGCCGGCTCACAGTTCTTGTGCTGCTGACCGGTCTACTAGTGCAGTTCATTGCGTTTATTCCAGAGGACATTATTTCTTGTAGTTCATACATAGAGATGAGTTTGCTCATCTTGTTTTCATTGCGTTTTTCTTTATTTCGTTGGCGAATTCAATTTCAGTACCTGTACAACAAGATACTTACAAACGATACCTACAGGAGAAACTCGCACTAAACGCTGTAGCACTTTTGGAACACATGAATGATTTTCATCTGCTTTGTGGTTCGTCCTCCAGCACGGGAAAGACGAAAGAAAAACACAGAGGGTGGTTTTGCCCACGAAGTGCAGCAGGTGAGCCACTTCTTTTGTGCCGACGTCTCAGAGGTAGTTGCGCACTGTTGAGGGTTCTTACCATGTACAGAGTTCATGTCCTACTTGCTAAGTACCTCATCCCCTGCCCTACTACGCAGGAGTTCGTTCCGGGTCTAGCATTCTTCCAGTGTTGAGGGAATTTCGCTTGTTTTTTAGAACTGCACCTACCCGTACCGGCTGTCCGCACAGAACAAACCCTCCCGTATGAAAATCTATCGGTAGAGAGAGAACAAGAACACCAGCAGAAATTCGGCCGCATTCTCCCGCTGCTCAGCGTTTTTTTCTTCATTGGTAGTTTGTTTCCAATGTTCCTCGGCGGAGAGAGCTTGTACTTATCCGTGTAGTTCTTGAGAGCAACAAAAGATTGACTCTCTACTTCGGTCAGTAAGTGTACTAGTTTTTCTGCAATTTTTTTTTCTGGTGACAGAGAGAAAATCAGAACCTGCGGCCCCTACTGGAAGTGTCAGAGAGTCGGTTTCTTTCTTATTTCCCCGATTCTTTTTGAGTGTGGAGCTTGCTTGTTTATTTTGAGAGGGTTGCAAGAACAAAACTATTTACAGTTCCTGTGCTGTCAGCGAACCTACTTGCAATTCTTGTTTCCGTACAACATCTCTCCAGGTCCATCTCCCCGGGAAGAAGGTTGCAAAGCAACGAACTTCTGTGTTTGTGTAGTACCAAACACGACGAGCTTTAATACTGGCACTTCATCTGTCAAGTAGAACGTCTACATTTACTCTCCTTCCTACTACTCGATCCCCCTGTTGGGAATTACTACTACTACTACTACTAATCCTATTATTTTGTCAAGGTCAACATCGGACCTACACCATCAAATAACTACTCGCCAGAACATCATCAGTACTAGCTACGGAAAGAAGAAGAACTACACCCACCGAGAGGACACCACGACTAGAGCGAGGACCTGTGCTCGATTTGTATCATTGTTTTTGACCGAAGAAAACCCAAAATGGCCTTCTCCACCCTCCGTCAGGCGACCTCGGTCGCGGCTCGCGCGCCCTTCGCGTCCCGAACGGCTCTGTCGGGTTCTAACCCCATGAAGAACCAGAAGCGGTTTTTGAACCTGCATGAGTACCAGTCCATGGATACGCATTGCAAATATGTCTGGGACTGGATCCATGGATTCGAATTTGTGATGCGAATGCTACATCATGACAAAATCTGCCATGCATGGTCAGCAAAAGGCCCCACTTCCTGTTACAGAAAGAGGGCATTTGTCATGCGGATTACGCATCGGGATACCTGCTCGGAATCTGTGATGCTAGGGCTTGCATGCCAGACGATCTGGGCTAGGCCAAAACTGCATCACAAATGTCTGTACTCTTCCGGACCCAGACATTTTTGCATTTGATGATGGAAGTTTTCAACAAATTTGGCGTTGCGGTGCCGAAATTCATGGTGTGCAAGTCCCAGGTATCAAATGTAAAAATGTCTGGGTCTGGAAGAATGCAACTTGTCATGCTAAATCCGAATCATGCAGAAATCTGTGTTGCATGAGTGCCAAAAGCTGCCTCCTTTTGACCAAGTTGAGAGGGAGTTTCTCATGCAGGAAAGGCATGATAGAGCCCTAAAAGAATCTGTCATGCTGGGTCTCGCATTCCAGACCTCATGGGTCATGGAAAACCTGCATCACAAATCTTGTATTCTTCCAGACCCAGACACTTTTACATTTGATACCAGGGCGAGATGGGAAACGTGTACGACGCGATGGGTACGGATGTGGTGGTGAAATCGCAGGTGCTAGCCGGCGGCCGGGGGTTGGGGCATGTGAAAGAGAACGGATTCCAGGGCGGGGTGCACGTGGCCAAGGACAAGGCACACGCTGTGGACTTGGCGGATAAAATGATGGGCAAGACCCTGGTATTTTTCAGAAATAAAATTTCAATATCAATTCGTCGGCGTGCTATAGCGAGAAACCAGCACGAGCAATGAACTAGAAGTACAGTGTGGTCGTGCACAAAAAACACAAACTGCATTGCAAATCATCTCAAAGTTTTGATGCAAGTAGCTACTACTGGAACTTCGACCTGTTATGATGCTCGTGCAGTGATGTCGCTGCAGCTTTAAAGCACGCATGACAAAGAAAGATCTTAAATGATGAACCAAGCTTGTTCTCCTGTTTTTAGGTGACCAAGCAGACTGGAGAGACGGGCAAGCCAATCAACAGCCTTTTGCTCGTGGAAAAATTTGAAATCAAGTCAGAACGGTACTTCGCCATTCTGATGGACCGATCTGCCGGGGGGCCTTTGGTGATTGGAAGCAAGACGGGCGGAACCTCGATCGAAGACATTGCTGCTGCGTAAATTTGGTTTTCATGTTGTAGTGGATCGATTGCTTATTTGCACTACAGCAGGCGGAAAGGAACACTATGTAGGGTTTCTTAGTCTACTTCATCAACATCATCATGTCCACACTAAAACAAAATCAAAATGAAAACTCTACTACAAAATCAATCAAAACAGCGACCCAACGGCCATCATCAAGATGCCGATCGACATTATGCAGGGCATGAGCAGTTATCAACTGTAAAAATGTCTGGGTCTGGAAGATTCTGAAACTTGTGATGCACGTCTTGCATGAGCCATGATGTCTGTGATGCACGCCCTAGCATCATATATTTTCTGAGGGCATCTTGATGCCTATTCCGCATGACAAATGCCCTATCCTTGTAGCAAGAATCAGAATCCTTTTGCTGCTCATGCAACACAAATTTTTTAGACATCCAAATGCAGCATCACAAGTTCCAATCTTCCCAGACCCAGACATTTTTGCAATCCATAGCAGTGCCCAGGCGAAGCAGATGGCGGAGCAGATGGGCTTTACCGGCGCGCAGGCCGACGACGCTGCGAAGTCCATTCTGGGCCTCTACATATCAAATGCAAAAATGTCTGGGTCTGGAAGATTCTGAGACTTGTCACGCATGGTTTGCGTGCGCCATGATGTCTGTGATGCGTGTCCTAGCATCACAGGTTTTTTGAGGGATTCATGACAAATGCCCTCTCCGCGTAGCAAGAATTAGAATCCTTTTGCTGCTCATGCAACACAAATTTTTTAGACATCCAAATGCAGCATCACAAGTTCCAATTCCAATCTTCCAGACACAGACATTTTTACATTTGATACTACAAGGTCTTCATCGAGTGCGACTGCACGATGGTTATGCATTGCATCAAAATTTTCATTATCGCGCTGGTGGTACTTAATTGCATCACAAGTTTATTTCGTATAAAGACAAAATCCGAATTTGTAATGCTGATTCAGCTAAAGGAAAAGGCGTAGGTTTGTACCTTCGCTAGAATCAGCTAATTGCGAAGATACTTCTGCAATTAGTACCAGCACGAGCGCGATTATACTTTTGCACTGGATAATGATGGAGATTAACCCCTTCGCGGAATTGTCCGATGGCCGGGTCATCGTGTGTGACGCAAAGGTGGGGTTTGACGACAACGCGTCCTTTCGGCACCAGGATCTGCACTCGAAGAGGGATGTGAGCCAGGTATTTTTGATCACCATGTTGAAGCGCAACCGCAAGCGATCAAGATTATCATTATGCTCTTTCTGCATGGGAACGAACATTTACGTAGTGGGTGTTGCATCACAAAGACCTGAAGAAAACAGTACTTGCTATGGAATCGGAGCCGACAAGGTGTCGCTCATGACAGGAACGACTTCTAAACTGAATTACAGGAGGACAGCCGCGAGGTGGCCGCAAAAGAGTTTGACCTGAACTACATTGGCCTGGATGGGTCGGTCGCGTGCATGGTTAACGGAGCCGGGCTATGCAATGCAAAAGCATCGTACTCTAGTATAAATTGCATTCCAAATTAGCCCAGCATTACAAATTAAATTTGTAATGCTGATTTGCCTTGGGAAAGAAATTTGTAATGCGTAAATGCAATTACTACGAGCGCGATACTTTTGCACAGGATACGAGCTTGCCATGGCCACCATGGACTTGCTCAAGTTGTTCGGCGGGGAGCCCTATGGATTGCAAAAATGTCTGGGTCTGGAAACTTGTGATGCAAGTCCGTGAACAATATAGTGCCCTGCTGTAATGCGCCGCCAAGCATGACAAGTTTTTTCGTGCTTTTGTGATGCGTATTTCGCATGAGAAAGTGCGCTTTTGCATGACAGGCAAGAGAACTTCTTGGTGGCCACGCAATACAGAGTGCAGAGTCAACATGCCAGACTAGCATGACATCTCTCGCAATCCTCCAGACCCAGACATATTTGCATTGGATAAGCCCGCCAACTTTTTGGACGTGGGTGGTGCGGCAAACGAGGAGTCTATTACCGCGGCATTTAAGATCTTGCAGGTACTACAGTTGTCTTTCATGTACTAGGGCGTTTTCGTTTTATTTCATGCGGAAAAATATTTCGAACCAGTACCAGCGAGCTGGATTTGCGATTGCGATATAGGTGTCGGCTGTTGCAGCACGCCGGTTTTGCATCACCAGCTTTTGCTTTGTATCACTTCTTATCAAATGTAAAAATGTCTGGGTCTGGAAGGGTTGGAACTTGTGATGCAAACTCTGGAACACACAAAAATTTGTGTTGCATGAGCGCCAAAAGCTGTCCATTTCTTGGCACGCAAGTAGGAAGTTTCTCATGCGGGACAGGCATCATGAGGCGTGCTCAAAACCTGTGATGCTTTTGCCTGCATCAGACGCCACTTGCGTGATCCGAAATATGCATGACAAATCTCAGAATCTTCCAGACCCAGACATTTTTACATTTGATACTTCTCATGCGTAGTAACAAGGAAAAATGAAATTAAAAACACCACCAGGGCGACCCGAATGTGAAGTCCATCTTCATCAACATCTTCGGCGGTATCATGCGGTGCGACGTGATTGCGAACGGGGTGGTGGCTGCGATCAAGAATGTCGGGCTTTCGAAACCACTCATCGTGCGGTTGGTGGGCACGAACGTCGATGAGGGAAAGAGAATTATCAACGAATCGAAACTGCAAGTCGAGGCGTTTGACGATTTCACTGAGGCAGCCAAGAAAGCCGTGGAGATGGCGAAGTGAAGCGGTGCTGGTGCATCAACTAGCAGGTCACAGTGCTGAAAAATCCTGCTATGAAAACTCTTAAACTCTTTACTGTTCTTGAAAAATTCAAATTCACCTCCTGTTCCTGCAAGAAGACCATGACAGGAGCACGCAACAACATCCTTCCAGTTTTTACAGCCATTTGCTTCGTAGAATTTTTCATCAGTGCGGCTGCACCACATTTTTTACGCGTTTGATGGTGTTGTTGACAAGAAAACGCAACTGCACGTGGTCCGTCTCTGCGCCGCAATTTTTTATTCACACTTCCTTGCAGGAGGTGCCCGAGCAGCTGTAGTACAGCTCTTGATGTGCTTTTACCTCGGTTTATTCATCATTTATCGACACACTTCTTATGGGACAATTACTTTAACATTTGTTCCTACTAGAAGCCGCATCACGGCTCTGCCTGCTCTGTCTTTTGTCAATACTCTACTCAAGGGAGGAAGAAGGGGAGACCACGCAACTACGTCTCACCCATAGATAGATACGCTAAACTCGTTGTTCAATACATCAATCACACTACTACTAGTACAACTAGGTCACAACTTTATCACACTTTTATTTCACACACACACTAAGGTCAACAGCACGCAATTTTGCGGTGTCATTGGAAAAAGTGCGTCGTGCAAGAAAGAGATCAAGGAGAAACTTCATGGCACTACGTTGTTGAAAATATTAAAGGGCGCAAAAGGAGCCACGCAAAGAACGCACGGTGGGTAAGAACTACATACGATTTTTTCACGATGGTTGGCCGTTGTGAAAGGCACGCAACATCAAGCCCATACCTTTCAAAGCGGCATCCATGCTAATGCGGGGGTGTTCAAGAACTTCTACTCTGTCTACCTTCTATGCTAGATGAAAAAACAGTTTGAGTCGGCGCGTAGGTCTTTGTAGTGTCTAGCAAAAAAGAGAGCACGATCAGGGAACAAATTTTTTTGCAGGCCGGCTGCGACGTGAAGAATAAGATACTAGCCTCTGTCTTCGGTAGTTTTTTTTCTTCTGACGGGTCTGTAATATCAATTCATCATCAGTGACGACGAGAAGACCTCTGATCGCAGAACCTACAACTTGCTCTTCGAGTTGTTTTCTGCAATCCTGCATTGAATTTGTGTTGCAATAGTGAAGAATCTATCTGAATCTTCTCGCAGAAAAATACCGACCAAGAACCTCTGCATGTCTACGTTGCACGTCGCACTTGCACAATGCTTTTGTTACGAACTACGTCCGCACCAAGAGATAGTTAGTACTCCACCCCACTGGGATTTCGAAATGATATCGCGCTACCCGGTTTCTCTTTTTCTTTCCCCAGCGACACAAATACCATACTGATTCCACCATCATAGTGGGCGCTCTTTCAACGTATTGTTCATCCTGATGACATCAATCGTGCTTTCAGTCAGAATCAATGTTGAAGAAAACCAAAACGCAGTATAGCTTTTTTTTTCGGAGCAACGAATAAAAGAAGACGATAACAAGAAAGACTACTAGGGAACAATAAAACAAGTGTAAAAAAAGTAGACCACCGGGCAAAAGAACATTATATCACGAGGACCAAAGTTGAAGTTGATATCAATCCGCAAGAAAACCGGGAAAGCTCAGCCTCGTCAGCCATTGCGCAACGGCAACAGCGAAGATAAGCAAACCAAAGCCAAATATAAACCAAAATAGAACACGTATCGCACCTACTTCATTTCCATACGACAGCACAACACAAGACAAAAAATGGCCACCCCCAGCCAAGACAAGCGGAAGGGCAGCAAGGGCCTGATGACCTCCCAGACGGCGACCTCCTCCAAAAAGCGGAAAATGGACGAAGACAATGCGGCTTTCAGGCCCAGCCTGATAAGTTTCATGCAGACCAGCAGTAGCAAAACGACCACGAATAAAGAACCCGTTAATAAAAATAATACCGCTTCAACATCTAATCGTCAATCCCTCGCTAGCGCAACCACGGCGCCCAACACCGTGGAGCAGACGGGGAAGAATAACAGGTCGAGTTCTTCGTCCTCGAGCGCGGTGTACGGTTTTCACACTGGGGGAAGCAGTGCCAGCGGGAAAAAGGGAAGTTTGAAAAAAGGTGGAGATGGTGAGGATAATTCGGTGTTCCGCTCCGCAGAGCAGGATGGAGAGATTGATACGGTATTGTTGGTCAGTTTGTTGTAGTTGTTGTGTGAGTAAGCATGACTGGTGTAGTGTATTGTGCTTGTGCACCATGTCCATGACAGAAGATAACAGCAGCTCGCACCACTACCATGCTCATGCAACATTAGAATGCATGGCAAGCGTTTTCAACAAGGTGAAGGTTATTGTTATTGATAGGCAACTACGCAACAATCAGGTTCTCCACGACGCCCGCAGCGCGTTTGACAGCGAACAGAAGCAAGACAGCACCTACAAGAACGACAGCAGGCGGGCGAGTGAGCTGGTTGCGCCGCGGAACCTACTGGACGAGATGGAAGAGGACGAGGATATCAAAAACGCCTCTTCCACCAACAAGTTCAAGACGGACAGCAAACACCAAACGAAGTTCAAATCCGAAAAAACCCGCGCCCCGAGCACGCCGAAAAAGGGCGGCTCCCACACCGGTCTCGATGACTCGCTCTTCAACTCGCCAGACAAGGATTTGCTGGAGAAGATGGATCTCGAAGGGGAAGCGTTCGCGAACAGTCAAGAGTCGCTGGGGCCGATGATATCATCTTCATCTTCTTCTACCGCCAAACAAGTAACTCGGGTAAGAAAATTTTCCCTCGCCGGTTCCCCATTGGAAACAACTGAGCACGATGAGAACGGGTTGCGGAAGGTCTTGAAAACGCCGCAAGCGCCGAGGAAGCCCGGGTTCAATAAGGGAAAAAATGGTAAGAACAAGGACTCCACGGTGATCGATTTGGAGGATTCGGATGATGAGGAGATTGTTCTTTTCCATGACGCGAACAATAAATCTCCAGACGATTCATCTTCTCCGGTCGACGACGACGACAACGAGCTTATTCTCGACGACATTAATGAGAACAATGGAGCTGCAGCAGTTGCAGTGCCTGTTCAACATGTTGTCCAGCAACACATGCAGATCAACCTCTCCCCCCGGAACCTGAATTTCGACTTTGCAGTGGTTGAGGAAGAGAAAAATGAACCGGGCGCGAACGGCGCGGGCAACGAGCGGCCGAACCAGCGACGAATGGCGATGCAACGACAGGACTTGGAGCGGATGATAGACGAGGAGGATCAAATTAACGCCGGCGGTGTTCATCAACTTCAACAGCAACATCATTTTCCAACGGCAGACACGGTAGCAAGCGCGAGACTACGATTTTTGATGGAGCAGCACGACGGAGTGATGCCAGAAAGGAGTCAGCCAGCACCAGTTGAGGACGAGCTGATTCATCTCGCTGATCAACAAGATGAACAAACTCCATCCGCCGCGAACCTGACCCGCGTGGCGCTCCAGGAGAGGAGGAACCAGAAATTAGTGCAGCAACTGAAGATTTTGAAAAGGGTATGACAGTGCATAACTCCCCCTCCCCCTCATTTGTCATGCAAAAATCCAAACCTAGTTGCTACCCTGTGGCACTGAGTGCATGACAAATGATAACTCCGGAATCCCAATAAACGGCACGACATTTTTCGGCGCATGAACTTGTCATGCACAGGTTCCACATGTACTGGTGTTTGTATTGCTGTTCATGCCATACAAATGATGGGGAGGGGGGGTTGTGCACTCGCATAAAGGGAGACGTCGGGGCGAACGGCCCGGGCGGTCAACAAGTTGCCGGAGGAACTGGAAATATTTTTGAAGAAGGCGAAGGACGTTGTCGTGGATGATTCGGTATCCACGACAAAAGTATCGTACTCGTATTGTAATCATGCATTACAAATCCTGTTCTTAAGGCAAATTAGCATTACAAGTTTTATTTGTAATGCTGAGGAAATTTGTAATGCATTTATACGAGTGCGATACTTTTGGAATTCATACTCGGGGAAGACGCAACTGGAATTGAATGAGAAGATGATGCGAAGCATTAATAGCACGGAGGAAGGTGCACTGTCAGCTGCGGGTAAAGAAAACAAAAATCAGCAATTCTTCTGGATCAGCGGGAAGGATAGCATTGCGGCTCGGGCAGAGGAGGAGCAGGTATATTTATTTCGGCCATCTTGCAGCTTTGGAGCTATGCATAAGAAACATCGTGATCAATGCGTTGCTCTGCATGACAAAGAAGTATATAAAGATAAACTTCTTAGTCTTACCAAATTCGTATCTGATATAATTCTCAGCTCAAGCTCGTCCATGCCTTCGATACGGATACCGCTTTTGGTCCGTCGATCCAAATTACGAGAGTACACAACTTCCCCTCCCCCTCGTTTATATGGCATGACCAGCAATACAGACTCAGACACCAGCTCAAGTGAAGCCTACGCATGACAAATCTGCACACACCAGAGTGTGGTGCTGTTTGTGGTTCCAAAATTTGTCATGCAAACTGTGACTACAGGCCAGATTTGGATTTGATTTTTTTGCATGACAAATGAGGGGGAGTTGTGCACTCTCATACAAATCTCCCGCGCTACCCGCTGGTACCGCGCGAAGCGGCTGGGATTAGTGCCGCCCATCGATATTTTTCCGGTGTTGGATCGTCACCCATTGGTCTGGGACACCGTGCGGGGGGCGCAGTGCTGAAAATCATGCTGATCTGTCATCTTCGCTGCGTTCGTGCTTGTAGTTGAAGTATTAGAATCTTCACATTCATCATATACGATAGTACGTTGTTGTCTCCAAGGCCTCATCTACTTCGCACTCCTTCGATGACATCGCATCGTGTATTATAGCGCTAAAACAAAAACAAACAGCTACGGCACCACAGTGGCGTGAATTTCGTCTTATGAGACCTTTTTGAGAATAAAGCTAAAGTTGTTTTACTAGTTGTACTGTTTTCTTCATCCGCCTGTATCTAAAGCACGAGGATGAAGAGCGCGGCTTTTTTCCGGGAATAATGTATTTAGAAGCACAGTGGTTGATTTACTTTCACCAACGGAGAATCATTCTAACTTTTTTATCACACAACTGTCCTGATGAAGAACACTAACAACATTGTATACCTTTTTTGGAAAATGACCTAAGCCATGATCTCAACATACTTTCATAAACCATAAAACCGCTCAACTTTTTTACAAAAATTTCACATCGCTTTTTTCAACTGTAATCACATTTCTCACCTACAAACTCTGTGTCACATCAAATTTGAACTCGATGCAGCTCGTATGTATCGAGTTTGAAATGACGCACGCTTCTATGTCATAGGAAATTCTTACTTCAGTTTTTTATTATATGTTTTTTACTAAAATCCAACGAACATCACCACAGCAGGGCGCCCTAGTAGTTTTATCCGCTCGAAACTTGTGAATCTGTCCTTGACTTCCGCCCAACTAAACGAAAGATGAATACAGCGAACAGTAGTAGAGTTGTCACCTGCTCCGAGCGGGAGCGGCTGAGAACAAAGTCTAGTATCTCGTCTGACATAACGGCCATGCCTCCTCTGACGATGAGCAAAGTGGTTTTAAGCGAAGCCACCTTCAGCACCATGAAATCCCTGGCAGGTACAAGGAGCATGGAAGCAAGATGACGTGGTCGTAGCTTTCGAGTTACAGATCTTGACCTCCGCCGGCGCAGCTCAACACGAAACTTTTTTCCGACTTCTACATGATTTCTCTGAGAACTTCTCAACTTGTACACCTTTTTGTCTAATTTTTTTGGAAAAAGAAAAATCATAATACCTCAAAACTGCTCGTCACGTCGCAGCTTTGCAGCTGCCCGGCGGCATTTGTCGCGGCCTTTTCGAAACTGGATTGGGTCGTCATTCGTAGTACTTCGAAGTCGACAACCTCTGTCCTCGTTTTCGTTTCAGCAGTGAGTGGTACTACTAACCTCTCGCCTTTGATGTTCCTCTTATGCTCGTGTTTGCATCAAAGATGAGGATTTTTGATCTACCGCAGTGTTTGTGTTGTACGTCCTGCTTGAGTGAATGAAACTTTTCCGTTGAACAAGGGTCAGTGCCGTGTCTTCTGTCCCCTTGCCAGAGCGAGAGTTGATTGTGTTTTTGTTTTTGACATGGTTGTTTGTCGAGTCGCTTTGGATTATTTGGAAGAAAATCGCGGACACTGGAGGCACGTTTTGCACGACACGCGAGAAAACAGAACCATCAAAATTGCACCGTTTATCATTATTTCATCTCTCGTTTTTAATAAGTGTGCCGCAGCACAGTCGCGCATCAAGGATAGCTCGCGTGATTGTGCTTTCGTTGAGCTCTACTCAACATTCTGGATTGTGCGAAAATCGTTTCGAAAGGACTATGCCCTCTGTTAGCAAGAAGAAGAAGAAAGAGCAAGAGTTTTTTCTTCCGTAAGAAGGTTTTTAAACACGAGCAAAAATAAACAGCACAACAAAACTCACCGAACAACATCAAAAGAACCATGCTAGGCCCCGGCGGTCCGCAGGGAAGCGGCGCTGGCCATGCGGCGTCGTCCTCCACCCTGCATAAAAACCACTACGCGCCGCCGCAGCGCAACCAGAGCTCGAGCTCGACCCATTTCGGGCTTTCGCCGCAGCCGTTGAAGCTTAATCAAGCAGCCCACCAAGGCCCGTTGCTCTCGTCGAGGCGGAGCAACCGCCACACGGCGCACGGGGGCATGCTGTCCTTTCACCAAAACGTCGCGACGTTAAACAACCCATCAAGTAGCAGTTCTGCGCTCGGAGTCGCGACGAATTTGCAGAACTCGAACATAATACAACCCCAGACGAACATCGTGAATGGTGGAAGCGTCGTGGTGCAACCAGGCGGAGGTGCAGGCGCAGGTTCCTCCGTGGTTTCCTCCAGCGTGACGACGGCTCTGTCGCAGAACCAACACCATCTCACCCGCTCGCCAGATCTCCGCGCCACCCACCATGGCGCGTCGAGCAGTAGTTCGAGCTCTACTAGCAGGACGAATCTGAATCAACAGCCCCCGCCTGGGCAATCTCCGATGGTGCACACGGCCGGTGGTGGAGCAGCAGCTTCGACGGTTGGGCAGCAGTCCACAACAGGCGCCGGAGGTTTCATGATGGGTGGTGCTTTGCAGCACAAGCAGGATATCAAGTGTAAAAATACTTGTGATGCTGGGTCGCGTCTCATGATGAGGCCACATATGCTGGCGGAGCATGACAAGTTGCTGAGCTGTTCTAGGTGTTTTGCCTATTCTGCATGACAGACTGCGTTTCTGCATCACAGAAAAATGGAGCTCTTGGGTAACGTGCATGACAGATTTAAGAGTCATGCCAGACAAGCATGACAAGCGACATGTTTGCACTTGATACAGGAACTGATCCGGCAACTGCAGCAGAGCGAGCAGCAAAATCAGGACTATCCTGTGCAAAAGTATCGTACTCGTAGTAATTGCGGTTATGCATTACAAATGTTTTTCCTAAGGTCAATCAGCATTACAAATTCCATTTCTCATGCTGAGGAAATTCGTAATGCAATTCATACTAGTAAGATGCTTTTGCAGTTCATAAGGAACTGCTGAAAACAATAGAAGAAATGAAGGAGCAGAGAAGGCAAAGCGAACAGAAAAACAACGAGATAACAAGGTACTATGTATACATAGTGCGTAAAAATGTTTGGTATCGGTGTTGTGCATCTGTGCATTACAGCAGTAGACGCACATCATTTAGTACATCTACATGCGGACCGTGCAACATGACACACGAAACGATCTCATAAATGAAATTGAAAAAATTATCCAACACTCATCACAGCATTCTCCAGGGCCTAGAGCAGCAATTCTCACAAGTGATGGGCGATCGCGACAAAGTATCACAGGAAAAAGTGTTAACGTTAACGGCATTTGTAATGCAGCAATGCATCACAAAACGTGCCTAAATTTGTCATGCTTAGCATGCATATTGGGCTACATTTGTGATGCATGACTGCAATCTGTGAAAACCGTTCACGTTAACACTTTTTCTTGTGATACAAAGCGCAGCAGCTGCAGCAGAAGGCCGAGAAAGAACTCCGGGAGAAAAAGTCCGCTGACTCCAGCAGCGTGACAAAACTCGAGCAGGAGCTGCAGAAGTACCGTGATGAGAAGCGGGATCGGATGCTATGCATCGCAAAAGTATCGTACTAGTATAAACCAGCCATGCTCCGGCTGCCGCCGGAGCGCAAGGCTGTTGGGCCCGGGCAGGACAGTTTGCCGATCGGACCACAACGCCACGGGCCTGGGCACAACGAAACATAGCGGAGTCCTGCGCAACGAAACATAATGGAGTTTGCGCCGCGCCAACCCGCAGGACCACTTGCGCGCCTCCCGCGCCTGTGGGCGCTCTGCGCAGGGAGCAGCTGCAAAAAACACCGGGGGCGAACAGAAGCCACCCGGCGGGAGAGGGTGGCGCAAGAGGGTGGCGCGAGAGGGTTGCGCGAGAGGGTGGCGCGAGAGGGTGCGCGAGAGGGTTGCGCGAGAGGGTGGCGCAAGAGGGTGCGCGAGAGGGTGGCGCGGAAAGGAGCCGAGCAAAAAAAGTCCGCGAATGGCCTGCAGTGCCAAATATGGGTAGTTCCTTCCATGCGGATTTGCGCCCGCTTCTTTGTGGTTTACCCTCTCGCAGACCCCTCGCAGACCCTCTTTTTGACCTCTTTTGGGGGTCCCCGCTAATAGTCCGGCTATACTCGCGGGTAGAGGTCGACAGAGGTGGCCGGGAGGTGGCCAAGAGGGTCCGCGAGAGGTCGCCCCTTAGTCGCGCCACCTCTCTCCACCTCTGTCGACCTCTCGCGCCCCCTCTTTTTGACCTCTCTGCGCCCTCTGTGCCACTTAGGCGGCGCCTAAGGGTGGGCGCTTACTGCGGGCCTTATTCGCGCACCCTCTCGCGGACCCTCTCGAACGGGGTCCTGCGCCACCTCTCCACCTCTGTCGACCTCTTTTTTACCTCTCGGCCACCTCTCTGGGACCCTCTGTCTACCTCTTTTTTCGCATTAATATAATGTATAGCAATCGCAATACAAATTTTTCCAGAAGGAAGAATGGAATTTGTAATGCTGATTTCGCTAAAAAACAAGATTTGTCATGCATGATTGTAATTAGTACGAATACGATACTTGTTTTGCACAGGATACATGCGGATACATGACGACAAGCAGAAGGAACTGAAAAAGTACATCCACGTCGTGGAAGAGAATCTGAAAAAGCACCAAGATTCCCTGCTTATCTCGTGCAACTATGTCTGGGTCTGGAAAGTTGGAACTTGTAGTGCTGGCCTTGCATTCCGGTGAAATCTGTATTGCGTGACCAACAAAAGCGGCAGCGGCAGCCTCTCGCGCCATACAAAAACGCAGTTTCTCATGCGGAGTTCGTATGATAAAGCGTTGTGCAGACTTGTCATGCTTTCCTGCATGAAGAAGTGTTTTCATCATGCACATTTTAGCATCACAAATTTCCACACCCAGACATATTTGCACTTGATACTGCTCTTACTGGAGCAAAAAAACTCGGAGCTGACGGATGAGCTGCACGATTGCCGGGAGCAGTTGCACGAGGAAAGGAATTATCAAATGCAAAAATGTCTGGGTCTGGAAGAGTCTGTCATGCAGTTTCTGCATGACACAGAAGGTCTGGCATGGAAGCTCTAGCATCAGAGGTCTCGAGAAGCTTCCGCAATGCCGAATCCGCATGACAAATCCCCCATTTTGGTGACAGAAAGTTGGCAGCTTTTGCTACCTATGCATGAGAGATTTTTCAGTGTTCTGAAATGCGCATCACAAGGATAATTCTCTCAGACCCAGACACTTTTGCATTTGATAGGATTTTCAACAGCGGCAACGTGGAGAACAACGAGCATGTGCAAAGGCTCGCAACGGACCTGGAAGTCGCGCTGGAAAGGATAAGTAATTTTTCTTTTTCATGTGTTCGGAATAAGTAGCAGTAGGTGGTAATGGTATAGATGAAGCTACACGCATGACAGAATCGTCTTGTCCTCTCTCCTTCGCATCAGAAATTCAACTCACTTTTATATTCTTCAAACCCTCACTTCTTACCAGATACCCTCCAGCAGAAGCTCGATGCACATGAGCAGAAGTTTGGATCTGGGTGCAGCTCCCACGAGCAAAGTGGTGGAGCTCCCAGTGGCTGCGCCAGTCAGCGTATCCTGTGCAAAAGTTGTATCGCACTCGTAGTAATTGCATTTATGCACTACAAATCTCTTTCTTAAGGCAAATCAGCATTACAAATTTCATTTGTAAAAATGCAGAGAAAATTTGTCATGCCATTTCTACTAGTACGATGCTTTTGCAATTCATACAACAGCAGGACAGCTCGGTCACCGCGATGGAATACTGGAAGCTCCGGGATAAGGTCCGGGAGGAAGAAGCCGCATCGCAGGCACGATCCGAGCAGAAGGAGCGGAATGCAAGGGAGATGCGAATTATGCAATACAAATTTATTCCTGTATAACACGTTGGACAAAATGCATCACAAATTTTACCCCCTTAGCGCAACATCATGCGTATGCCATTTATCATGCTGAATAGGATGGAAATAAGAAATGGCTTTGTCATGCAGAATAAACCGCATTTGATCTTGATGATGTACAACGTGTGCGGGCCGCTGAAGTTTCTTATGCATACGCTTGCAAGCGGAGAAGGAAAAAAGAGAGGCAGAGAAGGTGGTCCGAGAGTCGAACAAAAGGATCAAAGACGCTGAGAGGAAGGCGGAAGACGCAGTATTTTTGTGATTTTTTCATTTGATGTAGTTTATGCATGACAACATCAGTCGTCGTGGGCGTTGTATCATGTTTATGCAACACAAATTCTACCACAGACCCGCTTTCTCGAGTCCCGCGAGCGCCGGATTGAGGAGCTGACGGACCGGCTGCACGAAGTGGAGGAAGATTTCACGAAGTGCAAAGGCCGGGTCGAAGAACTAGAAGATTTACTCGACCATATCCTATGGTAAAACGTCCCCACACCATGGTCAAGATGGAAAATCTGCAACAGAAATCTCCATATTTTTGGGAGTTCTGCATGACAAGTTTACATCTGCAGTGTAGTCCTGGCTAACAAGGAAAGCCGCATGAGAGTGCCATTGTCGCATCCTGTTTACAACAGCATGACAAATGCCAAAACACGACTGAAAATGCCTCTCATGGAGATGCGCATTACAAATGTTCCTGTCATTGCGCATCTGCATGACAGCTCTTGGGTGGGGACGTTTTTACGCTGTATAAACCAAAACGAGCAGGAGCACTCTCGGGAGGTCAGCCGCATGTCTGAATCGGCCAGTGCGCAGCTGAAACAGATTGACGCGTATTTTTTATAGATGCTGCTCATGCTTTACTTGAAGCTAGAGGAAGATGCTGCCATGCAGAACTGGCATGAATGGTGAAACAACAATATGAATATAGGAAATAGCTACTGACGCAGAACGCGCATGACAACCAGAACCTGTAAATCCGAATCGCGCATGTTGACAAAAAACTCACATTCTGTATCCCAGCCTCGAAATGGAGCTCGACTCAGTGCAGCAAGAGTGGGAAGAGAAGTACACGAAAGAGCGGAAGTACGCAAGAAAAAAGTGTGTAAGTCGTGTAAGTCTGTGATGCAGAAAATGGAAATGCAAAAGACTATACGCTTGTCATGCAGCCAGAAGCTACCCATGAAGTTGATGTCCTCTTCTCATGATGTGCGTTTTCCTTCTCACGTACTATCTCTGCATGACAAGCTTCCTCTGTCATGAGGAGCAAGTTTGTCATGCTGTCACTTCAGCTGACCCACACAGCACTCACACAGTTTTTTCCTGGATAGGAGCGCTTTAGAAGAGGACAAGTCTAACCTCTCCAAGGATCTCGCGAACGTGCAACACGAGAAATCCAACCTGATGCTGAAAATCCAGGACGAAAGGAAACAATTTGACAAGGACCGGGAGCAAATTGCGAAGGAAGCGGACAGCAACTATGAGAATATCCTGCGCAAAAGTATCGTGCCCGTAGTAATCGCAGTCAATCATGCATTGCAAATCTCCGTTCCAAAGTAAGACTGCATGAGAAATTTCATTTGTCACGCTGACCGAATTTGTGATGCGATTTCTACTAGTACACCTACTTTTGCAAAGCATAGACAAGCTCAAGCAGCAACTGGACAAGGAAAAGCAGAAGCTCCTGGAAAAAGAGAAAAAATACGAGCAGGAACTGAAACAAGTAGAGAAGGACTTCGGAGAAAAATTGGACAAGCAGGTGGAGGAAGAGAGGAAAACCTCGAAGAAGCTGCTGCGGGAAAAAGACGAGAAGCACTTCGAAGTCCAAAAGGACATGGAACAAAAGCTCGTTGAATTCGAAAGCACGTTGCGCGAAAAGGAAGAGGCCTTCAGAGAGGAAGTGGAGAAACAGGTATTTATACCTGAAATTCTGATGTCATGCGAAGCTAGGTGTTTCACATCTTTGTGATTTTTCCTATCTCCTAAGCGTTTCATGTTTGGCACGGTGCAACTGCTAGTGAACAGTGACAGTTACCGAACAAACGCTTCAATAAATATCAGAACGCCACCCACACCAAGACGCTGCAATCACACGAGGAGGACCTTAAAGAATATCGTGGGAAAAAACTGTAGTTTCACTGTGATGTTGATTTTGCAAAAATTGCCTTGCGCGCATTTCCCATGAAGGAAAACACGCTTCAGAATCCAATGTTTTTCAAGAGGTGTAGCAAGATAAATAGTTGTTCTGTCCTCCGTATTGTCCTATGCCTCACAAGTTCACAGTGAAACAGTTTTTTCTTGCGATAAAGAGGCCCAACAGAAGATTGTCGACCTGGAAAAACTATGCATTGCAAATGTATCGTGATCGTCCTGGTAGTAGGTACTGAAATAAAGGCAAGACTGCATGACAGGTCTCGCTTTTTCATAAGTGAAACAGCATTTTTTTACGTGTGAACAAATTTGCGAAGATGCAATTTCTACTTTGTGCGGTACTTTTGCCATGCATAGAAACTCGAGAAACAGCTCAGCTACGATATGGAGAAAGAGAAAAAACGGCTAGAAAAGGAGCTCGACATCGCAATGAAGAAAGTGGAAGAGGTATGATCCTGAGAAAAAACGTCCCCCCTCCACCCCAGAGCTGTCATGCTGAAGTGCAATTACAGAAACGCCTGTAATGCGCATCGACCTGAGAGGCATTTCCAGTTTTGTTTTGGCATTTGTGATGCTGTAAACAGGATTAGTGGAAGCAAGGTGGTTTTATTTTTGATGCGGGTGCCCTTGCTGACCTGCATTACGATACAGCGACGGACTTGTCATGCGTGACTCCCCAAGCTTCTGGATTTGTGTTGCAACCTTCACACCTTGACCGTGGGGTTCTGGGGGCGTTTTCACACTGGATAAGCGGAATGCGGTGAGAAGAGGGAGCAGGAGAGAAAGTTATCCTGTGCAAAAGTATCGTATTCGTATAAATGCAAGTCTGCATAATTACAAATCTCTGTCTTATGGCAAATCTGCATTACAAATTTTATTTCTCATGCTGAGGAAATTTGTATATGCATTTATACGAGTGCCATACGCATACTTTTGCAATGCATAAAAGCTAGCCAGCGAGAAATTGGACAAAGCGAAAGAGGAGCTCGCTGCCGCGCAGAAAGAATGGGAAAAGGAGAAACAGGAGCTGATGGTAATGTTTGATGGTGTTGGATTCTTGCATAATATTGGGTCGCAGCGCTACCAATCATATACAATTTCTCTGATTGAAAATGATCATAAGCTAGGCATGTCTTTCTTTGAGTTTGCAATGCATATGTTTCTGCTTGAGTGCCATTAAGTTTGTGATGCAACTTGGGAATTACACCCTCTCCACAGCAAGAGATCGAGGTGCTGGAGCTGAACCAAGACGGCTGCCTGAAAGCGGAATACGAGCCAGACACTACCCTCGCGTGGACCCCAGAGCAGGCCCTGAAATGGCAGCCGGAGCGGGAATTGGCGCTGTGTCGGGAAAACGCGAAGCTGATCGGGGAAATCCGCATGTTCGAGCGAAAATTCGGGTTTCAGTACAGCGTCAAGTAGGAACACTTGTGTTCATCTTGCATTAAGTGCTGGTCGTGCAGCAACGAACTGATGCAGCAAGCTTGAGTAATTACGAATACTTCTACTTACTTTTTACAAGAACCTAATACAAGAGGAAGAGCAACCATGTTATTTACGTTTAGCAACTACAGTTTTACTTAGCATCATTTTAGCAAACGGAAATCCACAACTAGAGTCGGAATGTCATATCTCGAAAAAATTGAAAAAGATCTTTAGAAGCTGGCTCGCCCCTCGCGAGGGCGACGTTAGCTGAAGATACGTGACCATAAACATCACAGCCAACGTATTCAGAAAAGCCGTAATAGTACAATTACAACTTCTATGAATATGAAGTAGCCGTTACAACAGTTTTGTGATATACAGTTTTGTTGACCGCTCCACTATGAAAATTATAAAAGTCTTCACTACCCATCAGACACATCACTTAGAGCCCTACGTCTTAATACCGCATTGAAATGAAGTTAGAGAAGTGTTAGATACAGTTACCTTAGGATACCGCTCGGAATATTACGAATAGAAAATTTAGACGTACTACAAAATTTCTTTACCATTCGCCTCAACTGTTTTGAAACAAATGAAACCTCAATGAACCTGCTGCCAAATAGACGACTTCTACTACACAAAACTCTACCGTGGCTCTGTCCGCAACCTATGATCTTCATGATGGAGGCCTTCACACAAGAATAGAATAACTAGCACAAGACAGCCTATTAGTCAGATAGGACGAAGACCACGAGGAGCGCCACCTTGTCGCGTCGACGTCCACGATGACATAATCAATTTTTTCGGAATATGATTTTTTCGAAAGTAGAAGGTGAAGGAAACAAGAAAAAACATCAACAAAAGTACCGATAGCATAGCAACCAAGAATAATTTTTTTCCACTTCAGTTCTCGCTATCTGTGTCCATCGCTTGGCATTCGCCCAATGCCGCTAAAATTTGTGATGCGACCCGGGTACAGAGCTGAAGATGGTGAAAATTCTCATTGATAAATCTTCGATATAGGTAGTTTTATTATAGCAAATTGGTAGAAGTGTAAATAATTTAGGCAAGGTTGATGTAGTGAGTCAGAAGAGGCAGGAGCGCCTGGAAGTTGACTACGGCGAAGTAGAAGCATCAAAGTCTGCATAGCGTGATCTCCCGAACAAGAGGCGGGGAGGTTTCATGGGCAGGAGATCTTATTTGTTTGTTTAGATTTGTTGAAGACCCCTTTACAATATCTTGTCGAAGTTACACTTTCAAAAGTTTTTTACCTTGTGTCAACTACACTCTGTCTCTTTCGGAGGGTAGAGATAGGCAAGTTGTGAAGTGAAAAAGACCACACCCCTAGCAGTAGCACGAGAACCACTAGAAGAAGCGGGAGACGAGCTACAGCCACTTCGAAAATAAAGTGCTAGAAGGTGTACTGGCCTGCTCTCATCGTCACCTCCCCAAAGAAATGCAGGACCACTTCAGGGGCGCGCATGGAGGAGCGGTCGGTGATGAGGAAATAAAAAGACGTCGACAACTCTAGACAAACAGCGAGGACGCTGCTGCTGCTACTACTGGGGCCGAGTTCTTGTTGCAACAGCTCTACTAGAAGCTTGTAGCCAGCCATCAACATCATTGTCGACGGGGAGGTCAGGAGGATTATAGATCTACAAAATGAATGTGTACAAAAGTTTAGGATCGCATCAGGCGACACAGTGGAAGACGAACAGAACAAGGAGCGCGTGGTCGGCCCGCCGCTGCTGATGTACTAGTAAGTACCCATGGAGGTGTTCACACTTTATCACCACGTCGTCCTTACTGATAGATACAACTGTTGACCAGCTGGAGTGGGGTTTTTCAGGTTTGAGCGCTCTTGTATATTACTGCGTCAGGAAGCTCAAGCGGTGCAGCTGGTGCTCACTGTAATATCAACAGCACGTGCACGTTCTCTTATTTCCCCAGAAGCTTGGAGGCAGGAGTGTGGTGGTCCCAGGTGAAAAATAGAGAGACAGGAGAGCGACGAGGACGAAACTGTGGTAAAAATCACGACGACCCAGTAGTCCTAGCGCTAGCACTTCTAGCTTCACTGATGAAAATTGAAGTCTCTGAAATTTCGAGAGAGCTGCACTCGCAGGATGCAGCTGTTATTAGCAGCTGGTAGATAAAGTAAGATGTGAGTGCTTCGCTTGCGGTGGAGGTGGTCTCTGGTCCTCGACGTGCAGCCCCTGTTATTTTGATTACAACCAGCACGCCGCGTGGACAAGTTTCCGCGTGCTCACCTGAGTGCATCAACATCTTCTTCCCCACGACCTTTTCCGACCATGGCGCCGATCGATTTGCGCACCGGCGCCTCTGCCGGTGGTCCAGATCCAATGGCTATCAAATGTAAAAATGTCTGGGTCTGGAAGAATGCACGATTTGTCATGCTGCTTTTCCATGACCCATGAGGTCTGGAATGCCGGAGCTAGCATGACAGATTCTGCGAGAACTGTCTAATGCCTATCCTGCATGAGAAACTACCTCCCGACTTGGTCAAAATTGGGCGACTTTTGGTAATCATGCAACACAGATTTTTGCATGCTGCAGATTTAGCATGACAAGTTGCAATCTTCCAGACCCAGACATTTTTACAGTTGATAATGGCAAACACGGTGTTGCCACCCAATGCTGCGAAAACACAGTCCCAGCAGCAGCAACTGGGGCCAGCAGCAGGAGCGAATGCGAATGCTCCGCCAAAATCCCAACCCACCGCAGTTACGGTCAATATGAACCAGAAGCAACCGACGCCGACCGCGGCACAGAAGAAGCAACCCAGGTGGTTTCACGCCGCGAACAACTACTTGAGTGCACGGCACATGGCCATGCGGAAATTCTCTCTGCTGATGGAGAGAGTCAGGGAGAAAAAGTGGACCAATGACAGGGTGCTGGAGGTAGGCATTTGTGTAGTTTGCTGGTAGTTTAGTTGGTAAAGGGTTGGTTTCTCATGCAGAGTGCAGATAGGTATAGGTTTACCTAGGATTAGGTCATGTCTTGTCTCATCTCGTCGCTGTTTGCAAGGCGTATATTGATTGTATTAAACAAAGATGGATGCAAATAATTGAAACTCCATCCAGTTCGACGACCCCGAACAGACAACGCAGTCTTCGAGCCAACGCGTCACCATTTTCGATTTCCCGCCGAGCAACGACGTTTCCTACTACTGCATCAACAGAAACGACCCGGATTCGCAAGTTCCGGACGCGGCCGAGCCGGTCGAGAAGTGGCGCAGAATAAGCGAAATCCACGTGAAGGGTAGGCTATTCCCCATAAACGGAAAAACGCACTACGGCCGGGTCTACCAGGGCGGGCTGCAGAATTTCTACTTAACCTGCGCGTTGCAAGCGTTGTCTTTGCGGCCGAAGTATCCTGTGCAAAAGCATCCTACTCGTACTAAGTCGCAGTCCTGCAAGACAAATTTCATTTTCTAGCTGAATCAGCATGACAAATTCTCTTTGTCATGCTGAGGTAATTTGTGTTGCAATACTACGAGTATGTACGATACTTTTGCAGTTCATACGAAGCTGTTACACGACGTTTTCGCGTACAGCAGCGTGGAACGGGGGATTTACGTGTTGACGTTCTACAAAAACGGGCAGTATTGCACCAGTGAAGTGGACGACCTGATGCCGGTGGACGCGGCAGGTGACGATGATTTAACGCCGATGTTTTGCAGAGCCAGAAGATAGATGCGGCTTTGATGTTCATCCTAGACTAACTTACGTGAGCATCGCTTCACATATTGAACGACAATCCCGATCGCGCAAATAAGACCATACTTACATTGCTCATCAGGTCTTCCCATCGCCGCCGTCTCCGAGGACTACCCCTACATCCTCTGGCCCACAATCGTCGAAAAAGCCTACGCAAAGCTTCACTGCATATCCACAGAAAAAGACTCGTCGGCCCCCCCATCCATTTTTGGTTTTGCATTACAGATACGGGCTGCGCTTCATGTTTTACATGACCAATATAGAAGACGGGGATGCTGGGTGTTTTTTTTTGATGGATTCTGCAATGGAAAACTCGACACAGTCGGCTGGGAAATTATCGGAGAGGGTGGTTGCATCGAGGAATGTCTCGTGGATTTGACCTATCCTGAGTAAAAACGTACCCACACCAGAGTCAGGATGGGGATTTTGCAACACAAACCTAGGAGTTTTGTGAGTCACGCATGACAAGTTGCGCTCTGCAGTGTAGTGCAGGTTAGCAAGTGCAGCCGCGTCACAGATTCATCTGCTCATCCTGTTCACAGCATCACAAATTCCAAAACACGATTGAAAATGGCTCTCATGCAGATGCGCATTACAAGTCTTCCTGTCTTTGCAAATCTGCATGACAACTCTGGTGTGGGTACGTTTTTACTCAGGATATGACCGGCGGAGTTGGCGGATTCTGGTACACGTGTGATGTCTCTGTCGACCGTATGAAAGTGCACAACTCCCCCTCCGCCTCGTTTGTGTTGCATGAACAGCAATACAAGGGTTAGCAACAATACATGTCTTGCATGACAAATTTGGACAGGAATGTAGTGCTATTTGGACCACTGCCAGGACTTGTGATGCAGACAGTGCCAAGTAGAGGCAAGGCGTAAATTAGGTATTTTGCATGACAAAGGAGGGGGAGGGGGAGTTGTGCTCTCTCACAGACCGCCTTTTCGTCTACCTGCACGAACTACAACGAGAAGCGATTTTCGTGGCGCAGATCAACCAGAAGGCCTGCGACACGCGGAATGTGAAGCTCAACCCGTTTTTCCCGTACGTAATCAACCGGGTGACGGAGTTCGAGGGGAACTGCTACGTCCAAATGTTTTGCGGGGCGCCGTACCTAGCCGACGGGGGCTTGTCGGATATCTCCGTGGTGTATCCACAGAAAAAAACCCATCCACATCCATTTTTTGCATGGCAAACACGTAACTTGATAAAACGTGTTTTGCATGACAAATTGGCTGTGGATTGGTTTTTTTCTGTGGATATGGTGCCCTGGAATTTGACCAACGACCCGAGATGGGGCCAGGCGGAGTCCACCAACGACGGTTTTTTTTGGATGTCGATTTTCGATTTTTCCACCTACTTCGAAATCATCCACGAGTGCAGGTTGGTGAACTCCGGAGACCGGGGCGCAATCCCGCACATGCCCAGTCCGAGGTTACCCATACCGGTTTACCCCTGCTACGTGTCGGAGCCGATGTTTGAATCGGTGCACGCTTGCGCATATGAAGATGTGCAAAAGTAATATCGACGTAGACGTAGTACTATGAGAAAATGGCACCGCAAATTAGCTCAGCACGACAAATGGTTTTTGCTGATTCCGCTTGGAAAGAACAAGACGATTTCATTTGTGATGCGTGACTGCGACTTTTACCACGAGCGCGATACAACTTTTGCACAGGACAGCGCGGATCTGATCACGATGGATTACAAGCCAGAATTTCTTCTCACCTACCATCCGCACTTTTACGGCGTTGCGGGAGGAGGTGGAACAGCGAATAACCAGTCTAGACAGGCGGAGCAGCAGATTCAGCAGCAATTAGGTAACGAGGTCTACATTTGCACCATGCAAACAGACGAACGGCTATCTCAGTCCGCCGCGGGAACACGGTTCCAGCACCTACCCATCTGCTTGAAAGTGTGGGAAAGGGTAGTAAACACTCCGCAAACCTTATCACAGGAAAAAAGTGATACAGTATACACATTTGTTGGAATTTCAGCATCACAAAGTTGCTCCGCATGGCAAAGAAAACTTGTAATGTGCAGACCATAGATAAAACAGAAAACACGAATGAAATGACGCTGGCATCAAGCATTTCCTGCATGACAGAAGTTGTCTGTCTTGCGGGTCTTGCATCACAGTGTGTAACGTACCTTGAGCACTTTTTTCTCACGATAAACCTTGTCCGCAGCCAACGTGCGGCAACAGCAGGAGAAACCGGAAGTCACATGGTCGCTGGTCACGAAGTCAAACTTTCAGGAAAACGCCCGGGATTCGACGGCTTGCTTCAAAATACCACCGCTACCGCCCGGCTCGTTAGCTTCGCAGTACTTGGTGACCTGCGAGTTTCACGACAAAATTCCGGAAAAGAACAAATTTCTGGCTGACGTGAAGGAAACACCATTGCCGGACGGAGTCGACTCGGATGACGTTGTCGTGAACAGGCTCATTTTCAGGTAAGTTTTTGGTATGTAGTTGTTGCAATACGTGATTTGTGATGCAGTTTACGTGGAACACACCTTCTACTTGTCAGGCAAAAAAGTTACAAACTACAAAACTACGACAAAACAGGTGCTATTCCACCAAACCCTTAACCGTGGCCCCCCGCGTGCAGGGGTCAACGAGAGCGAAAAACCTCTTCCTCACCGACCCGGGAGCGGATTACCCAAAGGCGATAAGGTGGACGCTCGTCGGGAGCCGAGACCCGAAGCAGATGTTGCGGCCCGATTTGCCCGACGATTGGGACGATCTCGAGGGGTGCGGGGTGGCGTTTGCCAGCAGGTTAAATCGACGGGATCTGGAAAACATGATCGGCAATTCTGGAGCGCCGGATGGAAATGGAAATTGCGCGATTATGTAGACGATGAAACTGGGCACCGATCCAGATCATGCCGTGTCCTGCATCAACATCCATCACTTCCAGCTTAAGTAGCCGCAAGGAATTTTGTATGGCGATGCGAGGCGACCGCGAGATCTTCAACTCGATCAAAGCTGAACCTGAGGTATTAATTCGATTTCATAATCAAACCTAAACCAAACTCTAACTATCACATTTCAACCAGATTTAGTTAATCATAAGCACTTTGACGAACTTTTTTCCAACCGAAACTCAAAGGCTAGCTAAATCCTTCGATATATCAATTACAATTTTCGCGAAGCAGGCTTGCAGCGCGGGCTGTTGCTACCACGAAGAGAAAGTAAAAAGAAAGAAAGAATCCAAAGTTTGATTTCGAATCCCACGCGGTGGCGGTCAAGTTTTGCTATGGAATTTCGAAGCCGCACGGTACCACGTACGGAGCGACGCGAAGATGTATGATAATTTGGCTTAATAGAAGTTGTCATACCTACTTCATCTTGTACTAGAAGATGTCCGTATCTCAAGCATTAAGAGCTTCAGCGAAGCTGTTCTTTTACTTTTCCATCAGCATGTCTTGTTCGGTTCTTGGTTGTAATATTTGCCGGCACCACATGCCGACCGCGTAAACGAAACGATGATCAATGGCGGCGGCGTAAAATTGATCACGCTAGTAGTTCTAGTTGTACCACAACCACAAGAACCTCCTCCTCCTCCGGAGAACGAACTCGTCGATCTACACTATTCACTGCAAGCGGCATAACAAGTGTCGTCGCCGATTTTTATTGCATCTACATCTTGTAGTTTCTACCGACTGCGTCGTCCGTAAAAAGTCTGCAAGAGTACTTAAGTAGTCTGTTGTTTACAACCGCCAGCAGCGACCTCTTCTTTCCTCAGATCATGATAGGTTGTCAATGAGACCTCCAAGAAATAGAAGAAGTTCTACATCAGGTAACCTCAGGATGTAGCTAGTTGTCCTAGCGCTAGCACTAGCAAAAGTAGTGGCCCTCGCGTTCTTTTTCAATATCGATTTTAAAGTTAAAGAGTACCTACGTAAGTACTTATTTCAGAACTTCAGCGACACTCCAAACAATTTCTACCATCATGACCGACGTCTTCGCCTACCTCAACAAACTGGTCGACGACACGACCGGCCTGACCTCCATCGCAGTGGCGGACCGGGATGGCGTCGCGGTGCTCCGGGCGCCACCAAAAACCGGAGGGGACCAACAAGCTTCGGATCTGCAGTCCGAGCAGATTCTCACCACGATTTTCTCCCTGACCACCGACCAAACGACCAAAGTGGACCTGCTGGGGCAGTGCAATTCAATCTGCTTAGTACACGACGACGCGGTGGTACTGCAGGGGAACTTCGGCCCGTTGGTAATCACGTTGAACGGCGAAGCAACCGCGGACGTGAACAAGTTGGGCGAGATTTTGGAAATATTGGAACAGGTTTTGATACCAACGAAAGATGTGGTGCAGAGGGAAATTGATGCGTGGTAAAGATGAAGAACTCAGGTCGGTGATAGAGAACAAGTACGGCAACATGTGAAGATATTACAGCAACAGCAGCGACAAGCGATCTTTTGGATTTGCGTACTATTAAACTGCTTCACGCAGAAGTTGAACTCGAAGTAGTAGAACACCAGAAACATTCACGTCGCAACTCCATCATCTACGTGGTCCTGAAAATTCGCACGACTCCATCGGCAAGCCGTTGTGGCTGTGTTTTGTACAACAACGGTTCTCGTTCTTGTTTTTTGCAGCAGAGGCTGGGTTTCCTTATCTCTTCAAGGCCTCGTCCTCGTCCACATGGCAAGATCAGATGATGGAGGGAGCCAATACTTGTCATGCCGCCACGGGGCGTTTCCGTTTTCTCGTCTTCCTTCTACGACTAAGACTAGATAAAGGAGGTGATTGGTTGTCATCAGTCCTCGTACACACAACTGCGGCTCCTCGTCGTCGTTCTGACGTTGACCGCTCCTTCGAGGTCCGCTCGGTAGAATACGAAGATCTGCGCACTCTTTACGCTTAAGACAAACACCACATTCGTTCCCCGGCCGAGCAAATGCAGTTCCTGAAGAAGATCCTGATCTGGTCCTATTGCTGACGAATACAAGTGAAGTGTATATACAAAAAAGAAAAATAGGATTATGTGTGGGATCAAATTCAAATTGATATTTTGAACGGTGCTGCGATCGGGATTGCTCCTGTGTTGTACTTGCATTATTTCCACTATGACTTCGAAAACACGAAGCCCTTCTCCAGATTGAACCATCATGCTTGGTGGTATGAAACCGCCAAAACTGAGCCGGATCCGCCACTCGTCTTTACATATCCTGAGTAAAAACGTCCCCACCCCAGAGTTGTAATGCAGATTTGCAAAGACAGAAAGACTTGTAATGCGCATCCCCATGAGAGCCATTTCCAGTCGTGTTTTGGAATTTGTGACGCTGTGAATAGGATGAGCAGACGAATCTGTGATGCGGCTATACTTGCTAACCTGCACTACACTGCGGAGTGCAACTTGTCACGCGTGACTCACAAAGCCCCTAAGTTTGTATCGCAAAATCCCCATCCTGACTCTGGTGTGGGGACGTTTTTCCTCAGGATATTACACCCTTTTGTTTCTTCCTGCCTGCTCGTGTCCATTGTTTTCGACATTGTTGAAAAATTACCTGCTCCCCCGCGGCTTCTTGTTGGCGATAGAGTATTAAATGTTGACCAAGAACGCGACTACGGAGGAAATGGAAGTGCCGTCAACAAAATTTTCGCAGCCGCCGAAGAGTTTCACACTTCATCCTCTTTCTACGATTGGCTGTACAGTGAGGATAACAAGGCTAGCGACGGCTTCGGAGCAGGTGCAGCGGGTCGCGGGGTTCAGGAGGACAAAGGTGATTTTTACCACGATGAAAACTACGAGAATTATCTTGGACCGTCTGGTCCTGTAGTTCAAGATGACGAGGAGCGCGTGGATGATCACGCCACGACCAGGGACACGACTGCACGTAGATCATATCGACCAGACCAAACCATCATACCACTTCTGTACCAAGGCGACAAACAAGGAGAAGAACAGGTGGGGGAAGCTGAAGCAACAGCTTCTCCGGAGTTGCAAGATGCAACGTTGAACACCAATCAGAACTACGAGGAGGTTGGTCAAAGCACAAACACGGACGACGAGATCATTCCAGATGCTCCTGACGTCGACTCCCATCGAGATTTGATCGACAGCAGTATTGGTGTGCGAAAACTACGGACTGCGTTGGATTCAGACGATGCAGGAGATGATCCTAATCGACTTCAAGAGCATGAGATAGCAAGTTTAGGGGACGAACAGCACGAAGATCATCTGGCAGCTGCACCGGACGAACCACGACGGCGCGGACATGATGACCACGAAGTTGTTCCGACCGCTGCAACAAGTGCAGCTTCTCTACTGCGCGACGATGTTGCACCAGAAGATATTACGGTGCCAGAACTGCAAGAACTTCCTGTGGTTCACATTTCCAAGCCCCGCAGTCTGGCGAGTCTGAACCTAGATTTAACCACGTACAGCACGCCGAAGACGAGGACGACGTCGCAGGAGCAGGCGGGTCTTCACGGAGATCCTCGCTCTCGCAAGCAAACAGAAAAGCCAGGCAGAAGTCGAAGTCCTTCAGAAGATATTGAAGCACAAGAAAGTGTAAACGCAGGCAGCACGACGGCGCCGAACACGGTGGTCTTGCCGACGTCCGCGGCCGCAACTGCGGTCAGCACGGGAGGTGCCACCGCAGCCGGAGTTCTGCCCCTAGGTGTTGCCGCTGGCGGCGCAATGGCGGGACCTGCTTCAACTACTTCACACCAGAAGATCCACTACGTGCAAAAGCAAGCTGGTGTAGCTGGTGGGTACCAGCAGGTGCATCTTCAAAGTCCGCAAAGCCAAAGTGGGGTGATACGCGTCGTGCATCACAGACCGAGCAGCGGTGCTGCTCACGACCCGGCGGGCTACACCATTGTAAAGCAGCAACACGGAGGACCAGGCGCCGGAGGCTCTTTCTCTCAATCACCTGTATACCACCAGCAGGTCCTCGTGGCACAAGAACAGCAGAAGCAAGATCCCTCGCACCACCAAACCCAAACAGTGTATGGAGGCGCCCCTGTTGCGCAGCCAGCATACGGTCGTGCTGCTGGTATAGCAGCACCCACCGCACAGCGACAGTCAGCACCACACACGAAGACAACAACTTCACCCCCTCGACCGCCGGACATTGTGGCTTTGGGGGACAGCATCACCGAAGGTTTCAATATTGGCTTCGTGACCAGCCCGGACCTCTGGGTCAACAAGCTGGGCGAGAAGATACTGCTGGAACGGGGAAACAGCATGACAAATGATCTTGATCACGGCCCACCGGGGAAAGACAATGAAGAAATGAAAAAGAAGCACAGCTTGCAAATCCTCAACGCCGGGAACAGCGGTGCGATCGCCACCATCCTGACGGGCAACATGCCACTGAGTTTCATGCCCGGGCACGCCAGGAAGGTGGTGCTCTCATCAAGATCTTCTACAGGAGTTTCTCCTGGGCGACCGAACAATTCCAATTATTTTCAAAGAGAACTCGCCGCGGACATGCAGCTGCAAGCGAAGACCCCGAACGAGAATCTTTTGGAGAATTACATTATTCCAGCGGTTTTGAGTCCAGTTGATGTGGCGACCAGCAGTGGTTCTGGGGCAACGCCTTCACAGAAAGTCGAACTAACCACCATCTTCTTCGGGACCAACGAGGTTGGCTATCACAGTGCACAACTCCCCGCCCTTCCCCTCATTTGTCATGCAAAAACCCAAACTCAGGTGCTACCTTGTGGCACCGTGTGCATGACAAATTCCGGAAATCCAAACAATACTACATTACTCGGCGGCGCATGAAGTTGTCATGCACAGGGTCCACCTGTACTGGTGTTTGTAATGCTGTTCATGCCCTACAAATGAGGGGGAGGGGGAGTTGTGCGCTGTCATATTGGCGGCTACCGGTTTAACAGTGTGGACGCGTATCGACAGCTCAGCTGGGGGGGGGACAGTCTAAACTGGAATGAAATGCAAATGTCAAAACTTGTGTTGCATAAAGAGTAAAAGCCGACGCCATGTCTGACCTCGTTTGGAGTTGTTCTCGTGTCAGAGATTTGCCATGCTAGACTTCAGATGGCTAGACGAAGGGACAAATCATTCCAGTTCACTTCGTCCAACCCACAGCTGCGCACTCCATAACGCGGTGAATCTGTTCGTGAACAACATGAGACAGGTTTTGGAAAAGGCGGTCAGCTTTTCGAAATTTGTCATCCTGATCTTCCCCCTAGTGGAACACCACGCAAGCCTGCGGGACGTTCCGGCGTTAAAGAGCCCGCCGTACTTTTACAAGATGTACAAGGAAGGCGTACTGGCGGAAATTTTGCGCCTGAACGAACAAGGTGCGGCAAATTCTAACTCACTCGAACAAGAACCTATCGGCGTAGTAGATTTGGATGACAAATCGACCTCGGAGTTTGCGACATCCGCCTCCGCAGAGAACTACACCAAGCCTGACAATGATCCTGCAAGAACATCCTCCACCTCCACGACCCCGAAATTTTTCACCTTAAAGGACCCGAGCGGGCAGTACGCTTTCGACCGGCTGCACCCCGATGCGGAGGGCCACGCGGTTATCGCGGACATGGTGTTTTTGGAGTATGAACGGTTGAAAATGAAAAACGATAATGAAGATCCAAATTACGGTGGTGGGGTGGCCGGTGGGGCCGCGATGGGTAGTTCCAGCGAAAACGATTTCGAGTTCGACGAGGAAGAGGTGCGGGAGTTGTGATGCTGCGATGTCGATATCTTCTTCTTCATCTTCTACACTCTTCGGTAGAATAAATTTTTCGGAAAAGAAGATAGAAATCCTGTATAGAAGTGTACTCCCCCATGAACAAATTTTGCGCCTATTCCTTTGTTCTATTGCTTTGCTACCGCTTTCGATTCTACTTAACAACTGACAATACAGAAGATACTCGATGAAGACATCACGTACACGTTCCTTTTCGCGTAATAAACTCGGACGATGTGTCGTGTCAAGATTTAGATTGTTGCGCTTAGTTTTCTGCGAAAGACATCAATCGAGAGCGTTGCCCATCATGACTTCACATCGTCCGGGATATGTTGAGGTGTTTGTCGAGAACGAAAATCCATTCTGATTTGAATCATCAAAAAAAAATTCTGCTCTGATTCTGTAGCATATCAATATCAATATCTCTCTTTCAGGTTTCCTTTTCCTATTTCTCCAGATATGATACAGAAATGGATTTCTGTGATGATCTTGATCATGTTTGGTTGTTTCTGTATCAATGTGTTATCTCATGGGATTGGGTTTTGTTTGGTGTCTAGACCATGGATAAATAATGTTGAATCTATCTCCGATAAGATCCATGATTTTTTTTTTTCCCGGGTCATTCTGTTCGATTATTTTCTCATTCTCGATTCTAAAAATGTAAATGCATAAATTGGATGGTGTTCATCAATCTGTAATCTGAATTGGGAGAAATCCAATTTTGAATCATATCATTCATATAAAATTTTTGGGAATGGAAATGATATTGATTTCATAATGGAAAAATTCCATGAAAATTTTATCAATCAATCTTTCTAATAAATCGGATCGATGACCCATCGAATTTATTTCATTATTCTCTTCAATGATATTGAAAATTATCATTTCAAAAATTGAAAAATATAAAAAAAAAAATTATTGATTTATGAAGATAGAGTCGATCTCTTGAAGAATTTGTAAAAAGAATTTCTGACTTTTTAGGAAAAAATATTGACTCAAAAAAAATTTGAAAGAATATGCGGAAAATTTTTTTCTGATATTTGTTGTATATCCTGTATACAATATCCAAATCCACCTCAAGAAAAAATTTCTGGAAATATCTATATATCGGAATTAATCCAGATCTCGATCTTCATATTATCTTAAAGAAATTCTGTTTGATTTTATCAATCCACTTTATTGAATTTTTGCAATTTATTGAAAAAAAAAACTCTGATGGAATATATCTCAACTCCGATTTCTCGGAAAATTTAAATTAATAAAAAACATTTCCCGAACTAGAAGAACAGACACAATGATAATAATCCTAATGAATCCCACACTCTAGAAGATCTCAAGATTTTCGATCCATCTCTCTTATGTATTAGAATCATCATCATCAAACATTATATCGACAGAGGGATGGAATCTATCATCATCGAAATGGAGATTAGATCATGATAAAAAAACGGAATCTTTATGCAACTCATCCAACAATCATGACAAAGAAATTGAAATTTTCCATCAAGCAAAATTGCGAATTGCATCAATATCATGTGCTTCTGGTTCTGTAGAATCTTCCGAATGAAAATCGATACGCTATACTTTTTGGCTTTGGAGAAAAAGCGCGAAAATATCTATCAATGCAGAAGATTTTGCTTTGTGTTATCACCCAATCTGATATCACCCCGGCATGGGAGTTTCTGCAGATTTTATTTTTGCAGTGTTGCCGTAAGAAATGCTTATCTATTTGGCGGAAAACAAAGGTGCAGGCTCTGGGCTTGTTTATATTTTTTCGTTGGTATGGTCCATTGTACTTAGTTCGTTTTCAGTAACAGTGTAGGTCTTACGCGACTTACTTATTTTCATTTTGATTATGATTGTCCGCGAAATTTCATTGGTTTCGTTCATTTCCTGATCTTACACAGTGAGACGCTGCTCATATCTAATTCAATTTCAGCGAGTCGCTGTAGTGCATTCAGTTGCAAGGCTTCACTTGCAAGAGTTCTGCTTGAAAAGTTGATGATGTTGACACGCAAGGGTTCATTTTATGGATAAATAAAAGCTCATTTTGTATTTTTTTCGCGTGGATGATTGACGTCGTTGCGACTGTAAGTTGGAGAAAAAAGCTCCTAGCTCTATGTCTTTCAACTCTTTGAGTTTCTTAATGTTTTATTTTTCGAAACGTAAGCGGTCACGTTGAGTTCTGCGTCGTCATCTTCTGCACGCTTTTCTCGTTTTATCTAGAATTTTCTGCCCTTGCTGGTTGTCCTCCGTCCCCACCTGCTGCGTTTATCTCTCCCTCTCCCGTCCCCGGAATTCTGCTATTCGTTTTTGTTCCCTGGTCCGCAGAAACGGATTCATGATCAACGCCGCGGCCGTAGTTCGCAGTACCATGCTCCTGATGCCAGTCCTCGCCCGTCGAGGATGCTGCTGCTGCGCCCTGATTTTCTACCGCGGCGGCAGCAAGAGCACCCTTGCTGCTAGAAGTTGCTTCTCCGGTCTCCATGGTGGTTGTTTCGTAGAAGTTCTTGTTTTCCTGCTGGTTCAGGTTCGTGTTCTTGTGCCCTCCTGCAACAGCAGCCTTGCCTTCGTCATTAATCTCTTCGAACAAGGCTGCCTCGTCGTCCAGCGCGTCCTTTTCATCGATATGAAACGCAAAGATCATGCCTCGGTCAGGAATAAACATTGTGATGCTGGCGTGGGGATGATTGCATTTTTTTCTACTGGAGCCAGGCATGACAGGTTTTGTTTCGAGCAACGCGAACGCTGTCTGTGTCGTAGCGTACGAAATCAGCATCACAAATTGCACCCTTGATCATGAATGTTAACAAAGGATGAAGGCGCGCCTTTGTTTGTAACGCAACACAGATTTTCCAACAGTGCAAAACAAGCATCACAACAAGCAGCTCAATATTTCCAGACCCGAATGATATGTTACATTTGATATGATTTTGATGGTGTGGAAGACGACGAGGTCTTTGACGCGGCCTGTTTGTCCGCATGGTTCATCAGGTCCGCGGTTTCTTGTTGTCCGTACTCCTATCAAATGCAAATCAGTCTGGGTCTGAAAACCTGAAACGTTTTTCTCTCTCTATTCTGCAGAACAAGTAGAAGGCTTCTGCATGACAGAAAAACGACTATGAGGCCTTTGTTTAACTTATTTGAGAAATGCGCATGACAAAGTTTTGAGTCATGCTAGTAGCCGAGAATGACAAAACCTGCGCTCGTCCTCTTTCAGACCCCGACGCATTTGCAATTCATAAGTCCTGCGGCTTCATCGCAGATTGTTTTTGCTGTTGCATTGACGACCCGGACTCCTGCAGCAATTGTTCTCCCCCAACAAAATCAGCTTTATGCTGCCCCTGCTCCTGGACCACGTCACGCAGCCCGTTTTTCTTATCATCACTCCCCGCGCTGCTGTTGTCGGCAGAAGCAGTTTCCACATTTTCGTCAGCGTCGGGGACAAAGTTCTCCTGCTCCGGAAAGTTCTCGTTTGCGCCGGCTGTGTTGATATGCACGGCACAAGTACTACGTATCGCGCACGTGCTGGACATCAGTCAAATTCCTGCATCACAGATGTTGATTTGCAGCCCCCCGCCTTCAATCACTTTGCATTCATCAAACCAAAGAAGGCAAAGAAGTAGACGTTTTGTTATGCTGGGTTGAAATCAAGATGGCAATGGCCAGCAGGTATAATTATGCGACGCATACTTGTTTATGTTTTACAGGGCATAGTTGATAATTTCCTCGTGAGGAGCTCCTGCCGGGACTGGGACCGATCCGTACGCGGTTGCTGTTGTGCCAATGACTGCTGGCGTGGTGCGCAGGTGGCGGTCAGTACCCTCCGCACCGGTTGCAGGTTTTGAAGATGAAATAGTCCCGGCGCTTGAGAAGGTGCTACTACTGGGGCCCGCTGCCGAGGTTGCTGCGCTTAGCTGTACACTGGCGCTTGAGAGTGCGTTAGAGAGCCAGTGGGCAGCCAGCACTGGGCCCGCATCGCGGCAGTAGCGGTAGGGTAGCAGGAGCTTGGTGGCCAAGCTCTTCGGATCAAAGCTATGTCCAAAGAGGTGGTTCAGAGCAGAGCCATGCCACGATTCGATGGCGTGCTTCGTAGCGAGGTACGTGCGCGTGTCAAACAGCCACAAATTGTTCTGTTTTCCGGCGCCACTGCAAGACGGCAGAAGCGACTTGCCGCAGTCGTTGTCCGAGACGAAGTTGTACAGGAAGAAGGCTAAACTTTGGCAGTTGTTAACCAAAACTCGTGGGGGGAACCATTGCGCTGCAAGTAAATAGTTGGTGCTCGTCCTGAAGGGACCGAAATACGCCGCCACCAGCATTGACATTGCTTCCTCGACGCCAAAGCCGAACACGACCGAGTTCGCGATGTCATACGGCGCGTGCTTGCCCAGCATGATTTGCCCCCGCGGGTCGAACAGGTAGGGCGGGGAGCTGTACCGGTAATACTGTTCGCGCTTTTTGAGCGCATGGGCGAACTTATTACCTTCGAGGAACTCACTCGCAACCATCGTGGAAAACTCGTCGCTCGCTACTAATTCTTCGACAAACTCCCAATAATGGGCGTCAGAGAAAACTTTTCCGCACACCTCCGGAATGAGGTCTTCGTACAACTTGGCCGGGCGTGCCAGGTATGGCGCGGCAAGGGTGAGGCCTTCACCTGAGCCGGGGCGCGCCGTGCTTTGGGCGGAAGAAGATTCCGACGGCGTTTCCGTCACCAATTCCGCCACGTCGCACTCGAGCCCCGTGCCCGCTGCGAAAGACGCATACACAGCAACCGGCGTATCCTCCGAGCTGGCAGGCTTTCTAGCCCGAAAGATGAACCGGGCGTACTGGTGCTGGTAGCCTAGGTTGTTCAATGCACTGTAGGAATGGTCCGCGGCGAGCAGGCCATGGGATCTCACGGACACATGCGCCCCGGGAAAGATTTTCCAGCCGGCCACCTTGAGCGTGTCGGATTGTTGCCAACCCGCACCCGCCGCTGCCGGGGCTGCGTCGTTATTCGTTCCCGTCGATTTTTGCGAAGAGGAGTTGCGCGGCCGCAGTTTTCCAATAACCAAGGGGGGGCCTTGCTCGAGGGCAGGCGGACTCCCCGAACCATCGCCGTAGTTGTCTGCGCCCGCCATGGCAGCCCTCCGTGGTGCCTGTTTACTGTTTTCTACATCCTTGCCAGCGTTCAAAGGTTTGTCCGCCCGCTTCTCCGCCTGAATGGCCAAGAGCTCCCGCGCGCGGTCTTTTTTCAGCTCGAGCTCCCACTCTGGCGTCGCTTCTTCTTTTCCTTGTTCTCTTGTTGCTCTTTGCATCATCGCCGCCGGCCGCGTGAAGAAGCAAGCCGTCTCCTTTGCGCTAGCGGCAGGAGGGGTTTTTTGCTTTAGCTCCTCTGCCGTCTCTTTTGCGCTAGCGGCAGGAGGGGTTTTTTGCTTTAGCTCCTCTGCCGTCTCTTTTGCGCTAGCGGTAGGAGGGGTTTTTTGCTTTAGCTCCTCTTGAATCATCTCCAAGCTCTTGTACTCAAAAGCGTTCTGAAGATGACTCGCTGTTACCCATCGACCATTGTATCCGACTACCTTGGCTTCAAACACTGACGGCCCCCGCAGCGCCGGTTTGTGCACGGTGAAGCCGATCTTGTTCTCACCGATCTTGTTCTTGAAGCATGGGTCGTCTGCGCCCGGTGTCAAGGCCAAGTTAACGGCTGTGCGCATCTCTTGTCTTTCCTCTTCCATTTGTTTTTCCATTTGTATTTTCTCGGCAGTGGTCTTTTGGGTAGTTTCGGTCCCGGGCGCGAAGCCGACGAAATCCTCCTGCAGACTCTTCTCATTCATTCGTAGACACCCGCTCGCCTGTTCAAAAGGAGAAACCCCGTTGGCAAAGGGATTTGGGTCATCAATCCACATACCCTCATCGAGATCTTCATCATCTCGATCTGGTGCCACAGCTTCCGCAGTTCTTTCTCCTTGTCCTTCTAATTGTCCTGCGTCCAGATTTGCAGCGTTCTTCTCTGCGTTCTTCATCTGCTTCTGCCGGAGTAGGAACTCGGTTCGCGTGGGTTCGTCCAGGTCATCAAAGTAGCCCTTGACGCGAAGTCTCGCTACTTGCAAGCGAGCCTTCCTTATTTGCGGGTCGCGGCACTTTGTGCCACGCTTGTCTCGATCTTGTCCAGTTGTGGCGCCTTTCCATAATTTATTCGCTTCTTCACGTAACTGAAAATACTTCTCTTCCGCGTTATTGAATAATCCTGCAAAGCGCGAGAGGTTCTCGGCGCTTTCTTCGGAATCGGAACTACTGTCAGCGTCAGACCCTTTTCGTGTGGTGTCGCGCATACTCTTTACGGACTCCAGCCACGCCGCCCCCATTTGGCCGTCCGCTGCTTCGTCGCCTGCGTCATTCTCATTCTTCTTCTCGTTCTGCAGGACGATGCAGAGTTTGCTTTTTGATGTACTGCCGCTACTGCCGCCGCCAAGGTCTGCTATCCGCGGACCGGCTCGGTAAATTTCGCCACCCTGACTACCTGCAGTTGGGGTCTTTTTCTTATTCTTTGAAATTCTTTCTATTACTTTGCCGCGCTCTCGCTGTTCCTGAGCGGAATCAGGGGCCTCGGCGTTACCAACGACGCCCTCCAGCTTGTACATAGCCAAGCCTTGTTGGTCTGGACACAAATACGGCAGAAGGTCGTGCTCGGAAGGTCGGAATTGATATTCGATTTCATCGCCACCGGACGGCGCGCCTGCTTCTCCTGTCTGCACCGCGGACGAACTGCTAGTCTTTATTGCAGGCCTCTGGCCCGGCTCACGTCGTAAAAGTTTCCGCTTTTCTTGTGGCGCCGGAGCAACTGGCCCCGGCGTTGTACTCGACGAGCTTTGATGCGCGGAGGCTGCAGTGGGACTGTCCGTGTCCACGACGCTAACCCCTGTGTTCGGTGTGGTTGATGTTGAAGACGGCGCGCTGACGCTATCCAACGTCGACGAACCTTTTGTCGCTGCGTCTGAAGACTCTGAAGCTGCTAGTTGTATACTTAGGGAGGATCGTTCCTGGACTACGGAGCTGCTGCTGCTACTGCCTGTTCCCAAGCCCGTCGAAGTAGCAACAAGACTAGGACTTTTACTACCACCCACCGCAGAAGTTGCTGGCGCTGCTTCTGCTGCATGAGAAGTTGTACTAGCAGTGCCGGATTTTTTCAACGCCGCATCGTCATTTTTTGTGAGGGTGCTTTTCCTCTGCGCATCTGATTCGGATTCCGATCTTTGTTCATCAGTCGGATTGCCGGTTTTCCCCTTCATCTCCAAAGAGCTTTCTGTCGGCAGTGGTCGTTCGCGAGAATGACTTCCAGAACCGCCGTCATCCGTCCGGTGCTTCGTGGAAGATGCAGTGCGGTCAGTATGACTGTTCTTGTTGGACGAGACAGTTTCTGTTGCATCGGCATCCGTGATTGGTTGTTTGGCTTCTTCCCCGCTGCCAGCAAGACCAACTCCACCTTCCTCTTGGTTGATAAGACTGGTTCTCCTGCTGCCAGGGTTTGTTTCTTGTTCTACGCGCTCTACTGCTTTATTTACTGGCCCGCCAGGAGACGTAGGGCCCTGTACGGTCGTAGCCACCGCCATCGGCGTCGCGTCAGTGTCGCGCAGACTCTCGTGCTTACCTTCCGCTGCCGGTCCTTCTTTCGCGGAGGGATCCAAAAAATCAGCATTTTTGGTAGAAGATAGGTTTTCACCAACACCAGCACCCCGACGATTCGCCTCACCTGCTGCAGCCTGACGACTGCTGTCCGCGCCAGGTAAGGCTCCGCCCTCCGCTGTACTAGAAGTGGTTCGCTTGTTTCCTTCATTATCTTCTTGTTCTGTCGTGGTAGTGCCAGTACTACCTTTGCCTGCCTCTCGCCGTCGAGCTGCTGTACTTCCTTTCTGCTCGCCGTCGTCATCGTAGAAGCTCTTCTGGTTCTCGGTCGCAGTGGTCGACTTTTGGATCGCCTGCACGCTGGTAAACGATCTTGCGAAAAGGACCGACGCCCCTGCCAGCACACTTCCAAGCCGCGGCCTCGGCCTTCTTGTCGAGGATAGCGGCCTGGTCGTACATCCAGGTGCAGGAGCACCACCACGGATGGTGGTGAATGTAGTGTCAACATTTACAGGTGGCCGCAGAGTCCAGCGTGTTCTGCATCGGGACTGCGACTGGAAGCGCAAGCGCTCGTGCTGTTGTGGCCGATCTTGAACTGATCCTCGTCGCGATAAACGTGGTTTGTGTAGTTTTACCGACGTCGGAGCCACTCCCACTGTTGCTGACCTAGTGCTTGAACTAGCGCCGCCGGCCCCACCAGGCGTTGTGGTGGTACTAGAGGGCTGCATGAAGAGCAGCTTCATCCTCGCTGTGATGTTTCGCTCCGCAGAAGATGCTTTTCCAGTTGTGGCTGCCCTTGCCGCCACAACTGGAGAAGTTGAAGTCAGCGGAGTAGCGAAGGACACAATGCCACGAACTACATCACGCCCCGACCCGGGTGTTAATGAAGAATCCTTGGGGGTAGTGAAGAGCAGCTTGCTCTGATTTGGCGTAGCAGTAGAGTTGTCGCTTCGTGGAGTTGTGAATTTCGTACTACCCGGTGAAGCAGGAGGTGTTGAAGCAACTCCTGGAGGCGCGTGTAATGCGTTTCGTCCACCTCCACCTGTAGTTATAGCCATGAAAGAACAACAACCGCTCGGCGCTGGTGCGTTCTCACTTGGTGTGCTAGTACGAATACGAGGAGAAGATGAAGTTGCAGACACAAGACTACTTCTACTTTTCGCACTCGGAGACGGCACGAGCACGCCAACCCTTGTGGCAGGTCGTGAGCGTGATGTACAGCTGCGGTTAGTATTTTCTGGTCGATGAGCAGGTGCAGGTCCTGGACTCGGGAAAAGATTATTCTCACGACCTCCACCAATTTCACCGGCAATCATTTGCGATGAGAAGATTCCACTGTTTCTATTTTCCTTCCTCGACGTGAACGATATCGCTCCTCTTGTTGCTTGGCGACGGGCGAAAAGATGATGATCAGCTTCCTGGTCTGCCGGCCTCTCCTGTTGACGCCATGTAATTTCCTTCTTATCCTGCGGTGACACGACCGGTGATGATAGTTTGATCGACGCTGCTGGAAGTCGCACTTCTGACGGTTTTGCGGCGAGCACCAGGTCGTCGGCTCTGCAACTGTTGCTGCAAGAACCACCTTCTCCCGTTTTGCAAGCTGTTGTCTCTCCATAATACCCAAGTGTGTTCGTGTTCAGACCCAAGGGCCTTGCGCCTACCGTGCCGAGTCGTGGAAACGGAATGTGTAGCAGTGGGAACCGCGTTGCCATGATCATCGGACTTTGATGTTGGTGGAACCCACCTGATATTAATTTCGACGTGAATTTTTTCATTGGAATTCTTCATCTTCATATGTAGCCCTAGACCGCGTTCGCGTTGCCTAGACTCGGTAAAAATTTTTAGACGCATGATCTTCAAAGTACTCAAACTCAGATAATTTTTGTACTTGTAGTGCAGGACCCGGAGCCGGATTGGGATTGTCGTATTCTCTCAGGCGAAGTCAAGATCTTCCCTGCGCTGCTTGTAATACTACGGGTCCTGTAAGTCATCCCCTCTGGTGGATCTTCGTTTCGCTCTACCGCCACGGTATCCGGGCGGCGTGCGTCCTGTTCCACTCCTTCATCTGCCGTCGCCTTATCACTGTGCTTCTTCTGGAAAAAAGCTGCTGTCCTTGTGTCGTCCGATGAGAACAACGTCGTCGCGCCGAGGTCGTGTTGCTTGCCTACCACGTTGACTTGCGCCACGCGGCCCTGTGACTTCAGCGGGAGCTTCGTGATGCGGTGCTCGTCGCGGAACGACCCGTAGTTCTCCCCGAAACTCGTGCCGGCAAAAATGTCACCACCCGTGAGCATGTTGTCCCCGGGGGCCTTGGTCTGCGTTGTAGAGGGGCGGAAATCCGAGGACTTGGCTCGGTTGTTCAGGTTGATCTCCACCTCCACGCCGCACTTGATGAACGCGGGACCCCGCCTGCCATTCGTTCCTGAGCGCTCTAACCGCGGGTGCATGTTGCCAACGGAGATGTCGTTCAAAGTTCCACGGCCCTGGCAGCTGAGTTTCAGGTCGGGGAGGGAAAAACCAGTGCCGTACACGACCGGGTCGCCGACGGGGAGACCCAGAGTGTCTTCTGGGTACACCTGCACCTGCTGCACAAGAGTATTAGAAAAAAATCAACATATGTGTCATGCATGGGACGTGTGGTGTACCTGTACTACTACTAGCTGGAAGCTCGAGGCTGTCACTAACATGCGTGATCATACGTCGTGGAAGTAGATGAGTGGCGCAATAGAAATAGTTCATCATCGTACCTTTGCGGAGTCGTGCCGACTCACGTTCATCTGGTCTTCATCCCCCGCTGCAGTCATTCGCGCAGGGGGCACGACGCACGTTTGCGTTTCCGCCGCCTGCTGGTCAGAAGTGTTCTCTTTCTGGAGCACGTCTCTCTTACTCTTCCTGTCTCCGCTGCTCATCTTGGAGCTGCCGGTGGAGGCTCTTCTTTATCTGTTACCGCCAGACGTCGAGTTACCGCCAGACGTCGAAAATAAAGCAATAGAAATTGCTGGCAGCTTGGTCGTTACAGCTTCTCGCAGGTGCTCCAGTGCGAGAACTACCAAAGGGCAGTCCTCATTACCTGTGAAGGTGGGGCGTCGCTGTGAATCAACGAGGTCGCCGCGGCCGCGCAGCGGCGTCAGTTGTAGTACTGCGGCTCACCATGCGATGAGTCCGCCTCTTCCGCATGGTTCAAAGTTCTTGCCCAAAACAAAATTGTTGAACGGTGTACACATACAAAACTAAAATCCAATGGAAACAGTCGAAAAAAACCAGGTACGACGCGCATGAAGATGGAGGAACTCTAACTCTCACCGCATAAACCATGAAGTCACTACTCGCCCTCAAACAATAAATTCTGAATTCAGCCTCCTGCGACGAAGTTCAACACGCCTTCATACATCTGCTCGCAGGAGAAAACACAAACACTCCGCCAGTCTCAGCCGTACTTATAACTTGTGGAAAACCCACGACCTCGGTGCTGGTTCTAGAATTGTGCGCCTGGTCAAATGGAGAGCTCGCATGCGTCAACTAGTACCTCCCTCCAACTGCATTTTGGTTCTTCCTCTCATCTGCGTCGTAAATCCCTCCGAAAAATCATTCAAAGAACGACGAAAATATTTATATTTCGAAGAATGCAACCGAGTCCGACACTACTGAGCTGTCATCTTTAGACAGGATGCGTTCTTTCACCTACACTTGCTAAAATCAAGAGCAAAGACGATAGTTGTGCGCGCCTGTGTTGTATTTGAAACATTCCATCCATAATTCTATCCTTGTCCCAGAATTCTAAATTCAATCGTACCATGTAGTTGCTTCACCAGAAAGCTAATATTCCGCTTCTGATTCGTCAACACCTTTTGTTGAAGTTATTCTACTATTTTCAGGTCCACACAAAAACCATCGCTTTTTTTATATTATAGACGAGCATGATATTTGAACGCTAGATCAACTCGCCACAATGTCAAACTCAATCAACCATTCTAAGTATTCGGTGTGTAAAAATAAGAAGTAAGAAGATGTGAAGTAAGTAGAAGAAGAAGTTTTGATTTGGCTTGAAGTTGTGCCTTAAGCAGGAGTGCTCTCCGCTTCGTCAACAAATTTGTCATTACTGAGTAACAATGATCCTCGAGTGAAAAAGACTTTACTTTCTCGAATTTTTCTCTTTTGGAATCTATCTTGGGCTGCACATAGGATATTTTTTTGTTTTCTGTCACACACCACGCAACCGCAACGCAGCGAGAGATCATTGTGTGGTATTTTTGCTTGTTCCCACGGAAAAATACAAGGAGAAGCAGCAATAAACCCGAAACCGAAGTAGAAACCACAACGCACAACTACAGTTGTAAATCGCGTTGGTACGTAGTCCTAGTCGTGTGTTACTTTCGGAGAAGAACAGTTGGATAGTACATGTGCTTCAAATAATTGTTTGGCATGTTGGACGTGAAGTAGAAAGAACAGAGACAGACTCACAATATGCATTGCAAAAGTATCGCACTCGTATAAATGCGTGACAAATTCTCTCAGCATGAGAAATAGAATTTGTAATGCGGATTTAGATTTACCTTGAGAAAAAAACTTGTAATGCATGAGTGCAATTACTACGAGTACGATACTTTTGCACAGGATACACAACCATCCACAACCATAGCTCGAAGCGTTGAAAAACTTTGAACAACGAAGTCCTCCTCCAATCTAGCTCGTATATGTTGATGACCTAAAGCTAAAAACGACTCTAAAATAAAAGGTCGGATGAGACTTTACCTTGATGTACTTACACTTACACATGGTCGCCGAGGTTGGCAAAGGAGGTCTCCAACTCCGTAACCAGCTGTCCGTAGACGGTCTTGTATGCACGAGAAAAATCATGATGCCCGCCGTCACCCGGCTCAGAGTTATCTCTCATTCTGCATCACAAAGCCCTTGGGGCATATGTTTTCTCCACGACAAGGTTCTGCAAGTTACTTCGCTGAGCAAGAGTAGGGACGGCGGCATGATATTTGTCTTGCATAGCTTGAAGTGCTGGTCCGGCTGCCGGGGCAACTCGAACTTCATGTTTGTGATCTTCACGATCTGTTCCCTCATCACGGTGTAGATCAGACCTGGAAAAAATTGTGATTTGGATACGTTTTATTCACAAAGAAAAAAGCGGTCGATGATGAAAATGATCTTGAAAGCAAAGAACAATGCACTCTACTTGCACGACTGAGCTGTGTACGTATGCAGCGGTTACGGTTGATGGCCCGTGCTCGAAAGACATCATACATCAACAGCCCTCGTTCAGAAATATTCTTGATACCCCAGGTGATCTTCTTGTCTCCGGTTGACTCCACGATCATCTTCTGTGCGGTGTCGTGGAACAATGCGATGACCTTCATCATACCGATGGTCTTCGCCAGGGGGCACATGAAGTCGTAGTCGGAGAAACCGTTCTGCTGCAAGAAATCCTCACGAATGATCTTAGCCACCTCCAAGGTGCACTTCTGATCCTCGGACAGAGAATCCTTCCCGACCAACTGCACGATCTCCTGCAAGTCGTCTTCCTTCTGGAGAATTTCCTTGAAGGTCTGTACCAAACGACCGTACTCCGGATCGTAGTTGGCCTCGAAGAAGGGACACAGGATGCGGACGTACCTGATCAGCAGTGGGAATGACAGTAGAGTCGCTGCAATAATGGATGTAAACCTATCAACACCAATAAAATGGGTCTCCCCGGGTGATTTTTTGCGTGACAATTTGAGTGGAAGATGAGGAGAAGCTGCATGATGACAGCAGGTTTGACTACGAGGAATAAAAAAATCAAAACGTACTTGGAGAAGCTGATCGTCCAGTCCAGCGACGGGAAGTGTTTCCTCTGCGCCAGCTTCTTTGACAGCCCCCAAAACACCTGCACGATGGAAAGCGTCGCGCTCGTAACCGGATCCGTCATATCACCACCCGGTGGGGACACGGCGCCGACGATGGACTATGACGGCCTCAGGTTGGAAATCCTCAAAGTGGAAATAATTTGTAATGCAAAAAAACGAGTCCAGTTGAAGCGCCATTTGTAGTCGGCGCATGACAAATTTCCTGGGCCCTTAAAGCATGTCTGTCATGCAGGTTGAGGCAAAGGGGTGCCCTTCTCTCGTGCTAAGCAACACTCCAACTCTTCACCCCTAGCAGGACAATGGTCGGCCTCCATTGTGTCCTCTGCAATACAGTCTTTTTTGCCTTACATTTCACGCATCACAAATTATTTCCACTTTGAGGATTTCCATTCTGAGGCCTTCATATGGACACGGAGCCTTCCCGGTCTGGCGTCCCGATGCAGTTCACCCGCCTATGGATGTGTCAGAGTTGAAATCGACAAAGTTGAAATAACTTGTAATGCATAAAATGCAACGCAGAAAACGCCTGTCTTGCAGAGTAGGCAAGGGAGGCAGATTGTAAGCCTGTTTCGGAATAGAAATAGAGCTGCTGAAGTAGCATGACAAGAGGCGTCTTCCTTATCCAAACAGCATTACAAACTGGACTTCGGCTCTACTCAAATTTGTCATGCTCCGCTTAGAAATTGGGCTTGCAACTGGCATCGATTTTATGCATTGCAAGTTATTTCAACTTTGTCGATTTCAACTCTGACACATCCATACCGCCCGGACCGCTCGTAGAAGGACGCTAACCTGGCCCCGAGGTAGGCCGGGTACCCGCTGTCGGCCGGCATTTCCCCCAATCGCCCGGCCATCTCACGCAGCGCCTCGGCCCATCGGGAGGTGGAGTCCGCCATCATACCCACGTTGAAGCCCTGGTCACGGAAGTACTCCGCCGTAGTGACTCCGGTGTAGATGGACGCCTCTCGGGCCGCGACCGGCATGTTCGAAGTGTTGGCCACGAGGGTGGTTCGCTGCATAATCTCCTCCTCTTTCCCCTCGATCAGGGTGGTAAGCTCGGGGAAATCGCACAGCACCTCGGCCATCTCGTTACCGCGCTCGCCGCACCCCACGTACACCACGACATCTGACGGTGAATTGTGATAGTACAAGCGACTGATGAAAAACGGTCAAGAGGTCGTCTTTTACGACTGCGGGGATGTTGTAAGTAGTAGAAGTACCTGTGAACTACTACGGAAAAAAGGCATGTTCTTGATGTTGATTTTGATATGATGAACATGAAATTTCGAAAAGCCTACCTGTGTTCGAGTATTTCGAAAGCGCCTGGGAAATCACGGTCTTTCCACAGCCAAAGGCCCCGGGGACGGCCGCAGTACCACCTAGCGTCATCGGGAACAGCGCGTCGCACACCCGCTGGCACGTCAGCATCGCAACTTCACCTGGTAAGGGTTTTTTTTGCGTGTTTCAGGTGTGATGGGAAATCACCAACGTCGCAAGCTACTACCTTCTTCAAATGCATGACAAAGCTCATTTGCTGCAAAACGAACCAGGGAAGATCGAGCTTGTTCTCCCTCAGCAAGAGAAACGATTATCATGCAGTCGTGCATTACAAACAAGGGAGAGAGATTGAGATCGCATCACAAAAAAACATACCACGCAGCTTCTCCTTGGTCGGGCGGGGTTCACGGATGGGCCACTTGTGCATCATCTGCAGATGCTATCCACAGTAAATTTCCTCCCGTACGCGACTTCCTTGCTCGTAGTCGTACACATGCTGTTTCCGCATGACACAACCTTTCTCCAGTCCGATTCTGCATCACAAGTGACAACATGCTTTATTGAGTTGGGAAACAACTTTGTCATGCGACGTTTTCTTGTACTTCTACGTGAAAGTCCGTCGTGTGCAGGAAAAAATCTATCTTGCGTAGCTGCTCCTTCTTTCCATCCGGGGTATCCAACACCAGCAGGGTGTCCAGCACCTTGTAATTCCCCGCGCCCATGATTTGCGCCACGCGGCCCTGCGACTTCGGCGGGATCATGATTCGGTGCTCCCGGAACAGCCCGTTCTCCCGGACAATGCCGAAGATGTCCCCACCCGTGAGCATGTCCCCGACCTTGATCCCTGGGAAGGGGCGGAACTCCCAGGACTTGGCCCGGTTCAGGTTGTCCACTTCCACACCGCGCTTGATGAACACGGACCCGGTATCGTTCATGATGCGCTCCAACGGCCGCTGGATGCCGTCGTAGATGTCGTTTAAGATCCCCGGTCCGAGTTCGAGGGAGAGCGAGGAACCCGTGCCGTACACCGGGTCGCCAACCGTCAGACCCGCGGTGTCTTCGTAGACCTGTAGAGGTTTTTTGATGTCGTGCAGCTTTTCATGCATGTAGCTAGTACATCACGAGAAACTAGTATAATGTCCCGCATGATGATGTTGATGCATGGAACCGTTGGAAGAGACTCGAATTTGTCATGCGTGCCAGAACGCAACAATTCCGATTCCAGTTTTTTGTACCTGCACGGAGGCTGTGTCCAACTCCAGCCGAATGACTTCCCCGATCAGCTTCTCTTTCCCGACTATCCAGTGCAAAGACGTCTGGGTCTAGAAGAGCTCAGACTTGTGATGCATGTTGTGGGTCACACAAAAATCTGTCTTGCGTGACTGCCAAGAGTTGCCAGTTTTGGTCAGGGTGAGAAGGAGTCTATCGTCTAGAACAGGCATGAGAAGCACCTCAGAGAATCTGTCATGCGAGGCCCTGCATTCCCGAGCTCATGGGGCATCGAAGACCTGCATGACAAACCTTCGACTCTTCCAGACCCAGGCATATTTGCAGTGGATACCGACCCGCACTAGCTCAAACATCTTACAACCGGACATGCCGCCGGCGACCACAAGGGGCCCGGCGACCTTCTCGATAGATCCGATCGTCTGGGACATGGTGTTTTTTTGTCTGTTCTTTTCAAGCAAAAAGATTCCGACTTATCTTCTCTTTGCGCAGATGTAGATGAACTTGTGCTGCACAGAAGGAGAGCGCTGCGGTCTGCGTCGTGTTGTTTTTGCTGATCGTGCGTGACTTTTCTTTCTAATTATGGCACCAATGCAAAACGAAAACACGGTCGTGATAATCGTCGTTCTTTGTCGTTACATTCAAAACACAAATAATGAGAAAAAAAAAGGCGGCTCTTCTCGCGGCATTGTGTTTGTAGGTCATCAACACCGTGACCACTGGTCACGGAAGAAGTAGTGGTGCACACACAAAGAAACGGGACGTTACGAAAATGTTCTTCAGCGAACATTACTTACAAGGCGGCCTGGTTGATGCTTGCTGCGTTGTCGCCAGGAGCAGGACTGCTTCAACAAACAAGAAGAAACTTATAAGAATATTGAACGGCACTTCATCCTTGATGAAGTTGTACTAGACCACAAGCAAGATGAAATATCAGCGTGATAATTTCTTTCATGTCATACTAGAACCCCCCTGCTCGGGGAACGGAACACAAAGTGTGCGACTTCAACCTCGCGTCTACTGTTGCGCCTACTTCTGCAGCTCAACACGTACAACGAACCACAGCCAGCAAGCGGAGCCCCTTCAATAGAAACAAAGGGCGGATAGGTACTGTAGGCACTCTACTTCTGAGGGCCGATATAATCGCCTGCGCTGTGCTCTTCGTTCCTCCTGCTCGAGTTGCAGTGCAGAGCTTCTTCAATTCATACAATGAATTTTGCGAAAAAAAAGCAGAATGAGTTGTCGTGTTCTCGTGGCGCGCCAGTACATCCTCGCTAGTATCTCTTCACGAGTGCTAGCAATCCTTTACTCGGCAAAAAAGCGTCATACAACGAACTGGCTGTTGCGTTTGTTGTTCATTGGTGATGTTCTTGTGATGTGATCAAAAGCTTCTACCTCATTGCTGCATCCAGATGGTCGATAGAAGAAGTCCTGGTTCTAGTTGTGGTCAAAAGTAGTTGGTTCATTATATGAATCATTTCATTCTATCGTGTCTTTGATTAGCAGATGCAGATAATCCGGCATTACGAGAATTCATTGCGAAAGCAACAAAAAACTCTCAACCGGGTCGTCCACACCGCGTTATAGATTTGATGCGTACAACAGCTGATAGCTGTACCTGTTGCAAAATAGGCTTTTCATCTTGGTCTACCACATCGCAAATCCATGGTAAAAAAATCGGTAGTGTTGCAAAATGACTGTTTTTTCAATACGCATGAAAGTCAATTATATGTGGAAATAAAAGCGAAAGACAATTTCCATGATAATGACCTGTCGCGCATTTTTTGCCGCGCGTGGTCCTAGCAGCGGAAAATTTACTAGTCTGAATCTAGCGAAGATGCTAGTGCTGTCATTTCTTGTCGTTGCGAAAAATGAAATAGGTATAAAATCAAATGACTTTGTAGTTATCTTAGCGTATCATCAATAATTTTGTCGCGTAAAAAAATGAGTGTAGTTTTTCGTTTGTATCGCTATCGATAGTCCGATCGAACTGTGGTAGCGTCATCAATTTCGGGACGAGTTGTAGAAAAAGTGTTTATCAAATCGGCGCTCTTCCTCGTGGCAAATCGGTTCGACGGATAAAACGTTGAGGAAAATGTATAGCAGCAGGCGTCTCCTTCACGACGAGGTCGGCGTCGCAGTATCTACTTCCCAGCAGCCAGGAGTAGAACTCGTTCTTCCGTCACGAGATCTACTAAGAGGTGCTGGTCCTCCAGAAGTTGTGTACTAGTCGCAGTATAATTTTTCCTTTTGCGGCTCGAAAACCGACAAAAGAAACAGCTAGATCAAATGAAAAGGAGCGTGGAAGTAGAGGCGAAATCTGTTCTTCTTCTTCAGGAGACTTCTGGGTGATAAATCAGTACAGTAGACTATCATATCGGTTGTTTCTGTTTCAATTGATGAAGTACTTCTTCATCCAGTGATGAATTAACAAATGCTGCGTGCTTTCACGAAAAGGAAAAAATGAGTCAGTGTTTTGTCACCCATAGAAATTTTTGACAGGATCTTCACGCGGCTCATGAGTCCTCACGACACCTAGTTCCAGCCCCAGGCGTGCTTGTTTTCCCGAGCGATGTCGAGCAGTTCCTCCGGGACCTCCTGACCGGCCTTCTTCATGGTGGAAATGATTGTTGTATCACGTGTGACAAAAATCATCTTCTTCACGGTGGTCGTGGTCTTTTGATTTCAAAAATCCACTCTTGTTTATCATCAGAAGTCCCGGTATTAACTCAAAACTAGTTGTAGTTTTCAACGTCTGGTGAACAACTCATGCCTGTAGCTGCAGGGCAAAAAGACTCCATGGCTGCAGATAGGCTTGTGGTTGTGTTGTTGGACTATCTTCAATTCAATCTGTCACTATCATCTGCATGACAAAGAACAAAAGGTGAACAGTTTGTAAGTATTTATCATGGTCGTGGACGAGAAGAAGAAGTCTAGTTGTCACACGGTTGATATCCTTTGACCATGCCCAACTCCGATGGCTCCACGATGGTATACGCCTTTCCCTTATCAAATGTAAGAGTGTCTGGGTCTGGAAGATTGTCATGCTAGTCTGGCATGACTCTGCACTCTGTATTGCGCGGCCACCAAGAGGTCCTCTTACCTGTCATGTAAAAGCGCAGTTTCTCATGCGAAATACGCATCAGAGAAGCACGAAAAAACTTGTCATGCTTGGCGGCGAATTACAGAGCACTTATTGTTCACGGACTTGCATCACAGTTTTCCAGACCCAGACATTTTTGCATTTGATATCCCTTGGCACCCGCACGACCGGTTCGCCCGATTCGGTGGGTATGGGTTTCCTTCGATTCGGCGACATCGTAGTTGACGACATGGGTCACACCTGATAATTTTCATGATGTCATTTGTCATGCTGCACGACATTGTGCATCGAATAAAGGAAAAAACTTCATCATCACCTTTTTTGTCATGCGGAACCACCAAAGAACTACAAAGCTTGTTGTAGCAAGACCGCATTACAAATTGCAATAGATCTGTACCACGCACATCCAATCCGCGGCTGGCCACGTCAGTGGCAAACAAAACCGTTGTTTCCCCATTCTTGAACGCCTTCAGTGCCCAGTCGCGCTGGCTCTGGCTGCTATGCATTGCAAAAGTATCGTACTAATTGCATATCCATATAATGCATCACAAACCTGTTTCTTAAGGTAAATGTAAATCCGCATGACAAATTCAAGTTGTCTTGCTGAGGGTGGTATTTGTACATCATGGAATTACTACGTAGTTAGTACAATACGTTTGCAATGCATAGCTGCAGTCCCCGTGTAATTCGCCGCACTCAAAACCCCATCTTCCAAAGTATCGGATTCTCAAATGTTACATTCTCAATTGTTACATGGATTTGTCGTGCAAAACTACCATAAGCCGCGGCCGCCAGATGATCAAGCTCTTTCGCATGACAAATCTCCGAAGGGCCAGACAGCATCTAAATCTGTGCCAAATCTGTGATGCGAAAGCAGCAAGCTTGCCACCTTAACTCTTGCTGTTCTTGCATTACAAATTCATGTAAGGACACTTGAGAATGTAGCATTTGAGAATCCCATACAAACGTTCTGCACTTCTCCGAGCAGGAACGCTTGGATTTGCAGAACACTAGCACGCGCATGCCACCCGCGCCTAGTAGTAGATTTGGTGGATGTAATGCAGCATGAAGTTTTTCGTTCGCATGTTGAAACAAAAATATTAAATTATCGTGCACTATACAATTCATGCGACCAAACATGACGACCAGAACCATCCATATCCTGTTGCATTGTGTTCAGTTTGCCATACGCAACAAGAAGAACTACAGCAAAAATTTTGATTTTTCTATACTACCTTCGTCCACAGCAGCCTCCTGCAAGATGTCGTGGAGGCAGTCGTCTTTTTTCCGGTAGTCCTCGGGGAACTTGCAGATCTGGGTAATGTCCTTGTTTCCGGTTAAGGGGTCCTTGGAGCCCACCTGGATGTGAAAGGCCTCCCGGTAGACGAACTGCTGCGCCAGGGGGGGTTTGGAGGTGAAAAAGTTGTTTTTCTCCCACCTCAGATGTACTGCAGCTGCAGTTACCGAAATCGATGCAAGTTCTCGTCCGAACGTACCGGATGCTATCCTCGTCCATGGCGTGTTGAATAAAAAAAAATAGCCCGTGCAAAAATGAGGGTACATAATTTCATTTCGTCATTTATGCGAAGCAGAAATCTGTCATGCACTTCTGGTTCAATGCTTTTACTTTTACATTTACCGGAGACCTCTTCTCAGTGAGATTAAAAACAACCTCTCCATTGCGTAGCCTTGACACTGTTCGGAAAGGTGGCGGAAAAAAGCAGAGATTGACGCTCCTCCGGGCACTGGTTTTATTTTTTGGATGGATTTATTACTTTTACTATTTCTATTTCTAGGTCTTGCAGCCGTGCACCATTACTATTACAGCTTTATCCTTATTTCCCTTTCCGTTCTTTGATGATAAGTAAAACTGAAGAAAAACGATCAGAACCACGATGTTGACTTTCTCTTCCCTGATGCAAGAAGATCAGCATTTGTTGGTCTCGAAAGATAAAATATTAAGTTTTCTCTGTTGATATCAATTGATATCAAATGATATCAAAAGATATCACAGAGAAAGTTGAAAGCAAAACAGAGAAAAGTATAAACAAGAAACAGAAACAAAAACAGAAGGAGAAGAAACAAAAACAAACTACATAAGCAAAAACATAAAGGATACACATATAAAAACAAACAGAAGTGGTTGCTTGCGCATCACAAACTGCCATTTCTACACAGAAATACCTGTCGCGGCCTCTGAGTTTTCTCTGTGGCGAGAGGAGTTTTCTCTGTGATACAGAGAAAACTTCCCTCCCACAGAGAAAAGTCGACCTTTGCCGAGGGCCGGCATTTCTACTGGAAATCAAAGTAGAAACGCCAGGAGGTCTGGAATTCCTACCGAAAATCAAAGAAGAACTGCCAGCCTGGCGGAAATCCAGGTAGAAAAAATGCCAGGAGGCCCCCCCCCTGGCATTCCTACCGAAAGTCCAGGTAAGTAGAAACGCCAGGAGGGCTGGCAATTCTACTGGAAATCAAGCTAGAAGCGCAAGCGCCATGGCATTCGTGCCGGAGATCGAAGACCCCTACAGAAATGCCAGCAGGCATGGCATTCCTACAGGAAACCGAAGCAGAAATGCCAGGAGGTCTGGCATTCCTACAGGGAATCCAGGCAGAAATACCACCTCAGCCGGCATTTCTACTGGGAATCAAGGCAGAAATGCCTGGCCCGGCATTTCTACTGAGAGAGAATCAAGGCAGAAAGGCCCGAGCCGGCATCCTCGCCCGGAATCCAGGTAGAAATTGCCTCGGCCAGCATTTTGGCTGCAAATCAAGGCAGAGTGCCAGGCTTTGCACCCCTACCGGAAACCCGGGTAGAAATAACTGGGCCGGCAATTTGGCTGGAAATCAAGGTAGAAACGCTAGGGAGTATGGCAATCCTACCGGACCCCGGTAGCCGGCCCCCCCAGCTCCCAAGGGTACCCGCATCGCGCGCGCAGCGCGCGCGAAGAAAAATTTCGCATGGCCTACGGCGACACAGGCAGCCGCTTTTTCTTCCTTTTAAGGTGGCGGAAAACAGCAGAGATTGACGCTCCTCCGGGCACTGATTTCGTTTTGGATGATTTGATGAATGATGTTTCTAGGTCTTAGTTACAGCTTATTTCAATTTCTCTTCCTTGACGATAAAACTGAAAAACCATCACGAGGTGGTCGACTTTATTCTCTGTCATGCAAGAGGAAGATCTTCAACACTGAAAATAATAATAAAGTCATACAAGAATAAGAAACGGGCCGCCCTAAGCGGGCGGCCCTCTTGATGGATGCGCGGCGAAGGGGCCGGCAGAGTGAGCGTCTTCGGATGTCGATGGTGAAAGGAGGGAGCGAGGGCTTCACCGCAACGAACCCCGTTCAAACAATTTTGATTGGCCCCACCCCTGCGGCCCATCAAAGAGCCGCCATCTTTGGTGTTCGGTTTCTTTGCGACTGACGAAGCGGCAGGCAGCCGCCCGAGAAAAAAGGCGAAGGGCCGGAAGGTAGGCCATTTCAAAGAAGGTAACTAATGGGGGCCCTACGGTCCCCGAAAAAGCTCCCTGTCTGGTCGTCGGGGCTTCCCGGGTTGGGGGTCATCGCGACCCCATCCGATTGCGACCCCTCGGGCCCACTAAAGAACCCCCTCTCTGGATGTTCGGGCTGTGAGTTAAGAAACGGGGCCCAAGAAGACGAGCACCCGGGCAGCCATTTCGACCGGGGCAGCTAGGGGGACCCCTGCGGCCCACTAAAAAGTCCCCCCTTGGGTCGTCGGGGCTTCCCCTGTTGGGGGTCATCGCAACGAACCCCAACCGATTTCGGCCCCTCTGGTCCACTAAAGAATGCCCGTTCATCTGGGCGCTCGGTTTGCGACTGTTGAAACGGGGGGGGCCCAAGAATAAAGGCGGGCACCCGGCTAGCCACTTCAAACGGGGCAAGGGGACCCCGGAGGCCCACTGAAAGGCCCCACTTCGGGTCGTCGGGGTTTCCTCGGTTGGGGGTCATCGCAACCCCAATCGACTTCGACCCCTAGGGCCCGCCGAAGTATCCCCTTTCTGGGTGTTCGGTTTGCGACTGCTGAAACGGGACCCTCCCAAGAAAATAAAAAGGCGAACACCCGGCCAGCCATTTCAAACGGGGCAAGCAAGGGGACCCCTGAGGCCCACGAAAAAGCCCCCTCTTGGGAAAACAGCAGAGATTGACGCTCCTCCGGGCACTGATTTCGTTTTTTGGATAGTTTCAATATACAATATTTATAATATATTTAGGTCGTGCGCATTGGAGAGAAGTGTTCTCTGTCATGCAAGAGGGAGATCTGCACCACTGAAAATAAACTCATACCTTGTCCGTGATCTGTCTCAATTCCCATTCGAAGCCCATATCGAGCATCCTGTCTGCCTCGTCCAACACTACCGTTCGCACTTCGTCGGCTACGAACACTATCCAGGAAAAAACACCCATCCCCATCCATTTTTTGCATGACAGACACTGGATTTTATGCATGGTTTGCATGACAAATACAAATATGGATGGGAATGGATTTTATTTTCTCGATAAACACCGGTGGGTCTGCATTCATGAAGTCCTGGGTTCGGCCCGGGCACCCGATGATGATGTGCGGGAAGTCGTTTTCAATGGCCCACTGCTGTGACTTCCGGTTGTTGTCCCCACCGTGACTGATGCAGCACCGGATATCTGATGAAGTTCATTCAGTATTTTCGTTGCAGCTAAATTTCAATATGCAGTTGTTCTTGCTGTGCACCACCTCGCATGCATGATGACAAACACAAATCCAAATCCATACTACACTCATCTGAGGGTGCGACATTGAATGGCAAAAAATCAACATTGTACCGGCTCCCCTTCCGAACTTGGTGCACTCTTCAAAAATCTGCTGACACAGCTCACGGGTCGGCGATAGGACTATGCCCCACGGTGATCCTCGTTTCACCTCACTGTCGATTTCTTGTGGTTATCCACTGGTCAAACAGCGAAGATCAAGGATAAAAAGAATCTTTTACGTCTCGGGGGAAGCTCTGAATACACTGTCGTCAATTTTAGTTCAGGTGTCAACAACCAAGGGTTTCGATTTATTCAAGCTGGTATTTTATTCTACATGCAGCTGAAAGTCAGAAGCTGCATGCACCTGCATCATGGTAAGCGTGCTCCTTTAGAGGTAAAAATACTGACCATGATCTTCGCTGTTTGCAATGCGTATCACCTTCATCTGGATGAACATAGGTATCAGAAACGCGAGGGTCTTACCTGCCATGGTTTGATGTATTCCGTCTCTTCCCACTCACAATCACATGACAATATGAAACACAAATGATCATTACAGGAACAGCAGCATCACAAACTGATTCAGCTATTTCAGGTAATCGCAACTGAATTATTTCTACGAAACACAGTACCGCTTCCCGTCTTTGCCACCCCGATCAAGTCGTGGCACTCCATTAAAATCGGCCACACGTGTGCCTGAATCGTTGTTGGCTTCGTGAAAGACGCCACCTTGCCTTTGGTCATCAGGTCCAACAACCCGTCCGGCATTGCTGTGCGTTTTGGTTTATTTTCATTTTTCTTTCAGGGTGCGGATTAACTAGATGCCATTTATTGCTTGGTGTTGGTATCTATCATCCTACGTAAAAATGCAAAATCACGCCACGTTTGCATCACAAAATCTTGATCTTCCACCTGATGGATAAAACAAGATGCAGCACCAGCTGCCGCTCTCCATCAGGTCCCGCATCACAAGTTCTTCTTCTTCTTCTTGTTCCAGAAAAAATAGTATCAATACCAACAGCGCACTTCTCGAAGGTATCCCATACATCGGGCTCTCGGGGGTTTCCGTCGTCGTCAAACAACGGGGGTTATGCCTAGGAACAAAGATCTTTCTCGTCATCGTCTATGTTGTTGAGGTACTAACAAGACATCAGAAGACAAGAAACTTGATGTCGTGCAGGTTTTCGATATGATTTTCTACTCGATGAAAACATACATGAGGTAGTTGCCTCTATCGATCGATCCGCCAAAAAAATCTGCAAGACAAATGACCATATCTTTCTCAGGAAATTTTTTTATTGCAAGACTCTCAACTTTTATTCTACTACAAGGACGAGGTGGAGAGGAAAGATTCCTGTATTGATAAGTTGGTGACGATGTGGACTTCATCCGTATCACAGCATTCTTCGCTTTCGAACTTGTCCGGATTTCTGTGCAAGGAAAATTTGTCGCACATGCAACTACGAGGTAATTCCCACGTTGCATGACAAAACTCTTTGTAGTTGCTGGAACATTTGTTTTAAACAAATGTTGCAGCAACTACAAAGACGTGCGTCTTCGTTAATCATGGCAGGTCGTCAATCACATCGTCAAATAACTTTGCAAGACCGCATAAAATTAAAATTGATTCTCTGCGCCGCCGTTAATATCATGTGCGACAAGGTTTGAATATCTCTCCCATAATCCTCCTCCTTGTCAAGTAACGCCGCGGCTTTGAAATCGAAGCCCATCCCCGGTTCCATGACCTTTTTCTCGTATTTTTTGTCGTCTTCCTTTTTGTTGTACCCGGACCCGTATGCATTGCAAAAGTATCGTACTCGTATAAATGCATTACAAATTTCCTCAGCATGAGAAATAAAATTTGTAATGCTGATTTGCCTTGGAAACAAGATTTGTAATGCAAGACTTGCATTTGTTGTACGAGTACGATACTTTTGCACAGGATAACCCGCTGCCGCCCCAGGAGGAAGAGCTCGAGTTTTTGTTCCAATCATTATGCTAGGTAAAAAACAAGTACGCTTCTACTGAGTAGCACCCATCATGTAGTCTGCTGTTGAGGGGATTCTATGAGTACGCAGACTCTCGCTGCTGTTTTAGGAGCCGATCATGACAAGTCAGGACATGCAATTGCAAAGTCGTACTGAATCTGACAAATTGTAATCTAATTCATCCTAAGCATATGCATGACATCAACCCTGACATGAGTTGCTGTACCAGCACTACCATGTTTTTACACAGGATAATCGTCGTTGTCATCCCATTTCTTGTCGTTCCACGAGGATTTCTTGTCGCCCCAGGGATTATGAGAGTGCACAACTCAGAAACTACTCTCGCCCCGAATGTTGATCCGCCTCATTTGTCATGCGAAGAACGTAAACGCAGTCTTCATTCTTCGCCTTTTTGCATTTTGCGCGTGACAACTTTCGGTGCAAGGCTCGTAATTCTTGCGCACTCTCATAATCATCCCAGGACTTCTTGTCGTCTTTCCAATCGTTTATCCTGTGCAAAAGTATCGCACTCGTAGTAATCGCAATCATGCATCAGAAGTCCACTTGTCAAGGTAAATCGGCATTACAAATGTAATTTGTAGTAATGCTGAGCCAATTTGTATTGCGATTTATACTATATACGATGCTTTTGCAATGCATATCGTTCCACTTCTGGCCATTGTTGTCGCCCCAATCCTGACTATCCCAGTCACCCATTTTGATCTTCTTTTTGGTCACAGAAGCGGGTCTGTGATGCTAAAGTAGCTACCTGTCGGTGCTGTCACTGGCGGCGCTGAAGATTTGTCTTGCTAAATAAAAGCAAGAAGAAGTTTCTCCTGATGATTTTGGCAGTTCTTCTTCTTCTCACTAGAAATACCCCGTGATCTTCTCTAAGTCTTTTGTTGGATGTTGTGACAAAACGGAATCGCCTCGTCGAAGTACAATTTTGGACAGCCAATGCACCGTTATTACAACGTTTATGCTGACACAACCGTCGTTATCAAGAAGAAAATTTGACTGTGAGATTTTATTTGGGTGGCAAAAACTTGTATAAACCAATTCACGTTCACATTCTTACGGAAGTGAAAAACTGTGTGCGAAGAAATGAATGGCAAGCAGAGTTGGAATTGAAGATGGAACAGTCGACGCTAAGTACCAGAAAGGTTTGCGCAGTTTCTCTCACTCGACAGGAGCAGGAAGTAGAGTAGTAGTAACTAGAGTACCAAAAACGCGGCGTGTGGGCGAAAATTTGATGTGTGACACTTCTTATAACGGCCTATTATCAGCAGTTGGATAGCTTACGTGCACCACGTCGGAAAGCAGGGCGGTTGCTGGTACTTGAAAAAGGATCTTTTCGTTCTTCGGACGTTTCTTGATAAATCACAAATTGATGGAGTGAGGGTTCGCAAAACGCTTTAGTAGAGTTCTTGTGAAGTGACTTTCTACCATGTTGGCTCACGTGCTGGGGCGGGCTGTCAAGACATTCCCAGTTAGAGCCTACACGCGTACTATACAGCGGGACTACTTTTTGCAATGGCGGTTTTTCAATTCCTTCGTTTCTCGTTCTCACACAGGTTGTTGACCTTTTTTGGCGCTGCTAATACACTGCTACTGGCACTACTTTCTTAGTCGGGTGTCGTGCATCAGGGTCATGATGTGAAGATGCTGGATCTACAACTCGTTTTGTCGTCATAGTCTTGCTGCACGCAGCAAGAAGATAGGGGCAGGGCAAGATTTAAAAAGAAAATAGATCTCGGTTTGCATGGAACAACCTTCTCGACGCGTTTTGCCGCGAACAAAAACACAGAACTTTTACCGCACACACAGTGACATCGTACCTGGCTGGGACGTCGACATTGCAGGAGAAAAAAACTCATCTTCGAACAACATATAATATCAATCAATCAATCTTTGAGCCTTGTAGCCGCATATTTGCATATTTGTTTCTTGCAGAATATTTTCTGGGGCGCATCTTCAGTTGTTCGTTGTACACGGAGGCGGCAGTGAAAGCCAATCCGAAATAAAGAGACCACACAGGAGCTCGCGTCTCAACGATTCAAAGTCAAATTCATGAACAAGACACTGTCCTCGTCGTGTTTCTCCTCGTGCTGTCAACAACAATACACAATGAACATACTTGGATTGATTCTTCTCGTGTGCAAAAATAATTCGTAATTCACAAGAACGTCAATAATTCATTGTACAATGGTAGAAATCAGGACTACACTCTTCACATCGTTTTTTAGCGGTTTATTATCGGTCATAGGCTAGTGCTTGCATGGTGTGGAGGCGGTCGCTAAAAAAGTCGATGAATTCTTCTGGCAAATAGGATTTTTCTATGGCACTGGAAAGAATTCAATCGGACTTTATTTTCAGCTGGTAGAGAAAATAGACAAAGACAAGAAGAAGAACAAGTTCGTCGTTATAAAGCAGCTGTACGTGTTGAAAGGAGCGAAGCTAAATGATGTCAGTGAAGAGAATTATCAGCTAATGCAGCCGAGCAATACAAATACTTTACAACTTCTTCCTGATGTTGCTGTCCTTCTCGTCGTGGCGCGAAGAGGCCGCAGGCGTTGGGTTCACCAGCCACCTGGGACGGTGGTCCCGGTCCCTACTGTTTGTGTCGCGGTACACATGGGCGATGCTATTATTTTAAATGTCTAGGCCGCGAGTAATAGTATGCAATAGAAATGACATTCATGATGAAAGTGTTTACTCTACAGACAAAACGAAAAACATCATCAGAACTGCTGCGTAGTGCATCATATGATGCAAATAGAAATAGTCGCTGTTATTCCGAGCTATCTATACTGAAAACATAGTGACTGGGACTCGTCTGTTCATGTTGGATATTCTTTGTTTACGTTGTACAAATGTCTATGTCTTTTTAATATCGAGGCAAACGGCACTTGCGCCCACTGCCTCCGACTTAGACGTACAACTGCAACTCACTGCGTAATTGCTTTCTTTTGCTTCCGATAGGAAATTATTTCAGACTTCCATATGTGCAGTCAACCGTCAATACTACAACAACCATCGAGTTGTATCACACTTCAGCTCTTTCTAGTTCTAGCGTGGTTATCATACAAATGTTGCATGTCCTCTGTAGTTGAAAAAATAAAAATGTGAGTTCAGCCACCTCTCGTCCCAACAGGTGCCTCATCTCGGCGTCGGCTCCAATCAATCGCCATTCCGCGGTGTGTTCTTTGGCGTGATTTGTGTTTCATCCGGATGAAATATTTCCTGTTCGTGCGGCATCACATTGCTCACCGGCACGCCACCTTCGCCGCTCCCCTGTGCCTGTCCGTCCTGAGCTACGGGAACGCGAACCACCGTTCCAGCGGGCACGGTAACCGGCGCTGGGAAATAGCATGGAATCATGTGGTGCATGCCGGGAGAGAAAGTAATCGTATTGTTCCCGCCTCCCGAAAGCTGGTATTGTTGCAGCTCTGCGGAGCTGCTGCAAGGAGATCCTTGCGCTAGTACACCAGAAGCCGTAGTTTCGGATCCGGTTCCTGTGTAGTTGGAAGAACAGTCTGCAGCGGAGGTGTTGGAGAGTTCTCCGCCGGTGGCAAGGAAACCTTCTTGCTGATGAAGGAGGGGGAAGTTGTGCATCATGTTGATCTGCTGCATCAAATTATACGTAGGCAACATCTCGAGGTCAACACCGCGATGATCCATTTGCCGTCCCGACGGTGCAGGTGCGGTCGCATGAGCGATCTGTGGAGGGAGGTGTTGGTAATCGTAGTCCTCCGGTTCCGGTGTCGCAATTGGATGAAACCGATCTTTCTTACTGCCGGTACTGGAAGCGCCGGGTGATCTGTTTAAATCGGTTTCTCGCTTTGTGTCGATTCCCCTTCTGGGCGGCGTGCTCGGTAGAGACCTTGACGCCAGCATCGCCTTTTTTTCACGGGCCAAAAGCGCCTCTGCGAAAACACTGTCGTCTTCTTCCGCCGTTCGCCTATGCCTGCCGGCATGATCTACGAATTGGCTCAGCCGCGCTGTCACGGCCTCCTGCAGCTCCTTGTTCCTAGCATTAGTATCAGATGATGATGGAGCTGCTTTCGAAAGAACTGCATCAGGACCATCAGAGAGCTTCATTTTCTGTAGCCCTTCAGTGACATCTCCAACGGATACGGAGCAAGCCTTTGCGCTTAAGCCAACTTCGGCTCCTTTCTGCTGCGGCGCCACAGCATCGACTTCGCCCGCAACCCAGTTGGCGAAGGATTGACCCTCGTGAAGAAGTGCTCGGAGGTCGTCAGGGATACTACTACAGCACTCGATGTCTCCCCGTTCGGGCGTAATTTCCGGATCCTTGTTGGAGTTAAAAATCGAAATCCCAGCGCCACTCGATCCTACAGCCCCTGTGGTGGCAGGTTGTAGTACCCGGAAAGTTGTTGTAGCGGCTTGTTGTTCATCGGGTTGGTCCTTCGGCTGTTTTACTACCTCGTCGTGGTCACTGGACGCTTCACTCTTATCGAGTTGGTTCCCTTCTGTCGCGGCAGGACGAGGAACTTTTCTTGCTTTCGAAGTAGAAGTATTTCTCGACCTCCTTCTTTCTCGTCCCAGTTCTTTATTTGATGTACTAGTCGCTGTCGCACTCACGCCACCGGCTTGAAGATCCTGGCTCTTCTTCTCACGACGCCGGGGCGACAGTCGAACTGGAGATGCGCTCCGGGACGATGTCTTCGTCTTTCCGCGCCGGCGCGAGGGATATCTACTTCTTGAAGATCCGCATAGTACGGCTTGTCGTGCCTCGGCCTCCAGTTGATGTTTGAGATCTGGACCGTGTGACGCCGCCGCCGGCGTCGGTAAACTACGTGAAGAAGAAGTACTTCTTGACCTCCTCGATCCGGAAGTGGTCTCGCCCTTGAGCTTCACGGCTCCGACCGGACTACATTCCGAGGAACAACTCTGTGCTGGTCCCGGCATTCTTGCCGTGTCACCTTTGGACGACGAAGAACCTCCCAACGAAACCTCCGACTTCGAGCCCACGACGTCGGTGGACGCTGGCGAGGAAGCGGCTGGCAACCTGGTGGGCTCCTCTTCCTCTGCCGGAGCGGCCGCTGCGGTAGAGCCCGAAGAAACAGCAAGGCGATCATCAGTCGCAATCGCGGCCTCCACTCCTTCGATGATGTTGCTACCAGGTGGAATTGATGCAGCACGACGCGCAGCATCTTGTTCTCCTGAAGAGATGATGACATTGCCCCCGCCTCGTCCTGTCGTTTCCCGCACCTCCACCGCCGTTGCACTACCGCCACCTCCGCGGTTTCTTCGACTGCAGGCACACTTGGTCTTGGTCGAGAGGTTTTCGAGCTGTTCCGACAATTTGAAATTCGTCCAAGTCTCCGTTTCCTCGACCGTGGCAACGACGTAGATGTAGTCACATTCCCAGCTAGGCAGCGGGGCTGTCAGCAGAGACTCCAGACCGGGTTTATTGACTTTGCAGACGGCGTTCATTCTTGCGCTCGCAGTTTGGTCGGAGGACTGGGGAGCATTTGCTGTTAATTCCTTCACCTGCTGTTCGGGTGCAGTATCTTTGTCGGGGGACAAGAAGTTCGCTGGAGAACTTCCGTTACTTCCTGTTCCTTTCATCGCGTTGCCCCCCGCACTGCTCTGGCCGTTCCGTGTACCCCGACTAGCAGCAGATGAACAACCTTTCTTGCCTTTCTGATTTTTCCTGCTCGTAGTTCTAGCACCTCCGCCTTCCTCGCCCGGAACCTCCGCGGAAAACTCCAAGAATCGCCCGGCGCGGTAGGTTATCCTGTGCAAAAGTATCGCGCTCGTATTGCAGTCATGCATTACAAAACCCTTTGTTAAGGTAAATCCGCAGTACAAATTTTATTTCTCACGCTGAGGAAATTTGTAATGCATTTATACGAGTACGATGCTTTTGCAATGCATATAGGTTTCGAAAATTCTTTGTCCCTCCCGGCGTTCTTCCTCAATCCGATCTCCGCGCTTGTCTGCCTGCTCTTTTCGCCTTTGCGAATACACCAAATCCGGGAGAATGCGTGCGGGAAGCCGGTAGGCTACCACCCGCAACGTTTCCAGATAACTTTTCCCGTGGAGAAGCGGCTTGTGGAAAAGCACGGCCGAGGAAAAGGCGTTCGGAATGGCATCGGAAGCGTGTGTACCGTCAGAAAATTGCTGGAACCGCATCAATTCCAACATCCTCGTCGGGGCTTTTGACCACCTCCGGGCGGCTTGGTGGCTGGTTGTTGCGGAACAAGATCCTGCTGGATCGCTGTGTGTGCAGCCACCTGCTGCATGCTTCTCCTCTCCTCCAGCTCCGACCGCGAATTGCAATCTGCCGTCAATAAACCAATCACGCTGACTCAGTGCGAATTGTGGCTTCTTGTCCTTCGGTAGAATTCTGTGCTCTGCTCCTGTGTCCGTCGTTCTGAAGTCTGCATTCATTTTTCCCTGGAGGTTCTGTTCCCGCTCGGCACGTTGGTGAGATACTTCTAATTCATCTCCAAATTGAAGCAAAATTGCTCGCGCAAGCTCTTCCTCTTCTGAAACAGCGACAACTGTAGAAGAAGATTTGCTCCCTGCTGGTCCTGGTCGTGTCGTAGTACTTCCAAGTTGTAGCAATTCTTCTTCTTTCTTCTGCAATTCCAGTAACTTTTCCGCCACCTGCTGCAGCAGGACAACCGCCGCGTCTTTCGTAAAGAACGCAACTTCCTCTGGATTATCCTGAATCAAACTCCGCCGGCGCTGATGCAACGGCGTTTCTTTCTTAATTTGTTGTTCCAATCTGATCACTTCTGGTTGAAACGCGGGAATGGCGAGTTCCAAAAAACAATCGTTCAGCGTGTTCGGCACGCCACCCGGGGAATCGAAAATCTTCCCATTTTTCAAATCCGCGTCTTGGTATTGTCCGTGAAGATCGCTGTACACGAGGAGGAGGGGAATCGTTTGTTGTTCCATCTGCTTCACCGCGGCGAAGAGTTTTTTCCCGTACTCGAAGAGGTAGGATTTCTCCGCAGAAGTGGTCAGGAAGAGCTCATCTTCTTTGGAGGCATTTGCTGCAACATGAGCTGGGGTTCCTGATCCGACAGGCGTAGGCTTCGGGCCTGTAGTTTTGCTGGTTGTAGTGGTTTTCTTCTTCCCACGTGTTGTCACCGCCGCAACCGGAACAGGTTTTAGCAGCGCAAAGGACACCAAGTGCAGAAGAGACAGGAACCGCTGCCACCTCACCCGGAGGAAAGCGGAATTGGGCCGTCCGCTCAACATTTTGAGTTCTTGAAGATGCCTCTTTGTGAATTCGATGCGAGATAATAGCGTGCGTCGTGAAGAAATGGCTGTTTATATCGATAAAAAAAATGTTAATTGAAAAAGAAAACTCAAATAACTGTGGTAAGCGAATAAATAAGGAGAGAAACTACTTCATATGTGTGTCATTATGTGGAGAAATTTAAAACACTACGGTAGGAGCAACGCTGTAGCAGTAGCGATTCTACAATATTCGATGCATGAGGAAAGACAAAAAACGTCGGACCACTCTTGTAGTTTGTGTTCGTCAACATGATCCATTTACACTTCATCTAGTTCCGCGAGATTTAGCGCGTGCTGCTGAAAGATCAGCAACAGTTCATCGCGAAGTTCTACGAGCAGATCTCGTGTTGATCCTTTTTTTGAGTCGTGGTCCAACGGTAGGCAGCAATTTATCCACAAAGGCCTCTGGTGTGGTGATCCGCTTATTCTCCAGAATGATGATCATATGAGACATCATTATGACCACGCCGTGAACATGATCTCACTCTCAATCAAGTAGATCTGCTTTCGTTTACGATCTTGAAGGAAGACGTCCACGACATGATTCTTGGAGAAAATGAAAATGTTGATTAAAGTAGATCTTCATCATGTGCAACTTCTAGATCATCGTCGTCTTTCACCGCTGGAGAGCAAACGCAGATACGGCCTTGCTCACTACGGCTCGGGCATGAGGATCTAGTGTCTTCAACAAAACACTTTTTTACAGTCGTTCTGCTTCTGCGCGACTCGTGTTCCAGGTAATCGTGCCGTAGGTAGCCCGCGACGTAGCTAAAGATCGGCCGCCAAGAAACACATTGATGTCGTCCGCGAAAAGAGACTCCTGCCCTTCCTGCGCCATCTTTCTCCCTGTTGGTCGAGAGGAGAGAAGACTAGAACCTCGTCGGCCTCAGGACTTTGCGTTTTATTCGGACATACAGTTGTACCAGTATACACTTCTGTCGATCGACTGCGGTAATCTTCTAGTAATTTTTTACACAGTTCTTGCTCAACATCATTCCCTCGTCGTCCACCACCCGTCTTTTTTCATTTCTTCCGGACAATCCACTTGATTAAAAGGATGCGCCTTCTTCACGGCTTCAAATCCGATCAAATTCTGCAACTTTTCAAAAACGCGCGGGTACTGCGTTTCCACGTCTATTCCAAACCGGATCGCGTTGTGCCACTGCGCGATTAGACAAATGTCCGCCATGGTGGGTTTCTGGTCCGAGAAACAGTACTTCGTTTTCTTCATTCCCGGATGCGGACCACCTGCTTCGCTATTCGAAGTTTCAATCGCGGCTAATAAATTCTCGCACGCCTGGTAGCCCCTTTCAACCACCAGTTTCGCCCACGGAATTGGGTCTTTTTCCCACACTTCGCGAATGTGCTTCTGCACCCGCAAATTCTGCAGCGGCTGCGTGTCGCAGGCGACGATGTTGCAAATTTCCCGGCACTTCTGCCTGCTCGCGATGTCGGAGGTTTCTGGGAGCAGACCGGGGCAGATGTTCTCCTCGCTTAGAAACTCTAAAATCGTCAAAGATTGCGACATCGTGAATTTCGTCTTTTTCGTCTCTTCATCCACAACTTCTAAGACAGGAACTAGATTCTGCCCGTTCGTCAGCTTCTCGTACTTTTCCGATTTTTGTTCGCCATTTAAGAGGTTCACGGGGATATCCTCGTATGGCACGTTGGCGTATCCAGGAAAAAACACCCATCCACATCCAATTTGTCATGCAAAACACGTATAAAATCCTGTGTTTGTCATGCAAAAAATGGATGTGGATGGGTTTTTTCTGTGGATATGGCGAGATTTAGTGCTATCCGGATCCGGTAACTGCAGCCGGATTGGTAGTAACCGTAGAGACGGAGCAGATTTTTAGAAGACGAGGAGGAGGACATTTTGGATTCTATTTTTCAGATTTTCGCGAAGAAAGAGAAGCGACGTAAAATCGTAAAAGAATGAAGTCGATCCCTAAGTACTGCAATGGCAATGGGTCGTAGAACGCGTTTTACTTTTCTTCATTACCCGTGACTATGGGATACAATTTGTGTTGGGGTGGGGTCTGTCGTCTTCAAGGAAACTGCAGTCGAAATCTAAATTTAAGCATTTCGGCCGGGATGCGCGGACACACTAGGTAGCTGCTTGCGTATCGTAAGATGTTTTTGTTTCAGATGATATTGATAATACCGTCGGGTAGCACCAGCTTGATCTCCTCCAGAAACCCAAGCCATAAACTACCGAGTTTCTCGTGTGCTTTTGAAGAAATTGAAATAGTACGAACAGTCAATCGATAGAAGTTCTTCATGATTGGTCGTTGAACCAAGCTAACACAGATCGAAGATCCCGTGCCACCGCGGCAAAAGGCGCGGAACTGGTGCAGGGCGGAGTTATACAATAGCAGGAAGCCTCGCAGTCGCAGCTCTGATTATTTTCATAAAGATAGAGCGATGCAAAAACCTTATACCAAGGACGTCTTTCAAATAGTCGCGCCCGTCTGTAGAAGTGTGCTCCCTTCCTGCTGGTACTGGTGCCGCTGCGGAAACCATACTTAGATTAGAAGAAGAACTCGTCATTGAGTAAGTACACAATTTTTGCAACTTCGGTACATGCCAGCAGCCGAAGCAAGGTTTTTCGTTCTGCGTACGGTGTACAAGTGTATCTCTAACTCTATCTGCACCGGTGTCAAAATTATTTTTCAAAATCAAATCCCCCTCGTCGCCGACACGCTTGGCCTTCAGTCCCGCCCACGACCGTCGCGTCCTCCGATGAGCTTGTGCGAAGACCACGTTGCTCGCCTGCTTCCTGCTCATCGTCGTGTTCCCAACGAAGAGTCCACCTCTTTGTGTCTTCAGGCGAGAAACTTCGGACAAAAATCCGGCAAAGAGTGGATCCATTCGTGGATGCAAAATTTTTCCCGAATGTAGAACCGGACTGCATGGAAGCCGTTTAGTTGCAGCTTGTTGGTGGAAGATGGCACATTACTTGATGCACAAGTTGTTGTGTCGTCGTTTGTTTGCCGGTTTGCGCGATTTCTTTCCCCGCAATTATCGTCCATTTGGAGCCCGTAGACCGTGGCTTCAGACGATGAATCTGTGTCGGTAGGTGTGGCGGAGGTCTCCTCGGCTTCATCTCCAACTTGCGCCAGTTCTTGTACAGAATCATTTTTCATCTTCCCTGCTGCACGAAGATCTGCCAACTGTTGCACAAGCACAGCTTCCTCTTTCTCCTTTGGCACGCAGCAAAAAAACTGGAAGAACAGCAGCACGGTGAGGAGGTGGAGCAGTGACATCTTGAAAAAACTCCGGCAAGTTTTCTTTGAAGGGTTGCTTCGGAACGTACGGAAAGAGCGGAGCTGTGATAAAGTATTTATTTTGGAGCATAGATGAAGTGGAGAGCAGAACTTTGGTCCGTATAATTGTGCATCACAAGTCGGCGTGGTTCTGCACGAACTGCATGACAAAAACAGTTTAGTAGTTGTACCCACACAGCCGTGCTCCCAGTCGTGCTCAAAACGAACATGGCGGGGACCAAATCCAGGTAGTAGCCCAGCATCGGATACGCGAAAATCGACACCAGCCATGGCTTATTGAGCTTCAAAGTTGCTGTGACGGTGGTGGAGGTGGAAAGTACTATATCATGGTGCTGCTCAAGCAGACTAGCAGTGACACGACATACTAGCATACCAACAGCGAAGATCAGATTTGTCACACAGGTGGGTAAAGTTAAAGAACATCACAAATTCGAATTCTAGTATTTTTCTTATAGATAAACTTGTCACTCAGTAGCTTTATGATCGCAATTCAAACTACACCATCAGCACGACAACTTGTTTTTCACTTCTTTTGATACGGCTGGATGAACTTCGCGGCCGTTTCTTTTCCCGTCTCATCGTTGATGCAAAACATCTTAAACTTTTCCGCCTTCAAATAGTCCTCGCGGTACAGCTATCAAACGCAAATAAGTCTGGGTCTGGAAGATTGCCAGGTTTGTCATGCATACTTTGCACCTAGAATACCAGCCACGGTGCCTGTAATGCATGATCTAGCATCACAGATTTTAATGCCTACTCCGCATGAGAAATGCCCCCTCCCCGTAAGTAACACAGACTGGGCTCCTGCTGCTGGTGATGCAATACAGTTTTTCTTGGAATCCAAAGACAGCATTACAGATTGCACCCTTTCAGACCCAGACATATTTGCAATCCATAACAGCCAGGCGAGCGCGTAAAAGTGCGGCATCTGCCACAGCGTCTGAAACCCGAACAGGTACAGGCAATGCGGCAGCCAGGGGTTGGCGAGGACGAGGGCTGGAAGAGTTGTTGCGGCCGCAGTGGTCGCAGCAGCAGCAGCAGCAGTCGTCCCTCCGGCCGCCGCGGCAAACCCGATGCAAGTTGGGAGCGCCCCCGCGATGGCCCCAACGTGGGTGTTGTAGGGAGAAATATGAAAGCCTCAGGTTGGAAATCCTCAAAGTGGAAATAATTTGTGATGCATGAAATGCGACGCAAAAAGAACTGTATTGCAGAGGACGCAACGGAGGCCGACTATTGTCCTGCTAGGGGCGAAGAATTGAGGTGCCGCTTAGCACGACAGAAGGGCACCCCTTTGCCTAACTAGCATGACAGACATGCTTTAAGAAGTGTCCGGGAAATTTGTCATGCGCCGACTACAAATGGCACTTCAACTGGCGTCGTTTTTTTGCATTAGAAATTATTTCTACTTTGAGGATTTCCAACCTGAGGCTTTCATAAGAAAGCTGTTTCATCGGCGTGTAGACGAAAGCGTAGCGGTATCCAGGAAAAAAACACCCACCCCCATCCAATTTGTCATGCCAAACATCCATAATCTGCAGCGTTTGCAATGCAAAAAATGAATGGTGACGGGTGTTTTTTTCTGGATAAGCTGGCGAAAGTGGACGCCGCGACGAGGGACGCAAGCGGGCCGTGTTGCAGGGCTGATAGTGAAAGAAATATGATGGCTTGTTGGTGGTCGTGGTCGTGTTCCTTTCATGCTCATGCTCATGCAAGAAAGCGTCCCTTTGGAGTAACGAAGAACGTGAAACGACGTCATTGTCAAGCTGCGCAAGAAATCAAAATTGTGGTACAAACTCGCGAATGAACAATAAAATCAAAAACTTCTATACCCAGAATCCCGCACCCGGCGCTCAGACTGGCCACTGTCAGGAGTTGCGCTTCCGGCACTGAGATCGCGTTCCGCACCAGGACTCGGTTTTTTGTCCTGTTCATCTTTTTTATCCTGTGCAAAAGTATCGCACATACTCGTATTGCAATCATGCATGATTGCAAATCTTTTTCTGAAGGTAAATCCGCATCACAAATTTTATTTCTCATGCTGAGAAAATTTGTAATGCATTTATACGAGTACGAATACGATACTTTTGAAGTGCATATTTTTGTCCAGATCGATCTCAAGAATTTGATTCGCCGTTTGACTCGCCGTCGAGCAGAGGGCGGCTATCCACAAAGAAGGTTTTTACCGTAGTACAGGACAGGATCGCATCGGAAGAAATACTTATGTACTCGTGAAATTCTTGCATGACAACGACAAGCCTCGCTTACTCTTCCTTGGTATTTTTGCACTATTCGATGTATTTGGCATGACAAGTCGGAGTGTGAGTGTCCGTTTGTTCTTGTTGTTCGTGTTCCTCTAGCAGCTTGCTCTGCATATTTCCCTTCGTATCCTGTGTACGGTAGGAAATTCGTGTTCTTCCATAGCAGTGCCGACGAAGAGGCTTGCTAGGTTCAACACGGTCAACTCGCCCGGTAAAGCGGCCAGGAAGTACCCCGGGAGAGCGGAGAGGCAGACCCAGACGGTCAGTTTTCCCTTGGAGAGTTCGTAGAGGAGCTTGAAATCCAAAAGCTTGGCGATCGAGTCTGCAACTGCGGGTAGGTTTCTGGACGTCGAGGACGCAGTTGGTGCTCCTTCGTAAGTTGTTCCATGGACGATGTCGAGTGCTGCTGCCACTGTGGACGAGGTGGCGCACGATGCACTTTTTTCTGCCGGCGTAATGTGTGAATGAGTGCTTGCAAAAGTTCCTCGCCCGGCGCGCTGCAGTGGTAGCTCCGTGCTGTTTGTTTCCAAATTTTTTATTCCTTCGTCTTTCGAGGAACAAGCCAGCGTCTTTATTTCACCGGCTTGTTGCAGAAGTTCTGCGCTGTTTATTGCTATTCTCATGCCCTCTCGACGTCCTACTTGTGCTGCAGCGAGAGCGGCCCCCGGAGCAGCAGCAGCTCCACCCGAGGACGCAGCAGCGAGCGCCGGTGGAGCGACGGTACTCGAGGACCCCGATGAGGCAGGTGACGTTCTCGCCGCTATAGGTGGTGCGGAAACAGAGGTTGCAGCGAAGCAGGCGCTTTTCGAACGAGTACAGAGCAAGCGACTATCTGAGTTCCGGAAAAATGAGTAGTCCACCTGTGATGCCGGCGTAAAAATACGACTGCTGCTTCTAGATGAACCCTTTTCAGACAGAGAGTCGAAGATGTTTATTCTCGTCGACGTCGTGCTCTTGGTCCTCCACAGAGTAGATGCGCATGTTGACGGCCAAGGGCGACTTTTCGCTGTGAAAAAGCACCGAACGTTTGTCCTGCCGTCTCCTGCAGCTTTCGTCACACTCACACTGGAGGTGACAGTGGTGCAAGACAAATTGCTGCTCATGGTTGGTGTAGTTTTACAGCTTTTCCTCATTGCATGCTGCAGCACGGTGCCGACACGAGGACGAGAAAGAACAAGATCCCCGCTTGGCTGCTGCGGTGCCCCCGCCCGGATGGCACTTCGAAAATTGGTGCTGCTGGTGGCTTTTTGCAGGCCTACGCACAACCCGTTTTGCAGTTGGACAAAGCTAGTACAACTTCCACCAGGCGCTGAGCAAGCCATCGCAGCTTTTCCCGTTGATTTCCGTGCACTCGCAAGAACGGCCTGCATCTTTATTATTCTTGACGGGATATCGATATTTCCACAAGGTCCAAACAAGAAGTCAGAACCAAACACAAACACGAGGTAATTATAACGCGACACAGCAAAAGAAAACAACTACGTTGCAGATGGGCGCCGGTGGGGAAATTTGAAATTATCAAATACAAATGCTCCTTCTTTAACCTCCCAACAAAACGGAATAAAGAAACTGCACCACTTCCACTCTCAACTCATATTTTTCATGGCGGCCAGGGACCACCAGATAGCAGTAGCACTTATTTCAGCTTTCATCTCGTCAATGCTCAGAGGAAATTAATATTGACAGCAGACGCTCTCAGTCTCAACCGGTCCTGTACTTGGAACTGTATTAGCTGCTCATCTTCTCTCAAGGACTTCTACTACGTACAACTTCTAGGAGTCATCATCTCAGGACGTCTTATTCTCGTCGACGTCGTGCTCGTGGTCCTCCACAGAGTAGATGCGCATGTTGACGGCCAAGGGCGACTTTTCGCTGTGAAAAAGCACCGAACGTTTGTCCTGCCGTCTCCTGCTTTCGTCACACTCACACTGGAGGTGACAGTGGTGCAAGACAAATTTCTGCTCATGGTTGGTGTACTGGGTGTACAGCTTTTCCTCATTGCATGCTGCAGCACGGTGCCGACACGAGGACGAGAAGGAGAAAGAACAAGATCCCCGCTTCTTGGCTGCTGCGGCGTCCTCGCACGGATGGCACTTCGAAAATTGGTGCTGCTGGTGGCTTTTTGCAGGCCAACGCACAACCCGTTTTGCAGTTGGACAAAGCTAGTACAACTTCCACCAGACGCTGAGCAAGCCATCGCAGCTTTTCCCGTTGATTTCCGTGCACTCGCAAGAACGGCCTGCATCTTTATTATTCTTGACGGGATATCGATATTTCCACAAGGTCCAAACAAGAAGTCAGAACCAAACACAAACACGAGGTAATTATAACGCGACACAGCAAAAGAAAACAACTACGTTGCAGATGGGCGGAGGAATTTGAAATATCAAATCGTCCTTCTTCACCCTCCCGAATAAACGGTGAATAAGAAAACTGCACCACTCTCAACTCATCTTTTTCATCGCGGCCAGGGACCACCACATAGCAGTAGCACTTTCAGCTTTCATCTCATCAATGCTCAGAGGAAATATTAACAGCAGACGCTCTCAGTTGGTCCTGTGTACTTGCAGCTACTGTATTAGCTGCCCATCTTCTCTCAAGGACTACTTCTACTACTAGAACTTCTAGGACTCTGTCATCATCTCAGGACGGGAGACAGCTTGCTTTGTACGCTGATTCTGCTCTGTTGCTGAGCTGCATCGCTCTTTAGTGAAAAACCTTGAGCATGATCAAGATCTTATCTACTTCGGCAGTTGGTGAGCCTATGCATCAGACGAGCAAATAAGAACACATTATGCGCAAGTAGACCCCGGAGTATTTTTTGAGTAGAATGACGAACTCCGTGCGTAAAAATATTCTTCGTTCCTCCTTTCTCTGTCCGTCGTGCTTTGCGAAAAATAAATGTGAAAGTGAAATAATGCCCTTACGTGTGAATCTTCGTCAAATAAATACAAAAATCATACAGAAACAACATCAATTATCCTGCGTCATAACTTGCAGGGGGCGTCGAAGTGTAGTCCCCCTCACTGATCGGGTCGAGAGCTGCAGGTCTTAGCACGTACGCACCGCTTGTGCTGTGATTCTTCCGGTTCGCTCTGCCCGCAGGAACACTGCTAGCCCGTAGCCTGTTGAACTGAAAATGGGTCGTGGCCGCTAGTCCCCCCGGCGTCGTGAGGTAATGATCAAGTGGCGGGGCCGTGGGTACAGAGCTTGCACCAGTCGTACCACTGGAAACAGCACTGGCGCTGGGGGAGAAATTTTGTTGGTTCACTGCAGACGTCCTCGGTGGAGCTGCATTCGGATTAAACGCAGGTGGTCGTTAATGGCGCGGAAAATTCTACTTCTCGTCAACATCCTCACCCTGGTGATAGCCTGATCGCTATGTTGCATATTTACGCATGAATATTCACCTTAGAGATACTAGTATGCATTTGCATGTGATGTTGAAGAAGATTCACATGCACTACATGCAAGGCGGCTGCATTTTCTTCTTCTAAGTGTTCCTTATTTTCCTGTCCTGATGATGTACCAGCAGTGTTGTGTCTATTGGTATTACTTCTTCTCGAATAACTATTTCTGCATGAAGGTGAAGAACGAATCGATCGCCGGCAAGAGCATTGAGCTGTGAAGGGTGAAGACGACGCGTAGAAAATGTTTTTTTTCAATTTGCGTATGGTTGGTAATCTTCGGCCGCGAATGCGGCGCTATCCTGGTATCCCATCAAGGCCTGCTGCTCTTCCGAAATTTTATGAACTGCAAAAGTATCGTACTCGTAGTATTGCAATCCAAATTATCTCAGCAAGACAAATGGATTTAGGTTGAAAAAGAAATTTGTCTTGCATGACTGCGATTAGTACGAGTACGATGCTTTTGCACAGCATAAATTTGAAACAACGGCGACGACATGTCAACATTCACAGTGTAGTTTGGAAGACGTTGTACAGGCTGCAAAATCTTCTGTTGCTCGCCTTGCTGGTTGTACAGCGAGTTGTTCAGACCAACATCCGCTTGTTGTCCTGCCTGACCTAATCCTGTTCCTGTCGGGGGCATGATGATCATGTTGTTGCCGGTTCCTGTTTCAAGCGGAGGAGGACCAGGACGAGGACCTCCTTGAATCGATGCTCCGCCAACCACGTAGTAGTTGTCTTCTTCACGATATCGAAACAAAAACCTGCTTCACTTCTGTAAACTTGTGATGCTTTTTCATAGATGAACGCAACATCACAGACGGCGCATTTACTGAGGTGGTCTTGCTACATCACATGATGCAAGGCATTGGGTTTCATCTTCATCTGCGCGAGCGCGAACTGTATGCTTCCCTAAATAGGAAGCACGCATGGCAAGTTTTCTTTGTCGTGTGTTGCGAAGTAGCAGTGCAAAAGTTGGAAAATTGTCCTTACACAGTGAAGCTACACTCTTTTCTCACGATAGTACACGACAAGCACCTTGGTCTCCTCCGATTTTGTTGGGTGCCAGCTCTTCTGCATTTTTCATGGCAGTAGTTCCTGCAGTGCCAGCGTTCAACATCTTCTGGGGTGCCTTTTCTACTTCCGCCGCTTGTGGTTGTGCAACATGTCCTCGTGCTTCTTGGGCGTTAATATTTCTCGAACTGGCTCGTGGAGGTTGTACTGGTTCCATTGGGCTGAGCACAAAACTCGCATATCGACCGTAGCCCGCGCGGCTGGAAGTACCGCCGGGCTTCATAGGATATTATGGGAGCGCACAACTGCTCACTCTCCTTCTCAATTCTCGAGTAAATAGATAGAAGTTGTAAACTATCCATCCTTTAGAAGTGACAACTCTTTGGCACTATAGTCATGACTGAGGACACGTTCATCTGCAAGCCCGAATGGTTCTTGCACTGCAAAAATCCTGTGCAAATTTTTTGTCACACAAGAAAACGACCTGCGTACTTGCTGACGCATGTATTTTTGCTGTTCGTAGTTCTCGTCATGGTGCCTTAGAGCTAGAAATGAGAAAGAGGGGGTCATGATGAGTTGTGCGTTTCCATACTGGAGCTGGTCTTGATGCGCCACCACCTCGTCCTCCTCCAAGAGGCACTTCTACAGATCCGCGTGACGAGGTGGCTGGCGGCGCCGCCGTGTTGACGGCACTTGCCGTTGTACTCTCATTCCCTAGTCGTCTCGTAGCTCGAGATGTAGTAGTACCTCCTCGTGGTGCTGGCTGGCGGTCCACTTCCGCGTGCGTGAAGTAGGCAGATGGGGGACCACGGGGGGCTGAATGCACACCCGCAGTAGAACCCGACCCGGCCAGTGGATCTTCGTGGTTCTTTCTGTGCTCTACTACATCCGCTTCCACCTCATCTTGTGCTGTGATGCGATGCTCTTTACTACCATTTTTCAACTCTCGTAGTTCCCCTTGTGGTCCTCGTGTCGCCCCAAAGGCAAACTCCTTTGCCGCGCGGCGGTTTCGCCGGTTGTCCAGCTTCCTTTGTCGCTTCGACAAACTGGTGGGCTTCTTGCTACTAGTATCGTCCACCTCCAGCCGTCTACAACTGTCACAGGAATCGCACTTGATTATGTCCAGCATTCCCAGAATGACCAGCACTGCTAGGACGAGGAAAAGAACGGAAACGGTATATCAAAATGAAAAATCCCCCCACCCCATACTCAAACTAGAACTTTGTGATGCAGATTCGTGGCCACAAATCAACTTTGTCATGCCAGAAGGGAAAAGATGCGGACTGTAGTGCTGGTTGGCGTGGGAAAGCCTTGTATCTTCAGCATGACAGGGGGCAGCTGGAAATGGGAAACAGCGTGACAAATTGCCTGAAAACGAGGCCACAGCTGCGTCTCTTGGCCTTCTAGCATTTTTACAAGTTGACTTGTGTACTCAAATACAGCAACAAAATTTCGTTTTCGATATGGGGAGGGGAGATTTTCCCTTTTGATACGGCAAAAAGAGATCCCACCTGCGTGGCGTGCGCTGAAAATTCCGCAAGTTTCTTGTGAGCGTATGGGAGTGCCAGGATTGGAATCGACAAAGTTGTACTGCATAAAACGGATACCAGTTGGCGCCTAGTTTTCAAGTGGCGCATGACAAATTTGGGTAGAACCGAAATCCAGTTTGTCATGCTGTTTGGGGAAGAGTGGCGCCTTTTGTCATGCTACTTCAGCAGCTCTATTTCTACCCCTCAACAGGCTTACAATCTGCCTCCCTTGCCTACTCTGCAAGACTGGCACTTTGTGGGTTGCGTTTTATTATGCATCAAAAACTATTGCAACTTTGACGATTTCAATCCTGACACTTCCATAGAGCGTCTTCTTTATCGTCAGCTTTGCGAAGCAGCGCTGTAGATGAGGTATTGGTCCTCGTGCGGCCTTATCAAATGAAAAAGTGTCTGGGTCTGGAAAAATTGGAATCTGTGTTGCGTGTCCTGCACTCCTGTAAAATCTGTATTGCGTGACCGACAAAAGCGCTAATTATTTGTCATGCAAAAACGCAGTTTCTCATGCGCATTACATATGAGAAACCGTCCTGAAAATTTGTCATGCTTGGCTGCTCTCAGGAGTTGGCTCAATCATCGCCACTTAGCATCACAAGTTTCCAGACCCAGACATTTTTACATTTGATAGGCCTGCTTCATGTTCGCCTTCGCCGGGGTCAGCTGCAGCCGCTCGAGATGATCCTTGATATCCACAGAAAAAAACCCATCCACATCCATTTTTTGCATGACAAACACATGACTTGATACGTGTTTTGCATGACAAATTGGATGTGGATGGGTTTTTTTCTGTGGATACTTGATGCTGTCGAACTATCCGACTGTGGGTTCTTGGGGCTGCCAGTATTACTTTCGGCTGCTGTGCTGGTGTTGAACTAGCATTTATTTTTACAGCTACCGCCCCAGAAGTTGGAGCAGCAGGGACATCAAGTGAAGGCTTATTTTCATTATTCCCTGCCGGGGGCTCCTGGTCCTGCGACGACCCAGGCCGGCGCGACGACGGTGACCCTACCACCAGGCCCTTTTGGATATTATTTTTTTCGAGGCTCATTTCTTCAAGCACCCCTTTTGTCTTCTTCCCAGCGGTGCGCATCAACTCGCTCGCGGTATAGACATCACAAGGCCGCAAGTCGTTCGGCCCGATTCCTGCAGCATCAAAAGGAAAAATCCCCCCTCCCCATATTAAAAAGGAAGTCTGTGCCGCTGCACTTGCGTACACAAATCAGATTCGTCGCGCAGTAGAAGACTGCAAGCGTATGCCAACCCCGGGGGCGCAAGGTTTTGGGGTTGGCGCCTAGCGTTACAAATGTCCACACTGTAGGCCCAACAACATCACGAACCGCCTGCACAGTGCGGCGCAGCCTGTGGGCTTGCCTTCTTGCAAGACGATTTGTGGTCCGAAATCAGCATTGCAAATTTTATGTGGCTTCCTTTTCGATACGGGGAGGGGGGATTTTTCCTTACGATATTTAGGAACGAAACTGGCTTCCCGGAGCGGCAGAGCTTTCTTCTCCTTTCCATAATTTTCGTAGAAAAAGTCCATGAGTTTTTCATGACCGGCCTGCCCATAGTCTTCCCAGAAGTCCGTGCGGTTTCTTTCAAGATTGCTGCAGCGCTCCACGTGGCCAGGTGGAGTATATGGCCAAGGTGTTGCAATTTCAGAATAAAGAGCATTCTGTACGACGTCTATGGGGGTGAGTGTCAGAATCGAAATCGACAAAATCGAAAAAGAACTTGCAATGCATAAAATGTAGCGCACGCATGGCCTGTATTGGGGAGCAGGCAAAGGGGGCCGGTTGGGAGCCTGCTTAGAGGAGGGCAATGCATTGCCAGAGTAGCATATCAGGAGCAATCTTCTTTGCCCAAACAGCATGACAGACTGGATTTTGGTGCTCCCGAAAGTTGTCACGCGCCTTTTGAAGCTCAGGCGCCAACTGGTATCGATTTCATGCATCACAAACAAGCACCAGGCCCGAGCACGGGGACAGAGCCCCCGTGCGGCGACCCTCCGGCATTTGTCTGGACCGGGGGCCCCCAGAAAATACCCCAAAGCCTCAAAAGTTCTGGCTTGCCGCAGTCTAAATAGTAATTTAATTACAAATAGTAATTACATACCTATTTCGATTTTGTTGATTTCGGTTCTGACGCTTCCATAACGACCAGCGGAAAAGAATATTTGTCCTCTTTCGGAGAGGCCGGCGGCGTAGCGTTATGAAAGTGCACAACCCCCCCCCTCATTTGTCATGCACAGTGCCTAACTTAGGCCTTGGCTCTTGGCACTGTTTGCATGGCAAGTTCTGGCAGCCCAAATAGCACTGCACTCCCGTCCAAATTTGTCATGCAAAACCTGTATTCTTGCTGACGCTTGTATTGCTGTTCATGCAATACAAATGAGGGGAGGGGGAGTTGTGCACCCGAGTAAAACTGCGTATTGACATATGTGCCTCGCACTCGTCCGAGAAGACCAGCGGTCTGCGACTGCGACCACCCACTGCTCTGCACTCGATTCGAGTGCACCAGACGATGAAGCACCCACTGCTTGTCTTCTTCTGCAGTGGAAATGGAACGATAGCAGCCGATGTCTTCCGGGCGACCGGCCCCCGATATTCTTTTAGCGATATTCTCGTCTTGGGGCGGGCAAACCCTTTTTTTCCGAACGCAGGGCGACGCCATCCAGGATTGCTTATACTCGAGATCTGCGTATCCAGTGCAAATGTGTCTGGGTCTGGAAGGATACATAGGTTTGTCATGCACAGGAGCTTGCACGGCTCCTGACGTTTGATGTGATGTATACCCTAGGAGCATCACAGATTTTGTGAGGGGGGCTTCCTCATGCCTATACCGCATCAGAAATGCCCCCTCGCCGTGGTAAAAACTGGACCACCTCTTCTGGTGCTGTTCATGCAATACAGATTTTTCTAGTATCCAAATGCAGCTGCGTCACAAGTTGCAACCTTCCAGACCCAGACATATTTGCATTTGATAATGCGAGCCGTGGAAAGTCTCCTTCTGCGTCTGCCTCGTCCTCCAGTTGTGAATACTCTGCCTGTATCACATGCAAATATGTCTGGGTCTGGAAATCCAAATTTGTGATGCTAACTATGACCGTACCGACGTGCCAATAGATCCAAATTTGTGATGCTGAATGGCCATGAGTGACTGCGCCTGTAAGACCAGTGCAGCGTGACAAATTTTTCAGACGCTTAGTGCACATTACAAACTGCGTCTTTTCATCACGAAATCGTGGCGCTTTTGTTGTTTTATGCAATACAACAGATTTTTCTGGAATCCTCGACACGCAATACAAGTTCCACTTTTCCAGACCCAGACATTGTATTTGCAATGCATAACCTGCGTCGGAGAGAAGGTTGTGTCGGGAAGTGCGGCGCAAGCGGGGCCGAAGAACTCATCCACACTAAGGTCCCGCAGCAGAGCGCTGTGTATGAACTGCAAAAGCATCGCACTGGTAAAAATTGCATTACAAATTGACTTAGCATTTTGTAATGCGGATTTGCCTTAACGAAAAAGATCTGTAATTATTGCATAAACGCAATTAGGACGAGTACGATACTTTTGCACAGGATACTGTGGTGAAACAGGCGACAACTGGAGGCATCGTATGCAATACAAATTTCCCGTACATGTAGAAGAACATGCTCCACAAATTCCACCAATTTGGAGCATAAAACTTTTCATGCTAAACTAGGATCGAAGCCAAGTTTTGTCATGCAGAGACCGCATCTGTACGTGCAAGGGAAATTTTCTGTGGATATACCGGCCGGGAATACGTCCCAATTTCGGGACTCTTTTGCCTGAAAGGCGGTGCAAAATTCATCGAGCCAGCAAAGCCTGGCGCACCGTGCCGCGGTTACCTTGTCCACATGAACTATGGAAGCGCCAGGATCGAAATCGACAAAATCGAAAAATTTGTGATGCATAAAACCGATACCAGTTGGAGCCCAGTTTAAGTTTTTAAGTGGTACATAACAAATTTTGGCGGTACCTAAATCCAGTTTGTCATGCTGATCAGGCAAAGAAGACTGCCCCTGTCGTGCTACTCTGGCTGCAGCGCCTTGCATACCCCTAGCCAGGCTTACATTTACAATCGGTCTCATTTTCCTGCTCCCCAGTACAGGCCTCCAGTGCCCTAAATTTTACGCATCACAAATTTTTCGACTCTGTCGATTTCGATCCTGACACATCCATACGAACCGCGGCGAGCAGTCCGAAGGTATCAGAATGGAAAATCCCCCCTCCCGCCCACATCAAAACGAGACTTCTGATGCTGGATTTGCGTACGCAAATTGATTCTGTCTTGCTGGCGAGGACTGCAGACCCATGCTAAGCCTGAGGAGACAGGTTCTGGCCTTGGCGCTTTGCATGGCAGACGCCTACGCCGTGGTAGGTGCAACAGCATGACAAACCGCCTGTAGAACAATGCGGCGGAGCCTGTAGAGTTGCCTTTATGCAACATCACAGAGACGATTTGTGGTCACAAATCAGCAACGCAAATTTTCGAAAACGTGCCTTGTCAACATGGGGAGGGGTGATCATAGTTTTTCCTTTTGATAGAAGGGCGCCTCCTGCTTATGCGCGCACACCTATCCTGTGCAAAAGTATCGCATTCGTATATTAAATGCAAGTCTTGCATGACAAATTTTTTTCTTGAGACAAATCCGCATTTCTCATCATGCTGAGGAAATTTGTAAATGCATTTCAATTTCTACGAGTACGATACTTTATTTGCAGTTCATAACACCCCCACCCCTACGACTTCGCCGTCAAAAAATTGATCTATGGGAGTAGCGTTGCGCAGTAAATCCACTTCGGGCACAAAATATATTCGCAACGGACCAAAAGTCGAAGCTGCGAAGATCTTCGTGTAGTTATGATAGGAGTCGTTGCTGTTCTTGTAGACCACTACTTCTGTAGTTTCATTTACTGACGATGCTCCTGTAGTTGACGGCAACTGCCTCGTCTCAGTGCTGCCTGGTGTTGCTGCTGAACGCGGACGAGAACCCTCTGGACCCTCACCTGCCGACCGCACAGCCACGGCGGCGGGCGGGGACCCCCGCTCGTCGGGGGCCCCCCGCAGCAGGGTCGTATTGATATAGTTGATATAGTCCCCCCGATACAGGCTCATCTTGGTCTTCTTTACTAAACAGGGAACCGCTTTCCACTCCTGCTTTTCTTTCAAAAACAACCTCTTCACGAGATCGGGATTAGAAATGCTCAACCTTCTTCCTTGCTCTTGTAGTTGTCCTATGCATTGCAAATATCGATCTGGGTCTGGAGGAATTGGAACTTGTCATGCAATTTCAATTAAATAGGGGGCAATAAAGATTTGTCTTGCGTAAGCACCAATAAAAGCTTCCCAAAAATCTTGCTACGCAGTAGATCATAGGGCATTATGATTATTTCTCATGCGGAATAGCAATAGACATGATCAGAAGGCCTGCGGAAAACCTGCACTAATGCTTTATTTGCGTGCATTAGAGACCAGTTGCGTGATCCACCAGAAGATGTCGATGACAAGGTCCTGCAATCTTCCTCCAGACCCAGACATTATATTTGCCTTTGATATGATGTCCAACATGACCACTCGTCGTCTATGAACTGCAAAAGTATCGTACTCGTATAAATGCATTACAAATTTCCTCAGCATGAGAGATAAAATTTGTAATGCAGATTTGACTTGAGAACAAGACTTGTAATGCAAGACCTGCATTTCTACGAGTACGATACTTTTGCACAGGATATCGTCGGGAACGGAACGAAGGTGGAGGCAGGCACCGCGGCGTATTCCGGGGCCCAAAGCTATGGATTGCAAAAGTCCCTGGATGTCTGGAAGATTGCAACTTGTCATGCTAATTCCGAATAATGCAAAAATCTGTGTTGCATGAGTACCAAAAGCTGTCCACTTTCGACCAAGTTGGGAGGGAGTTTCTCACGCAGGATAGGCATAGCAGAGACCTCACAGACCCTGTCATGCTAGGTCCCGCATTCCAGACCTCAGGGGTCATGGAAAACCTGCATGACAAGTTTACACTCTTCCAGACCCAGATGACATTTTTACAGTTGATAAAAACCGGTCTTTGCCAATACTCTGCAGAAGCGTACTGTGGTGAAACAGCAGACAGGTTGTGCAGCTGCATGCGCTTTCGTCTAGACGGCACTTAGCGGAGGTGCAACTCTCGTAATATGTAGCAGGAGGTCCTCGTGAAGGAGCACGAGCGCCAGATATTGAGGAGTTTGCTTGTTTCTTGTTCATCATATTGGTGACGTGGGACCGTTTGAAAGTCGAGCTCTTCTTGTCAGTTGATTCTATTTCTTCATCCCTCCACAACCCGCGCTGAATGGCTATGGGGCTCTCAAACGTTACATTCTCAACTGTTACATGATTTGTCATGCAAAATGATCATCAAGATCCACAATATCAAGCTGCTTCGCATGACAAATTTGCGAATGGCTAAACAGCGCCCAGATCTGTTCGGAATTTGTAATGCTACAGATGCAACCTCCCCCCTTTCACTTTTCCCATTCTTGCATGACAAATCCATGTAACACTTGAGACTGTAACGTTTGAGAACGCCATAATGGCGGTGCAGTTCTGGTCCAACAAGCAGAGCCGCGCGCACGCATGCGGGTGTCAAGTGCAAAATTGTCTGGGTCTGGAACAAGGATGCCAGGTTTGTCATGCACATTTTGCATGGCTCCTGATGTCTGTGATGCATGCCCTAGCATCACAGATTTTGCGACGGCTTCCTGATGCCTGTACCGCATCAGAAATGCCCTCTCGTCACCATGGCAAAAAATGGACCTCTTTTGCTGTTCAACATGCAATACAGATTTGCTGTAGAATCGAAATCCAGCATCACAGATTGAAACCTTCCAGACCCTGATCGATATTTGCAATGCATAGCGGGTGTATGTTCGCGATTCCGATCGCGGCGCGGAGTCCGTAGGGCGCTAAAGTCGGATGCGCGCACAAACCGTATCAGAATGAAAAACCCCCCTGCGCCATATCAAAACGAAGTTCTTTGTGACGCTTTGCGTACACAAATCAGACACAGACAGCCCTGTCTTGCTGGCGAGGGCCACCACTGCAGGCCCTTACCAAGCCTGAGTAGACAGGTTCTGGCCTAGGCATTTAGCATGACAGACGTCTACGCTGTAGGAGCAGCTACAGCATGACAAACCGCCTGCCTGGAGAATGCGGCGGAGCCTGTGGGTTTGCCTTCATGCAACACAGAGGCGATTTGTGGTCAAAAATCAGCAACGCAAATTTTCGAAAACGTGCCTTGTCAGTATGGCGAGGGGGGATTTTCCTCACGATAAACCGGTCCGGTTGTGCAACCTGTGGTCCTCGGGAAGGTCGTCGTGTATGAGAGTGCACAAGAACTCCCCCTCGTTCTCGTTTCTCGTGCAATAAAACACCAACCCAAGAAGCCTGTCCCTGTCCCTCCTGTGGTCACTATTAACGTTATGCATTTTTTGGAAGTTGAAGCCCTCGCAGCCCAAATTATACCACTCGACTCGTAGTGTAAATTTGTCATGCAAATAAAAAACCGGCATTCTTGCTGATGATTGTAGTTTTAATACCGTTCACGCGTATACAAATGAGGGGGAGGGGGGGTTGTGCACTGTCATATCGCCTTCCGGCTTGACAACATCGGACAAGTAGCCGGGTACTAGTTGAAACCTATGGCGTTCTCAAACGTTACACTCTCCGCTGTTACATGGTTTGTCATGCAAAATCACAATTAGAATTGATACGATCAAGCTGCTTCGTACGACAAATTCTCGAAGAGCCAAACAGGCCGAGAATCTGCGCCAAATCTGTCATGCTAGACGCGCAAGGTCACCCCTCTGACTTTTGCCATTCTTGCATCACGAATTCATGTAACAGTTGAGAATGTAACAGTTGAGAACGCCATAAAACCCGTCTGGGACTTCTAGCTCTGCAGCACGCAGTTATCCTGAGTAAAAACGTCCCCACACCAGAGTTGTCATGCAGATTTGCAATGACAGGAACATTTGCAATGCGCATTGCCAGGAGAGGCAGTTTTAGTCGTGTTGTGGAATTTGTAATGCTGCAAACAGGATGAGCAGATGGATTTCTGTCCCTTTACCTTCCAGCAATACAGGTTGATTTGTGTACAACACAAATCGCGCATCAGAAATCTCCATTTGATATTGGGAGGGGGAATTTTTCCTCACAATACAGGAGCAAGAGCTTCCTGCTGCTTGACGAGGAGGTCGGAAGTAGATATGGATCTGTCACGCTCGCATGCATTGCAAATATGTCTGGGTCTGGAAACTTCAAACTTGTGATGCAAATCTACGAATGGTGGGCGCACTGCAATTATATGCAGCCCAGCATGACTAATTTTTGCGCTGCTGCGTGTTTCGTTTTTCGCATGTCATGACCAACTGCGTTTTTGCATGACGGGCAAGAGGCCCTTTTCCTGCTCACGCATCACAAATTTAAGTAGAGTCATGCCAGACAAGCATGTTGACAAACTTGCTCTCTTCCGGACCCAGACACATTTGCATTTGATAGCTCGAGATCTACAAATTTACAATAGAATCTGGAAATCTGTGATGCAAGAGCTGCATGATCTAGCCTACTCCCATAGGATTGCGCATGACAAGTATTTCGGGGGCTCCAAACTGCATTGAGCATTCGGCTCAATTTTTATTGCGAAAAGCTCAGTTCTCTATACGTTCCTGATGCTCTTCATGCAATACAAAATCCAGATTCTATTGTAACATTTGAGATTGTAACCTTTGAGCAGGTCATAACAGTGCTGTTCGTTTCCAATGCCGCCTTGAAGAGGTGGTGTTTCTGTTTCATCCTCGTGTGCTGATTCATTATTTCGACTTCTGTGTTCATCCTCTTCACGAACTCCGTCTCTAGCTCATCGAGCTGCTCCTTCAGGAACTCCGTAATGTAGTTTCTCAATGGTAACTTAAAGTTTGCAAGTAGTCCGTTTTTCCCTACCAGCCGTGGGCGAGCCAGGTATGGGCGTGTCAGGATCGAAATCGTCAAAGTTGAAATAATTTGTCATGCATAAAATGGATGCTAGTTGGAACCCAGTTTCCAAGTGGCACATGACAAATGTCGGCGGTCCCTAAATCCAGTTTGTAATGCTGTTTAGGCAAGGAAGACTGACTCTCTCATGGTGCTTTAGCAGCTCGAGCAGTAACCCCAAACAGGCTTACAATCGGCCTCACTTGCCTGCTCTGCAACACACGTATTTCGCGTCATGCATTTTATGCATCACAAATTTTTCGATTTTGTCAATTTCGATCCTGACAGTTCCATACCAGGTGATCATGTAGTAGGGAGTCGGGGTCGACCCGGGGCAACTGCTTACTGTCGACCCACAGATCCTATCAAATGCAAAATATCTCTGGGTCTGGAAGAAAAATGCAAGGTTTGTCATGCATCTTTTGCCTGACACATGATGCCTGTAGCGCATGACCTAGCATCACAGACTTTTAGAAGGCCTCCCGATGCCTATTCCGCATGACAAATACCCTCTCGTCCGCTTGGCACAAATTCGACTCCTCTTGCTGGTCATGCAATACGGATTTTTTTACAATCCAAAGTTACAACCGGATCAAATTCCAACTCTCCAGACCCAGGCTGCATATTTGCAATGCATAGATCCCGTACTATTTCTATTTCCATGCGCAACTCGCTCTTGCGGCCGCGAGGATCGGGATTTTCATTTTGAATTTGCATTTCGTGCCAGAACGCGTAATCCGAGTAATCCGCTCCTTTATCTGATCCCGTTACCAATTCCGCGAGCTGTATCCTGTGCAAAGACATCCCCACCCCAGAGTTGTCATGCAGATTTGCCACGACAGGAACATTTGTGATGCGCAACCTCATGACAGGCATTTTCAATCGTGTTTGGGAACTTGTAATGCTGTAAACAGGATCAGAGCGTCGATTTGTGATGCGGCTTTCCTTGCTAACTTGCACTACCTTATGGACTGAAACTTGTCATGCGTGACTCCTAAAGCTCCTAGGTTTGTGTTGCAAAATCCCCATCCTGACTCTGGTGTGGGTACGTTTTTACTCAGGATAAGCTGCGCACGTATGGAAGCGTCAGAAAGAATCGAAATCGCCAAAGCTGAAAAATAAAAATTTTGTGATGCATGAAATGCAATAGTACAGCCCAAGAATAAACAAGTATCCTATACTTATATTGGAAGGCACCACGCGGCAACGAGTGGTGGCCCGGTTGAGGTTGGAGATATTAGGGCTCCTGCTAAAGTACTACTATCTAGCCCGACGACGACAGACGAGGTCTTTATTTTTGCCCACACAGCATGACGAAGTAGTTCCGGCGGTCAACGGAAAATTTGTCACGCGTCGCTTGGCACAAATTGGGTTTGTTCAACCAATCTGACCGGCACGGCCGCGGCCCATTTTGTGAATCGCAAAGTTTTCGAAAAACTTTGTCGATTTCGATACTCCGGACGCTTCCATAGTACGAAGATATTGCCTAATGACCGCTCTGACATCTTCCACCTTCGGCTCGTATCAGAAGGAAAATAAATGATCCCCCCTCCCCAGAACAAGCCAAAACTTCCGATGCTAAATTTGCGCGCGCAATCAAATCAGTTTTGTCTTGCAGGAGAGGACTGCGCCGGGCCCATATCATCGACCAGTAGAGTAGAGCGTCTGTGAGGGGCTTCGGCCTCGCCACTTAGCACGCGGAACGCCTACGCTGGAGGCCCAGCAGCATGATTACAAACCGCCTGCGTAATAAATGGGGCGAAGCCTGTGGCGTTGCTTTCTTGCAAGACAGACGCGACTTGTGGTCGTCACAGAGCAGCATTACAAATTTTCTGAGGCGCGCATTTTCGATATGGGGAGGGGGCGTTTTCCCTTATGATAGCTCGGCTTCTGTTGACCCCTCGCTTCCGGTCGACGAGGACAGCACGACTGGATCCCAGGTGTAAGTATGCATTGCAAAAGCAACGCACTCGTATAAATAATTGCCGTCAACATCATGCATGACAAATCTGAAATCTCTTTCCAAATTATAACCTGAAACAGCATGACTTTTACAAGTTCCACTTTTCTTGTTCCTGCCGAATCCGAATTTATATTTGATGTGCTGCTGTTCTTTATTCTAACTACTACGATATTACTTTTGCAATGCGTAGTACGCCTTGACCACCAGCTTTTCCAGCACTTCCATCCTCTTCTTCATAAAAGCCGGCGACACAAACACTGCGTCATACCTTGTAGCGGGGATACCATAATCGACGGATTGACTTCGCGGTAAGCGTTCTATTACTTTTTTTCTTTCTTCGTCCCTCTTCTTTTTTACGCTTGTTGGAACAAACCGCCCGGGAGGCGTGAGGCTTCTGGGAAGCGCAGGAGGAGCCGGCTCTCCTATGGAAAAACGGCCTCACCCCACAGCTGCAATGCAAATCGGCATGCTGAAGATATTTCTCATGCGGGGCGCCATGAGACGTAATCTCTAGTCGTTTTTCGGAATTTGTCACACTCCAACCAGCGCGATGCGCTAGATCTGTGACGCTGCTGATCTAGCTAATCAACAGGATCACGACACGACTACGAGGCCAGACTTGTCATGCGCAACGGCCAAACAAGCTTGTTGATTGGTCTGCCAGATTCCCCAACTTGACTGTGGGGTGTTTATCTACTGGAAAAAGGCCAAAATAAAGCACACAGAAACTTCGGGTGGGGACGTTTTTACACAGGATACTGGTCCCAACTTCCACTTCGGTAGTACTTGGTGGTCCAATATTCCTGTAAAAGTGGTTCCAACATCGGTAGTAGTTGTCGCCGGAGTTCTTGGAGTTGAGGTTGGGCCACCTTTATAATTTCCGCCTCCGTCCTATGCGAGTGTCAGGATCGAAATCGTCAAAGTTGAGATAGTTTTAGTTTGTGACGCATAATAAAATCGATACCAGTTGGGCTCAGAGTATATAGTCGGCGCATGACAAGTTTTGTTTTCCTCTGAAGCACGTCTGTGATGCTGTTTGGGACAAAATAAGGGCTCCCCTTTGTCATGGAGGTAGGCAGCACCAGCAGCCCATCAATTGGCGACCCTGCCAGCACTACAATCCGCCTCCTATCTTGCGTCCTCTGCAATAGGGGCAGTTTTAGTTTTTGCGTTGCGTTTTCTGCATGACAAACTATACCAACTTTGTCGATTTCGATCATCCTGACGCTTCCATACGCCCGTCGTGGCCGTTGACGTTGTAGTCGTAACTTTTTCGACATCTCTTCTTGCAGGAACATCTTCCGTCGCCTCCGTAGTTCCGTTGGTTTATCGAAAGGAAAAATCCCCCCTCCCCATATCAAAAGGGAATTTCTGATGCTGGATAGATTTGCGCACACCAATCAGCTTTGTATTGCAGGGAGGCATTGCGGCCAGATCCCCAGGCTGGATAGGGGCGCATGGGTCTCCTTTAGCATGGCAAACGGCTCCCCTTTAGGCCCAACAGCATGACAAATCGCCTCCATAATGTGGCGGAGGCCTCTCCTGCCCTTGTCTTCTTGCAAGACAAATGTGAAGACTTGTGGCCTCAAATCAGCAACGCAAATTTTCGGAAACATACCTTTTCAATATGGAGAGGGGGAGTTTTTCCTTTCAATATGGTTCGGGTCATCAGAACCACGGCCTCGGTCAGAAAAAAGAAGAACGGTTATCCTGAGTAAAAACGACGTCCCCAGGGATAGAGAGAATTAATTTTGCAGCACAATATAATTCAACCTAGATGATTTTAATTTTGTGGCCATCACGACGCATGACAACTACTTGTTTGTTCTTGCAGTCCGTAGTGTACTAGTGCAGTTTCTTGGTGAGGGCATCAGCCGCATCATCACAAATTTTTTATCAGCTCAACAAATCCTGTTTACAGCATATACAAAAATTTATGCCAAAACTACACGACGACTAGAAATTGAAGTTCCTCTCATAGAAGTTTTTATGCGCATTACAAACTAAGTACGTTGTTGTTGGCGTTCCTCCTGTACTGTATGCAAATGATCTGCAATATGGCAACTATGGGGCGAACGTGAAGACATTTTTGCTCAAGATAAACACGGAAGCAGCAAAACTAGCGCAAGCTGCCCAAGAACCACGTCGAAACTGCCCCGGCGCGGTACTGAACAGCACATTCTCGTCGTGGCCCTCGGTCGTGCTCGTCCAAACCAAGCCCCAGGTGCATGATATGGATGTGTCAGGATCGAAATCGTCAAAGTTGACATAATTTCTCATGCATAAATTGTAAGGCATGAGGTGCCTCTCTTGCAGGGATGGAAAGTGAGGCCGACTGTCAGCCTGTTTGGGATCTGAGATAGAGCTGCTACGGTAGCATGACAAAAGACGCCTTCTGTCCCTAAACAGCATGACAGACTGGATTTAGACGGCGCCGAGATTTGTCATGCGCCGCTTGGAGATTGGGCTTCCAACTGGTATCGATTTTATGCATTATAAGTTATTTCAACTTTGACGATTTCGATTCTGACACGTCCGTAAATGAAGACCCGGAGGCTGTCCTCGAGGTTGTAGGTGGGAGGAGGTGGATATGCTTATGCACTGCAAAAGTATCGTACTCGTAGCAATCCTAATCGCAATCGTGCATTACAAATCTCCCTCCTAACCCAAATCCGCATTACAAATTCCATTTTTCATGCTGACAGAATTTGTCATGCGATTTATACTAGTGCGATGCGTTTTGCGTTTGATAGTGAAGAAACGTAAGCAGATCGATCCTTCACCGCGTCCCATCTATTCGCGTATTCGCAAGCTATGTTCTTGTTTCCCGTGCCTGTTGCTTCTTCTATGCAGAGCCGAGGACGGGGGCGGCCCTCCTGGCGGCTACGTCGATCCGGCGAGGAGAACCGCCTGGCGGCTACGTCGGCATCAGTTCGAGATATCTTTCAACTCTTCGATCGAAAAAGGTAAAAACAAAAAAAAACATAAAATTGAAAGGAATTATGATACATATGGCAAACAACATACGAACTACATTTTTGAGCTTTATTTTAGGTGGTATCGTATGAGTATAAAAGATGCTTGTGGAGGCGGCACAGAAGCAGCCTGGAAAATTTGTGAGAGAGAAAGAGAGTAGAGTATGTTGAGTGCGTATGGACGCTCCTGGTCCTGCTCTTCCTCTTCTATAGTTCCGGTAAATTTGAAAAATCTAGATAGAATATCAATAGTACTTGTTACATTCATCAGTGGAACAGATCTAGTACCGATGAGTTGTCAAAAACATCTTGACAAAGTCCACCCAAAAAGCGGCCGAGGGTCACAATCAAACAACACCAAACACCGACTCGAAACCACCAAACAATAATTTACCGACCTACACTTGATGAATCTGAATGGCTTCACAAATAAAGTCTTCCTTTTTTTCATTTCACCGATGGCTATGTTGGCATATGCAATTGCGACAGAAACAGATGAAATTGTATATGCCTCTCCTACTTGGTCTTCACCATATCAAGTAGTACCGAGGCGGGATGAAATACTTAGATGTAGACAGAAAAAAATGAAAAAATCATATCTTCAAGCTCAATGTGAGGACACCATGTCGTGTGGCCCCCGCGTGGAGCTCAAAAATTCTCAACAGTTGATGTCATTGATCATTTTATTACTCACCGACAAGGACGCTGTAGATGGATTGATCAACGGCAAAAATATCAATCGCCTAAGTTGTAGCCGTTTTCTTTCTTTCTTTCTTTCCGTGCCCGGGCACGACATCAAAGGTCGTTCAAGGCCTAACTTTTACTTCGTCAATCATCAATCATCCTCGCCGAGGTGGAAATACTAGGAAAACCGTTGTAATCAGATGGCGCACAACAGGACCACGACCTAGTGAGTACTACAACTAGGTAGTCACAAAGTCACGATCTTCATCCCCTTGAAGAACATCTTTTCGTTTTACTTTTCCCAGGGAGATGCCACGTTTAGAACATTTTTTTTCCGGTTGTTTGTTGTTCAACACTAACAAAAATATAGTTGTGCTAGTGTCTACTAGAAGTGTTGTGAGAACGCTGGCCGCTGTTAAACATCATCCTACTGTGCCTCGATTTTTCTACGACGTCGTCGCTCCCCCCATCCCGTCCGTGGCTAGGATTTTTCGCACCACTTGCAAGATTTCGCTTGACGAACTGCCATCGTCTGCCGCGTAGATATCAAAGCCATATCCAATGCAAATATGTCTGGATCTGAAAGATTGTCATGCTAGTCTCGCATGACTATGCACTCTGTATTGCGTGGCCACCAAGAGGCTCTCTTGCCTGTCATGCAAAGCGCAGTTTCTCATGCGAAATACGCAGCAGAGAAGCACGAAGAAACTTGTCATGCCTGGCGGCGCATTACAGAGCACTTATTGTTCTTCACGGACTTGCATCACAAGTTTCCAGACCCAGACATATTTGCATTTGATAAGCCGAAGGGATCGGCGATTTTTTTCTTCAGCACGTTTTCTCGCAGCTCATACCGTAGCCGTTTGATCAGAAATGAGATGCGGTTATTTACCTTCGCGGCGTAAGAAGAAGAAGAGGAGGAGGCACCTTTCGCAGCACTTTGAAGACCACCGGATGAAGACGAGCTGTTGTTTGCACCAAGCAGTTGCTGGGCGACGTTTGCGGTCCCGACGGTGGTAAACATCAACTTCCCATCGTCGATGCTGATAATTCCGTTGGGTTTCCACTCAATCTCAAAAAACGTCGCGAGTAGCAGCACCGCCAGCGGGGTGGATTGCAAAAAATTCTGGGTCTGGAAGGTTCTAAACTTGTAATGCTGTCTCTGGATTCTAAAAAAATTCGCATTGCATGACCAGCAAGAGGACTCCAGTTTGTGCTACACGGAAAGGGCATTTCTCATGCGGTAGAGGCATCGCAAAGTCCCCTAAAGATCTGTGATGCTAGGGCATGCATCACAGACATCATGGATCATTCAAAATATGCATGACAAGCCTGGCAATCTTCAAGACCCGGACATTTTTGCAGTTGATAAGCGGGGTGGCCTCGGAAACCGTGTCGAGCGTGAGTTTTTTCGATTGCTGGTCGAGAAAAAGGTTGGTGTGCACCATGTAACTCGTTTCCGGACTCGGACCCTCAAAGTGGAACAGGGAGTTGGCATTGTATCCCACGAAAAAACTGCTTCACTGTGATGGTTTTGCAAGATCTGCATCACAAGTTTGCTACACATGACACAGAAAATTTGTCATGCGCGTTTCCCAAGGGAAAACACGCCTAAAAATCCGTTGTGTTGCAGGTGTAGCAAGACAAAGACTTTGGCGCTTCGTTCTCTGCATCACAGGTTCACAGTGAAACAGTTTTTTCTTGCGATACATTGGTCAAATACCGCAGTGGATTTTTCTGCTGCTGGTATTTGAGAAGCAGTTGTATGGATTGCAAAAGTGTCTGGGTCTGGAAGATTGCAACTTGTCATGCTGAATCCGAATCATGCAAAAATCTGTGTTGCATGAGTGCCAAAAGCTGTCCACTTTCGACCAAAATGTAAAGGAGTTTCTCATGCAGGGTAGGTATGACAGAGACCTCACAGACTCTGTCATGCAAGGGCCCGCATTCCAGACCTCAAAGGTCATGGAAAACCTGCATGACAAGTTTACACCCCCGCAGATCCAGACACTTTTGCATTTGATAAGTTGCTTCTGCTCGCTACCAGCTCCACAAGTTTCATCTGCATCGACATCCGGTACTAGTCGTGGCTGCGCTGATATTTTTCCTGCTTCAGGAGGAAATAAATCTCCGTCCTCGCGTTTGGAGATCTTTGTAGTTCCCTCGCTTATCTTCATACTTTTCGCTTTCACCACCTGTGACGTAACACTTTTCGTCCCACTCTTCGTACTCATCGCATTCATATCCTGTGCAAAAGTATCGTACTCGTATTGCGATCATGCATTACAAATTTTTTTCTGAAAGCAAATCCGCATTACAAATTTCATTTCTCATGCTGAGGAAATTTGTAATGCATTTATACGAATACGATAATACTTTTGCAATTCATAATTCACCTTGTACGCAAAGGGGTCCCTTTCGAGCTGGAAATACTTGGTCAGCATTGGGTATCACAAGCAAAAGCGTTAACGTTAACGGAATTTGTGATGCAGTAACGCATCACAAAAGGTGCCCAAATTTGTATTGCGTAGCATGCATGGAAGGCAAAAGCTGTAATGTATAACTGCCATCTGACTGTGAAAACCGTTAACGTTAACACTTTTTTGTTTGATATTGGGTCCGGTAAGTCCATCACGGTGGAATATGCATTGCAAAAGTATCGGACTCGTAGTTGTAATCGCAGTCGTGCAATACAAATCTAGTTCTCAAGGGGAAGAAGCATGACAAAGTCCATTTGTCATGCTGAGCTAATTTCTAATGCAATAAAGCAATCACTACGTAGTACGAGAATAGTTTTGCAACTGATATGGAACTGCCCAACCCGATTTTTCGAAACGTCGGCGCGGGCTTGACCGTCTTCACGAGGAAAAAACTTGACGTTACTGTATAGCCCGCTCAGGTGTTACAATCTCAAACGTTACAATAGAATCTGGAAACTTGTGATGCAAGAAGTGAATTATCTAGCCAACAACTCTGATAGGATTGCGCCTGACAAGTTCCGGAGTGGTCCCAAACCGCACTACAAACTGTCGAAATTTGTATTGCAGCAAGTGGAATGCTCCCCGAGTCTGTTACTTATGCTCATCATGCAATACAAAATCCAGATTCTATTGTATACGTTTGAGATTGTAATGCATCAGCACGTCATATACTGCGGCCTTCAACAGATGCCACTGCCAGTTCGGCGAGGGAGATGAAGACCGCGCCACGCCAGAAGATTTATTGTTTCTCCGTGATGCATGATCAAGAAAAGCAGAACTTCTGGACGTCGCCACTGCTCTTGCGTCTTGCTGGTACAGAAAACCCAGGTGTGCCATCGACTGGAGATACTGTTTATCAAATGCAAATATGTCTGCATCTGGAAGCAGCAGGATGTAAGATTTGTCACGCCAGTTTCCATGACGACCCATGAGGTCTGCAATGCAGCACCTGGCATGACAGATTCTGTGGGATCTCTTTCATGCCTATGCTGCATGAGAAATTCCCTCTCAACTTGTTAAAAAAGGACGGCTGTTGGCAACCATGCAACACAGATTTTTTGCATCATTCAGATTGGGCATGACAAGTTGCCATCTTGTTCCAGACCCAGACATATTTGCAATGCATACTGTTTCCGCAGTTTCAGGCCGTCCTTGATGGATCCCGGCAGGACTTTCAATTCGTCCGCAAAGTAGTCATCAGACAAGTTGTATTTCTCCTTCACCAGCAGCAAACTCGCTAAAAAACAGTGGCTATCGTAAGGAAAAAACCCCTCTTCCCATACCAAAGCGGAACACTTCTGAAAATTTGCGATGCTGATTTGTAACGTCTCTGGACTGAAAGAAGGCAAATCGAAAAGCCCCGCCGCGTTCTGCAGGCAATTTGTGATGCTATGTGGCCTATAGAGGACGCGCCTGCCCTGCTAGGTGCCTACGCCAAAACGCCCCTACTCAGGTCCTGCATCTGCCTGCAGTCCTCTTCTGCAAGACAAAGCCGATTTGTGTACACAAATTCCGCATCACAGATTTCCATTTCGATATGGGGAGGGGGCATTTTTCCTTTTGATAGTGATCCGACTTCGTTCCGCCCGGCTTCAAATACTTCCGGCGGTAGTGCAGCCGCTTCTCGGCCTCCTGCTTGGTCCAAATTTTCTGGCGTCCTGTTTAAAAACGTCCCTCCCCATAGCTGTCATGCAAATCTGCAGGTCTAAAATGTTTCCTATGCGCAGGGCCGCATGAGCAGTGCTGTCTCACACTACCGCTAGTTGTACTATCCGGGAGTCTGTCATGCTAGAATCAGGATAAGACGGTCGACTTGTGATGCGGTTTCGCAGGCTATTAATAAACAGGATCAAAATACGTATACGAGGCCAAACTTGTCATGCGCAACACACAAAACATCCGGGCTTGTGTAGCAAAATCACCATCTGGGGTGGTGACGTTTTTTCTCAGGATATCTGCAGCGGATTTTTCACAGATAGCATGGCCACCAAGCTAGCGCCTTCGATGGGACAGCCGAGAATAGACGCGTAGATCAGGATATGAATTGCAAAAGTATCGCACTCGTATAAATACATTACAAATTTCCTCAGCATGAGAAATAAAATTTGGGTACCTTAAGAAAAAGATTTGTAATGCATGATTGCACTACAAGTACGATACTTTTGCACGGGATACAGGAGTTTCCCTAACCGCGCATCCATCGGAAGTTTCACCAGCAAGTGTCCGAGCGGCGTTATCGCAAGAAAAAAGTGTTGCAGTTACTTTATAAATTATGTTACGAAACACGCAACACATGCACCGAAAATCGCTGAATTTTTCTCGATGCAAAACTTGCAAAATGGTGCAAAAATCGACGCAAAAACGTCAAAACGATGGCAAAAGCCACGAAAAACGTTCCAAATCGAGGAAAATGCGACGAAAAAAAGTCCGCGAATATTCGCCGAAATTTCGCAAATTGTTGCGGTTCGGGCCTGCGTTTTTGTAAAGCAAACGGGACAAAATGCGCGCAAATTAGGTCAATAGCATGCGAAATCGTGCAAAATGACAACGAAAACGCTGCAAACTAGTCAAAAACGCAACAAATGTAGCCAGTAGCATTGCAAACCGGCAAAAGTGGCACTGTTTTGGCTTAGTTCAATTGCAAATTAGTCAAAAACGCAACAAATATAAGCAGTAGCATTGCAAACGGGCAAAAGCGGCACTGTTTTGGCTTAGTTCAATTGCAAACGAGTCAAAAACGCAACAAATGCAGCCAGTAGCATTGCAAACGGCGAGAATGGCACTGCTTTGGCTTAATTCAATAACAAAAGCAGCAAAATGACCGCGAAAGCTATGCAAAAAGCACGAAAACGCGCAAACTTGCCTCAAGTTGGTGCAAATGGATCAAAATGCGCGCAAGTTGCGCCATCAGTTTGCGAAACGGTACAAAATGGCACCGAAGCCGGGCGGTTCTCAGCAAAACGCGCAAAACGGTGCACAAATCAGATCAAAAACCTCAAAACAATGCTGCGACCACGACAAGCGGACTGGAAAATTAGCAATGGCGCGCGGTTTTTCAAATTGTCAAGGTCGTCGGCTGAGCAACAAAGTAGAGCAGTGGACTGACGAAGCATCCCGGAACACAATCGCGCAGAAAGGAGCAGCGAGCAAGCGCGTAAGGTGCGACGTATGAAGCGTCGCCGTGTGTTTTTCGGTGTATGGATCAGACGGGTCGGGATGCGCTCAGTCACGCGAGAAATTCCGGCCACACTATGTTGGTCAGCTTTTCCGGCCTCTCATCATTGAGCGAAACCGTTGTAATTTGCGACTCGTCTTCAACTCGCCCGAACACCACATAACCCGCCCCATGCGTAAACGCGTCGACATCTGAGTCAAGCAACAACTCGCCTGATACTGTGACGCCTTGAACGGCGTGGAACGTTTTGCAATAAGCTAGCCGCAAGGGACATTGCAAATGCCGACGCTCTTCCCCGTAAGCGTCGACCACTCGAATAGGCAGACGCGGCACAAGCAGCATGCTGGTATATGGCTCCGCGTCAAGTGTGTCGGCCTCGCCTTCGGTTTCAACTTCGAGCGACACAAAGTCACGCCCTAAATAGCGCGCGACGCCTTTCGTGTGCTTCACGACGGACCCATAACGCCGACAGAATTCCACGCGAGACCCTTCGACGAGCTCCAAGTCGATAGGCGGGCAATCGTCTCCGGGGACTGTTTCGCAGATACTCCCACAGGGAGCATACTCGCAGCGCCCTTCTGCGCGATATGTCACTGCTTTAGCTCTGGGGTTGAATGCGCGATGCGTTTCGAGAACGAGTTTATTCCAGCGACGGCATTGGTGATGCGTAGCGGCTAAAATTTGCGCGCGTGGTGACAAAGCGACGCGCTCTGCTGCTGTTATTTTGTTAACGTGCGCAAACCTGTGCAAGTCAATGTCTTGCGATTCCGTTGCCAAGGTTTCGACGAAATCGGCCCAACTTTGCTCGGTGTTCGCGTTTTTTCGCTCCAATTTGTCCAACTGGTGCAGTTCTGCGACGGGCTTCTTCAAAAACGAAACGGCATGCACTGAATGGGCTAGCAAATCCGCGCGAGCGACTGGCAAGTGTGATCCATAAAAACCCGCCGTGTTTAATACGGGAAGCTGCTGATGCCGATCGCCAATCCCCACAAAAATGACGCCACCAAATGGCGCGGGATTGCTTCGCGCACGCCGCAACGCCGCGTCAAGTTCGAAGATCCACGCCGCCTGCGCCGAATAAATTTCGTCACACAATGTAAAATCCAACGAGCGCAAACATGCATCGTTTTCGGCCGTAGGGGTCACAATATCTTCAAACGCTAAACCATCCGGCTGTAGTTTAGTTCGTGACGGTGCCACGTTGATGAGCGCGTGAATGGTATGGGCATCGAGGCCATATAATCGCGCAGCAGCGCCACTGGGAGCGCAGCACACACCCCGCAAGCCAGCGCCCGTGACCATGTCCCGCAAACATCTTCCGCGGTGCGTCTTGCCTGTGCCCCGTCGTCCCTGAATGTGTTGCGGCGGGAAAATCAGCGGCGGAGACGTCGCAGCCGCCTCAACATTCGCGGCATGCGTCGCGCTATTTTGTAGTTTGTACGCTGCCAACCGTCCAACCATATCGCTGACACGATCGTAAGCTTGCTGCTGTTTCTCGTTCAGTGGCTTGCGCTTCAGTCGTCGCTCTAACCGTCGCTGCGCAGCTAAAGCGTTGAAGCTATGCCGCTCGGTTGTTGAAATATCAGCAAAATACTTGTCGGGAAAAATTTCGAAAGCGACAAACCCACACAGCACGAGATCACGACGAAACCGAGCGCGTGGGTATTTGCCAAGGATCGCCTTGTGATGCGCTGCCCAGTGCTATAGCCACCCAAGGGCCCCCACCAAGCCCGGCCCCCTGGGCGCCCCAAATCGGGCCAATGGCATGCGGATTGTTTGATTGGCTTTAAGATTTTGGCGAGCTTTCCGCTTTTTGTTTTTTTTTGCTGAAAAGTCGCGCGCCTTGGATTGCTCCCCACATTACAGATGCCCGATTTTGTTGGCCGTCTTTGCGACCTCGAAAAGTGGCCAAAAATGGCGCGCAAAGCATGCGGATTCGAAGCTTTTGCCGCCTTCGCACTTTTTCGGCGCCCCTTTTAGGGCGCCCCAAATCGGCGGAATTAGGTGCGCCAGGCGCCTCAGAATGGCGCCCCTTTTGCTGACTCCTCTGCGTCGTTTTTTAGATCGGCGACCGATAGAATCCGCTGGCGATTCGGTGCCAGGTCAGCCAGAGCCGATTGACAAGTGAAAGCTTTTTATGTTCAAAAACACCGCCGGCCGATTGAAAACTGCCGCCCGTTTTTCACGGTATATGGCAAAAAAACTCCCTGGCTGGCTAGAGCCGTGCGGCGACCTCACTACATACGAACCACCCAGCTAAAAGACGCAACGGCCAGGCGAGCGAGGGCACGGAAACTCGGCGCCCTCTAGTCTACCACTGGCGCCCGGCCCGCTCGCCTATGGCCAGGCAAATTCCCGCGGGGCGGCGCGACATGCAACTCAGAGGCACGAACCAACCACCGCAACGACAGAGCGGCCAGACCAGGGCACGGAGACTGACTCGGCGCCCCCTACCACTGGCGCCCGGCCCGCTCGCCCAGGGCCAGACGAATTCCCGCGGGGCGGCGCAACATGCAACTCAGAGCAGCGCGCCAACCGCGGCAAAGGCGCAGCGACCAAGCAAGGACGCGGAGACTCGGCGCCCCCTACGTACCACGGGCGTCCGGCCCGCTCGCCCAGAGCCACGCAAATTCTCGCAGGGCGGCACGAAATGAAACTCAGGGCAACCAACACAACTACGCAGCGGCCGCGGCACGGGCACAAGGAAGACAGAGCCGGCTGCGGCGGCCGCCTTGCCTGCTATTTGTCACGCCCTGGGAGCGCAGGCGCCGGGAGGGCCGTCGCCGTCCCCAAGGCGCCGGCCTCTGGTCGCTTCCCTGTCTTTCTTTTGCCAACCGCCCCGGCAGGCGTTCGCGTTTTATTTGAATCGATTCCGGGGAGCGCTGAGCGTTTCATTTTCGGGCCCCTTTCATGCAAATCAAGACAGTTTCAATTGCTCGGGCCGTGCTCTTTCGCTCCCTCTGCGGGAGTACACATTGTGTTGCAGGCCAAGCAAGGCAGACAAGCTCTGTCATGCCGTATATGCATAGGAGCCTCGTTTCATACGTGTTTCTGTTTTCCCGTAGGATTTCTGCATTACAAGTTTTCTGTCTCATGCAGAGAAATTTGTGTTGCTGAATTAACTACAAATGTGTAACTGTAACACTTTTTTCGTGGGATAGGCGTCACGCGCAGCTGCTTCGAGAGATATTGGGGTGCCGTGTTGGTTGTAGTAGATCCTACCACCTGTTGATACTCAATCGCGCCCAGCGACTCAAGTTCCGTGAGCCCAATGGTAATCGCGTCATCGACGGGCGGACTGGGGTATCCTGTGCAAAAGCAAAAGTATCGCACTCGTAGTGCAGTCGTGCATTACAAATCTTTTTCTTCGGGTAAATCAGCATTGCAAATTATATTTTTCATGCTGAGGAAATAACTTGTAATGCATTTATTACTAAACGGAAAAGTCCGGGAACGGGAATTTTTGCAAAAAAATTGTTAGGTGGCGCGGCGAGGTAAGTTTGTCGGCCCTGTGTGTGTTGTTCTTTGTTTCATTGATTCCATACTGCAAAAACATATCAACCAAAGTCAAGGTCTCTACAATCAGGCGCAGCAGAGGAGGCTCAATCACTGCTCTCCAAAGATTGCCGAGAGAAGGCTCGAGCAGTAAAAGAAGTCCTTACCTGGGCCCGGACGAAAGGCGGCAGAGTAAAGCACTAATCTCCACACACTAAACTAGCTAGATAAACACTCCATAGCGACTTACGCATTCAAAATCAAAGCAGCAATTCCTCATGTCAGACAGGCGAGAACGGTTGCGTAGGATGTCGCAAGGGGCGTCCGGATCCGGCACCAGACGGGCGGAAGGCCATACCTCGGAGGAGTCGTTCGTCCAGGTGATCCAGGTAGGCCGTCACGTAGCATTGTTGCACCAGGTGGTGCAACAAGTGGAGATTGTGGCGGACTTGGCGGGGCGAGAGAATAGCGGACCGCGTGCATCTGGTTCATCTCCGGAGGCGCAAAAACATACTCCCAACACGTGGGCCTGAGTCTAGTTTTGAATGATGATAAGAGTGGTTTTTATTTATCTAGACCATCAGTGTGACTGTATGCGATTAACTAGTTTAGTGTGTGGAGATTAGTGCTTTATTTCCCGGGAAAGAGGTAAGTCGGCGAGTACCTGAAGATGATTTTTTAAGTTTTTGAATAATGATGTCCTATCTGGGAAAACAAGCTCGCCGAATCGCCCAGATGCTCCCGTGCCTGGACTGACGGGCACCTTTTTCGCGGTGCTGGACTTCCGATCTCCTGCAGCACCTTCTCCTCAACCTGAAAGCGGGCACCTACGTCGGGGAGTGCGCCGGGGCCGGTGACAATTTTTTTGCAAAAATTCCCGTTCCCGGACTTTTCCGTTTAGTATTTATACGAGTACGAATACGATACTTTTGGTTTTGCAATTCATATGGGGGCGTATTTGAGGCACTCTTTAAACGTGTCGATGATATCGAGCTGTGCGGCACGCTTGGTGTTCTTGTTCTTCACAGAGGATGTGGATGTTGGTATTGCTCTTGGTGTTGTCGTAGAAGTTGTAACATTCTCATTTCTACCACCCGCACCGCTTGAAGATGTAGTTCCCCCACCTCCTCCGGTGAGAATCTTCTGCGACTTTTCGTCCTGCAAGCCGACCAGAAGTTGCAAGATGATGTTTTCTATGGGTGCGTCAGGATCGAAATCGTCAAAGTTGAATAAAAAATTTGTAATGCATAAAATCGATACCACTTGGAAGCCCAATTTCCAAGCGGCGCATGACATAAACAGACTGTGCTACTGCGGGCATGGCATTGTGTTTCGGGTGAGTTGATCAACCCAAAGACGCCGCCACCCCGGGCCCAACGGACCTGGCACTCCAAACTATCCTCCTCACACACACACACACGCCAACATATTTGTTGGACCTTTCCACCCAGCACCCGAGCACAATATACAGCAACGGGACCAGAACTGGAGCAGTCCAAACTACTTCACTATTTGGCAGAGCACAGTCCATCTGCGCACTGGAAGCACAGACAGATGTTTATCCTTGCCAGTTTCCTTATTGCTGCGAGAAACCCGCCGGGCACTAATACATCTACTCGCACCCATAGATTAGACGACACAGCGCTTATTGTCAGAAAACAGACCAGGTCACCAGCAACGGATAGGAGGAGCTGCGGGCTAGACCATCACCATCTCCATACTCATTATGGACGAAGTTTTCTATTATCTTGTGGATCTTTTAGGAGGATAGTTTTACGAGTGCCAGCCGGTGACAAAGCCGACCAGGCAGGAGCAGCACACGCCACTACCCCCAGCGCGCACAAGTGAAAGCTCGTGGGGGCAGAGCGCGGCCCCTTCATTCCGGGGTTCGTTGGCTTATCTGGAGTAATCTTTTCTGGAAATCGGCAACAGCAAGTTCTAGATGGAGGGCCGAGGAGAGTGTAGAAAACCGGGGACAGGGCGCCGCAGCTGCGCGTTGAGGACGGGCGGGAGGCTTTCCCCGGTGGCCACGTGAATTCACCACGTGGGTGCTATCGGTAGCTGTCGGGTCTGCAGCAGTATCGGGGCAACCGGAAATGTCGGTCCGGGGTGGAGAGAATTGAGCAGGTGGGACATCAGGAAGAAGACAAGCGGCGCATGACAAATTTCGGCGCCGTCTAAATCCTGTTTGTCGTGCTGTTTAGGGACAGGGGGCGTCTTTTGTCATGCTACTTTAGCAGCTCTACCGCAGACCCGAAACAGGCTGACAGTCGGCCTCACTTGCCGCCCCTACAAGAGAGGCACTTCATGCCTTGCAATTTATGCATGACAAATCATTTCAACTTTGTCGATTTCAAACCTGACGCTTCCATATTTTCCAAGGGAAGAATATCCATCTCCGCCTCGGTGCTCGCTTATTGTGAGGAAAAATCCCCCCACCCCATATCAGAACGAAGTTTGTAATGCTGAATTTGCGTACACAAATCAGCTTTCTCTTGCAGAAAGTGCTTGACGGCACTTCCTCAGCCTGTTCGGGTATGCAGTAGCCGAAAGCGCATGACAGATTGGCTTTGGAATGCGCCACATGGCTCCTATTGCCCTATAAGGAAGACAGCGATGATTTGTGACCACAAATCAGCATCACATCGGAGGTCTACGGGCTGTTCGTCCCTACTGGCATCAGGCCATACTAAAACCAATAAAAATTTCATTCATTCATTCATTCACGACCCTCGCGCATCAACGCACTTCTGACGGTGCGTGCATCAACACGATTGGCACCTCGTCGCACTTCTGATGGTGCGTGCAGGCACGGCGTCACAGCGACCCAGTGGCCAATGACTTATGTTTGGTCAGATTATACTCCCCGACGGTGGAAGCAGCCACCAGGAGCCCATGCAAAATGAAAGATTTACGCATGGTAGCATTCTATCTAGACTCGAACGCCCTAAAGGACAACCGCAGATGGTGCCCTGTCTAGAGATAATTACTCCCCGAGCGGGCGGGGCAGGCAGCAAGGTGTTTAGCGGATCAGTGCCAAAGTGTTTGTTTGTACTAGACCAACCGGGAAGCAGCCCGGCAGCCATGTATTTGTAGGAGTGTGCGCACTGTCATCATCCGCCGCAGACATCAAGCCGCCCCCCGATTACGTAAACCACTAAAATTTTATTTCTAAATAGTTCTAGTAGCCCCATCGTAAATAAACTATTCTCCGATGTGCATGCAAATTTTTTGGAACTTTCCCGCAGCGGTCGGCAAGCGTGTTGAAGAAAAGACTGCATGTTCTGGTCGCGCGTGTGAAGCACTGCTTCGTAAACAGGATGGGGAGAAGCTTCAGCGACGGTCAAGGGGATGGAATGCCGAAGACGGAGTTCAAAAATTCGGCCAGCCGATAAAAAGCCCAAGACGGAGATGCGCATGTGCAGAAACCGATGTTGCTCGCTATCACTAAGTCTTCGCACCGCTGGAAAATCTATTTCCCCCTCATGATCCGCAGCGATGGTAGTAAATCTTGTACTTCTATGTCTTGGCTTCCACACCCGAGCTGCTGCGTCGCCGTCCGTCGGATGTCCCCCGTGCTGGTCCGGGGGGACCAGGCAACACAAAAGTCATGGCTTCGTGACTTCTTTATGTGCGTGTTCCGCGATAGGTCAGTGCAGAATGCAAATGATTATGCATAACCATGCATGCGTGTCCGCATGACAAATCCATCCGGACCCGAAGTACATGCAGCAGGGCATGCTGCATGTATGTAACATTCACGACCCTCGCGCATCAACGCACTTCTGATGGCACATGTGGAAACACGATTGGCACCTCGTCGCACTTCTGGTGGTGCGTGCAGGCACATCGCTGCGGTGAAAAAGGAAACGTCAGATACTTTAGAAAAGTAGATGGAAGGCTTTACGAAGTGCTGCAGAATACGAATGGCACGGTACTGAACGAACGAACGAGCTAGCTAAGAGAGCCAGCGGCAACAGGACGACTACAGCCACACGGGGTCCCAGAAGACCGAGAACAGGCATACCGGACCTGCGGTATGAAAAGGGCCTGGGGGTCTACGTGGGTGCTCGCACAGAACAAGTTTCGGTCCACACGCAGTGCACCGTGGGTGCATGCTCACCACTGCGTGAAAACTTGCTCTGCCGCCGTGCCTAAACCGCTTAGCAGCGCAAAAAAGGAATCGTCCCTATCCAAGCTCCAGGAGGAGAGCATAGGGACGTAGCCTGCAACGGCTATGAAACAACCTAAGGCGATGGGCGCAAAACTAGGACGCTACGAGGCACACGAGACGAACCGAGTTTTTGCCAGACGAGCTACGAGCACCGAACGTGGACGGTGGATGTGAAATCACATATATACGCGTAAGCGAATGGCTACGTTGCGTTTTGTCAAAACACAACTGTCAGTACGTGCAAAACCGAGATCAATTTTGTATGTTTAATGAGTTCAGTCTTTACGTCGAGCAATCACGAGGTCAGAATACGATACCGAGTCTATTTTTGTCGTGTCAGTTTACGAAGTACAGACGAATGCGCCAAAACTTTACGCAGACAAACTTTACGACGAACGCGCTAAAAACACTTCTTTGTCCTGTATGTTTGAGATGTTATTTCCGAGCATGTTAACTCCCATGCTTAGAAAGACCGCTTAGAACATCCATCCCTTGTTGCTGATATAACTTTATCAAGTTAAAAAAGCAGACTTGAGAAATTTGTAATGCTAAACCTAAGTACTTGGTTGCCTTAACAGAATTAGGCCCGTAAACTTGTAAAAAGGAAATTTAAAATTTGCTAGGAGGATGTCCCTCTGGAAGTGAGGGCTCATACTAGGCGATAAAAAACGGACAGAAGGAAGGAGCGCAGAGACCGAGCAGGTCGGAAAAGAACAGGGGGGGGGGGGGGGGGGGGAAGTCAAGAGGTCAAGCTCGTAGAGAGGAGGACGCAAGGATTACCTAGTTGAGAACAAGGACCCAGGAAAACTAAGTAGCAGGGGAGGAGGGAGAACAAGAGGACACGACCAAACGGCAGGTCCGAACAAGACCCGAATCAAGTCGGAAAAAACAGCTCATCCGATAAGGGCCTAAAGAGAAGAGCCAAGGACGGGGACCAGGAGAAGACTAAAAAAGACAATGAAGTTTAGAAATTTAAATGGATAATCCGCTCGCCGATGTGTTCACATCCAAGACCTTAGTGTGCAAGTTGTTCGCGGTTATTGTTGATGTTGCATTTTCAGGCGCATTAGCTGGTAGTGGGTGTTAGTTGCCTTCTGGTTGTCTGGCATGTCTTTTTATTTCTGGTATCCGCTGGAAGTCAAAGTTGGCCAAGAAAAACTGGCTGTCGTGCTGCAGTGTCATACTGGAAATGTGAAGCACCTGCATGAGAAGAAAGTTGCGCATCTGTTAGAAGAAAATTAAATGGTGGATAAACTGCTTGTAGGAAACGGTGTGTAAAAATCGCGCTGAAGGTCGTCACGAGGAGCATGTCCGTTGATAGGTCGGTCGAAAACCGTGTAAGGGTTTGTTAGAAGTTGTGTAGGGCCCGGCGGTTACTGCACGCCCCGGGCCATCCGGCTTAACTCCGATGCCGTCGGGGTCGGGGTCCAGCGAGCCGGCTGATGACTGCGCTGCACGGGTCCAGATCCGACTCCTGGATTGAGCCGTCTTCGTTGTGGGGCTGGTTCTGAAGCTGGCTCCGACATCACCATTGCAGGATCCGCCATGAGATTGGTTTCATCTGCCGGAGCTACGAACGCCTGGCTACTACTACTGCTGGGGATGTCGCTTAACCTGCCAGCAGACGGGAAATAGCGACTTTCGTACTTTTCGATCTGGAAAATCGAAGCCCGTTCCGCGTACTTCAGCTTGTCATCCACAAATCGTAGTTCCGAGAACTCGAACGGGTTCACCAGTGGGAACTGCAGCGCATCGGCTCCGTTGAAGTTGTACGGCAGTGGTCGGATCAGGTCAGTAGGGGACAGCGGTAAGGAAGGTGGGTAGTGCAACAATTCCCACTCAGTGGGAACCCAGTTGCGCTCCCGGTCCTGGATTTGGAGAGTGGAGGTCTTGTTTCTCTGCCACCATGGCTCTGCTGCATCCTGCACCGGTGACGCGACGAGCGGATTGTTTGTCTCGATGTCGCGGAGCACCGACTGTTCGACGAAATCTAAGAGCGGACCCATGTACACCGTCGGCAACTGTTCCACTACTAAAGATGGCAATAATGGCAACGGCGACCCGTCATCCGACTGCAGAGAGGCCGCTAGGTGTGGTAAAAATGGATTTTCCGGAGGGCAAGCAGATAGGTCTGCCTCCTGTGCCACCGGATCGTCGTCATCGTCAAACTGCAGCTGCTTGACGATATTATTCCCGAGCGAAGGACTTTCAGGCGCCTCCAGGTGACCCCGGTAGGGAGACTCCGAGTCGGACTGCACTGGTTGAAAAGCACTGTTGCCGCGAGATCGATGCTCTTGCTGCGCCAGCCACTCGTCGTAATTGAACGCAAACATCGAACCTGCTTGACCAGGACCGAGCATGGCGCTAGTGTGAAGGAATCACCCGCCCTACTGGTTCGTTGCACGAGCCGCGCCCGATCTCGGGAAGTAATCTTTTTCGATTTGTCGGATGGACCAGTTAGTGCGATCTACGACCTGTTTTTCTGGAGTAGAAGCCACAAATGGGCTCTGCGGTGCAGTAGTTGTAGACGAAGTGGCCGCTTCGCAATCCGAAGAAGTGTATGAAGCTGAAGCGGTAGCCGCAGCAGTTGTATGGGTGAAAATATCGTCGAGAAGTCGATTTTGTTCAACCCAATCAGCTTGAAGCTCTGCGCGACGTACACGCACCGGGGACGGAGTTCCGAACAACGACGAGTCGTAGAACCGGCGTGGATGGAATATCCCGTGTGAAGACTGGTTTTGCCAATACACGTTCGGGATATCGAACGCTTCGGCTGTCGAGACTGTTAGCCGTGTACTGATGTGCTCATGTGGTAGAAGGTTCCAGAGGAGTTCGGGGGGCGGTCCTTGCTCTGTAAGAAGAACTTGCGGTCGTCTGTGGCGGTCTGGTGTGGGAGATGCCCAAGGGCAATAACTGGGCACACGCACAAATCAGCATCACAAATTTTTATTTTGATATGGGGAGGGGGGATTTTTCATGTTGATATCGCTTCCAACTTTTTCTCCGCATACGACCGACTAATCATGCGTATGCAAATCCCCGGCTGCACGCGACCCGCGCGCCCTTTTCTTTGTTCGATGCTCGCCTTGCTGCAGAACTTTTCTTGCAAGACCGGAAGCCGCAAGGTTTGCATTTCGCTAGCCGAAGATTGCAAAAAATCGATGGTGTCGTCGTCGAGCGCGTCAGAGGTGTTGGAATTACTAGTGTTCAGCATCTCTGTAGTTCTCCCCACATCCCCATCGACCGAGTCCCCCGGCTTCCGTAGCGTCAACCTTTTCTCCCGGCAGCAGTCAATTACACAGGTCACATCCGGGATCGTGATGGAGGTTTCGCACACATTCGTAGAAATCACCACTTTCCCATCGAAAACCTTGAAGCATTTTTTCTGCTCGAACTGGGGTAAGGAGGCGTGAAGGGGTAAAACAGAATCACACGGCAGCGCCGTCATGCTGTTGTCCCCCTCGTCAATCATGCGAAAATCCCTGTCTTCCCCTTTCAAAACCCGGCACATCTTGTTGATCTCCCCGACACCAGGCATGAAAATCAAGATTGCTTTCCCATACCTTCTCCGGAATTTTCTTTTCCCTTCGTTTTTCCCCTTGCCCTTGAAGATTTTCTCGCCTTGTTGATACTGATTTTTTTTGTCCGGATTATAATTTTCGACTTCATCGTCTTGCTCTTGTTCCAAAAATTCCCAATGATCAAACTTCCCGTGGTTCCTAACCAGGTGGACACACCTCGCAATGCCCTCATAGTCGATTTCGGAGTTGGGTTTTGTCAAATCATAGTTGTTCAGAAACTCTCTTGCGTAATACGTTTCCACCGGGAAGGTTCTACCAGGAATTTCCAATCGCTTGCTGTCCGGGAACATGTCGAAAATGTTCTGATCTAGCGTTGCCGACATGATGATCAATTTGAATTTCGGCTTTGAAGAAGATGCACCACCTGCTCCCGAAGTAGCTGCAGACGAATTCCTGCAATGCCGGAAGTGGTTCGCGACCAGCATGAGCAAGAAATCGATGTCGAGCGACCTTTATGAAATGCAAAAGCATCGTACTAGTGGAACTCGCATTACAAATTTTGGTCAGCATTAGAAATGGAATTTGTAATGCGGTTTTACCTTGATGAACAGATTTGTAATGCATGACTGCGATTTACTAGTATGAGTTACTACGACATTTTTGCATTGCATAGCCTTTCGTGCGCCTCGTCGATGACCAAGTGGGTGAAGTCTATGTTGTCTTCCAGCAACTTTCTGATCAACACACCCACAGTGCAGAAAACCAGTTCCGTCGTTTTGGGAATATTCACATCCCCACGAACGCAGTAGCCCACGGAATTTGTGTTGCTAGTGGCCCTATTAACTACGCCGGCGCCGCTGCTCTGCTGTACCAGACTTTCCCCCCGTTCGCTCGCAACCCGTTGCGCTAACGAGATCGCCGCGAGCTTCCGTGGCTGCGTACAGACGATGTTGCCCTGAAGAAACTGGGGCAGTTGTGTCGATTTTCCGCAACCGGTTTGCCCGAGAACCAGCGTGACGTCCTGCTCAGCGACCAATATAACCTGCTCAGGTGTTACAAAAATCTCAAGCGTTGCAATAGAGTCTGGAAGTCTGTGATGCAAGAAGTGCATGACCTAGCCAACTCGTCTCATGGGATTGCGCATGACAAGTTCGGAAGTCCCAAACCGCACTAAAATCTCTGGCGAAATTTGTATTGCAGAAAGTGGAACGCTGTGCGGGTCTGTCATGCTCGTAATGCAAGACAAAATCCTGATTCTACTCTAACGTTTGAAATTGTAAATGTTTGAGCGGGTCATAACCAACTCCCGAAATTTCTGCTTCATTTTGAACGCGGGGAGATCCTTGTTGCCGCGGTGTTTCAGGGAATTTAGAACCGCTGGGTTGTTGATCAGAGAGCGATGTGCAGAGGAGGTGGACGACGGTGCAGCGCCTGTGTTGCTTTTGCTAGTAGGATGAGATGAAGCGCCGGATTTCTGCTTTGCTGCCTTAGCAGCCTTTTCCATCGCTTCGTGCCTCCATTTTTTCTGTTTTTTGTCCCACCACCACCCCGGGTCGTTCCAATCCGGCTCTTCTACGTTTATTTGTGTTGAAGCATGATTTGTCATGCTAACTTCCCCATAGGCACTGCTATTTGTCATGCTAGCTTCGCCATGAGACGTTGACGCGCTGCTGTCTGTGGTGCAAAGCTCCTGCACCTCCATGCCGAAGTACGGACTCCCCTGAAACCAACTGCCGTACTCGTAGTATGACAGTGCACAACTCCCCCTCCCCCTCATTTGTCATGCTTAACAGACTGCGCGACTAAAGCCCGGGGGGGTGCGGGGTCCGAGGGGTGCACAAAGCACAGCCCGGAACACCCTCATTTGTCATGCAAAATACCCAATCTACCCTTTGCCTCTTGGCATTGTTTGCATGACAAGTTCTGGTAGTCCAAATGGCATGGCAATCCAGTGTAGATTTGTCATGCAAAGCCGGCATTTTTGCTGATGCTTGTATTGCTGTTCATGCAATACAAATGAGGGGGAGGGGGAGCTGTGCACTGTCATACGTAGCGGTAGTCTTTCAGAAACCGCTCGTTCGTAAAAACTTGCTCTTTCGGCTTCGTCCTAAGGTCGTTGTCGTCGTCGTCGTTCTGCCTGCTCGTCATTGCGGCCCCTGTTTTCGTAAAAACCGCACTTGAGCTAGAGGTCGCGGAGGAACTTCCCTCGCCATCATGATGCGCAGCAGGGGTCGTGTCGTCAGATTCGATCGGAGGGTCGTCTAACTCCTCGTCGTCATGATTTATTTCCTTGGCACTTTCCTCAAATTCCTGCTTCCATTTCCTCCGAAAGTTCTCAACAAAAGCCTCGCTCAAGTTCTCGGCTTGAAAAATTTCGCAGCAGGAATCGAGACCGGTGGCGATTTCGTTTTGATATTGATCTGGGCCGTGGTCCACTGTATGTCGCGCGGCTGCTCCCGCGTTATCCAGACTTATCCCTGCGCTAAACATCTCGATGATCTGCAAAAAGTGCTCCACCTGCTGTCCGTTCTGGTGCTCGCGAGACTGCAGGAAAGATTTCGCCCACCCTTTTATCCGTACCGACGGGTGCTCTTTTTTTATTCCCGCAGCTCGATTGTCTTTCCCAGAAGAGCTACTTGCGCTGCTGCTGGCAGAGCCGTTGTAGTCGTTTTGTGCCTGATGATCCGATATGAACTGCAAAAGTATTGTATCGCACTAAAAAAATCGATCATACTCATATTTGGCCGAATTCAAGACACAAAAAATGCTACTTTTTTGAAAAAAGCCTGCGCTTTTTTAACAAAAATCCTGTATTTCGGCAGCGATTTTTCTTTTTCGGCGGAAAATTTGCATGGCTTGGAGGTAAGGCCTGGAGCATTCTGCTTGGGCGGCAACGTTGCTGAGCTCTGGACTGGCTGCCTGTAGTAGTTCAACTAGCTACGAGGAGGCGACTGGCGCGGATATGTCGCCCGCGACAATTGTCCTGGCTCTGCTCTTCGGCCTCTTGCCGGCCCCCTCTTACCGGTCCAAGCCCCTCCTCACCTACCGGCCCCGCCGTCGGGCGCTTGTCTCTCATAACTCCCGCTCCCAAGCCTGTCACATGGATGGAGGCAAAGGATCCACGCAGCCTGGCACATGCTCGGCCCAGGAGGAAAGGAATGGCCTTCAGGATGCCAGCTCTAGCCCCGCTGAGACGGTGCTGCGACAAACATGCATGGGTTGTGCTGGGGGCCGCGCAAAAGCCTAAGGGCTGGGCCTTCTATTTTGAGGCGTTCTGGGGTTCTTGGGCAGACCTCCGGTGGCATCCTCTGGCACGCCTCCACAGGATCGCCGCCAGAGCGATCGACCAGGGACGGGACCAAAAAAGGCCATCTCAAACAGCAATTTTCAGTGCGGAGAACGTGGAAAAACGGCCAACAAAACGTGGCAAAATCGGCAAAAGCTGACAGCTTTTGCGGTATGATCAATTTTTTTTAGCACGAGCTGAGTCCGGAATCGATCATATTTGCTGACCTGCGCCGTAGCACCGCGATTGGCGTTTTTTCAAAAACTGTAAATTTGCAAATTTTTCACCATAGCAGCGGCCCAAAAAAATTGATCATATGCCAAAAGCTGCCATTTTCTTTTAGAAAATTTGAAAAAAGTGAAAAAATGGCATTAATCATACTCGCAAAAATGTATGATCTATTTTTTTGGGACCGAGCTAACGGCCATTTTTTGAGGCCGATCGATCATATCGAAAATCGGCATTTTTTCGAACTTCGAAAAAGTGCGAAAATCTTGCCAAATTCAGCTGTGGAAGTTCAGCAAATCGACTCCGCTGATGGGGCGGCCCGGAAGAGGTCTCCGGCGCCCGAAAGTGATATGATCGATTTTTTTGATCCGCATGCAATGGCCGTCTTTTCGAGGCCAATCATGTGCCCACTTTGCCTTAGCTCATCTGGGGCCAGAAAGTGCGCGAGCAGTCTCTCCAGATTGGACGGCGTTGCCGGTCTGGGGGGGGGCAAAGCAGTTAAAATCCCGACGAGGAGCTGGTGGTAAGTAAGGCCAAGGCGGGGTATCGGGCTCCTCGGCATGTGCCCAGAAATGCAGGCCCATGGCCATAACGCCAACGAAATCAATGGGACAGGGCCGCGCAATGGTATTGGTCTCCAGTAGTTGCGCCATCTTCTTTGTGGTTTGTCTGACGGCCCTATTGGAGTAGCATCCGCCTCCTCATAGCTACTCGGCCTGCTGCCGCCTCTTAGTTGCTGGAGTAGCGAAACTACTCCAAGCAGCCAAAGAAGATAGGCCGCGCAATATTTACGTCATAAGAGCACCAAAACAGAAGCGGCTGCCCGGGTCTGCCGGACACCGCGAAAAATTTTTGAAAATAAAAAATTGAAAAAATAGCGATTTTTGGGCTTTTTGCGGCCCTGTATGAGTATGATCGATTTTTTTGGTGGGATATATTGAGCACGCACTCGTATAAATGCATTACAAATTGCCTCAGCGTGAGAAATAAAATCTGTCATGCGGATTTACGTTAAGAAAAGGATTTGTGACGCAAGACTTGCATTTATACGAGTACGATACTTTTGCACAGGATATCCGAACTGTTTTTCAAGGGTTCTGTTCTGCTTGAGGGTCTAATATCCAATGTAAAAATGTCTGGGTCTGGAAACTTGTGATGCTGGGTGGCGTCTCATGATGAGGCCACACATGCTGGCTCAGCATGGCAAGTCTCTGAGCTTCTAGGTGTTGCCTATTCTGCATGACAGGCTGCGTTTCTGCATCACAGAAAAATGGAGCTCTTGGGTAAGGTACATGACAGATTTTTAAGAGTCATGCCAGACAAGCATGCGAATATGAAGGCGGATGACTGTGACCTGTCTCGCCCATCAAGATCCCTAAGTAATCCGTAGCTCCTAGACGTTGCCTGGCCCGCGAATGACTCCAGGGCAGCCGGATGACTGTGACCTGGTTATAAAGGGCTTCGTCGATCGATTGTGCCACTAGGGCCTTGAGTTCCGGCTACTCCGGATCGCAATCGATGGAGGGCGGGACCTGCACCGGCGACAGGCGCTATCCAACCAACCAACCAACAGACATGCATTCTTCCAGACCCAGACATTTTTGCACTTGATATCTAAAAGTGCCTGACGTTTTCGTGCTGGGCGACTTAGCAGCTGCTGCTCCGATAGTACCACGAATCACCGAATTATTCTGCTGCGAATTCAGATGCTTCGCAAGCTTGCGGTCGCCCGATGTGTTCCCTCCCGCCCCTAAATGCTGTGAAACCAGTCCCGATTTTCCCGTGTCGATCGCGATCAGCTCGTGGTCGGACTTCAGCTGCTTGTTTTTCATCTCATTCTCGTTTTCATCCTCGTACCGTTTCCACAAACCCAAAAATCCAAACTTTCCCTCCTTGGCAATCAAGGGAGCCAGTTGCGCTTCGATTTCGTCCCGGAACTTTTCGAAGTTTTTGTTCTTCTTTGATGTACTAGTTGTACTACCGGTAGCGCTGGCATCGTTTTTGTTGCCCGGCGTCGGTGCAAGAGCCGTTGTACTTCCGGCTGCATGATTCGTTCTATCTGCCGGATTGAAAGTGGAACTCAGTTTCGCATACGTCTGAAATTGCCCTCGGACCTTAAACTCTTCCGGCAAAAACTCCTCGGGTATGTTTGTTGACAAAAACGTCTGCACCTCTTCATCCGTCCCGGATTTCGTCATCAAAATCGCAGCAATCACGTCTCTTGGATCAAAACCGACTTTGAGAACGTAGTGTTTCAACAGCTTTTGGATCCGTTTATTCTCCAGCTGTTCTTCAATTTTAGACAATCCGAGCAACGACGACTGAGCGGCGGTAGATGGTGCGGTAGAGGCGGCGTCATCAAGAACGTCTTCTCCGTCCTCCAACAGTTCTTCCTTCTCGTATTCTTTCAACTTCTCAAGCCACGCAGCAGACTGGTCTTCCAGTTCCTGTTCGACTCGCAAAGCCTTCAGCGCTTCTTTCCTCAATTTCTTCGCAAAATAGATGGGCTGGACCGCCTATGAACTGCAACTGTATCGTACTAGTAGTAATTGCAATACAAATTAGCTCAGCATGAAGACAAACCCATTTGCCATGCTGTTTTACCTTGGGATGGAGATTTGTAATGCATAAACGCACCTAGTACGAGTACGATACCGTTGCACAGGATACGGCCTGCTCCGCGAAGAATTCCCGCTCGGTCTCCTGCGCCCGGTATGAGAGTGCACAACTCCCCCTCCCCGTCATGTGTAATGCAAAATTCCAAATCCACCCTTTGCCCCTTGGCACTTTTTGCATGACAAGTTCTGGAATACCTCAAACAGCACTACAATCCTCGGTGACATTGTCATGCAAAACCTGAACTCTTGTCGACGCTTGTATTGCTGTTTATGCCACACAAATGAGGGGGAAGGGAAGTTGTGCACTCTCATAGCCGGGTGATTTTGTTCAAGATCACCACCTCGGGCTGTTTCGCCGTATTCGCTGCCGTTGCAGCTGCTCCAGCTGCGGAGAGCGGCTTCTGGATGACAGGGGCCTTGTACGAAGAAGCACTCGCAGTACCGCTTTGCGCACCAGATTGTTCGTCTTCATCGTCATCACTGCCATCTTTCCCGTCGTTCCCCGGCGCAGAGAGCCAGCGCTCCACCTGCATGCACCCCTTCGTCCCCTTCGCCATGTGGTACCAGAAGCCCTTCCAGGGGTCCGGTAGAACGCGGAGCACTTCGGCGAACTCAGGACTCTGGTGCAATTTCTCGGAAACGGAGGGGACGAAACGCCGGTTTTTGGCCGCTTTGGCGTGCTGTGTTGTGGTGGGTGGAATATCGAGCAGTACTTTCGTAATGCTAGTGCAGCAGATGCAGCACATAAAGGAAACTAAACAAGGCTTAGATTACTTCTCTGTCTTGCGCAATAGAAATTCGCATTTGAAGCCAGATCAGCGTTGGTAGAGTGAAAAGTTATTCTTCGTCACACACATTCGTCCGAGTGAACTATGCTTGTGAGAAAACTGTTGTCTGCATCATTGTAGCCATCATATTTGCATTCGTCTTGTTCATCATGCGGGTTGCGCAAGACAGAGCCTTCACTTTCGTACATCCAGCAATACAGATTTGCTTCTATCAGCGTTGGTAGAGTGAAAAGTTATTGTTCGTCACGCGCAATGGTCCGAGTGAACTATGCTTGTGAGATGAAAACTGTTGTCTGCATCATTGTAATGATCTTTTGCGCAAGACAAAACTTTTGTATAATTCTCATCCTGCAAGAATGCAGATCAGCTCTACATCTATCTGCTCATGTGGCTCTCGTATAAACTTATCAGCGTTGGTAGAGTGAAAGTTTGGCATCGTCACCGGCGCAAGCCAGAAGGCTCGCAAAATCCGAGTGAACTATGCTTTGTTGAAACTGTTGCTTACATCATGATAGGAGCACTTCATTCTTTTATCGGACCTGAAACAATAGATATACTGCTGGCTAATAAGTAAATGCAGAGGGGGCCGACTGCCATCCCACGAGACGAAATTTAGGCACTTGCCTACCAATTTCATGTGCAGTAATCACTGTAGTCAAAAACGGAAATTTATTGACTTTGTACCTCCTTCTGTTCATCCTTTTCCACCAGAGCCAGATCCGGGCTCGTAAAAACGCAGAAATACGCCACAATCGCGGCCTCCTCTTTCGCGATCACCGCTTTTTTCGACTTCAATGTCGACTCAAACGGCGAAAAAACCAAGTCGTCCTGCTGTGCGGTTATCGCAGTTCGTTCTGCACCATCCTCGTCCTCATTCCTTGCTCCCTTGTGGTTCACCGCTGGTGGTCTCAAAATCACCCGAAACCGCAAGACGTTCTCCTGAAAGGATTTTGCTTGCAGGTACAGTGGTTTCGGCCGTTTCTTCTTCGTGCACCACTCTTCTAGTAAGTCGGACGGGAGTTTTTGCCACGTTTTGATCACGATTTCCTCCTTCTGGATGGATCCATCGTCTGTTTTGATTTTCTGTGTCCGAGGCGGCGTATGCAAGACAAATTTCCCGTAGTTAACCTCAGCCGTCCCGTCGTGTAATTCAATTTGAAGCATTTTTGACGAATTTGTGAAGAAAGGCCATTTTGAAAATGGACCCACTACGCACAGCGACTTTCCGAGCTCTTTCCGGCTGCCCCCCGACAACCGAAACAGGGGCGCGACGGCAAACAAAGCGCGTTCCGTTTCCCTGCGTGCGCGGTATTTCTGCTTTACCAAGTCGCGGTTTGTTCCGATGGTGTCACGCGACAAAAACGCGACACATGGCAAAGACGAAGCTGCCAAGGTCAAATCGGCTGTAGCTTCCAAACAGCCCTTGGTGTGGCAAGCCGCTAACAAGAGCGACGGTCCCCAGTGGTATGTAACCACCAACGCCACAACTCTCACCATAAGAGGTGGGCTTCCAATCCTACGGATGCAGCTACAGAAGTACAGTTAGCGGCCCGAAGGGCCGCGCGCCCCGGGCTTTTCATGCGAGTTGGTCGCCCGAAGCCGAAAGGGCGCGGACGAACCAACGTCATTTGGTTGCAGATGAATCTTGAGAACGCCGGAACCTGAAGCGAAATCCCGACACGTCAAAAAAAAGCGCTTGAAGAGAGTCAAAAAAGAGTCAAACGCAAGTCAAAATTGACCGCCACAGTAGGGGACGCAGAACTTGACTTTTTTTTGACTCTCTTCAAGAATTTCTTGATTGCCGTCAAAAATTGTTTGATTGCCGTCACAAAATGCTTGATTGCCGTCAAAAATTGTTTGATTGCCGTCAAAAATTGCTTGATTGCCGTCACAAATTGCTTGATTGCTGTCAAAATATCTTGACCGTCTTCAAGTCTAAGTGACTGCGTTCAACAATTGTGGATCTTTCTCAACAATTGTGGACCGGCTGCACTTACCGGCGAATTGACCGGAGGCATTCTTGTTGATTCCCCGCAACAAGTGGCGACTGTTTCAGGATCGTCTGAATCCAAACCAGCCATCCTTCAGAGGCTGACTCAGGGGCGGCGCAGAGCGACGTGATGTTGCTTCGCACGACTGCCGCGGATGACACGCAATATTGTGCACGCGATTCACCACGCGCCCGCACGAGGAAGCGAGTGGAGTCGGGTCGCAACAAGGACTGCAACGTCACGACCAGCGGACTTCGAGCCCGAAAAACAGCAGGCAGGAGCTTCGCTTTCTCAAAAAGTGCTTTCTTCACAAATGCTTCAAAAATTGATCAAAAATCAGTAGCACAAGAGGCGGTCTAGCGTTAACCCGTAGTACATGTACAAGATGCATCACAAATTTCACTTATTTGGAGTGTAACACTTGTCATGCTAAACTAGGATGGAAGCCCAGTTTTGTCATGTAGAGGCTGCGTTAGCGTTTGTACGTGTACGGGAAATTTACTGTGGATACGGCGCGTCGCTGTACCAGACTTCTTTCTGCCCGGAACGCTTGCCCGTGTTGCGGAGACGCATTTTACGTGTTTCTACGACGAGCTTACTTTAGCGATCACAAAGACGGAAGCCGCGAAACTAGGTGGAAACAAATGTGCAACCGCGGAGGTTAGTACTTACATTGTCAATTCAACTGTGTTTTCTTCTAGAAGGTGGCAACATGATCGACGCTACAGAAGGGTCTACTTCTACTGTGATACATGTTGAAAAGAGGATGGACCCCATTGTTCCTGCTGACAAAGTTGACGCACAAAGAACAGCTCCTGTTTCATCTGAGAGAAGGTAGTACAACATGATTATAGTGATCAAGCGGGAATAAAAAAACGAAGAACAGCTACTACACACTTCTTTGTCGTGGTAAACAGACCTGTCTGGTGGTTTTGGCGGAGTTTTTCTCACTCTAAAATGATCGCCGGTGGTTTGTTCGCGAACATGGACAAGAGATCCTACTGAGTAAAAATTTCCGAGCAAATTATAGGTCTGCGGCACTTTTGCGACTAAAGATTCAAAACGACGTCGAGACCGGAACAATATTGGCAACGGTAAAAGCAGAAGAGACGAAGATGAAGAAGCTTGACGGAGCGCGCGACAAATTACCGGACTACACATACACGACCGAAGAGCATTTTTACCGAATCATTGGTGGCAAGTGACTTCGAGCAAGCTCGACCACTCAAGTGAAACGACCGATCGAAAAGAAAGATTCAGACGAATGTTGGCTGAAAAAAACATATATTTGATCTTCGTGCAGGCCAACATCCTCCGGGGAGATCGCAGCTCATCTTTTTGGATGCTATACTACCGAACCAACCTTGCATTTCTGATTTGATCGCTAATACACACCAACAGCTGAAACTGAATGCGGATCGGGGGAAAAACTAAAGATGATGTTCTACTAGGAGGAATCTTGACAACGTACTGCAAGATGGTCACGAAAGGATCGCAGAACAAAACCAAAAATGTTGCCAGATCCTCACGTCTCATACTCACAGCTGCAGCACCGGTCGTGTGGTTGCGACCTACGACGCCCGACGGCCCGTGCGCACCAAATCTTAAATGTGCCTTGCCACCGTGACAGCGACGAATAGAAACCTCATTATGGTCGAGGTCGTGGTGCTGTTCTTGGGTCATGTATCATTTTTTCGACGCTATTCTCAGTGTTCCAACTTTCGTGATTAGGACTCTCCGACAGCCAAATTTTACTAATTTTCCTCACCCTGCCTGCGTACGAGCCAGTTTCCACTATATTCACAGCGGGATCTTCACGATTGTTCCAGTCCCTCCTCACGCGCTCTTTGGCGTCGTCGAGCAAAATTTGCTTCCACTCCTGCACCCTCTTGTCTCTCGGATTCTCCTCCGCCAGCACGTGTGCCCGCTCTGCCGCTTCCACCGCAGTTTTTAGCTCCGCTTCCCGCCAATTCTTTTGTCCCTGGATTGTGATATGTTGCAGTTAGTGGAAGTGATCGCAGAGACACATTTACATGACAGATTGCATTTCAAGCACACAAACAGTCGGGATCGATGCTGATCACTATGAAGACCACGCGGTCGCGTCGGGTTTCTGCTGGTCCAAACGAACAGACCTTCATAGCATTTTTGCAGACCTTAAACTTATGAGAATTACGCTTATGATCATGATGTACCAATTCTTGCAGTTCCTTAAGGTCCGCTTCACTTGCCGTTTCGCTTTCATCAGGCGACGCCGCTTGTGGTGACGCTGCTTGTGCCGCAGATAGGCAGGCCGGCCTGAGAGCACGAGGAAGCCACCCAAGGGCTGTTGCATGCATCTCCAGCTAGCTGGACCCGGAGGTGTTCGCAATCTTTGAACAGAAAGTGTTCTTCTCCTCTCTGTCCACAACACCGTCAAAATTGGCGTCCGCGCCTGCCCGTAACAGCTCTTCGTGGTCGAGGGAACGCCGGATGGCGGCAAGGTCATTACCGCTCGTGAGCTCCTTGTCGGTGATGATCTTTTCCACGACCATACCCACAGTTGAAGACGCAGCGGGCAAGTCGGCAGAAAAAGCAGCGTCCCTCCCGACGGCGGTCACCGTCCCGGTGATTTCCTTTTGCGTGAAGGAATACTCTTGCTCTTCGTCTAGCTTCTCCCCTCGCGTCCTGTCTGCGAGTTCGGGACCTTGTTTTCCTTCCCTTTTATTCGAGGTCTTATCTTCCAGCTCTACCTCATCTCCAAACTCTAACTCGGCACCCCTTATGTCGGCCATGCTGGCGTCGTCAGCGCGGACAGAGACGCACGCAGCACTCGCTGCCACCAGCGTGGAGACAGTAGACCGCATGTTGTTGCTCACGCACTTTCGTTTTCTTTGCAGCAAAAAAAACTTGAAACTGCACAAAAAGACAAGGAGAAAAAGCTGGTGGTGATGGTTTCCTCTCTGAGTGACGATGATATGGCCATGAAAAGCCAGAATATGCGAAATTACCTTTCTTGTCACCTCTCGCTCCTTGCTTCCCACAGGGAAGTTTGAAAATAGCACTGCAGCACATAGATCACGGAATGACTAGCAGGCACTGAAAAAACGGGAAAAAAACACCTCCGATGTGGTGAAGACTAACACATCGAGATTCTTTTTTGTGTTTCGTCTTGTATTTCGTTTCTACGAGGACGTCGAAATTGTGCATCCCACCGGTATAAATGCCCTTCATTACCGTACAAGCAGACGCACACGCTCTCATGTGGTTTAGCTTTATTCTTGATTTCATTGATTTATTTCAAGCAGACAGAAGGAAATTCTTCATGGAAAGTAGGCTAGGTTTCGAAAAGCTGGCCTTCATCCTGATGATCATGTACAAAAATGAAAATAAACGTGACTGTTATCACAGCGGCAAACTACCAGAAACTTTCAAACTGTGTAGACAATATAAAAAGGTTCTGTATGGAAAATCAGAATTGCGTGTGAAAATGCAAACAGCAGACATTGATCGTTGAAATCTTGTGTTGTAAATAACATTTTTATACTGTATTCTAGATGTGGAAGTACGTAGTAAAGACCGAAGGAACCATACTATGGACAGGTAGAATACAGAAAGGTTAGTACGACAAAAGCTCAACTTACAAAATTTGTGTGGAAAACACAGCATGACAGAATCATGCGGCGTAACCCCACTGACATAAGCACAAAACCGATACTCTGGTCTCTGTGACAACAAGTAGTGTACTGACAACAGCAAAGGTTGTGGTTATCCGAAAGTGAAATCGTGTCAAGATCATGCGAGAAACAGTGACCACCGGAGCGACGGAAGTAAAAAACCGCATCGCAACTTACACGACCATGGTGTTCTCCTTGAGCATGTCGACATCCTCGTCGGTCAGCTCCTCGATCGTGACGCCCGGGGTTTTCACATCAGCAGGCCCTTCCTTGCTCACCGCCTCCACATCCACCGTCGTCGCCATGCCGGTCAGCATGCAGGTGTCCTCGCCGGCGGTGAGGCGGATAAAACCGTCCTCACCCCAGTCGGTGTTCCAGGAGTTGCGGACGGTGTAGTAGTATGCATTGCAAAAGTATCGTACTCGTATAAATGCATCACAGATTTCCTCAGCATGAGAAATGAAATTTGTAATGCGGATTTAGCTTAAGAACAAGATTTGTAATGCATGATTGCAATACGAGTACGATACTTTTGCACAGGATAAGTACGGGCCGTTGGCAGAGTCGTCGGAGCCAGTTTGCTATCCAATCGACAAAAGTATCAATCGCAGGAATGGAACTCATGCATCACAGATGTACTCTGGATTGCGAGACCACTCTGCATGACAGGTATAGTTCCATTTCGGATTTTTCTGAAAAATCTGTCATGCAGTCACCACTAGGACCGATTATACTTTTGTGTTGCATATGTACTTGACCACCTGCACGGCGTGGTCCAGTTGCTCCGCATTGCACTGATCCGCGTCCATCATACCGCCAGTGTACAGCTGCCACTGCGTGGCGTCCACACCAATGGAGAGAGGGCCGGAGGAGAGGAGGTAATCGACGAGTTTGGGTTCGTCCAAGGAGTCCTCGGCGACGGTTTTGTAAGACACGACCTGAGAGTTGTGTTTCGTAGTTCTTGCGCATCATAAGTTTCAATTTGCAGCTTGGGATTCGCACGAGAAGTTGAAGTTCAGCTCAGTTTGCAACCGCATTAAAATGGTCATCAAGACGTTGTCATGGTGAAACCACAAGCAGACGTATAAGCTCTGATAGTGATACAAAACACCCGTGTGAAGCAAAATTTCTTCCTCCATACCTTGAATTCCCCGAGCGACTTGTCCATCGTGCACTTCCCGGTCTGTCGCGTAATTCCGCTCATGTAGGGGTAGTCTGTCTCGGATTCCAACGGTTTTCCCTTATGCAATACAAATTTCCCGTACATGTAAAAGGTGCATCACAAATTTCCCCAATTTGGAGTGTGAAACTTGTCATGCTAAACTAGGATCGAAGCCAAGTTTTGCCATGCAGCGACCGCATGTGTGCGTCTACAGGAAATTTACTGTGGATATCCCTCCAGCCACTCGTACGCGTTCACCGGCAGCCCGCCGTTGCACCCCTCGTCTCCGTGGTGGTCGCAGGAGACTAGTTCCTGAGGAGAGCCGATGAAGTCACTTGTGATGCCCTCGATGCGGGCCATGGATTCCAGCTGCTCCACTGTGGAAAACGCCCAGCATATCCTCAGCAAAAGCGTCCCCAAGCCAGAGTTGTCGCGCAAATGCGCAATGACAGAAACGCTTGTAATGCGCATCTCCATGAGAGCCATTCTCAGTCGCGTTTTGGAATTTGTAATGCTGTAAACAGGATGAGAAGCTGGGTTTCTCACGCGGCTGCCCTTGCTAACCAGAAATACACTACAGATGGAAACTTGTCATGCGCAACTTCCAAAACTTGGAGATTTGTATTGCAGATTTCCCAACTTGACTATGAGGCGGGGACGTTTTTACACAGGATACAGCAGGACCCGCACTGCCCCTGATCCTTCACATCCGTTGTCATACCGGCTTCGACCCAATCCTTGGAACCGGAGGGAAGGAGGGCCTTCATGGTGTATCACAGGAAAAAGTGCTAACGTCAGCGGTTTTCACCGATTGCAGTCATGCATCACAAATGTAGCCCGGGATGCATGCTATGCATGACAAATTGTGGGACGTGTAGTGATGCATTGCTGCATCACAAATTTCGGCAACGTTAACACTTTTTCCTGTGATATGGTGGACTTCGGCTTCATGAAGTACTTGGCGGTGGAGGAGGAGGCGGGGGAAGAGGAATCTGTAATCAGAAATATAAAACTATCTGGTGCAACTGCACCAGCTAATCGATCGCATAGACTTCTGCGAAAGAGCCGGTGTATCATTCTCGTGTTTGTGATTTTCCTCTTGTTTCAGCACAAAATGATGCAAAAAATCCATCTGTGCGTGACTGCTACAAAAGGTTGCAGAAAGTTAACTATACAGTCGCGATTAGATGTTGAAAATGACCATTTTTGTCTATGCGACGTGAAATCACACCATAAACAATTGCGGCATATGAAAATACATCGAGAACAACTGCAAAAAATGAACATACCAATCTTTCCGAACTTCCCCAACACCTCCTTCTTGGCTTCGTCAGTGACCGCCAAGCCCAAAAACTTCTTCGCAAACTCTTCGGAAGTCTGGTCCATGAACTTCGTGATACCGAACCGCGCGCGGTCGATGTTGTTCGACCCCTCGGACTTCATGTTCTCCATAATGGCTTTCTTGATGTTATCTTCGAAGATGTTCCGTCTGTCCAAATACTCCTGTTCCATTCCCGGGGCGGGCTTGAAGACGATGCCCTGATGGGACGTTTCCTTCGGCGCCTCATCGACGGCCGAGTCGTAGGAAGAGGCAGAGGCGAAACCTGATGCTGTGAAACAAATTTCAATTTGAATTTCATCAGTCTCCATCCAGTGGTGCACAGCAGCATGCATAGGAAGTTCAGCATCACAGATAATTTCTGTCATGTGATCTATCACGCAGTAGGAAGAATAAAAACAATTCCAACTCAGTACCTTCCACCACACTGACATACGGTTTGTTGAACTTGGCAGCGAAGGTGTGAAAGGCGTCGGCCATAGCAGTTTCCGACCCAGCGATGTTCATCAACGCATTCTGGTTCTCTTCCGGGGTCACCCTTGCTCCCTGACTGTTCGCGGAAACCGCCGCGGCGTTCGACAACATACCCAGAGACGCGGCAGCACCAATCGCTAACTTCGTTGCCGGGCTGGAACTCCATTTCTGCATCCAGGACTTCGACTGGGTGCGGACGCGGGTGTTGGCACCACCTCCAGGTGCCTTGGTCTGGATTGCAAGAGAACCTGTTGCAAGCAGCACGCCTGTTTTGGCGACGAGAGAGAGGCTGGAACGCATTTTGGGGGAACCTTTGTTGCAAGTGTACACGATCGTCGTGTGAAGTAGAGTATCGGAGTGTAGTGGTAAAAACACCAAAAATGTGGACGCTGTCGCTGCGTACTCTCGAGTCTACTTGTCCAATGTGGTTACTCGGAAAGCTTAGGTTGGGAGTGCCAGCAAAAGCAATCCTTTCACAACGTTGGAGACGAGATTTCAGCAGGTGTTTTCGTCCTGGTGTGGGAAACTATGGTTAGTTTTGTGAGAAGTTGAAAAAGAAAATTGAGAAGAGGATCATGATCTGATACATGGACATGCAGATGAACAAGCATCTGCAGCTACCAACAATGAACGCAAACAGAAAAAAGAAAAAGCACTGAGTGATCTTGTTCACGGGAACGGAAGATGGCAAAAAGATAGATCAACATCACGCTCTGTTTCACACAAATTGAACTTTCTTCGTGACAAAGCGGACAAGGAACCAACCAGGAGGTGTAGTCTGCAAAGAAACCTACGAAATGATCCGGTGATGCTGAAATTCTGGTAATCGAGTTGCAGCACATCACAGACGCAGCCATTGTGTTTGTGGCGTACGAGGACTTCAAATGGTAGCCAAGAACACAATTTGAACAGTACACTACAAGAAAACCTCCGTAGAAGTGGGAGACTCTTCCAAGTCTCTGAGAGCAAGATCGTGCTATCGTTACAGGTATGTAAGCAGAAGCACAACGATTGACAAGCAAATTGGTCGTGTTGCTTTTTGCACAAAGCGTGCACGAAAATCTAGTACAAGTACAATCATTGGATGCGAATTACGACTCCTATACCTATACGTTGATACTGCGATTTTACAGAACAGTTTGTCGCAAATCCTTCACCACGCCGTCGAATGACCGTTGCAGTTCCGTCTCCGATACACCGCTATTGTTGCCGTCATCGGAGTTTCTCGTGAAAGACCCCACAGCTGTAGCCCGTCTTCGGAGTTCTTCGTAATCCTGTTGCAACAAGGGTGCGGACAGAGTGCTCGCGTCGCTATCACGGTTACCGTTACTACCTTGCTCCAAAAACACGGTCCCGGTTGTTGACCCAGACCCTGGATGTCGAAGAAGCTTGGCTTTTGTTTGCTGCAACTGCGCTTTGTATGACAAGTTCTTTGCAGGAGGACTACCAGCAGCCGGATTGTTGATCTCCGCTTCGCTACCCGTGTCACGGCTGGTAAGCGATGGTGCTTTGCCATCGGTTCTTCTACTGCGCTGCCCATTCCCCCTGGTGGATGTTGTCCCATCAACACCTTCTCCCTCCTTCGAAGTCCTTGCCCCAATTACCTGCAGTCGCTTCATCACGTTCCGCACCCGATCGGACAGAAGTTTCTGCGTGTGCGAATCGTACACACTCATGTGATTGCACATGTTGTTCACACGGGGAAGGGAAACTCCGGGCAAGTGGTGATTTCCATATACATGGACGTTGCGCGCATTTTTAATCACACGCGCTGCGTCGATCGAAGAAACATCCGAGTCGACGTCAGAGAGCGGAACAACTTCGTCGCCCCCGAAGACAAACGCGGATTTCCGGTGGTGGAAACGAGGCGATAGTGGATTGTGTTGCTCGAAGCCCCGCGCCCGTGGATCCATAACCCTCACCGGTGACTGCTGGTGGGGGTGTTGGTCAAAACGAGGGGACTTCTGCTGCTGTAGGTTCTGCGCTGCAGCTGTTATTTCTGTGCGCTGTTTCGTTGTTCCAGCGAGGACCCGCTTTTCCTCTGCAGTCTTGATACCAGCAGCATCTACAAGAACTTCTCGTGGACTCAGTTCTACTTCTCTGGCTCGACCTCGACGTCCTTTCTGCTTGTACATTGCATTTCCTTCCTTTTCGAGCAATTTGATCATCCTCGCAACCAAAGCGCCCTTCTTAAACCTCCTCCTCGCCACTTTCGACTTGCGCGGCGGCGTAGTCTTGTCTTTACTTGAACCACGAAAAGAAGTAGTTCCTGCAGCCTCGTAGTTACTCCCGGAGTTGTTCTCGTCGCTCTCCGCCGATTCCGGGTCGAAGCGCGCGGGGATTTCTTTGGTCTTCGCGGTTTGTATTTGAGGATCATCTTCGTCGGATGAATTATCCGATTTATTTTCCACCTCATCTTCCTCCAGGTCTGCCTCCAAATTATCAAAAAACTCGGTGGATTCTAAACTTAAAAGATACTCCTTCAAAGCCGCGGACTTCCGGGTGTTAGCAGCAGCACTGGTAGTTCCCGAGCCTGGAGGAGGGGGCGAAAAACCACCGACGGTACTCCTGACCCTTTTACTCCGCCTGGAACTTCTCCTTCCGATCCCAGACCTGATGCTATCGTAATTATCCCGACCGGAAAAGCGCACACTATCCTCATCCCCACCGAGTCTAAACAAGGTTGTCCTGCGCTGCGCCCCGTAAAACTCGGAAGAGTGTACTCTCCTAGCCACCGTTTCCGGCGAGTGTTCTTTCTGATCCTCCTCCACTAATCTACACGTCGTCAACCGCGCAAGTCCCATCGCAAAAACCCCTCCGATCAATTTTCCGATTAATAACGGAACACACAGTGGTGGTTGGTAGATTGAAGAAAACGCCAAGTGTCCGCCGAGACTGTATGCTGCCGGAATGGAAAACGCGACGGCCGCGACTGCTTCTTTCGGTGCGATTCGTGGGAGCATGGTGAACAAGACGATCATGCTCGACAGAGACCCCACGATCCCCAAAATCCCAAAACCCTCTTCGTCGTGAAACCCGATAAATTTCCCAACCCGACAGATGCTGTAGATACACTTCTCCCGGAGTAAAAACATAAACGGCAGCATCCCGGAGACCGCAATCCCGATACTCGCCGCGACATCCAACCCGGTAGACTCGCTGTACCGGAAGAAAACGGCGTTGGAGGAAGTTTTTAACAATGGCTGCAATTGGAGTTCCGGGTAGTCGGGGAGAAAGGTTTGGAAAATCCAGATGCAACCGCCTATATGCTGTAACGCGGAGATGAGGAACATGAAACGCAGGAAGTAGTTATGCAATACAAATTTCCCGTACATGTAGTACAAATGCATGACAAATTTCGCTAACTTGGAGTGTAAAACTTGTGATGCTGACTGAGATCGAGTGGAACTTTTGTCATGCAGCAGCAGCATTTGTACGTCGTGTACGGGACGTTTACTGTGGATAGTAGTTGAGCATGGTGCCAAAGCCGACAAAAAGGGTGATGACGAGTAAATCCTCCGGCTTGTCATTCGCCGCGACAGGGTAGGTTGTTCCTGCGTCCTCTCCAAAACTGTCCGGGACATCAAGGTTGTCCGCAGATTTCAACCCCACTGGTGGTTTAGATTCAAAACTGATGGTTTTCTGCTGCCGCTCTCCTGTTGCTATACTGCTATTGATGTTTCCACCGGGGCTGGAATCCAAACCACTTCCGGCATTGCTGGTGAAGGCCGTGGAAGGGCGGTCGCTCAGCTGCGGAATGATTTGCCTTGTTTCTGATGCTGGTTCTGGATAGACATTGGTCAGATCGAAGGTTGTACCAGTGTCTTCCAGTTCTTCAAGATTATCCTGGAACCCCACCACGCTCCCTTTCGTGATGCTGCTCGGCGTTAGGATACCCTCGAAGAATTCGTGGATTTGGGGCGTTCTCACAGCTTCTGCGTCCCGCCCAGGAGGCGTGTAGTTCATAATTTCGGGCGTTCTTGTCTCATCCGCCGCCCCGTCTGACAACTTTGGTATCTGCTTCGTCCCCTCTCCCTCGGGTAGTTGTAAGATGGTCTTCAATTGAGGGTGACTCTTGATTGTTGCCGGCGGGAGGGGTAAAGGCGTGAAGAATTCGACCGAGTTCGCTTGGGTCAGTCGGGCGTTGCTTGTTAGAGACCCGAATTGCCGTTCTGATCCTCGTGGGGAGAGTCTCCTTCCTATAGCAGCTTCGTTGGAATTCGTGCGTGCGAGAATCGGGGGTGCAGGTGTAGTACTTGATGGTGGTACTAAAGGTGCAGCACTACTAATATTACCCTTGATGTTCTTATCCTTTCCCGCCCCCCCTGGCGGCTGCAAGTACAAAAACAAGCCCATCACCGCAGCGAGAATCCAGCAGGGCGAAATTACCTGAATCGTCGAGGCTACCAAGTCTATCCGCAGTTCCCAATCCAACACGGGCGACGGCTCGATTTTGCTGTTCACCAGAACGTACCCAAGACCGTTGTTCATCTGCTCTAGATACAAAATCAAATAGCAGACGAAACACGTCACCGGGATCGCCACCAACCCAGGGATCAAACCGAGTAATAAATACCGATGCGAATCCGGGTCGTTGATCACTAATAACCCGACTGGCAAAGAGAAGGAGATGAAGTCACCGAGGAAGTAGCTCAGAACGGACGCGGGGTAAGACGTGTTCAACACGTCTTCGGAACTATTTCCACTATGCATTGCAAATATATCTGGGTCTGGCAGCATTAAACTTGTAATGCTAGTCCTACATACCTGTAAAATCTGTATTGCATGACTAACAAAACGACGCCTCCTTTTGTCATACAAAAGCGCAGTTTCTCATGCGGACTGCGCATGAGAAAGTGTCCGGGAGAATTGTCATGCTTGGCGGCATTGGAAAATATTTCAGTCATGCACATTTCAGCATCACAAGTTTCCAGACCCAGACATATTTGCAGTTGATACCCACTCGCCTTCGCTAATGCCAGTTCCGCAACGGTTCCCGCCTGCATCGTCGGGTCCAGAAACGAGCAGGCTGCGTGCGCCGGGGTGCTGAAAATGTAATAATACCAGTAGAAGCAGTGCTCGAAAAAGGGAATCACAATATGCAGTGCAAAAGTATCGTACTCGTTGTGATTGCAGTTATGCATTACAAATCTTTTTCTGAAGGTCGGACAGCATCACAGATTCCATTTCTCATGCTGAGGAAGTTTGTAATGCAATTCATACTAGTACCATGCTTTTGTAATTCATACACGATCGGTAACGCCGAGATCATCCCCCCCACCGTCGCGAAGATGTCCGGAATCATCGCGAGGCCGCGGACCCATTCTCCGCCAATCCCCTGCTCCGCGGAGTTGAACAGCGCGAAAAAGCCGCCGACGGCGGAGAACTGGAGGAAATATAAAGTCAAAATCGAGGTTATCGCCGATTGGTGCTGGGCCGCTTGTGGGTCGAAATCGGATCTGGCGAGGGTGCAGGCGGTGGCGATTATCAGTGGCGTGAGGAAAATCGCCGCGGTCTTGAGCGGATTGTCATGATCCGCTGTTTGTTCGCGGAGAGTATTACTTCCGCTTCCGGCCATAATTTGGGATGCTTTGCTTGAGCTGGAGAAGAGGAGGGGTACAGGAGGTCACTTGACGTTAGTTTTTAGTACAGTGGGGAATACAGAAGTGTCTGTGTCAGGTGTTCTAGAACAATTTTTCGACAGGCAAAAATACACTCCCAGCTCTAGCATGAAAAAGTAAGGGTACAACTTAAATATGAGGGTAGCAGGCATAAGGTAACGAATTTATTAGGGGCAATTCTTCTCTGTAGGAATAACATACGCGGAAAGGGAATTATCAGAAGAGCCGAAGCAAGGTAGAGTGCGAAGAACCAACGAGTGGAAAACCAAGTGAACGATTGGACAGCCAGCTTCTTCAATTTGGCTGACAGGTACTACGCCTGCGTTTGAACGAAACGAAAACTGCCGGCGCTGCGGCGCTTTTTTTTGTACGACAACCGAAGTCACATAATTCACCAGGAAGTAGTAAGTACTTACACCAGGACGGACAAAATCGCAAACCGAACTTGAATTTCATGCTGAGATGAAAGAGCCACAACTTCTCAAGAACCGAAACGTGATCAACCTCTTTTATTTCCGAGCGGCACCACCTCCGCCAGAAAGAGAGACGACCGAATTTGTACCGTCAAAAACTCGTGGCAAGTGCCGATCAAAAAAACCGACTTTCCAAAAACTTCAGATCCACCGATGTTCTTTCTTCTTGTTGGGATAGCGCAACATTTCTCCGCTTTCACTTTTGTGACAACAACATCCACAAACCACCTGATTAGCAGCACCACACGGTGTCGCGTTCGGTGGCGCAGCACTACGAGCTGCGCACAGTGCAGCAGCTCGCCTCTCCTTTTTCAACTATTTCCAGCAACAGCTACACTTTTCCACATTTCGAATCGCGGGCTCGTCTCTTACACATTTAGGTTCCGAGGTTTTTAGGTTCATATAATCAGCACAGGAAACAACTTCTGAAGATCCTAAGCAGGGGGATGCTATCCATCATGACCAGATGTAACAGTTGTAAAGCAAAAAAGCATTTTTTGATGACTTGATCTCACTCGCTTGGTGAGGATGGAAATGATAAGTCTTACTCCCATTTTCTTTGTGCTTTTCTTTGCCGTACATTAACATTTTCATGAGCCGGTATTTCATCCACTGAAGTAGACCCTGCAAGGATATTGGGATCGTCTTCACCTGAAAATAAATGCGGCCCTGCTTAGAAATCACAGTTTATTATCCAGTGACTTATTTAAAGATTCGAAATCGAAATGGAGAAAAGCTGTTACAGAAAATTAAGTGGGAAAATCGTTCGACAAAACTGAGCTGCGGCTGTACTAGTACTTCTGAAAGGGTGGATGTTTTTTGCACTAATAGACGAGTAGTTCTAGATCTAGAAGGAGATGAATTGATGGGGTACAAAATAACTTTAGTGCGCTGGTGGTGGTTGCTATACTTTTTACGCTACACGAGGATAATGCATAGCATCGGAGTTCTGCGAAATAGTTTATCTTTTGGCGGGAGATCAAGTGAACAAGGCGTGGGGGGATACGATATCGAAATAAAGCGTCGAGGTCGAGCGTTGAAGTACGATACTATCTCTGTAGCAATTGAAAAAACATTTTGAGTGGTGTGGAACTCATAACCCATTTAAAACGAAAAACTGCAAAGAAAACATCAGAGCGAAGTGAATTTGTTAAGTTAAGTAAACAGTAGTTTGTTCTGGCGTGAAGCATTTTGGACTTTGACGACGTATTAAATTGCTGAATCTGGCTGATGAAAAATTGTTGCTGATATTCTGAGTATTTTTGCAAGCGATACAACTATCTGATACTACTTCTTCGAAAAGTATTAAATTTCCTTGCGGCTGCAAACTTTATCTGTATCTGTTATCTGCTCCATCACCATCCCCGATGTAACTGCTTTGAATTACATTTTATTTTCGAGATAAAAAATGATTAGCTGGCTGCGAGCACAGTGTGCTCTTGTGCTGAGTATTTTTCTCTGAGAAGTAAATCGATAAAAAAATCTGCGACAGAAATTTGCAAGTTCTTGTGGTCTGAATCTGAAATGATAATCTGTTCCTGTGTACTTCTGGTAAAAAGTAAAAGTCTGTTTAAGCCTATAAGTAATTTGAAAATATAGAACCCGTTGATACTAGGATGAAGTGGTCTTCACTGCCAGAATTATAGCGAATAAATTGACAGAAAAGATACTTACTATCCACCGATAACTACAGATTCACGGCCTATTATCTATTACCTAGAGCCTATAACTATATATGACCTATTTTTGAAATAATTTTCCACCTAATCTTTGTTATTGGATTTTTTTTGAATAGTTCTGCCTACCCCCAGAAGAACAAATGAGTTCTTCCTACGACGACACTCCTACAACTAGCAGTGGGCTGGCAAATGATTTTTGCGTCAGCGTTTTTTTCAGCTGACTGGGAGAGGACCAGTACCACTTCCTCGCTTCCCTCTTATTACTCCAGCATCAGTTCCGTGATCCTCAAACTGATGAGTTTGAAATACCCCTCTGATATCAGGTTCTCCTTTTTCAAGACTATCTGCATCAGAAACAGCAAGAATTCCTTCCCGAAGCTGCGCGCGTGCTGTTTGGAGGACAAGACGTAGTGGAAGATGTTCCCGCACACGTCAATTTTAAACCCATCAGATTCCTGAAACGTCTCCGGATGGAAATTGACAAAGCGGAACAGCGGGCCGGTGATTCTCAGCTCTTTCTCGACGAAAAAGAAGAGAAACAACAACTTCCAGAACAGCATGGGGTTTTTGTCCAGCGGCGAGTGCGTCATTAACTCCACCACGCACAAGTCCCAAAACGAACTATCGCAATGCCGCAATTCGTTGTAAATCTGCTTCCGTCTTGGGAATATGAAATGCAAATATGTCTCGGTCTGGATGAGTGCAGGAGTTTGTCATGCATCTTTCGGACGACACGGATGCTCTGGATCGCACGGAAAGCATTACAAATTTTTTTTCTCAGGTCCCTTGATGCCTGTCCTGCATGAGAAACTCGCTAGTCTCCTGGCAAAAAGTGAACAAGTAGTTTTGGTGCAGCTCATGCAACACAAGTTTTTGCGTGATCCAGAGTCTGCATGACAAGTTGCACTCTCCCAGACCCAGACACATTTGCAGTGCATAGGCGAAACCTGCGTCTGGTTCGAGCTGGTTCTGCTCAAATTGCTATCCGCGACAAACGGGTATCCTGTGCAAAAGTATCGTAGTCGTACTAATCGCAGTCATGCATTACAAATCTCCTTCTTAAGCTAAATCCGCATTACAAATTTCATTTTTCATGCTGAGAGAATTTGTCATGCGATTTCTAGTAGTACGATAATTTTGCAGTTCATAACGGGTTCGACGCGTCACTATCCAGCGAGTTTTGCAACTTCCGCAGTCTGCTCGTGCTGTCAATCGCAGTTGGACTCTTCTTATCAAATGTAAAAATGTCTGGGTCTGGAAGAATGCGAGATTTGTGATGCAGGTTTTCCATGACCCATGAGGTCTGGAATGCGAGACCCAGCATGACAGATTTTTTGAGGTCTCTATCATCCCTCTCCTGCATGAGAAACTCCCTCTCCACTTGGTCAAAAGCGGACAGCTTTTGGGACTCACGCAACACAGATTTTTGCATCCTTCAGATTTAGCATGACAAGTTCCAACCTTCCAGACCCAGACATTTTTACATTTGATACTTCTGCAAGTAGCCCGGTAAGTGCGAATTGATCGGTTGATTTTGTTTTCTCTCAATAAACGGGGTCAGCGGGTTGTAGTTGTTCTGCTGATTCCCATAGTTCAAAATCTGCAGCTCCTGACACTCGTACAACTTCTCCACGATGTTCCTTTCCTCCGAATTCGTGTTACTCACATGGTTGTTGTACCCGACCCAATTCTGTATCAGCATCATCCGCTCCTGGGCGTCGGAATCGTATGCATTGCAAAAGTATCGCACTAGTATAAACCAGCCATGCTCCGGCTGCCGCCGGAGCGCAGGGCTGTTGGGCCGGGGCAAGACTGTTTGCCGATCGGACCACAACGCCACGGGCCTAATATGCACAACGAAACATACTGGAGTCCCGCTCTTTCCGCCTGTTTGCGCCGCGCCAACCCGCAGGACCACTTGCGCGCTTCCCGCGCCTGTGGGCGCTCTGCGCAGGGAGCAGCTGCAAAGAACACCGGGGGCGAACAGAAGCCGCCAGGCGCGAGAGGGTAGCGCGAGAGGGTGGCGCGGGAGGGTGGTGCGGGAGGGTGGCGCGAGAGGGTTGCGCGAGAGGGTGCGCGAGAGGGTGGCGCGAGAGGGTGGCGCGGAAAGGCGCCGAACAAAACAAGTCCACGACTGGCCTGCAGTGCCAAATATGGGGACTTCCATGCGGATTCGCGCCCGCCACTTTGCGTTTTTACCCTCTCGCAGACCTCTCGCAGACCCTCTTTTTGACCTCTTTTGGGGGTCCCCGCTAATAATCCGGCTATACTCGCGGGTAGAGGTCGACAGAGGTGGCCGAGAGGTGGCCAAGAGGGTCCGCGAGAGGTCGCCCCTTATTCGCGCCACCTCTCTCCACCTCTGTCGACCTCTCGCGCCCCCTCTTTTTGACCTCTCTGCACCCTCTGAGGCACTTAGGCGCCGCCTTAAGGTGGGGCCTTCGGCGGGCTATACTCGCGCACCCTCTCGCCGACCCTCTCGAAAGGGGTCCCGCGCCACCTCTCCACCTCTGTCGACCTCTTTTTTACCTCTTTTGACCTCTTTTTGACCTCTCGGCCACCTCTCGTTTACCCTCTGTCTACCTCTTTTTTCGCATGAATATAATATATAGTAATAAGTTGCAATACAAATTTCCTTGGCATGAAGAATAAAATTTGTCATGCGGATTTGCCTTAGCAAAAAGATTTGCAATGCAAGACTTGCATTCATACGAGTACGATACTTTTGCACAGGATAAATCAAGAATCCGGACGATTTCCTCATTTGTGATTTTCAAATTCTGCAAATTAATCGCCGCATTGTTCGCTGCATTCCGCTGATTCGCCAATTCGTTCGCGACGGTGTCTAACGATAAGTTGAAATCCACGAGCAAATCCTGCCCCCAAGCGGCGCGGATCCGCTCGACCAGAGCGAGGAGAGCGCGGCACTTCACCACGTTGTACAAGTCTGGGTTGTAGGTCTCTGTATCCGATTGATCACCAGAGTTAGACGTGTTGCTGCCGTAATTTCCGTTGTAGTTCTTACTGTTCCTCTGCTTATTGTAGTACAACCCGTTGCTGTTTTTCGACCCGATGGAGCCATGCGAGTCCTTGTCCGGACTGGAAGAGAGAATCGATCCGGGAACTCGGCCGATGTTTCGCGTGATCAGCGTGATATTCCGAGCCACGACGATAGAGCAGTTACCGCTCCGGTAGTTCGCCTGCGAATTCATGTTCACGGAAAATTGCACAATGTCACTCGCCTCCATATCGAAGCCGAGACTTCGCAATCGGAAGTCGTTCCGCTCCGCCAACGCGTAGGTCCACAGGTACTGTTCGTAGTCGAAGCTCGAGGAAGATGTTATCTCCCCGAGGATGTAAATCACCCTGCCCTCGGAGTTCACCTGTCTCTTCGTCAGAACTCTGCCGTAGTAGATTTTTTGCTGACAGAGAAACGCCGGGTTGAGCTGCAGAGCAGTGTTCTGCTGCTGTTGGGGACTGCCAGAGAGCTGCTGCGCGGGTGGCAGTCCTCCTGGAGATCCTGTAGCTGCACCGTTCATATTTGACGATGTTCCTACGACATTGGGCGAGGAGATGATGTGCTGGGAAACCGTACTAACCATGTTCGGACTCGGCACCGGGCTCGGCACCGGCCTGGGGGGCGGCGCGGAATCCGGGTATCCTGCGTAAAAACGTACCCACACCAGAGTCAGGATGGGGAATCTGCTAGACAAATCCACAAGTTTTGGCTGTTTTGCATGACAAATTTGGATTCGTCGTGTAGTGCTGTTTGAGCTAGCTCAGCAGCATCACAGATCTAGCACACCATGCTGATTGGAGCATGACAAATTTCAAAACACCATTAGAAAATGCTTCTCATGGGGCTCCGCATGAGAAACATTTCAAGCGTGCAGATTTGCATGACAACTATGGTGTGGGTACGTTTTTACTCAGGATACCGGGATTTGCTTCGTCATTGGCGGAACACTACCACTATGCATTGCAAATATGTCTGGGTCTGGAAGACAGTAACTTGTGATGCTAAATCTGAATCATGCTAAAATCTGTGTTGCATGAGTGCCAAAGGCTCTCCACTTTCGACCACGTTAGGAGGGGATTTGTCATGCAGGATAGGCATGACAGAGACCTCGCAGAGTTTGTCATGCCAGGTCCCGCATTCCAGACCTCATGGGTCATGGAAAATCTGCATGACAAGTTGCATTCTTCCAGACCCAGACATATTTGCATTTGATAACCACTAGAAGTTCCTGCAGCTCCGTAACTGCTAGAAGATGAAGCACCATATTGCTGTTGCCCGATATTATTCCTTCCGAGAACATCAGGACTGCTATCCGGCTCCGGAGAATCGTGCATCCCGCCGAGCAACGCGTTCAACAGATTTTGTTGCGGATCATCGTCCGATTCTCCACCCAGCTGCGACCCGGATTTCTGGCTCAGCTTCCCGCCGGACGGGATCGCGATGCCGAAGTGGGTGGTCACACCGGAAGGATTATTATTGCTGTTGTTATTCGAATTGCTGCTGTAATCATTCGACGTGCTAGCTTTGTTACCACTAGTCCCACCAGCATTATGCTCCGCGCTATTCATCAAGGAATTCAGCAACCCAGGCGTCGTCAACTCCGGAGTGAAGTGGCTGTTCTGGCTGCTATTACTATGTCGGTTATTGTTTCCCTGCTGCCACTCCGTCGCGGACGAGCTCGCAGAACTACTGTCCCCAGCTTTCGTCGACTCTTTACTGGAATCCATGCTCAACCCCGGCGGTGGCACTGGGTTTTTCGCAGGAGGAGGTCTAGAAGTTGTACTTGAAGATGCACCAGGAGTCGCTTGTGGCTGAGGCGGCACCGCCGATTCTGGTGGCGGCGGTGGCGGTGTATCACGAGAAAACGTGTTAACGTTAACGGAATTTGTGATGCAGAAACGCATCACAAGACGTGTCAGAATTTGTCATGCATAGCATGCATATTGGGCTACGTTTGTGATGCATGACTGCAATCTGTGAAAACCGTTAACGTTAACACTTTTTCCTGTGATACGGTGGCGGCGCATTCGCCGGTGGCGGTCGGGAAGCTGGGGGTGCTGCTCGGGGCGCGTCGATGACCGGGATAGAAGACGGGGGGTTACTGGCTGCGTTCGGAGGCTGTAGTGTGGGGTCGTGGTCATAATGTACTTCCGAATTATCTACTTCGTAGTCATAGGACCCGTCCATACCCTCCACCACCTCCTCCTCTTCTTCCTCCTCCTCTACTTCGTCCTGTGTTATGGATGTGTCAGGATCGAAATCGACAAAATCGGAAAATTTGTGAGGCATAAAACGGAGGGCACTGGCGGCCTGTATTGGAGAGCAGGAAAATGAGACCGATTGCAAGCCTGTTTAGGGGTATGCCATGCGCTGCCAGCATAGCACGACAGGAGCAGTCTTCTTTGCCCAAACAGCATGACACACTGGATTTGGGTGCTCCCGAAATTTGTCATGCGCCACTTGGATACTGAGGCTCTAACTGCTATCGATTTTGTGCATCGCAAATTCTTCGACTTTGTCAATTTCGATTCTGACATTTCCATATGTGTCACCTCGTTTTCCTCACTACTAGTAGGAACTGGCTTCGTCCAGGATAAGTCATACGCGGTTAACTTCTTTTTCTTCGCGTCCCTGGGGTATTGGAGTTTGACGTAGAACTGCTGGCCGACGGACAATCTAATCGTCCCCGTTTCCGATTTGGGGAGGTAAGCTTGCGGTAAAGATTTCGGATCGATCGGATTCACCGATTCGATTTCGTCGGTCAAAATTTTCAGCATGGAGCCATTTGCGGTGACGGAGACGACGGAAACCTTCACGGTCTCTTGGCCCTCGACGAAAACTTGGCCACGCCCGTCCTGTTGGTGGTGAAGTGGAAAATTGATTGAATTTTACAAAAAATTGTTCGAATCTGCACCAAACTTGCGCATATGGCATGACAAACACGATTTGTGATGCGTGGAAGTCAACAAATCAAAATAAAAATAAATCAAATACAAATACCGTGTGGTTCCCCTTGACCTGCAGTGCGCTGTGCGTGGGCGCCTTCTCCGTTGGCGTTGGCTGGAGGCCGAGATCCGGGGTCTTCTCCTTCTCCTTATCCTTGGTATGCCTCGAGGTGGATGACATTGCAAAGGAGGATAATGTATGAACTGCAAAAGTATCGTACTAGTATGAATCGCATGACAAATTTCCTCAGCATGACAAATAGAATTTGTAATGCGGATTGAACTTGGCAAAAAAATTTGTAATGCATAAATGCAATTAGTACGAGTACGATGCTTTTGCAGAGGATATAATGTCATCGGCACGATTTTTGGGTTCGTGGGGTACAGGACGCGGACCTTATGGATGTGTCAGAGTTGAAATCGACAAAGTTGAAATAATTTGTGATGCATAAAATCTATACCAGTTCGACCCACAGTTTCCAATCGGCGCATGACAAATTTTCCTGGCCTCTGAAGCAAGTCTGTCATGCTGTTTAGGGCAAGATGGCTGCTCCCTGTCATGCTAGTCAGCAGCCCAATTCTTGACCCTTACCAGCACTAGAAGCTGCCTCCCTTGCGCCTTCAGCAATAGAGTCAGTCTTTGTGTCGCATTTTATGCATGACAAATCATTTCAACTTTGTCGATTTCAACTCTGACACCTCCATAGACCTCGTCGGCGACGTAGAAATCCTTCATGTCTTGCTTGTTGCTGTTTTGGATTTGAATTTGTCATGTGGGAAATGCAAAACAGTGAATACTCAATTTTTCTCACCATGAACGGCATCATGAGAAGCACTTAGAAGAACAAGGACAAGTCGTGCATCTTTATAGAACTCAATTCGCTTTCCTGTATCACAAAGATGAACCAAAACCAGAAACAAATGAAGCGAAGGATGAGTACATTTTTTCCCCATGCTTCAGCGTCGGATTTTCAATCACGGTGAATTCCAGCTCCATTCCCTCGTAGATTTCCTCATCCGCGTGTTCTATGGACTGCAAAAGTTGTAGCGCTTTCGTTCGAATAACATTCCTGCATGACAGATCTAGATTTCTTTTCTGAATCTGCATCACAAATTCAAATTCCACTTCTCAACTTGCAGATAATTTCTCATGTTATTCCAACAAAATGCGCTACTTTTGCAATGTATAGGCTCCGACAGAAACCGGTTTCTGTGCGCCATCAACGGCCCGCCCCGGATCTGTTTCGACGTGACAATCCCGTACATCGGATTTGCGATGACCACCTCCCCCTCCACCTTGATGCGTTTCGTCGTCTTCGCCGCATCGGCCATTTGTTTATGCGTGTATTTGTCCCTCTCATCGTCGGAGTTTTTCCCCAGGATGATCACGTCCACCCCGATGTATTTTTTCTCATCAGGATCTCTCGCCGACGTATTCTGCACTGGATTCACCTTCACCTGGAATTCGCACTTCGCCCCGACTTCCCATTTCCCGGAGGAGAAGAAGGAAGATTTTAACTTTCTTGTCGGCACCAACACCGATCCTAAGAAATCATCCCCCTCGACCAACCCGAAATCTGCTTTCCCGTGCACCACCGTTCCGACCACCCTTTGCCCGTTTTTTTCCAATTGCGATATGGCGTTCTCAACTGTTACATTCTCAACTGTTACATAAATTTGTGTTGCAAGACTAGCACAGGTGAGAGGGACAACTACCTTGCGCGTCTTGCATTACAGGTTTCGTGCAGATTATAGTGCTGCTTAGCCCTCCGAGATTTTGTCATGCGCAGCAGCTCGATCGATTGGCGGGTCATGGTCATTTTGCATGACAAATCGTGTAACAGTTGAGAATGTATACGTTTGAGAACGCCATATGCGAAAGCGTGTACTTGTAGCTGTACGGGTCGTTTTTTCGTTTCTTGTCGCTGTTCGTGCCGAACTTGTTACCACTGTCGGGGAACATCTTGGACACGTCCGCGGTTAGGGGTTTCGTCACTTTATTCAACGGCTCGGAGGACAAAACGGAATGCTTCGCAGAATTTCTGCCCGTGTCATCGTCGTCATTGTCATTGTAGGTCTGCCAATTGTCCGCATTGAGATTATCATCGGACACAATCATGGTCGAGGGTTTCCCGTCGATGCAGACGTCCAGTTGATGCGCTAAATAGCCCGTTTCGGAGGAGATTTTTTCAATTGGGTTGATGCACACGGAGAACTCGACCTCTTGCCCGAACTCGAACTTCTTGATGCCGTTGGGAAGGGGAAAGCTGGAGAAGTGTTTTTTGATAGCTTGCTGGAGAGAGGTCAGTGTTTGTTTGCATTTCATGCATGGTAAGAAGAAAACCAACACTAAGGCAGCACTATCAGACTGTTTCTGCATCATGACAAAAAGTCAGAACATTTCAAAATCACTATACCCTCCGCCCACGAGCTTCTTGACCGGTCCGAGGACCTTCCCGACCATGTAATCGGATGTTATCAAGCAGTAAGTGTCTTCTGGATTGGCGTAGACGACTTCGCCTCTGATTCTCTTTTTGCTCTTCACCAGCACCTCCTTCCGCTGTGGCACGATTTTCGTATCCGGTAAAATCGTCTTGGTCACCGGAACGCCTGACGTTTTCGACGTTTTTATCATATGTAAAAACATCCCCACCCCAGAGTTGTCATGCAGATTTGCAAGCACAAGAGCATTTGTAATGCGCATCCCCATGAGAGACATTGCCCATCGTGTTTTGGAACTTGTAATGCTGTAAACAGGATAAGGAGACGGATTTGTTATGCGGCTTCCCTTGCTAAGCTCTACTACACTACAGTCTGCAACTTGTCATGCGTGACTCCCAAAAGGTCTAGGTTTGTGTTGCAAAATCCCCATCCTGACTATGGTGTGGGGACGTTTTTGCTCAGGATAGTTTTTAGCGGCTCGGCGGCGGTACTTGCTGTGGTCTGTTCTCCTGCCTTCTTGAACTCCGTGTTGCCACCGGTGAGGAGTTATCAACTGCAAATATGTCTGGGTCTGGAAGAATGAATGCGAGATTTGTCTTGCTCGGCTAGGAAGACTCTCAAGTCTGTCATGCACGTTACCCAGCAAAAGCAAAAGCCCCAGTGTTCTGTGATGCAGAAACGCAGTTTGTCATGCAGAATAGGCAGCACCTAGAAGTAGCTCAGAAACTTGTCATGCTGAGCCATCACTTCTGGCCTCGTCCTCATGCTACACAACTCAGCACTACAAGTTTCCAGACCCAGACGTATTTGCAAGGCATAGGAGTTTATTCACCATCTTGTTATTCACGGTGTCCGCCAAAGCCCAGGAGTTAAACGACGCGGCAGCGGTGCTGTACTGACTGCTCTTCGTGTTGTCCCCACCCGTCGCATCCGACATCTTCCTCGACTGTTGACTGGGCGTCAACTCGCCCAGAGAAACCGTCGGCGCGGTGGGTGCGAGGCTCGCCGTTGGCACGGTAGTTGATGTAACATTCGACGCGAACTGCGGCTTTATCGGTTTCGCGGTCTCCGCCGTTGGTTTCACGACCGGGGCGGTAACCTTTGGTGCGGTCTCCACCTCTTCTTTCGCGAAAAAGTCGTCCTCGTTGATGATTTGCACTTTGTCCGCGACGAATTGCTTGTCCTTTTGGGGTATGAACTGCAAAAATATCGCACTCGTATTAATGCAATACAAATTAGCTCAGCATGAAATAAAATGGAATTTGTCATGCTGTTTTAGGTTGAGAAAGAGGTTTGTATTGCATGACTGCAATTAGTACGAGTCTGCGGTGTTTTTGCACAGGATATGCGGCTTCGGCTCCGGGTTTCTCGCCAAAACAAACGATACTTTCCCGTACATGTGCACCGGGGCGTACTATCAAGTGCAAAAGTGTCTGGGTCTGGAAGGATCCGAATTTGTGATGCGTGTTTCGGATCCTACAAAGATCTGTGATGCAGAACGTGGAAAAGGTGCCCGTGCCCACTTCTGGCCATGTTCTTGAGAGGGCATTTCTCATGCAGAATACGCATCACCAAGGAGCTGCAGAAGCTGTGATGCCAGGCCATGCATTCCAGACGTGGGGGAGCTTGGAAAAACTGCATGACAAATCTCGGAATCTCCCAGAGGACCCACACATTTTTACATTTGATACGTACTTGTCTTTCCCGATGAACCTTTTTCTCTGCGCGAGAACCCCGTGGTGCATGAAGTCGCTATTCACAATGAAAGCCCCCATATCCACCACGTGAACTACTTCACCGATCATGCGGATTTGATTCGTTAGCAAATACTCCGATCCGTACTTCTTCCCGACGACTAGGTCGTTCACTTTCGTCAGTTATGAACTGCAAATATGTCTGGGTCTGGAAGAATGCAAGTTTGTCATGCTCTGTCAGCATGACTTTCAAGTCTGTTATGCGCGTTACCCCAAAGCACCAGTTTTCTGTTACGCAAACACGCAGCTTCTCATGCTGAATAGGCAACACCTAGCAACTCAGAAACTTGTCATGCTGAGCCGTCAGTTGTGGCATCCTCATGATTCGCCAATCAGCATCACAAGTTTCCAGACCCAGACATATTTGCATTTGATATCAGTTTCTCCTGTTTTTCCTTCTGCGCTTTCTTCAGGGAATTCAGCTCGTCCTGCTTCTCTTTCTATCCTGAGTAAAAACGTCCCACCCCAGAACTGTCATGCAGATTTGCAAAGACAGGAAGACTTGTAATGCGCATAATCCCCATGAAAGCTATTTCTGATCTGGTTTTGACATTTGTAATGCTGTAAACATAGTGAGAAGATGGGTTTGTGATGCGATTATCCTTGCTAAAACGCACTACAATACAGAAACGAATTTGTCATGCGTGGCTCCCAAAACTTCTGGATTTGTGTTGCAGCGTTTGCAACTTGACTACGGTGTGGGGACGTTTTTACTCAGGATACTTTCGCGGTTTTATTCGCGTTCGGGTTGGTGTTTAAACCGGAGGCGGTAGAGGGAACGGTGTTCAAGTCGGACGAGTCTTTGTTCTTCTTTTTCGAAACCACTGGTTGAAACGTCGCGGTATCGTAATCATGGAACTCATATGCATTGCAAAAGTGTCGTACTAGGAGAAATAATTATAGCATCACAAATTTTTCCAGAAGGAAAAATGGAATTTGTAATGCTGACTGAGCTCAGGAACTAGATTTGTCATGCGTGAATGCAATTGCTACGAGTGCGATACTTTTGCACAGCATAAGTCGTGAAGTGACCGGCCGCCAAACTGCTCCTGAATCTTCTTCAAATTATCGAATTCTTCCTGTTGTTCCTGCGCAAAGGATGTCGCGGCTGAAGTTGCGTTTGTCGTGTTGCTATTATTCCCGGTAGTAGTACTACTCGCGTTGTTCTTTTTCTTACTGTTATTATTCTCCATACTTGACATGACGTCGTTCTTTTTCTTCCCCTTCTTCTCATTTTTTTTCTTCTGCTGCTCTACCTGAAAGGGATCCGCGACATCGACGATCGGAATATGGGGTTTTTGCTTCCCCAGCTGCGTGATATCGACAGAACTACACGAGTTGTCGTCGTTGTCCTTTGCGTTGCTATCCGAAGACTCTGTGTTGTGATTGTCATTCTCCGTATCATTATCCTCGTCGTCATTTGAATTGTTATTGTCTCCCGTCGGATTACTCGGCGAGCGTTTCTGCTTCTGCTTCAAAATCGCGAGTTCTTCGTCGGAATCTAATTCGTCCTCACTGGTTAACGGGTCGGAATCTTTCCGGTTACTATGCTTATTGTGTCCCGATCCGTGGCCGCTGTGGTGCCCCTTATGTGGTCCACCATTTGATGTTCCATGCAGGGGCTGGCCGTTGGGACCCTCCTGCTTGCCGCCCCGGAGAAGGTTGCCGATGGCGGAAAACATGATGACTTGGTCCACGTGGTTGTTCTGGGTCGTGTGTTGATGGTTCTTGCAGGTTCTGTTGCAGAACGAGGGTGTTGTTGTGCGGGTGCTGGTGTATGATCCGGCTTTGGTTTATGCCTTCAAGAAAAGGACCAATCTCGTTCGAGATGCAAGGAGGCCTTCGCGGTTCTTCGTGGTTCTTGGAAACTTGGATGTTCTTGACGAGATGAGGTAAGCGTAAGCGAAGAGCTCGTCCTTCTAAAAGCAATACTTGTCGCCCGAGCTATACGTCGAGGCAACGAGAAGAAGAGAAGGTGCACGCGCAGCTCCTCGTCGTGGTACTACTTTCACCCTCCCGGCAAGGATTATGGCCTCCTTGCTCTGCTGCAGAAAAAGATTGCAGCTCCACCAGGTGAAGATGCGCCGTCAAGTCTGCGTTTGCAGCAAAAATGCGGGCGTCCGCGAGGCCATAAAATTATTCAGGCAACTTAATTCAACAAAAATGGAAGAACAAGAACTGGTCTTTTTGGCCCCTGCTATAGAAGAAGAAGAAGGAGACCAACACAAAATGTATGGCTTAATTTACACGCTCGAATGGAAGCAGCTAAGTTGCACACGATAAACAGAATTATGCGCCGCACTAGATTGTTCTTGCTACGAGTGGCTACAGAGGTTGTTGTTGTTTTGTTGACTGTGTTTTCAAAAAAAGGCGACTGCTGGTTAGACGAGGTGTTGCTCGTGAACAACACCAGGCCGCGCACTAAAATTGTTGTTGGTGTATTTGTGAGAAGCAGGAATTTTGCAAAAATTTTATTGCTGGGTTGTACAAGTACAAGTTGAGGTTTTTTGACTGTCTTTTAATATCGACGCAGAAGACCACGTGTTGTTTTGAAACGCTTCAAACGCAACGAGAAGAGAATTGCTGAAAATTATTGATCGTCGACCTGGGGACACTATAAAGTGAGAACGAGTTTTTATTTGCACAAACGGGCTGCTCTGTCTACTCGTGGTCTTTACTAGTGGTACTTGTGGTAGAGAGAGCGGTGAACGAACGAGGTGCTTGTTGTGTGCTTTGCTTGGTACGTACTTCGCAATTTGCTACGACAAGATGATTATTTCCACCTCCTGTGTGAACGTACGACCCTATACGCTTACGCTTACGCTATGACATGACAAGCGGAAAATAATAGATTGACGAGCGATGAATACTGATACGTACGAAATGCTGATAAGTAGATCACGCTTGTTTGGTGCGGGTTTATGTGGACGAAAGGCTGCAACATTTTTGCGACGATAAGCATGTTACTCTGGTCGACGTGTGGCCTACCTTCTGCGCTACCAGGAAAGCTGGCTGCTGCTCTCAACAATTTGTATTTGAGATTTGTACTTGCTAGATCCTTGCAGCTCCCGATTCGAGAAATCGAAACGAAAGAACATCCGACGATGAACATCTTCAAACGTAGTGCTTTTGCAATGCCAGCAGTGGCGAACGCGAAGCCAAGGCTATCTTCAAGAAGGATCATCGTGCCACATCTTTCGCTTCGCACTTACGGCTACGTAGTTCTAGGTAAAAGTAAGTGCTTTAAAAATCGCGGAGCTTCGGCTTTCATTTTTAAAAATATGCTCGGCGTTCAATGTATCATACAAGTGCCTGCTGGCACCACGAATCGGTAGTTTTTCTAGGGATCGGCTTCAGACTAAATTGCTTTTATTGTTGTACGCTAGTTTTATTTGTTGGTTTAGGTGTAGTTATATTGATATATAATATCAATATCATCGAGCAAGTGCATCTCCTGCATCTGGATGCTATTCCGGTTCTTGTTCCCCTTGTTGCACTACTATCTCTATCCCGAAAAGCTACTCACAAGTTTGTTTTGTTGCTATTGTGTTTGTCATTGTATTCGAATCTTCAACTACACGACACCCCCTGCTAAACATTGACTGCTTCATCCACTTCGTATCTTCAAGATTGCGTACCTGTCTCAAGGAACCAATGACGGGAATCCTTGGACCAGCACGCTAGCACTGCGCTACATCCAGATTCACATGCAGTTTGTTTATTCGTCTCAAATATTTAGAATTATTATTATTAGGATGGAGGTGCTATAAAATAGTAAAATCAACTGGGAACTGTTTCCCGAGTGCCCCTGCCCCGATGAAATCCATATACGACTTACACATCGCCGTCGTCCCTACAAACACCACACAAAGACAAAGCAGAGCTTGCATCGAAGAACGCTTTGGAGCTTTTTTTTTTGTTTTCTCTTTATTCAGATTATTTTTCCATACTTACATGATCACAACTTTGGTGTTGTCATACTTACGATATTCATATCAAAAAACTGTGTATTTATTTCCATTTTCAGCTGCTAATAGCGATTGACAAAGTTTGTGGGAATGTGTCTTTTCCGCCTACTTGTGCTCCGCGGCCCACTCGCTGGGCTACTTGCGACCACCCGAGATGGAGTTGCTGCAGACGTCGAGTCGTGGTGAAAGCCGCTCGACCGCGGGAAATTTTCTTCTTCTCCTTCGGTGTACAACTTAGCAGCCTGCTCCCCTTCACAACGAGGACCCTGGTAATGTTCGTGTTCTAGCCCGGTAATGATCTTCTCCTGCTTGTGCTTTATTCCATCATTTTCAATCTGTAATATCTCTCCAATGTGTCTCGGTAATTCCTTTTCAATCGTCGCGGCAATGATGACCTGTTGCCGACCGGGTAGATGATCTAAGAGCGCCTCCTATGCAATGCAAAAGCATCGTACTAGTATAAATTGCATTGCAAATTCCTCCAGCATTACAAATTGAATTTGTAATGCTGATTTACCTTGAGAAAAAGATTTGTAATGCATAAATGCAATTAAGTACTACGAGTACGATACTTTTGCACAGGATACCTCCCGGGTGGTTATTATCTCCCCGAAAAACTGGCAGAGTTTCTGCTGGAGTAAACTTTTTCCCGTGGCGGGTGTAGAAGATGTTGCTCCTTCCTTGTTGTAGAAGTCGTGATGTTGTCCGCGAAGAGAAAAATTTCTATTGCTTGTTGTGTGGAAGAAATCTCTATCTCTGGGCGTACTGTTTCCGACGCGGGCCAAGGATCGCATTGACTGGGTCTGCGGGTGTGAGTTCATACTCAGACCCAGACCACTGTTGTAGTTGTTCCTTGTTGCTGCAATACTTCCGGTAGCCAGAGCCATGTTGGTAAACCAGACGACGTCATAATTTTCAGCGTAGTACCCGATCTCGCCACCGCCTTCGGCGTAATCATTTTTATCTCTGTCTCCACCACCAGAACAGCACTTCCTGTGCATTTTATCCGCGTCGGTTTTTATCCAGGCGCGGGGCCCGAGTCCCGGCTTGCGGTAGGGGATTTTCATGGGTCGTTTCTGTTTGTTTTTCGTGTTGATGTCCAGAGGTTCTTGTTGATCATCTTGATCTTCCTCTTCCCCTACTTCCTCCGGCGCGTAGTACAATCCCGCCCCAGAAACGTCGTAGCTCGGCGTGATGAGCAACACTTGTCCGGGAGTGGCGCAATCCACCCGCATCCTTTGGGCCAGGTTGGAAAAGGAAACGGTCTCGGAATCGTACATCAAGAAATCAATCGGCTTTCGGTAAACATCACTGTCCGCAGGATAATCGACGGTGTCCGTGTGCTCGTCAGGTGTCCTCCCACAGAACAAGCAGCTACAGCATGAAGAGTAACTTCTGTTCTTGTTCCGCGCGGCAGAAGTAGCAGGTACAACAGAACGATTCATTTTCCCAATCCGTTTCTCCATTTCCATCTCCGCGAACGTTCGGATCAGATTCTTTTTGTAAAGTTCCTGCGACGGTAAAAAATCGAAATTCACTTGTTTCCCCGACTCTAACCCCCGGATTTTGTCCACTATTTTCTTCGTGCTCGGGGAGATGAACCAGAGTAGTCTCGAGTCCCTGTTATTCCGGATCCAGGAATCAATGAGCATCACCTGAAACTTCGTGACTTTATCGCCGAAATTCCACAATGTTTTCGTCAACCGGTCTCCGATTTTCAGCAGCGATTGAACATGCAGTCTCGGCACGATGTCGGTGTGGTTCACCACGGTTAAACACCAATCCCGGGACAGCTCCGCTAATTTCGGCGAGAGCGTCGCCGACATCGGGCCGAGGAGCAAGGTCTGCTATCCCATGTAAAAACATCCCCACCCCAGAGTTGTTATGCAGATTTGCATCTACAGAAAGATCTGTAATGCGCATCCGAATGAGAGGGATTTGTAGTCGTTTTCTGGGATTTGTAATGCGGTAAACAGCATAAGCAGGCATCTTTGTGATGCGGCTGTCCTTGCTAAAAACCAGAACTACACTGCAGATGGAAACTTGTCATGCATACCTCCCAAAGGTTGGAGTTTTGTGTTGCAGATTTACCAACTTGACTACGGGGTGGGGACGTTTTTGCTCAGCATATCTGCGAGTGCTTCATCATGCGCTTCGTGTAGACCGATGCGGAAATGCCGCCGGGCTCTGGTTTGTGGATTGGTTGGTGTTCCTCTATTGTGTCGTAGTAGATGGAAGTCGGGGTCGTGGTTGGTTGGTTTTGTTCTGAAGATTGTGACTTCGGGCTCAGGAGAGCTCTCTCCGACAGCTGTCGTTGCAATTTTAACCGGTTGGCCTGGGATTGGAGGAACAATGGGGATAATGATTTCTGATCCTGGCTTGTTTCGTCCTGACCTACTGAAGTACCGGATGGTAGATAGGGTGCGTCTGATTCTCCTTCGGGACTGAAAGTGTTCAGCGTGAAAGTCCCCCCGGACAGAGTTGGTACTGCTGCGCGTGCGCGGCTATCTATCCTAGTAGTTGTCAAATCGCGCTCTTCACTGGTAGGCGTAGGTACGCTGCCCGCCGGAAAATCAATACTAGCGACCACGACGGGAGAGCTGTGGTGCGCGGGAGAACGGGGGGCCACGGTTGAGGGGGTGAGGGGCTGATGTCCTAGAGCCACCGGATCCGGGGCACGATCGGCATGAATAGAGAGGAGGGGCGGCACGACAGAATCTACTTCTTCTTCGTCTATTTCAAAATTGGTCGAAACAAGAGGACCGTCTTCGTTCACAAGGCCGCTGCTGCTCCCGCCTTCCGGATTGAGGTTCTTTCCTCGAACTGCCTCGGCCCTGTCTCTTCCCTTCGAAATAGATCTTGATGAACCACCAGCACCATTTCTTGCATAGTTGTGCGCCGCCAGCCTTTGGGCCCGTTTTTTCGCCAACTCCGCTGCGAGCCTGGAGCGTTCGGAGGAGAAAGAATTGGCAGTTTCGCGGGAAGAAATAGTTCTTTTTTCCACAAATCGTCCAACACCCGCTCGTCGTCCATTTGAAGATTTTGACGTCGCACCAGAAATATTAACAGCTTCTGCTCCACCCAGCCTCAACCCCCGCATCTTCTCGTAATAGCGCCTGCGCATCAGAAAGGAGTATCAAATGTAAAAATGTCTGGGTCTGGAAAGTTGGAACTTGTGATGCTAACTTTGGACTCTAAAAAAATGTGTATTGCATGACCAGCAAGAGGAGCCACATTTGTGCTACGCGAGGAGGGCATTTGTCATGCGGAAATGGCATCAGGAAGCTTTCCAAAAATCTGTGATGCTGGGTCATGCAATACAAGCATCATGGGTCATGCCAGACAAGCATGACAAGCCTTCCATTCTTCCAGACCCAGACATTTTTACATTTGATAAGGAGAGACAGGTCGCCACCCCGGACCCGAGACTGTGGCCGACGTTCATATGACAGCCTCAGAATGGAAATCCTCAAAGTGGAAATAATTTGTGATGCAAAAAAACGACTCCAGTCGAAGCACCATTTCTAGTCGGCGCATGACAAATTTCCCGGGCACTCAAAACGTGTCTGTCATGCTAGTTAGGCAAAGGGGTGCCCGTCTCTCGTGCTAATCAACAGCCCAATTCTGAACCCGTAGAAGCACAATAGTCGGAGTCCATTGCGTTCTCTGCAATACAGTCTTTTTGGTGTCGCATTTCATGCATCGCAAATCATTTCCACTCTGAGGATTTCCATTCTGAGGCTTCCATAAAGAACGATTCTGTAATGCTTGTCGCCATCAGAGGTCAAGTGCTTTCGTTCTTTATCCGTAACTTTCACGAAGCCGTTAATCATGTCGAAATCAAATACCCAGTTGCGCTTCTTCAAACGAGATGTAGTACTTCTAGCTGTGCCACTTTGTGTTGCGGAATCGGAATCGGAAAAGTCGTCGTCGGTCTGAGTTTCTTGATTCGTTCCATCATCATTCTTCTTCTGCGGATCATTCCTCTTGTTAGTATACACACTCGGCAGCACCCCGTTCTCCATTAGACCATCAAAAACCGCGTTTGCGGCCTGCAAGCAGCCCCCGTGGAAATACTCGGTCGTCGGGTCGGTTTGTTCGTATGCAATGCAAAAGCATCGTACTACTACTAGTATAGAAATTGCATTACAAATTAGCGCAGCATTACAAATTAAATTTGTAATGCTGATAATTGACCTTGAGAAAGAGATTTGTAATGCATAAACGCAATTACTACGAGCACGATACTTTTGCACAGGATAGTTCGTCGATCAAGTCAAATTCCACGTCGATATCTGTGACGACGTCCGCACCGGACATTGTCCCGCGAATTGCGATATGGATTGCAAACATGTCTGGGTCTGGGAGATAATTGCGAGACTTGTCATGCTAGTCTGGCATGACTCTGGAATCTGTATTGCGTGGCAACCATCAAGAGGTCCTCTTGATTGTCATGCAAGCGCGCAGCTTCTCATGCGGAAATATACGCAACACAGAACCATGAAAAAACTTGTCATGCTTGGCGGCGCATTACAGTGTGCTTATTATTCAGTGACTTGCATCACAACTTTCCAGACCCAGACCTATTTGCATTTGATATGCGATCACGAACGTTTTCTCGTGATGGTCGCAGATCACGGCCACCGGTTTCTTGTACCCAGAATTATCGAAATCAGCGTAGATCAGGTCGAAGTCGGGGATTTTTTTAGAAGTACTATGTGAATCCGGAGTTTCAATTTCCTCCCCCCGCTTCCGCCGTCGACAGAACGCCGCGACCCGGGCCGACGGCGCGTCGTACGACATGTTCTTCTGTGCTCCGTGCACATCCCGCGCTTGTCTCGCCTCGGTCCAAAGTAAAGCGTTTCCCCCGCAGCACGTGTCGTTGTGGATGATGGTTTGATCTTCCGCATTCTCCTTTTTTGTTCTACCTGCCCGCTTGTAGTTCCGCAAACAGCAAGAACACAAAGTTTGCACCGTGCTCCTCGAGTACGTGTACGCTTTCGGGAAGCAACACGCAAAGCAGGTATAGGTGCAAAAGAACTGCAAACAGTCGCTGCAGCCCCAGGACGGCCAGGCCCCTAACTGGGATCCGAGTGCGCCGGTCGGTCCGTACACGTTATAGGCGTATTGTTGGTGGGCATCAAGAAACTGCCAGAGATGTTTGTAGTACTCCTGTTGCTTCGGGGTCATTTTTGTGCTCGCGTGCTCGCTCTGGCCACTGAAGAGGTAGTATTGTGAGGAAAGATCCCCCCTCCCCATATTGACCAGGTACGTTTTTGGAAATTTGTGTTGCTGATTTGTGACCCCAAATCGTCTCTGTGTTGCATGAAGGCAACTCCACAGGCTCCGCCACATTCTACAGGCGGTCTGTCATGCTGTTGCCCCTGCAGCATAGACGTCTGCCATGCTAAGCGCCTAGGCCAAAACCTGTCTACTCAGGCTTGCTATGGGCCTGCAGTCCTCGCTAGCAAGACAAAACTGATTTGTGTACGCAAATCCAGCATCAGAAACTTCGTTTTGATATGGGGAGGGGGGATTTTTCATTTTGATAGGTAGATGGCTGGGTCTTGGACTAGTTGTTGGATACGTGCTGAAGAGCCACGACCCGCTGCTTGTTGTAGTTCTTCTTGATCAACATCATGATCCTCGCTGTTACCATTCTCGATTCTGTCACCCCGAGCGGAGGCGGAGGTGCTGTTGAAAATGACTTGTTCCGGCTCGTGTTTGTATTCCTCCAAGGCAGCTTGGTCCTGTCTAATCTTCGCCAAGATTGGCGCGCCTACGAGGGAGCGACCACCGGTAGTTGTTTTTGATATCGACTTCCTGTCGTGAAAGAGATCATGATCGTCCAACTGCTTTGTATCTCTCCGACTAGCTTGATAGATCGGGTCGTTCTCGTGGCTACTGGGCGCCAGCATCATGCCGATGACCGCGTCGCCAAAGGTTAACCTGGTTCCGGCTTCTTGAAAATTTCCGAAGGCCATGGAGGTTTTCAGGTCGCCGCAATTCAAACATCCGTATCCACGGTAAATTTCCCGCACACGTACAAATGCAGTCGCTGCATGACAAAACTGGGTTTCGATCCTAGTTTAGCATGACAAAGAGAGGTTGGACACTGCAACTAGTTAGCGAAATTTGTCATGCATTTTGTACATGTACGGGGGCTACGGAAAGTTTGTATTGCATAATCCGCAAACACAGCTCATGAAGAAATCCATTCCGGTTTCTACGACAAAATGGGAAAACTTTTCCGCGGAGTAGCTCGCTTCGGAGACGGGATTAGTATTTGAATCTGACTCCTGCTTTTTGCCGTTTAGCTTGTCATAGTCTCTTTCAGCTGTTATCCCACTAGTACCGTCTTGATGCACTTTATCATCTCCATCCAAGGAAGCTGAGGCTGTCTTGATTTTCCAGCGCCTCAAAGCGATTTCGGGTTCGCCACTGGTTGGGAATTGTGACATTGAGCCAGTGGTGGTGCTGGAAGTTTCATCATGATCTTCGTCCTCCTCTATCCCAGAAGCGTACGTGAAATCTGCAGATGATGTGGCCACGCTGCTGGGCGACTGATCTTGTTTTTCACCCTCGGAGGCGGGGACCAACCGTCGCAGGTTCGGTTGTAAATGCGCTTTGCGGATGCTGTTTCTACTCCCCCAGGTGGGAGTGAGAGCAGTGCCACTGCGAGAAGTTCTTGTTCTAGAACCTGATGTAGTAGGAGTAGGTCGTCCGCCGTACTCTCCGGGGGTCGCAGTGGAGGTCGACGTCGTCGTGTGATTATGAAGGGAGAATCGACAAAATTCAACCCCCCCGGCCTCTGGCTAAAGCCAGCGAGGATGCTGGCTAAAGCCAGCAAGGACGCTGGCTAAAGCCAGAACACCACCACAAGTGGCCGGATGCTTTTTGATAATCGCAAGGCCTGTCCGATGAAAAATTTTTGTGGTCACAGAGCCGTCCGAAGCGACGCTCTGTGATTTTCTCCATCACAGGATCCCGCGCGAAACAGACGCGGCGCACCGAAGCTTTGTGGCTTTTCTATTGGGGCGGCAGTTCGCCGGACCACAATTGAACGCGTGGGCCCCAGCGGAAATGGGGCGCGCCCCCGCAGACGGCCGCACGCAATCGCGAAAAGGGAATGGGCGAACTTGATACCAAAAAACCCCAAAGGGCACCAACGGCATCGAGCCCCGCTGGGAAATAGTTTGCGTAAATTGCGCAACCGGTCCGACGATTGGGCGCTGCCGGTTTTTCTCTTCTGCAAAAAAATCGAAAAAAATTTGCGCACGCAAGCCAACGCGGCAAGCCCACAGAAGGCGCGCCCATCTTTTCACGGAGGCCACACCATGGGGCCCCGCGCGCCCTGCAGTCCCGATATCCCACCCCAATCCCCCCTGCCCCTTTCCGCTTTTTCCCGGGATTACATCGCCGGCGCTGTCAAGCCTGGCCAAGGCGCTCCCGCGTGTTGACTTCTGCCGGCGCCCCTGCCTTCTCTCCTTTTTCATACAAAGTGCGTCGCGGGGGCGCCAATCTTGCCACGCAATATCCACAAACCCACAACAAAGCAGTGGGCCCGCTCCAAAACAATGCGAGGGAATCGCGTCGCGCGCACATCGCGGGCGCGATTGCGCCCCCTGGGGGGCTTGGCCATATCCCTGCAGGGCGCGGCTAGTTTCTCTGCCGGGCCTCGTTGCAGCCCTTTGCAATTTTTTGTCGCCCGGTTTTGCGACCCCCACACACAGATTGACCCGCCCCGGGAAAAGGGAGGCGGGGAAACCAGACAAGCCCCCCGCCTTTCCTATGTTTGTCCGCTGCCCTTCTTGTTTGCGTGCTGGCTCCGCCGTTCGCTTTTTCCCTTGGGCCTGCCCGGGCAAAAAAAACAGAGTTAGGAAACAGGCAAGGGTGGGGGCGCAGGCTGCCGCGCGCACAACACAATCCCAGCGAGTCAGCAACAAACCCCGCTGAAGATAGGGGCGGAGGCGAGCCGGGCCTACGCCACCGCCCCCCCATCCCCCGCGCAAACACACGCGCGCGCCCGCCGCGCCGGCGGCCCTCCGTGCGCCGCCGGCCCTACGTGCGCCGCCGGCGGGCTTCTTGGTTGTTCGGCGGAGCGCGCCCCCCCCCCTCGGCGAAAAAAAAAAAGCGAAGCGCGCCGCCCTTCCTCCGGCGAAATAGCTCTGCCGGGAGTTGGGGCACGAAAAAGCACGGGCGCGCGCCTCAACGGAGCGCGCAGGGCGGGGCCAAGAAGTTGGAGAGTGGGGCCTCGGAACAGGCGGCGGGGCGGGGTCGGTGAAATTAAACACAAGGGGGGCGAAGGGCGGGCGCGGCAAACAAAAACGGGGCGCACAGGAATGGAACACGGGCGGGCGGCCACCTTCGACGCGGCCCATCAAATACGCGCCAGGGATGTCCGGGCCGCCCGATGGTGCCGCCAAAGCCGCGCGACCGAACGAGCCACCCCGGCCCCTCGAAGACTCCCAGCGCCACGCCGCCGCCCGCCCGGAAGACGGGTGGGCCAGCAGCCTCTAGGCAGCTACGCGCGCGGGGCGGGGGGGTTGCTGAAAAAGAAAAGACGAACCACATGCAAGATCGCTGCTGCTCCCATTCATATGCCACGCACCCTGTGGGGCGCGCGGCGCACTAGACCACTTCTTGGGCATCCTGTGCCGCCAAGCCAAAAGAAAAAGGACGCGGGGGAGCGCGCGGGCGAGCCCCGGTTTCCCCGGCCGGTGCCACGGTTTTGCCCTGCCCGTTGCCCCGCTTGGGCGCGGCAACCCGGGAGGAAACCACACGAGACCCACTACGCCCTGCCGCCCAGCCTTTCCCCGGAGCGGCGCGGGCGGCGCGCCGCGCGTGGGCCGGCAACCACAAGACAGGGGGCGCGACAACCCGCGGCCCGACGGACAACCACCCCCGCCCCGCGGCCGCGCTTCCAACTCCCCAGGGCTGGCTTTTAGCCCCCAGATTGATTCCGGAGCCCCAGACCGCTTCCGGAGTCGCCCCGGGGGCTAAAAGCCAGAAGCCAGGGGAAGGGGGACCGAGCCCGGAGGTATAAAAGTTCAGCGCAAATCTGACAGGGGACGGAGGTGGGGCCGGCGGCCACAAACAAGCTGGCGCCCGAGCGAAGCTGTCCTCGGGTGGATGCACCAATGGGTGCGGGTGCAGCAGGGCGACCTCCTGAAGGCCCGAGCCCATCTATGGCGTAGGAGGCCCACCGCCCCATGCAACGCCGCCACTCTCTCACGCAACCGAAGAACCCGACTCAGCGCGCTCCGACCTTTTGTTCCAGGGGCGGAACCAAGGAGGCAAGGGCCACGGACGGGGGGCGCGGCCGCGGCCGGCAGGCAGTTCTCTCGACAAAGCGCCGAGGGCGGGGGCCGCCGCCCGCGGCGAGCCGACTGCCCTTCCCGGCGGGGCTCGGCCGAAGGAGTCGGGCGCCTGTGCCGCCGGAAAACAGAACGAAGCAGAGGCAAAACGCTGCCTGCTCGCCGAGCAAGAGCGTCGCGGGCTTGCAAAAAAACCAAGAACTGCTTCGCCGAAACCTTCCCGCGGGTTTTGGAATTCCAACAAGAACGGCGCCGAGGCAACCAAGGAGCAGGGGCCCAAGCGCGGGCGCTACGGGCAGGTTGGGCGGAGAGTTGGGAACTGGGCAGGAGCCAAAGGGGGCGGCCATAAGCGACAAAATAGAACGAGGGCCACAAATGGGCTTCGGCCCGCCGCGGTAAACCCACAGAGCCAGATAAAAGCCGGGCGCGCGGCTGCAAAGTAAGCGGCGCGCTTCTGTTAAACTCCAAGGTGCCCGGGGGGGGCCAACAAGCAGGGGGCGCCACCAAAAATCGCAGTCAGAAGGAAGCTGCAGCAAGGAAGGCCAGGCGGAAAAAACACAAGCGGCCCGCACCGAATAAAACAGGACACGAAACTCCCAAGGGGAGGCAAACACACACAGCACTTGCGCGCAACCGGCGCATTTCTCTGGGGAATCGCCGCTGCGCTCTTTTTGGGCGGTTCTTAAATTTTTTTTTGTCGGAGGATGCGCGGCTCCGCGCCACATATTTTGCGGGGGGGAACGGAACACAAGGCGGGCACAGGCAAAAACAAAAACTAAAGAAAACCGGCCCGGCCGGCCGGGCCGGGCTTCGCTGTCCTGGCGCTGCGTTTTTGGAGGGGCACAGAAGGGGGGCCGGGGGTGTCGGGAAACGCGGAGCCGGGGCAACAGGAGGGCCGGGCGGCCATTGTGCGGCCTCAAAAAGCCGGGCGCGTGCTCCGCAAACGTGCTATGCTTTGCGCCTCGAGGTTCTTCCCGCCCCTTCTTCTCCGAAGAAAAAAGCGCAGCGCCAAGGCTTTGGGGCGGGTGCGCAATTTTTTCGCGTTCGTCTCCAAAAATCAGACCCAGCACTCTTGTGGCAGGGGCCCCTCCCTGGGGAAGCGTGGCCTGCACCGAATGGCATGCCTCCCGGGACCGGCTGCGCCTAGCGGCGGGGGAAGCGCGAAAAAAAGTGAGAAAACACGAACTCCGCCTACGCGGGGCGTCATTCTACGCCTCGCCCACGACCACTCCGACACGACTCCCAATCATTCTTTCATACCTTCTGGCCCCCCAGCCGCGCCCGCTCTACGCCCGGCCCGGCGCGCGGGCGAACCTTTTGCATCCGGCGGGCCCACTCAGTTTGTTAGAGGGGGCGCGCACGCCGAGAGGGCATGGCCGCCTCCCGCCGGCGGGCCCTCCCGGTTTGAAGAGGCGACCGCGCCATCGGGGATCTTGACTGAAAAATCCACAGCCGGGCCTGTCTTGCTCGGAGCAGGCCCGCCGGGCTAGCTTCCCGAAGTGACACTGTCTACACCCAAAGCGGAGATGGGCGCTCCGGGAAAAAGCGAAGCGCGCATGGGGCAAACTGGCTCGGGCCTTTGCGCCGAACCGCCACCCACCAGGGGGTCTCAACCTAGTGCCCACTATGTGCGGGCGAATGTCGAGACGACAAGAAACGCAAGCAGTCCGCAAAATTCCAGCGCCTGAAAATGCAGCAAACCCACCGCCCACTCCATGTTCTTGGACCTTTTCGTTGGCGTTTGCGGCGCATCGGTTAGGGTAATTTTCCTTGTTCAGAAGTTGCTATCGATGCGGAAGAAAATCTCCCTTCTCTGGCTTTAGCCAGCGTTGCCGCTGGCTTTAGCCAGACACCGGGGGGGTTGAATTTTGGCACTTTCTCCGTCCCTACGTGTGATAGTGGTAGAAATTATCTTTGCTGGAGGCTCCTCGTCCTGAGAAAGCAGACACCAAACTCCTGCCGGAGGACACGTGGCGGTTATTGAGCAAGAACGGAGTGCTTGCTTGTTCTGACGCAGAGTCTACTTCTACTCCGGATGTTGTAGTTTCATCCGAGTCGCCTTCGTTCGCCTTTCTTTCACCTCCAGTGTTCTTATTTTCATTTTGATTTTCAACATTTTTCAGCATTTTCATCTCCCTTCTCACCGTCGCGCCCATCTTTTTCTTCAGTTCGATGTGCCTTATATCAAATGCAAAAGTGTCTGGGTCTGGAAGGTTGCAACTTGTGATGCTGTCTTTGGATGGTAAAAAAAGCTGTATTGCATGACCAGCAAGCGGAGTCCAGTTTGTGCTACGCGGGGAGGGCATTTCTAATGCGGAATATGCATTAGGAAGCCCTCTGAAAATCTGTGCCGCTAGGTCATGCATTACAGGCATCATGAGTCATGCAAAATGTGCATGACAAACCTAGCATCTTTCCAGACCCAGACATTTTTGCAATCCATACCTTAACTCCCGGCGCAACACCCCATCCGGTAGAGCTTTTCCCCCGAATATCCCACGAAAGAAGTGCTACAGTTACACATTTATTGGAGTTTCGGCATCACAAAGTTGCTCGACATGCCAAAGCAAACCTGTGACGCGCAGACTAAAAGGGACAACACGAATGAAATGAGGCTGGCAAGCATTTCCTGCATGACAGCGGTTGCCTGTCTTGCTTGTTTCGCAACACAATGCGTAACTGTAACACTTTTTTCTTCGCATACCGAAAACAGAAACTCCCCAAGCGAAAAAGAGCACAATCGCGAGGAAAATGGTCGTCAGCGCGTCGCCACTGGTGCCATGGAAATAGAGCGCCATGCGGTGGCGAAGGTTCTGGATGCCCGTGACAGACTCGAGGTTCGCGAGCGGCTCGGTGTAGCGGGGGTCGATAAAGGGAGAAGTTGAAGCAGCTCCACTTCTACCGTGACCTAGTAAAACTTCTTCTCTCGATAAGAAACTACTTCTCGCGTTCTTTACTCGTTGTAGTTCCTCGTGGTTGTAGTTATCCAGGTTATTTTCACCTTTATTTTTCCGGCGGCGGCGCGGAGGTGCGACTACTACTTGTGCAGTTGTTCCTCCAGTTGCAGCTCCTGCGTTGCTTCTTATTCTTTCTGGAATATAGTGGTCCCACGCGGCCCTATCGGAAATTCTGCTACTTGTTCTTTGCGTGGTAGCCGCCGAGGAGGTAGCTGCTGGAGTCGTTGTTTGCCCATCCTCGTAAATGGTACTGAGAAGGAACATCTTCTCGGCACTGTCCTGGTATAGTTGCTTCATATTTTCTCGCTCAGTATCAGCGCCACGACGTGTACTTGTACTTCCACTGCCGGGCGGGAGCAACCCGCGAAAACCACCGCCCGCACGAGGCCCGCTTTGATCCTCTTGCTGCGCCAGTCGAGGCCAAGTTGATGTCTCACGACGGAGGTGGAAATCCCTGCTCGGAACTACAGAAGCTGCCGAAAGGAAGGGGTAGCTAAAGCTTCTCCGAGTAGAGGAGTTAACTACAAGAGAGGAGTAGTTTTGTTCTTGTACTTGTTCATTGACCACATAAGGCTCCATTAAATCACTCCCGAAAAGGCTCTTCCCGCTGAAATTTCGCTTCAGCCTTTTTTTCCGTCGTGGCGCACCACGAGGATCTCCAGACCGAAATGAAGCTTTATCAAGGCCAAAAAAATCTACCGAAACACCCTGCTCGGTCGTGCTCCAAGAACTCACGAAAGGCTGGACGGAACCGGAAGTGGTGGGAATATCAAATTTGAGGTGATTTTTGCCGTTCTTGTAGAGGCTGTTGCTGATGCCATCGTCTCTCCACGACCGTCCTCGCTGCAAAAATGACGAGCTGCCGCGGCCATTCACATTCTGAAGGTGAAGATCACCAGCAATCGGCTTCAAATGCCCACACGCCTTTTCCAAAAAAATCTCCTGGCTCGCCTTGACGGCGTTCAATGGTGTTTCATCATCCGTTATCAAATTTTCTGCAAATCCTTGACTCGGATCATTCGGATTCCGCCACGCCCAGCGGTAGTTGGCGTTCCGCAGGCTATGGAACTGTCAGGATCGAAATCGACAAAGTTGAAATAGTTTGCGATGCATAAAATGGTTGCCAGTTGTGACCCAGTTTCCAAGTGGCGCATGACAAATTTTGGTAGATCCGAAATCCAGTTTGTCATGCTGTTTGTGTAGGGAAGACGAAGACCCCTTTTGTCACGCTACTTTAGCGGATCCATTACCATTTCTACCCCTCAACAGGCTTACAATCTGTCTCACTTACCTACTCTGCAAGACAGGCACTCTGTGGGTTGCATTTTAAGCATGACAAATCATGTCAACTTTGTCGATTTCGATTCAGACACATCCATACAGGCATCCCCGATAGTAGAGCGTTTGGTAAAACGACAAATACCCCTGCTTCTGGTGCTCACTTGCGATCAAGGGGTTAATCAACCCGATCTGGTAGGTGTGGTAAAAGTCAAACACGCCAAAGTACATGGTGCTGAGGAAGATGAAAATCGTCGGGTCGAGGACGGTAAACCGGATCTTCATCCACCATTTCACACTGCCTAAGACGGTGCAGTTGGACTTCGACTTGCTACAGCAGGATCTTCGTTGGTTCTGTTCTACTTGTTTCATTGGGTTGTACATCAGCGACGCCCGCCGAAATCGGTAGTGGATTTGGTTCTTGTCGTAAGAGCTTACGGTCGTGGTCGTGCCATTGTACTGTGCGGTCGCGAAACCTAAGAAATTCCGGTTGCTGTTGTAGTCCAAGTCTTGTTGGTGTGATGCAATTTTTAGCTGATTCATCTGCCGCTCTTCTTCAACATATGCACCAGCGTCTTCTGCTTTTCTTCTTGCAGGACGACGAGAAAGTTGCTGCACCGCTTGTAGTTGTCGTTTTTCCAAGCTGGTTCTGCAATCCGTAGCTAGCATGTTCTATCACAGGAAAAAGCGTTAACGTTAACGGAATTTGTAATGCAGTAATGCATCGCAAAACGTGCCCAGATTTGTCATGCATAGCATGCATGCTAGGCAAAATTTGTCACGCACACTTACAATCCAGGAAAACCGTTAACGTTAACACTTTTTTGTTTGATATGTTCCTCATTTCTTTCATACTCATCTCCACCGGGTGGACATGGCTGTACTTCTTCATACTTGTTGTGTTTTGATGTTGATGATCTTGATGTTGTCCTTCTCCTTGTCCACCCCCGCCGTTATACTTATAGTTTCCTGCAAATACTGGCGCGCCGAGTAGCGGAGAAGCGCCCGCTATCGTATGAAAAAATTGCTTCACCGTAAGGATTTTGGAAGTTTTGCATCACAAGTTTGTTCTACATCACAGAGAAAATTTGCCATGCAAGATTCCTAAGGGAAAACACAGCTAAAAATCCACAGTCTTGCATGTGTAGCAAGACAAATACTTCTCAGATGCATTTTCTGCATTACAAGTTTACAGTGAAACAGTTTTTTCTTGCGATACCCGCCCGTCGAGTTGTAGTTTTGCTATCTTCGTACACCACATCCAAACTGTCCTCCAACCCGTCTCGAATCGTGATGCCCCGTCTTGATAATTATGCATTGCAAATATGTCTGAGTCTGGAAGAATCCGAGTTTGTCATGCTAGTCCTGGTCAACACAAAAATCTGTGTTGCGTGAGCAGCAGAAGCCATCCATTTTTGGCACGTGAAGATGGCATTTCAATTTCTCATGCTGGATAGGAGATGCTATGCAGAGTCATCTCCAAATTTGTAATGCTATCGCTCGCATTCCCGACCTCCTGGGCCAGGCAAAACCAGCATGACAAACCTTGCACTCTTCCAGACCCAGACATGTTTTTAGTTGATAATAATTCGAAGAAGACCAAATCGAGGAGGAAGATGAACCACAAGTAGACCAAAAAGCTCTTCTATCCTGTGCAAAAGTATCGCATTCGTAGTGCAGTCATGCATCACAAATCCTTTTGTTAAGTCAAATTTCTCATGCTGAGGAAATTTGTAATGCATTTATTTTTATGCGAGTACGATACTTTTGCAGTGCATATCTTCTCCGAGCCCCAATACCACTCCCTCGACCAATCCCACTCGTAGCTACTGTAGAGCAAAATCACCTGACTCCCGGAAAGGAATGCGGAGAGAAAGGCAAACACCGACCAGGAATGGCAATACGTGACGCAGAGGGTTACGCAGCCGTAGCAGCAGAGTCGGCCGTATGAACTGCAAAAGTATCGTACTAGTAGCAATCGCATGACAAATTCGCTCAGCGTGAGAAATGGAATTATTTGTAATGCGGGTTTGCCATAGCCAAGGAATTTGTAATGCATGACGGCGATTACTACGAGCACGATACTTTTGCAGAGGATAAGCCGGGGCAGAGGGCCCAGTATTCGTCCGCCGCCAGGTTGTAACGACGGCGGGAAATACAGTGGCAGGGACACGGCCGGCACACGATGCCCGGCATGGTGGTTTCGGTTTATTTATGCTCCTGGTACGTAAATGTATGAGTTGCTGCCCGTGGCAGCGGCCCGTGGTTCCTTGCGTACAGTTTTTTCTTCGCGTGCTCGTCTCAATTCGGCACCGGAAAAAAAAAAATTCGGCTCAGCAAACAACGCGAGCTCGTTTTATTTTTACTTTATTGGACAACGGTAAAGAGAAACTGACCCCCAAAAAGAAAAGTCACAGTTAAATGCTTCGTTTTCTTTCGTTCTTCTGCCGACGTGCTGTTTGTTCCTCATGATAGATTGTGCAAAAACTATAAAGTAAAACATTAACATCATCCTGCTTGATGGCTGAGTCATCTTGTTTAGCCCCTGTGCTTGCACCTTCCTCAATTTGGGGGAAAAACTTCTGAAAACCAAAAAGAAGATCGCGCCCGTCTCGGTGTGAGACATAATGAAAATCCGGAGGCCTAAGCGAAGATCCACCGGTATAATAACTAAGCGTCTGTCTATTCACTGCACCTAATTTTTTTTTGTTTCTTCATGCTAGAGAGGTATAGCATTTTCATACTGATACTTGTTTATTTTGGGATAAGTAAATATCAAGTTTGTACCTGCGTAGTTCACAACTACTAGAAACTACAAAAATAAAAAGACGATCAAAATGAGTTCCTGATCATTCGAGCAGAAATCCACCTCCACGCAGAAATGAACTCATGTTGTGAATCCTCTATCTCGAAGTCGCAAAAAAGAAAAAGCGACAGCCAGAAACAATGTTCCGTCTCTCCTGTAGTGCTAGTGCCAGCTGCACCATACTTTTTGCATGGAAAAGGAAATGACATCTCCTATGCTAACCGATTTTTCAGTGTAGGATGAAACCGAAGACCAGCTAGACCACCGAGCTGGTGCCGTGGAAATCAATCAATCATCAAGAAAATGATATACAAACAGAATTTTTGGAAAATCTCTTCAAACAGAACTTTATTTTTGGCGTCAGTCAGAAGCAAGTCGCTTACAACAGATCAATCAAAAGTGTGTGGATGATCGTCAGCAGGAAAAAAAAGTCCTTCAATACTGACTACCGACAAGAAATCGATTCAGATCTACGAAAAAAGGCGCGATAGATGTTGAACAATGCAGCCCCCGGCAGGTCCTTTCATAGAAGTTCGTAGGTTCTTCTGCGAGCTTCTCCTTGATGTCCTCCACCTTGCCGGATAGAGATTGATATGATTTTACTTCAACTCTTCAAATTAAAGACACAGCCCGAGCATACAAGTAAGTAGATACTTCTACTTACTTTCGGGATCGTTTTTATATATTGTTTTCGGGTGAAACTGTAGCTCCCGATCTGCTCTGTCGTGAAGAGAGTCGAAGATTCGTAACGCAGAAGCTGGCCGCTGCTGAGCGGCGCCGGCGCAAAATGTATGATGAAAGCGCCGACACATCACAGCTGGCCAGTATACAAAATTGTGATGTAGTGCTCTTCATACTTAATTGTGAAGCTTGGGCTTCATCTTCGAGATATAATTTTTAAGTGGCGTGACAACTACACTAGAGGAGTATGGCGCTCTCAAGTGTTACATTCTCAACTGTTACATGATTTGTCATGCAAAATGACCTTGAGCCACCAGACAATCAAGCTGCTTCGCATGACAAGTTCTCGAATGGCTAAACAGCGTCTAAATCTGTACCACATCTGTCATGCAAGACGCGCAAGCTCCCTCCTTTGCTTTCATTTTTGCCATTCTTGCATGACAAATTCATGCAAGAACAGTGAAGAATGTAACAGTTGAGAACGCCATAAGGAGCTGGCGTTGCGTTTGTCATCCGGCGGACGAGCTGCCCACCACCAAAAATATGGGAGTGTCAGGATCGAAATCGACAAAATCGAAACATTTGTAATGCATAAAATGCAAGGCCCGTAAGGCCTGTGTTGGAGAGGGGGCAAATGAGACCGATTGCAAGCCTGTTTAGCCCTAAACATGTACTACCAGAGTAGCATGCCAGGCGCAGTCTTCTTGGCCTAAAAAGCAGCATGACAGACTGGGTCTTGGTGCTCCCAAAATTTGTCATGCAACACTTGGAAACTGAGGCTCCAACTGGTATCGATTTTATGCATCACAAATTATTTCGATTTTGTTGATTTCGATCCTGACGCTTCCATAAAAAATACTGTGCGTGTAGTTCCCCCGCAGCTCTATACCAGTCAACAAAAGATAAAAAAACAAACTGAGGCAGTCACGCGGAGTCCTGCTGCTCAGTCGGCGCACAAGTTAGGACAAGACGTCTTGTTCAAGTTCATCGCGCTGTGGTCACTCCTGTGTCGTGCGACGATCGTCCTAGTATTTTCTTTTTATCCACCTCGTCATCCACGGTCGTGGCTCCTGCAGCTGCACCACGGAAGTAGCGCGGCGCAGCTTCTTGTTGGTGCGTGAGGTCTGAATCTTGTACGGGTGAAAGGTAACTTGGCTTTTTTCTTCCTTCTACGTGCTTGATGGTGAAGAGTGTATTCTGTTCGATGCTATCGCTATTCATCTGTGCGGAGTTCTTGGAGATAGAAGTTCGGCGCTGTAGTTCTACGTGCTTGATATATATAGCTATTACTTATTATCGAGAACGCTGAGATCATGGCACTACTCTCTTTGTAACAAGTTGTAGACCACTACACTTCTGCGCAATAATTGTCGGGTGAGTGGAATACTTCACGCGCTGGCGCCGATAGAGTCTCAAGAATATGTGTAGAGTTCATGTTGATGATGTACGAGTCCGACCACCCTCGCGACATTATTTATATTTATATAAACGACTTCTCGTTCTCCTCGCATATATGTTTTTGGTCGTGGTCCTCTTCTTCATCAACGCCGAGCGACGACACGACAAAGAGAACGAAACTTAAGTGACATATTCATATTTATTAGCCGCTTGCTATGTTGCGGCTTGAAAGTACACGCCGCCTTGATGTACTAGTTGCTGTCACCTACAAGGCGGTCGCCGGCACGTCGCCATCGGAGACGGCCGCGACATCCTCCTTGGCGAGCACCAGAGCCGGCGCCGGCGTAGCCGCGGCATCGTATTCGTGCAGATGAAAGCTGTCGCCTTCTTTTTCTGCTTGTTCTTGCAGAAAGCTCCCGGGCCCGGTCGTCGCCGGGTCCTCGGTCGTCGCAGTGGCGCCGGCGCCTGCGCCTGCGCTGCGTTTCTTGCGCAAGTGCCGAACAGCCCCCACCGTCAGGAGCCCCGCTCCGGCAGCCGCTCCGACAGCCGCCCCAACGATCTTCGCGGTTTTGGTTTTCAAGATCTCCTTCGTTTTTTTCCATGCATTGCTCGCGTTGTCCTTGATTCTCTTGCCCAGATTTTCCTGTTTGGAAACGAAAACCCGACGGCCAACGCCGTCTCCGGCGGTCACGGCCAACGCTTCGGGGGCGGTCACGGCCAACGCCGTCTTCGGCGTATGGCAAGTCCGAACTGGCCCACGGTAGAATGGGTTGTGGGCGACGTCTTGAGGCACCTCCAACGTGGTCTCGTCCGGCGCGGTCGTCTTTTTATCGCTCCGAAAATTTCGAGGGTCGTACTTTGCTCCTGCCCTGCGCGTATCCGTGTCGACGGAGGCCCAGCGGGATCAGTGTGTATCCTTTGTGTCTTCGGATCTTTCTCAGAACATCGAAAGAAATAAGACGCGAACGAAGACAGAGCGCTGAGTTTGAGGCACTTTCCCAAGAAGTGGGCCACCGTCGATCTTCTGGGAATACGTGAGGTATGTCCAGTTCTAAGTAGAAAAGCTCCAAGGGAGAGGAGGGAAGGTAGAAAGCAAAATTGGAATCCTAGCTAAGAGCGCGATTTAGGATCAAGAGTTGGAACGAGACTAGAAATGAACGTCTGTGAAGCTTGATCTGATCTACGTTTATATTAGGATGCGCAGCCCCCTGTCTACCTAATGGGAAAGAGTGAGAGGATCCTTGAAGCTTTTCTGTCGCCACTAAACTGAGCTTTACGAATTCCATCGAAATCCTTTAAGCTTACCGGAAGCACATACTCACGCAGTCGTACCAGGGAGAACGCATCTTCTTTCCATCTCGTTTTGGACCGCAAGGAGTACGTTTGCAAACTTTGCACAAGCATGCGCCAGCCTATGACAGTGCACAACCCCATCCCCCTTCCCTCATTTGTCACACAAAAACCCAAATCCAGTTGCTATCTCCCTTGTTGTGGAACCGCGTGCATGACAAATTTCGGTGGAAGAAATCCAAACAATACTACACTCGGCGCATGAAGTTGTCATGCACGAGAGGGTCCACCTGTAATGCTGTTGATGCCATAAAAACTACGAGGGGGAGGGGGGGTTGTGCACTTTCATCCAGTTTCCGGACAGTCAAAGTCGTAGGACCTAACCTCACCATAGAAGCCGGTCGAGATACGTGCAAAAATGTTGGGCTTTAAGTTTTAGATAAATTAATACTCCCGAGCGTGTGCGTCGACGTCGGCGAAAGTCCGCAGCCCTGGCGTCAGCTTTTTCTTTTTGCTTTGAAAAAATGCAAAAACTACTCGCGTCGCTTAAACTTATGCTCTTCCGACTTTCTTATAGTTGTAGTTGTACCTGTTACTTTCTACACAAATATAACAGGCACGGGCATCAGGCACACACACCCACCCAGGATACAGGCATGCCCACACAGGAAAGTCGCCGGGCATTTATGTTCCCGCACACACGACTCCGGCAGAGTTGTTTTTTTCCAATGCACATACAACTCCGGGAGTAGTTTATTTAATTTCTCACAAACTGAGTGTCTGAGAAATTAAATAATGACCGAAGACGAGCCTGTGCGCCGTGTTCCGGTAGGCGGAGGGGTAGGCGACGCTCGATCTTTCTCCTTCTCTCCTGCGGGCACGCAGACATCCTGCCCCATGCCTCCTGCGCGCGCACTAGCACGCGCGCTGATACCGAGAGTGTTTTATCACTCCTAAACAGAAATAGACGGCGACTTTCATTGCAAAAGCATCGTACTAGTATAAATTGCATTACAAAATGCAGATTTGCCTTAACAAAAAAAATTGTAATGCATATTAGAATGTCTAACGCAGACGCGTCGGCGTCATCCACAGGAGACCGCCCTCTGTAATTAAACGTACTCGGAACAGCTTACATCTCACAAGTAAAACGCCATGTCTGGTGTGCAATGGTCTGCGCCCGTTGTGAGTTTTCAGGTCTTCGCGAAAAAAGCTTTCTTCTTCCTCGCCTTGAGCGCTAGCCTAAACCCAGTCTTTTCATGCTGAGCCCATATATGTGCGGCGACTCTGAAGCCTGTTCGTAAGTAGCTCGAAGCTGAGATAAAGTTCATCGCGTTTTGATAGTTTCTTTCTAAATTTCACACGTACTGGAACTTACTTCACCACCTGATTTCTGATCTTGCATTACAACCTACTGGAGCTCTTGCATCACAAATTTATTTTTTCCGATGCTTTGTTGCTTTTCGAAAAGAGTAAAATTTACTTGATCACGGAGCCGGGGCATAGTAATTTTGAACTCGACCACTTGATCGATGTTTTTTTAAAACCCCGGTCCGTGATCCTATCGAAATCATGGTGGTGATGTCTTTAGCTACTTCTTTATAAAGCTTCGAAAAAACAGTAAGTCAGTCCTTTCTTTTGTATAAAACTTTCTTTCTGCTGTATGCGTGTGCTACTTGCATGTAAATTAAAAGGGGTTTTTTAGGACTGAGAAACTGTTTATTTTTGCAAGAAAGGCGAAGCTTATCGTGTGAAATTTGTATCTACAGATTTAATTGCATCAGAAACTCTGCATTACAAATTCTCATCTTTATCTCCTTGCTTCGAGCCTCTTTCTTCCGTTTCATCCCGTCCGTTATCCACCGTACTATTCCGCTGCTGTTGCTGGTTTCGGTTGTTCTCGAATGCAGACGCGTCGGCGTCATCCACAGGAGACCGCCCTCTGTAAGGCAAATGCGTCGAACACCTGGTGGACCCTCCGACAGCAGATGACGGACCCGCACACTGACGAACAGGCCGAAGATTTATGAGATGAGTCATTAGAGCCAAAACGGTGGATAGTGCGGGACGATTTGAGAACTTGCTGCGGACTTGCGCAAAACTTGCGCACACGCGGCTTTTTCAGCAGCAGACGGCAGGCGCCACAAGCGTCTGTATAACCCCGGCGCCGCCCCCCGGGGCGTTTTTTTTGGTGGGCGGCTCGGCCGGGTGGCGATAGCCTGTCCCCCCGCGCCCGTTCGGACGCGAATGGCGCACGGTGCCGCGGGCTGGGAGCCCGGTGGTGCCAACATAGCAAAAAAGGCGCACTGGACTGGTAGAAGCGGCGACCGCTCCCTGCCACCATTCTTGCAACAACCACCGCCACACACTGGGCCAAGCCCCGGCACCTCATTGACCAGAAACGCAGGCCGCTATACCGTGCGGCCCCAAAGTGTCCCGGATCCATCCTGCATGGTGTGGCACGCCGCGCCCGCACAACCAGCAATAGATCGGGGATAACATTTCCCACCATGGCCTGACGGCCCGAAAAAATGGACTTTGTTCGGCTGGCCTCTTCAGAAGAGGCGAAGTCACACCTGCCCTATACACCCGAAGGAGACAAGGTAGGGGAGACAGCGCCAAGGCTGCTGCCAGGTGCAGAGGGCGCACGCCGGCAGAGACGCTAATAGGGCGCCACGAAGTCACCAAGGGAGGCCGCCAGGCTCGCCCGCCAGCCCCGCTAGCTTGGGCGGGGCGAGGCAGAACACGCCCCAGCACCCTGCTGCCCTAGACTAGCCGTGGGCGCAAGGCCGTGGCCATAGGGCGCTGCCTCTCTGGCTGTGCACGCAGAAGCCCCACTCTGCCAAAGAAACCCGCTGCGCCCCCGATGCTGCGCAGGCATTCTGAGAGCAGAAACTAGCGAGAGAAAATCATGGCCACAGCATTTAGTCCGAGAACAACGGCCAATCCCGGTGCTGCGTAGCCACGGAAGGCGACCACGGCTAGGCAGTTTGGGAGGCCCCTGCCAGGTGGCTTGCGCCATGGCCAACTCGCGCCGGCGCACGAAAATGACCCAAAAAACCAGCCGAATCAGCATGGTATGGGCACCAAAAAAGCTACTTTTTTCCGGACTTAGGCGTTTTCGGTGGAAGGACTCCCGGAATTCCGGGTCTCGTGAGTCCTGGCGCGGATGTTCGCCTCTAAGGACTTGCAAAAAACTTGCGCCAGGACTTGCAAAAGACTTGCAAAAAACTTGCAGAAAACTTGCAAATTTGAAGGACAGGCCGAAGATTTATGAGATGAGTCAGGGAGCTATACAGCGATGAAAAACGTATTCGCTTTCAAAAATAAAATTTTTTTTCTTTGGTCTGGGCCCAGGAAAACAGTTGAACCGGCTCGGGCACGTGTCAAAGACTTGAAAAAGCTGCAAGGCCACGGCCGGCCTTGATTTGCGCGCATTTTTTGGTGCAAAACACCCATACGGCCGGCGCGCTTCATAGTGGCCCGCTTCTGAGACGAAAGCGGCTGGCCCCTCCTTTATGCCCCCCCCTTGAATACCTTTTTTTGGCACCCAAAAATCGCGAATACCTTTTTTACAGGAGCGGAAAAAGGTATTCACTCGATTTTTATGCCCGTTCTTATGTGCGGCCAAAGCCCTTCAGATGACCGACGCATATGGTCACGGTTTTGGTCCTTCTGATGGTCAAGGTTTGGCCATGTCGACTCAGGTTATCGAAATGCTGCAAAACTCTTTTCCTGGTACAAAGACAGCGAGCATCGCCCGAATGCGGTGGCTCGGCGCGCAGATGGTAGTAGGGTGGTTCCCAAAAAATTCCGGGCTTCTGTTGGCGTGCTTGCATGAGCTGGCCGCTATCCGGGACAAAAAACGCACCCACAGTGGGAATTCACGTCGCAGCCTTGTGCATGGGCATTAGCGTCGCAGCTTGAGCATGGCGAATTGGGTGGATGCGTCATGCAAGGTAGGGAGAAGTTTGTCACGCAATATAGAGGATTTGTATGTAATGCAGGAAATGCGACGCGGTCGCGATTTTGTCATGCAAGGCTTCCTATTTTGGCAATTGCAATGCAGCCACATTGTGGGTTCGTTTTTCCATACGATAGGAGATCCACAGTTTGGCGACGACGTGCAGCTGCTGGCCGTCCACCCCGAAGAGGTCGACCCCGAGATGTTTCCACCTAACGAGGACGTCGAGCCGCCGGGGGTCGACGGTCTTTATGCTGCTCCGCCCGACTGACACACAGGCCGAAGATTTATCAGATGAGAAGTCAGGGAGATCATACTTAGTTGATACAACTACCTTGACTCAGGGTCGTGCCTGTTGGTGTGCGTCTTCACGATGTTCAGTCATGATGGAAGACGGTACTGCTACTACGATAGTGCTTGTCCTTGTGCTGCTTCTGCTTGTGCTATTACTATTAGTATTACTTACGAACGAATTACGATGATACGACAGACGAAGTTATATATTATGGCGCACCGATTCTAGTGCTAGTATTTTGCTTGGCCGCACGATACCGATGACGATTCGGAGTACGATTGCAACTCCTACCGATAGAAGGCCGTTGGTATCGGTTTGTATCATTTTTTACACCCTCCACCTGTAGTCGTGTGGGTGTTGTACACTCAGGAAGTCGTGGTGTACACTCAGGAAGGTCGTGCTGCGGCTAGTTATCCATATGGGAATCACATGTAGAAGTCATCGTGTTTTTTATTCAAAAGAAGGTTTTTTCTCATATGTCATTCACTGCTTGGCAGCTGCAGGAAGGACTTACGGAGTGTACTTGGCGCAACGAGTATCTATTGCTATTCCTGTTGCTCCATATCCATATTTCGCTTTACAACTCCATATTTCACTTTACAACATGGGCAGGCTTCTTGTCTATTATACAATGCGTTTTGGTTGTCTAGTGATAGACGTACGAACGGAGCATTTTTAAGGAACCTCTTCTAAAAAACGGTCGACGTCTGGTCTGTATCTAATCTTCTATATTCTCTAAACGACCCAGGAGCAGCAGGGTAGCAGTAGCACTCACTGCTCGCCTGCTTAAAATCAAATTTGAATTTTTTCATACAAAAGGTGTGCATGAGAACAGAGAACAGGAATATTTGGTAGCTCGGATTCGCTCGGGCATAACAAAATCACACCGAACTCACTCGGGGGAAGACCGAAAAAGAAAGGAAAGCACTACAGCCCCTGCCGTCTCACCGAACACAGACTCGCTGCCCTGTGAGGCAGAAGAAAGAGAAAGTGTAAGGGAGTGCTCGCTTGTTAAAGTGACACAGATTTTTATGGCGGACAGGGGTACCGGTTCACCGACCACAAAACCACGATAACAACGTGCTTGAAAGAAAGGAATGAGAGGAAAAGGCGGCGGAGAAGCGCAGGCTGAAAAAATCGCTCGGGGCACAGCAATCGAGGTCGATATCGAGAACGAGAAGTCGAAGATCTAGAACATGTCGAGAACGTCGAGAACAAGATCTAATGACCGGCCGAGAACGTTGAGAACTAAATCTACAGAAGAAAGGACGTCGAGATCGAAGACGTAGAGCATATATATCGAGATCGAGAACGTCGAGCATGGAGAACTAGAACGAGAACGTCGAAGTCGAGAACGTAGAGCATGGTGATCGAAAATGAGAAAGTCGAGCTTAAGAACAATAGTCGAAAACAAAAAACCAAGGGCATTCGATGTGCCGATGAGAGCGGTGGACGACGATATGAATCTCTCCGGAGAAGCAGTCATAAAGGAAGAACCGATAATGGCAGAGTAGCATCGCAGGTACCAACACAGAACAAGAACGGAACACGACATCCGAGGGCGCAAGTGTGCTTAAAAATAGTAGTGATTGTTATTCCCTCACTTGTAAAACGGTACTGTTTCCTCTGTGTGTATTGAAAAACAAAAAATCCGTCCAGCCGTCATCATCTGTGTCGTCTGAAATCAAATTCCAATTTTCCAATTTTCCAATTTGTCATGCAAAACATGCATAATTTGCAGTGTTCGCCATGCAAGAAATGGATGGGGATGGGTGTTTTTTCCTGGATAGCGCCAGCATCATTCCGATCACCGCGTCGCCAAAGGTTAACCTAGTTCCGGCTTCTTGAAAATTCCCGAAGGCCATGGAGGTTTTCAAATCGCCACAATTCAAACATCCGTATCCACGGTAAATTTCCCGACGTCCACGTACAAATGCAGTCGCTGCATGACAAAACTGGGTTTCGATCCTAGTTTAGCATGACAAAGAGAAGTTGGACACAACTGCAAGTTGACGAAATTTGTCATGCATTTTGTACATGTACGGGGGCTACGGGAAGTTTGTATTGCATAATCCGCAAACACAGCTCATGAAGAAATCCATTCCGGTTTCTACGACAAAATGGGAAAACTTTTCCGCGGAGTAGCTCGCAGCTTCGGAGACGGGATGAATATCTGAATCTGACTCCTGTATGGATGTGTCAGAGTTGAAATCGACAAAGTTGAAATAATTTGTGATGCGTAAAATCTATACCAGTTGGACCCACAGTTTCCAATCGGCGCATGACAAATTTTCCTGGCCTCTGAAGCAAGTCTGTCATGTTGTTTAGGGCAAGATGGCTGCTCCCTGTCATGCTAGTCAGCAGCCCAATTCTTGACCCTTACCAGCACTAGAATCTGCCTCCCTTGCGCCTTCAGCAATAGAGTCAGTCTTTGTGTCGCATTTTATGCATGGCAAATCATTTCAACTTTGTCGATTGAAATTGTCGCAACATTTGTATGAGTGTATTGAAAAACAAAAAATCCGTCCAGCCGTCATCATCTGTGTCATCTGATCTGACGTCACTACATACATCTGTGGAAAACGTGTTTGTCATGCTCGTTAGGCAAAGGGGTGCGCTTCTCTCATGCTAATCAGCAGCCCAATCCTGAACCCGTAGCAGCACAGTAGTCAGCCTCCATGGCGTTCTCTGCAATACAGTCTTTTTGGTGTCGCATTTCATGCATCACAAATTATTTCCACTTTGAGGATTTCCATTCTGAGGGTGTCATACTGTTTCCTCTGTGTGTATTGAAAAACAAAAAATCCGTCCAGCCGTCATCATCTGTGTCACTCTTGCCCAGTGAGTTGGCGAGAGGGGATCCTCTGGCCAGATATTTCATTTTCCCAAGAAGGGCGACCCCTTCTGGACCCTCTTCGGGCACCCTCTAAGTAGTTGAGGATCAGGGGGTGCCGAACGACCCCCCAAATGACTCCAGCCCGCATGCTATGGTCATTTTATGCTCAACTACTTAGAGGCAGCCGAGAGGGGTGCCGGAGGGGGGTGAAAGGTACTCGTCTCGAAGGCGCCTCATGAATGAGAGTTCGAATTGTTGCACTCAGGACATGGGGCGGACTTCGGGCGCCAAACACAGCGGCCGGCCGAAGTCGTGCACCTGTCCAGCAGGAGGCTTGCCTTTTCTCGGCCACCCATCTTGCAGCGCCGCTGCCAGGGCACCATTACGCCCGAGGCGCGCCCATGCAGAAATGCAGAAGGGGCCGATGCGTCGCAAGCGGGCAACGGCCGGGAGACTGCGCCGCAAGCGCATCAAACACCACCCGAAGAGCGGAGGTGGCCAGCTCCGCGCTTGGCATGCGAAGGCGCCCCTAGTCAGGCGCGGGGTCGGTACTGTGGCCTTCCTGCACACTGTGGCTTTGCAACGGCCACCGCGTGACTTTATTCGCACAGCGCGCCACTTATTTCGCGCGGGCTTCGCAGCCGAGTATGTCCTTCTGGCAACCCTGGTTTTCCCCCGAAAGCGTTGCAAATTTTTGGACATTGGTTCATGGGTCTGACTGGCCTTATCCGGCGCGGTTGCGTTGCAACACGCATGTCACACACAGAGGAACATGTCCCGGGACGACGCCCCACGCCAGGCGCCGCTCAAACTCGGATCAGGGCATTTCAATGCAATGCCGGTCGCGGTGATCCGGTGATCGAGGGTGGCACTTTTGTCCCTAGAACGCTATTAGTCTCGTTTGTCCTATATTCCTGTGGTAGCTCCACTAAGTATCGAGTTATCTGGCCGCTTGTAAACACACCTGGAGCGACCTCCTGCACCAAAAAAAAATTTTGAAAGTAAAAGCAAAATAACGACCTGACGCTCTCATACTGTTTCCTCTGTGTGTATTGAAAAACAAAAAATCCGTTCAGCCGTCGTCATCTGTGTCATCTGATCTGACGTCACTACATACATCTGTGGTGCGGTGACCTCACTACCTACAATGCGTTTTGGTTGTCTAGAGATGAACGTGCGAACCTTAACCTTTTTCTAAAAAACGGTCGATGTCTGGTCTGTATCCAAATCGGAAAAAAAAAGCGACAGCCAGTAACAGTGTTTCATCCCTGTGTCAGCTGCATCGCATTTGCATGGAAATGACATCTGCTCTTACACTAACCGACTCAGCGTAACAAGATGAAACCGAAGACCAGCTGGTAGCTGGAGCCGTGGGAAAATGATCGCAAACAGAATTGGAAAATCTCTTAAAACAGAACTTTTTCATCATTCGCACCCACAGCGATCAAAAATGTGCGGATAACAATAGAAGTTGTACCAAAAGCCAGAAGTTGGATCGTTGCGCATCGTGTGGGCTCCACCGAATGTTGGAAAGGAAGCCAGCTGCGCAAACCGCCAATGGAAACAGACTGCTTCTCTTCTTGTCGAAAAAGGCAAAACAGACCACTATCGCTTGTCAAAAATTGACTCGCGTCCTTCAGCATCCAAAAAATGCATTTTTTCTCTCGTACTTATGCATTTTTTCTCTCGTACTTAAACTTATCACAACAGCAAAATATGGAGAATGGGAATGACTTATTGGGGCTCGGTAGTTCGTGGAGCAAACACAATGGACAAAGCTGTGTTTCGCCGCTTCGGCCTCATGATGCCACTTTAATTGCGACACTGTACATTGCATTTCCTGTAGCACTCGTAGTCGTGTACACTCAGGAAGGTGCTACGGCTACTTATCCATATGGGAATCACATGTAGAAGTTGTCATCGTGTTTTTCATTCAAAAGAGAGTTTTAGTTTTTCTCCTAATCATTCACTGCTTGGCAGCTGCAAAAAGGACTTATGGAGTGTTGGCACAACATCGAGTATTTTTGCTATTGCTCCATTATGATGTAGCTGCGTACTATTTCGATTTGCAACATGGGCAGGGGCAGGCTTCTTCTGTGTCTTCTATACAATGCGTTTTGGCTGTCTAGAGATGGACGTGCGAGCCTTAACTTTTTCTAAAAAACGGTCCATGTCTGGTCTGTATCAAATCTTCTTTATTCTCTAATAAACGACCCAGCAGCGGCAGCGGGGTAGCACTCACTGTCACTGCTCGTTTGCTTAGTACTACAGTAATTATTCTTATTGTTATTTCATCACTTCTTGTAAAACGGTACTGTTTCATCTGTGATGTGTATTGATTTGCATAATAAACGTACATCCACATCGTTATACTTACAACTGGCCAGAAAAACATATGGCGTTCTCAAACGTTACATTCTCAACTGTTACATGATTTGTCATGCAAAATTGCCTTCAGAATCGACAGCATCAAGCTGCTTCGCATGACAAACTTGCAGAGGGCCAAACAGGCTGGCAATCGGTGCCAGATCTGTCATGCAAGACGCGCAAGATTCCCCTTGTCACTTTTGCCATTCTTGCATCACAAATTCATGTAACAGTTGAGAATGTAACAGTTGAGAACGCCAGAAAAACAAAAAATCCGTCCAGCCGTCATCATCTGTGTCATCTGAAACTCCATTTCTAATAAGTACCTCTCGCAACAAAACTTCCAACACACCACTCCCCTCCCGCCTCACGTCATCCAGGAAAAAACACCCATCCCCATCCATTTTTTGCATGACCACAAACTCTGGAATTTATGCACGTTTTGCATGACAATTGTAATTGACAAATTGGATGGGGTCGGGTGTTTTTTCTTGGATACACGGCATCGGATTCACATAGGGCCGGAACCCCTCGTACCGCCCGTACACCTTCACTTCGTTCAAAGCCAAGTACCGCTATCCACAGTAAATAATTTCCCCCCGCACGCGTACACTACAGATTTGGTGGTCTCTGCATGACAAAACTTGGCTTCGCTCCTTGTTTAGCATGCCAAGTTTTACGCTCCAAATTGGCGAAATTTGTGATGCATGTTGTACATGTACGGGAAATTTGTATTGCCTAACCGCTTCGCGTCCGCAAAAGCCGGGGGGAGTTCGATAAACAAATACCTCGCGATCCGGGTCTCGCAGTCAAACTCGGCCATCAAAGTGGACTCCTATCCTAGGCAAAAGTATCGCACTCGTAGTAATTGCAATCATGCATTACAAATCTCCCTCTTAAGGTAAATCCGCATTACAAATTTCACTTCTCAAGCTCAGGAAATTTGTAATGCATTCATACGAGTAAGATATTTTTGCAATGCATAACTCCGCGTTATCGCCAAAGTGCTTCAGTTTCGTAGTTTGGTTCGAGGATAAGGACAGCGGCATATGGCGTTCTCAAACGTTACATTCTCAACTGTTACACGGATTTGCGATGCAAGAATGGCAAAACTGAAAGGGGTCACCTTGCGGGTCTTGCATGACAGATCTGGCAAAGATTCTCAGCCTGTTTGGCTCTTCGAGAATTTGTCATGCGAAGCAGCTTGCTCGCGTCGATTCTGATTGTGGTTTTGCATTACAAATCATGTAACAGCTGAGAATGTAACATTTGAGAACGCCATATGGCAAATTGCACTCGTACAGGTCGAATTTTGACGGCGGGAAGTTCCCGTCGGCATTCGCCGCGGCGGGGTAGCTGGTTTGATCGTTTATCCTGAGTAAAAACGTACGCACACCAGAGTCAAGATGAGAAATCTGCTAGACAAATCATCCAGCTTTGGTTGTTTCGCATGACAAGTTTATCCTCGTAGTGTAATCCTTATCCTGTTTAGCTACCTCCAGCAGCATCACAGATCTAGCATATCATGCTGATTAGAGCATCACAAATTCTAAAACACGACTAGAAAATGCTTCTCATGGGGCTCCGCATGGGAAACCTTTTTGGCATGCAGATTTGCATGACAACTCTGGGGTGGGTACGTTTTTACTCAGGATATCGTTTTCGTCTTGTTCATGCTTGATTTTTATATTCATAACAGAATTAGAATTGATCACGTTTTTGCTTTTGTATTTGTGATTCTCAAAACGACACGTCGAGGAGAAAAAACGAAACACGCCACAGCGATCCGCAGTAAATTTCCCGTACACATACAAATGCGGTGTCCGCATGACAAAACTTGGCTTCGATCCTAGTTTAGCATGACAAGTTTTACGATCCAAAGTGGTGAAATTTGTGATGCACCTTGTACATGTACGGGAAATTTGTATTGCTACGGTAGCGAAATCTGTCAACAAGACCTTCTTTTCAACAAAACGAAAAAAAAAATTTGGGTCTCGCGCCTCTCCCGATAATAAGGCGAAGGGAGTTGGCGCGGTCGCCTCTTGTTGCTGGGGCTCGCAGGGCCTGGCACTGTTGATGACACCCAAGGGGCATACTACGCCTCTAGTTGCGCGCGACAAGCGTCGACCCGCTTCCACCTCAAGCACTTTGTGCGCTTCGTCTACCACGCCGGCCGTGCAAGTCATGAAGCCTCATAGCGGCGCAGGGCCCATCTCCCACCTTCGGGGCCTTGGGCTGGGGCATGCACAACGCAGCTACCTTTGGGCGCACGGCTGTGCTTTGGCTTCCTTTGCCCCGCTTGCGCTTTTTCTGCAGCTCGTTGCGGCTGCGACGCGGGCCACGTTGGGAATCCTCCCAAGGCACAAATTCTTCCCCCCGCCCCCGTGCCCCCTTCCGAAACCTGGCGCGGTCGGCGAATGTGGGCCGCCCACCTGCGCCCACTACGCTTCCGCTTTCGCATCGAGGGGCGGCACAGCCGCGCCGGGCAGCCAGCTGCGTGCCCGATGCCACCCCACACCCACGCAACCCAAGAAGCCAGGCAACCGCGATCCGGCTCGGGATGCCTTCTCCGAGAAGCCTCGGCGACACGGCCGGGCCTTTCCGAGCACTCACGCCAACAATCGGGGTCGACTCGCGGCCATTTTCCCTGTCTTGTTGATCAAAAACGTTAAGGGGCTATCTCATTCGATTTGGCGGCCATTTTTGGGTCATTTTTGGGCTTCAAAATCCCGGGAAAATCGCGGCGAGCTCCGGGGTCAAGGGCCGGGGTCAAGGGACGGCCCGGCCGGCCGGCCGCCCGGCCCTTCGCCCGCCGGCCGGATGGCAACTAGCTGTCGGGCTCCCGCGCAGCGAATCTTTGCCGCGGGTTGGCCCGCGGGCCGCTGCATGGCCGGGCCGGCCGCATGCGCCGCCAAAGCCTCGCCCGAGATGGGCGGCGCTGGCGCGTGCCGTTTCATTTTTTGGGAGGGCCCCACCGCAGGCGGCCGGGTGGCCGCTTCCGAGCCTTCCGCGCCTGGCGGGTTCGTATGGAAGCCCCCAGCGAAGCACAGGGCGCGAGCCTTCGGCGAGGCGAAGCAGCGCTGCAAAACGGGAGGCCAGACAGCTAAAACGCCTGCGCCCCGGGGTTCTGGTGGTCGTTCATGAGGGCATCCGGCAATCGCAGCTGATGGCCTGCGATCGCCGGTTGGGTATGTCTCTGACCCGGGGCGGCAATGGTGAAGCCACACGCACGGCCACAAGCAATCTAGCTGCCCCGCGCCACCAGCTAGCGCGCGCGCACTTTTTCATAAGTCAGCGAGGCCGGAAAAAGCTAGCGCGCGTCGTAGCGGTGGCGAATGCTAGAAACTTTTTCGGGCCGGGCTGCCCCATTCGCCTGATACAAAAAAAGTTTTTCGTTTTGTTGAAAATCGGGTCTTGTTGACAGATTTCGCTGGCGTAATTGCATAACAGCATGTTCTATTCTATACCCCTGACACCCGTACCCACTTGCGTAATTTCCTCCGGGCCCTTCATCTAGACACTGTGTGTTCGACAAACCGACCACCAAATTTGCGTTCGCCTGCCAGTCTTCGGAACAGTCCTTGTCCAGTTCCGCTTGGTCTAAACTCGCGTCATCTGGCCACTTGTCCAAATCCCCGTTTGTCCCAGGATCCCGGCTCATGAAGAGCAGCCGCGCGCAGTTCTGCGACCTCGCGTAGAGCTGGACTTTCGTGATCGGGATTTTATCCCCGAAGTCGATTTGCAGATACGGAGCGATTTCTGGCTTCGTCTGACAAAAGGAGTCGGCGGACTGTGAGAGTTCGTTGTAGAAGAGGTTCTACTTTTTGCATGTATAAGTACCTCGATTTCTACTTGTACTGCGGTTCATATATGCAAGATGGTGATCATGATCATGTTCATATCGTCGACGATCTTTCATTGCCAAACTCCTAAAACACCAAAACGTCAAAAACGGAAACGAAATTATCTGAAAATGAATTCAACCATACCAGCATATCGCTATCGTGGCATTTCGTCCCATTCGTCGCGGCGGAGAACACAGAGGATAACTTCACCGTAAAATCTATCACAAGGAAAAGCGTCAACAACGTGAACGGTTTGCACAGATTGCAGTCATGCATCGCAAATGTAACCCAATATGGTGCATGCTATGCATTACAACTTTCGGCATGATGTTCAATGCATCACAAACTCCGTTAACGTTAACACTTTTTGCTGTGATAAAATCCGTCACCTGCTGCTCCGACGGAGGTTCCATATGAACTGCAAAAGTATCGCATTCGTATAAATGCAAGTCTTGCATTACAAATCTTTTTCTTAAGGTAAATCCGCATTACAAATTTTATCTTTCACGCTGGAGAAATTTGTAATGCATTCATACGAGTACGATGCTTTTGCACTGCATATTCCAGATTCGGCCACAACACCTGCTGGTAATTGTGACTCTGCGCGTTATCGAAATTTGTCATGTAATATGCTGCGCAAAAACGTCCCCACCTCCCCAGAGTCGAGATGCTGGGAAATCTGCAACACAAATCTCCAAGTTTTGGAAGTTCTACATGACAAATTCTCATCTGCAGGGTAGTACTGGTTAGCAAGGAAAGCCGCACGAGAAATCCATTTTTTCATGGTGTTTACAGCATTAGAAATTCCAAAACACGATTGGAAATGCCTCTCACGCAGATGCGCATTACAAATGCTTGTGTCATTGCGCATTTGCATGACACCTCTGGGGTGGGAGCGTTTTTGCTGCGGATATGTAATCGACAATGTTCTGGTGCGCTTTGTTTGCGTCGGTAGAGACGAGGAACTTGTTCTGCTGCTCCATCGCCTCCAGTCTATCAAATACAAATATGTCTGGGTCTGGAAAGTTGGGATGCTGGTTGGCGAATGATTAGGGTGCCGCAATTGCCGTTCCAGCATGACAAGTTTCTGAGCTGGTCGGTGTACTCTATTCTGCATGACAAACTGCGTTTCCGCATGACAGAAAAGCGAGGCTCTTGGGTAACGTGCATGACAGACTTGAGACTCATGCTAGCCGAGCATGGCAAATCTTGCATTCTTCCAGACCCAGACATATTTGCATCTGATACAGTAGATCCTTGTCGAATTTCTTCGCCGCGGTTTCCGCCGTGTAGCCGTATTTCGCGGTGTGCTTCTTCATATCAAATGCAAATGTGTCTGGCTCATCTGGAACAAAGCAACCTGCCATGCTAAATCTGAATCATGTAAAAATCTGTGTTGCGTGATTGCCAAAAGCTGGCCACTTTCGACCTAATCGAGAGGCAATTTCTCATGCAGGATAGCCATGATGAAACTCTCACAGAATCTGTAATGCTGTGTCCTACATACCAGACCTCGTGGGTCATGGAAAATCTGCATGACAAGTCTGGCACTTCTCTTCCAGACCCAGACATGTTTGCGGTTGATGCTTCAAGTCCGCGGCGATCGCCTCTTTCGACCGGGTCTGGATCATGGTTCTTTCGGTTTCCATGAAGTTCTCCTTTATCCAAGAAAAAAACTGTGTAAGTGTAACTTTGTGTTGCAGAAAATGCAAACCTGTTACACTTGTCATGCTGGACATGCATCAAAGGCAATCTTCGTGCGTGTTTTGACGTACCAGCTACGCATGACAGGTTTTCTGTGTCATGCAGAGCAAACTTGTGATGCTATTCCTCCAAGAAACTTACACTTACACAGTTTTTTTCTTGGATATCCTTGTTCTTCTTTTTTGTAATCGCCTCGTGAAGTGCAGAGGACGATTTTTTGTCCTCGTGCTGGTCTGCGGCGGCTTTATTATCATTTTCATTTTCTTCTGCAGTAGCTGTCTCAGTCTCCTTCTCTTCTTTCCCTGACTCACCTTCGTTATTTGCAGCTGCCTCAGCGTCAGTCCCCTTTTCCGAGCGGCCTACAACTTCCGACGTATCAGTACCGGTCTCGACTTCGTTTTGTTCTTTCGCTGATTTTGACTCATCCTTGTCGGTTTCTGATCCTTTCTCGTCCGCCTGCACGCCTAGAAGTTCTCGATCCTCCTCGACCGACTCCCTCCGATTCTTTTCTGCTTCGGTCTCGGATTTGTCTTTTTGATCCTGCAGCAAAGCCGTTGCAAAAGTCGACGAGGAGGCATGCGCATCATGGAAAGCTGCACCAGATGTAGTTGCTGACGATGAAACTTTCTCCACCGCCGGAAGCTCTAGATGCGGCCAGTTCTCCTGATTGTTGTTCAAGTATCGTAAGGAAAAATCCCCCCTCCCCATATTGAAAGCGTATCCGTCTGAAAATTTGTGATGCGCATTTGTGACCTCAAATCCTGTCTGTCTTGCAAGAGGGCAAGTCTAGAGAGCGCCCCGCATTTTGCAGGCGGTTTGTGATGCTGTTGGGCTTAGAGCATACACGTTTGCCATGCTAGGCGCCTACGGCAAAACCTCTCGGCTGAGGCTTGACATATGCCGGCAGTCCTCTACTGCAAGACAAATCTAATTTGTGTACGGAAATCCAGCATCAGAAACTTCGTTTCGATATGGGGAGGGGGGATTTTTCCTCACGATATCAAGGCGGTGTTCTTTTCATCATCTACCTTTGCGTTTGCAGCCCGAGTTGGTATAATTCTGTTCTTGCTACTCGTAGTTCTTTCACTGACGCCGCTATCTTCGTCGTGGTCTTGATCTTCCTCTCCTACTTTTTGAACAGCCGGACGAATAATTTTACTGGGCGTTTTCAACAGTTCTGTCTGATGTAGGTGTTCTCCCTGCGAGGACGTAGTAGCTGTGGCTTCTGCCCTGTTCTTCTGCACACTATCTAGTACTTGCCCAACTTCCGGCTCAGCACCTCCATCTGCGGCTTTTTCTTCCTCGTCCAGCTTTATCCTGAGGAAAAACGTACTCACACCAGAGTCAGGATGGGGTTTTGCAACACAAACCTAGGAAGTTTGTGAGTCACGCATGACAAGTTGCACGATGCAGCGTAGTGCAGGTTAGCAAGTGCAGCCGCGTCACAGATTCATCTGCTCATCCTGTTCACAGCATCACAAATTCCAAAACAAGATTGGAAATGGCTCTCATGGGGATGTGCATTACAAGTCTTCTTTTCTTTGCAAATCTGCATTACAACTCTGGTGTGGGTACGTTTTTGCTCAGGATAAGCTTTTTACGCTCCTCTTCCTGTCGCTGTTTTTCTTCCTTCTTATCCGCTGCAAAAGCATCGCACTCGTATAAATGCATTACAAATTTCGATTTTCTCAGCATGAGAAATAAAATTTGTAATACTGATTTACCTTAAGAAGAAGATTTGTGATGCATGTCTGCAATACGAGTACGATACTTTTGCAATGCATACTTCTTCTTCTGAAACAAAACGAGCTTGTTGTAGTTTCTCCCCGCCATATTGGCGAACGTGGAAAGCTATGAACTGCAAATATGCCTGGGTCTGGAAGGATGCAACTTGTGATGCTGGATTTGGATTCCACAATAAATCTGTATTGCATACATAGCAAAAGAGGTCCAGTCTTTGCCCTGGCGAGAGGGCAATTCTGATGCGGTATACGCAACATCAAGAAGCCCTCATAAAATCTGTGATGCTAGGGCATGCATCACAGACATTAGGAGTCATGCAAAATGTGCATGGCAAACATATTGGTATTGCATCCATCCAGACCTAGACATATTTGCATTTGATAAAAACATCGGACCGTTGCGACGCTCGAGCTCCTTCTTCACATCTTCGGGCGGGGGGCCGGACGGCACGTCTTTGTTCGCCCCACCACCTCGCCGCTTTTTTGACATCCAGTATTCTGAGTAAAAACGTCCCCACCCCAGAGTTGTCGTGCAAATCTGCACGCCAAGAAAGTTTCTCATGCGACGCCCCATGAGACTGAGAGCCATTTTCTAACCGTGTCTTGGAATTTGTGATGCTAAATTAGCATGATATGCTAGATCTGTGATGCTCCGGAACTAGCTCAACAGGATTACACTACGAGGACAAACTTGTCATGCGAAGCAGCCACAGCTGGTGGATTTGTCTAGCAGATTTTCCATCTTGACTCTGGTGTGGGGACATTTTCCCTCACAATATCCAGTACTGCTTCTTCAATTCAGCAGTGTGTTTACTTTCGCCCCCGTTGGCCGCATCATCATCGTCGTCGTCTTCTTTCACTGCCGGGTCGTTTTCTGGCGACGGATCATTCCCCTCGTCCTCGTCAAGCCCGGCCGCCCGCGAATCATATTGCGAGGAAAACCCCCCCTTCCCCGTATTGGAAAGCACATTTGTGATGCTGGATTTGCGTACACAAGTCGACTTGTATTGCTAAAAGGCCAACCGACGCAATTGCGACCTGAATTGCAGGATATTTGTCATGCTGTTTCCCACTTCCACTCGCCTCCTGTCATGCGGAAGATGCAAGGCTTTCCCACGCCAGCCAGCACTACAGCCCGCATCTTTTGCCTTCTAGCATGACAACATGATTTGTGGTAGCAAATCATGCTACACAAATCTCCGTCTTAGTTGGGGGGGGGTTCCTTTTGATACAGCAGCTTCCATCCCTTGGAGATACCTGGCGTCGGCCGAGTATCCTGAGGAAAAACGTACCCACACCAGAGTCAAGATGGGGAATCGGCTAGACAAATCCACAAGCTTTGGCCGTTTTGCATGACAAATTTGGATTCGTAGTGTAGTGCTGTTTGAGCTAGCTCAGCAGCATCACAGATCTAGCATAAGATGCTGATTGGAGCATGACAAATTCCAAAAGGCGGGTAGAAAATGCTTCTAATTGGGCTGCGCATGAGAAACATTTTCAGCATGCAGATTTGCATTACAACTCTGGTGTGGGTACGTTTTTACTCAGGATACCGAGGACAGCTTCGTCATGGCGGTGTCTGCTGCCTCTTGCTGCAGCAAAGATAGTATGCATTGCAAAAGTATCGCGCCACTAGTAGTAATTGCATTACAAATTTGCTTAGCATTACAAAAAAAATTTGTAATGCTGTTTTACTTTAGGGAGGAGATTTGTCATGCATAGCAGCAATTACCACCACCAGTACGATACTTTTGCAGAGCATAGCCAGGTCTCCTTCCCGCGACGTGCGCGTCTCGTCCCAGTCCATGTCATCGTCGCCAGACGTTGCGTATGCATTGCAAAAGTTAGGCACGTAGTAGAAACTGCAATACAAATTTTCTCAGAAAATTTGTAACTTGTCATGCAGATCCAGGATAGCAAGCAAATCTGTCATGCTCATGTTGCATAGAGGCAGTTGCAATTTCTAGTACTACCGCAAAAATACAACTTCTTTTGCAATACATACTTCGGCGCCGTCATTTCTTACCTTGCGGTTTTTGCTGAGCCAGTAGTACTTCTCGTCAGAGGAAGACTCGTCACTGACGACTTTGTGCATGTGCTTCTCAAACTTCGACTGCAGGTCTTCCTGTACAATTCCCTGGCTCGCTATCCTGAGTAAAAACGTCCGCCCCATCCCATAGTTGTCATGCAGATTTGCGATTACAGGAAGATTTGTAGTGCGCATCTCCATGAGAGGCGTTTCCAGTGGCGTTTTGGAACAATTTCTATATGCTGTAAACGGGATGAGCAGATGGATTTGTGATGCGGCTGCACTTGCTAAACTGAACTACACTACGGACTGGAATTTGTCATGCGTTGCTCCCAAAGCTTTTGGGTTTGTGTTGCTAAGTTCCCAGCTTGACTATGGGGTGGAGACGTTTTTACATATGGTACTCGCCAGCTGGTCCTTTTCTACTTCCAGAAACGCGACCTTCTGGCCCGGTTTGTTCTGTCCTGTCAGGTTGGAGTATCCTGTGTAAAAACGTCCCCACCCCATAGTCAAGATGGGGAATCGGCTAGACAAATCCACAAGTCTTGGCTGCCGTGCATGACAAATTTTGGCTCGTAGCGTAGTGCTGTTTGAGCTAGTTCAGCAGCATCACAGATCTAGTATATCATGCTGATTGGAGCATGACAAATTGCGAAACACGACTAGAAAACGCCTCTCATGGGGCTCCGCATGAGAAACATTTTCAGCATGCAGATTTGCATTACAACTAATGGGGTGGGGACGTTTTTAAATACGATATGGAGTGCTGTTTGTTCATCTCTGCGTCTTGTTTCTTGTCGTCGCGTTCAAGTTCATCCGTGTGTTTGTGTTTTTGATTCGACGATGTCGATGTGTGTTTTGCCTTCTCCACCCGGCTCTTGCCGTGACCATTGCGCTTCTTCCCGTGGTGCTGGTGCCCGAGTCTCTCGATCGTCTGTCCTGCTCCTTCTCCCGAATTGTCGTCTTCCCCGTTTATAACCCGCTCAGGTGCTACAATCTCAAACGTTACATATAGAATATGGAAATCTGTGTTGCAGGAGTGCATGATCTAGCAAACTGTTATGGGATTGCGCATGACAAGTTCCGGAGCCTCAAACCCCACTACAATCTGGCGAAATTTGTATTACAGAAAGTGGAACGCTCTGCGAGTCTGTCATGCTCATCACGCAAGACAAATCTCAGATTGTATTGTATCGTTTGAGATTGTAACGCCTGAGCGGGTTATACCGTTGTCTCTGGTTTTTTCCGCCGCGAGGTTGTCATGGAGAAAGATTTTCCGCATCTCTTCGAACCCCAATACCCGCATGCCGTTTTCCGTGTAGGTGTTTTGTATCACGAGAAAAAAGTGCTACAGTTACACAGTCTAATGGAAGACAAGCAAGACAGACAACCTCTGTCCTGCAGGAAATGCTTGCCAGCCTCATTTCATTCGTGTTTTCCCTCATAGTCTGCGCATCACAGGTTTTCTCCGTCACACAGGGAAAACTTGTGATGCTGAAATTCCAACAAATGTGTAACTGTATTAACACTTTTTTCCTGTGATATTTTGCGCCTTGTGTTTGCTCGCTTCCTTGTCGATGTCGGCAATTTCTTTTTCCAAGCTGGAAATGACCCGGTTCCTGGTCGTTTGCAGCAAACTCACCGCCGTGGCCGGGTCTTGCGGCTTATCAAGTGCAAAATTTATTGTCTGGGTCTGGAAGAATGCAAGTTTGTCATGCTTGTCTGGCATGACTCGAGAATCTGTGTTGCATAGGCACGAAAGGGCCCGCTTACCTGTCATGCAAAAACGCAGTTTGCCATGCGGAATACGTAAGACATGGGAGCCAAAAAATTTGTCATGCGTAGCTGCGTATTGCAGTGTGCCTACCGTCTACCATTCACTTTTACTAGCATTACAAGTTTCCAGACCCAGACATATTTGCAAGCCATACGGCTTCATGGCCGCTTCTTGTTCCTCCAATGTCATCTCTTCTTCCAGCAGCGCTTCCGGCGCAAACTTCAGCTCGGTCTGTATCGTCAGTAAAACCGTCCCCACACCAGAGTCAAGATGCTGATGCAAAACCTGCTATACAAATCCACCAGCTTTGGTTGTTTCGCATGACAAGTTTTTCTTCGTAGTGTAATCCTGTTTCGCTAGTTCAGAAGTAGCATCACAGATCCAGCATATCATTTCATGCTGCAGCTGATTCTAGCATCACAAATTCCCGAATACGAATAGACAATGCTTCTCATGGGGCTCCACATGACAAATTGCTTTTGGCATGCAGATTTGCGTGACAACTCTGGGGAGGTGGGGACGTTTTTACACAGCATAGTCTGCGCCGCCGCCGCGGCTTTCTCCTTCCGGATCTTCTGCAATTCTCGTTTCGCTTCAGCTCGCTCCGCCTCGGCCTTCTTTGCTGCAGCTTGATGTTCGGCTTTCATTTGTATTGCTGACTTCATCTGGACGGATGTTTTAGAAGTTTTTGCTTTTTCAACATCCATCTTCGTGAGTTTACTCGCTGCAACACGACCTGCGGTAGTTGATGCCTTTTTCACGACAGAAGCGTCTGCTTTCTTCCCGGCGATTTTCGCGGCGAGGGTATTTTTGGGTGTGAAGGAAGAGGAAAGCAGTGCGCAGGTTGTGAGGAGCTTCGTTGGGAAGAAGAGCTGTTTTCGTCTTCTTCCCCGCGACGAGTCCGTGATGTCGTGCCATATTCGGGTCGTCGAGCCAGTTGATGGTATGCGCGAGTCCCTCTCATCTGGCGGCCCTTTCAAAGATGAGCCCGATTGGTATGGACGGCGAAATTGGTGGGCCACAAGAAACAGTTTGTCAACGACCGAATTTAGGTTTCTCTATACATAGTTTCCTGCTCCGCAGCCATCCCGGGCTGGTGCTGGCAATCAATGCATTTTAATCTCGAAGCGTTGAAAAACCCGATATGCACTGTTTGCACTACCACGACCAATTGTGCCGCGTCATACGCTGCAAGACGAGAGCAGCGTAGCCGTTGTCATCCTCCCAGGACGAGAGCACTCGTCCGTAATGCGATTGGGTATGGAACAAGGACAAACCAATGGCTGATCGATGTCCTGTCAGCGTGTTCCCCAACACCACACTCAAGTTAAATAGTCTTCACGCATCTTTACTTTTGTCATCGTCGCGCTTCTTACAAGTGCAAGTCTGGATAAGAGCAGTTAATCATGAAATCGAAATCCAGACCCAGGAGGAAAATCTCGCATGACAAACGCCGGAAAACCTCTTAGAGGTGGGCCGATCCCCTGTTGTAGCAGGTAAGCGGTTGTCGTGGTGTATCTCTCTCAACTTCTTGACCCGCTGCAGTTTTTTCTTCTCATCCGACAATGAGTGACATGTTGAACGCCGACCGGCGCCGGCCTGTCCATTATTCAGGCCGCTTCTCACTCATCATTCTCTCATAGGCACGGAGGTGCCCCCTCGTTCCTTTTTTACGGCAAACATACACACTAGCAGAAAAAAAAAGGAGACTCACACGACCAGCAGTTTTTTCAACACGCATGACGCGTTTTGAATAAACCACAATGGCTGATCCTGAACATTTTCGCGATCGATGCCTGCCATTGTCACGCGTCAGAAAGACACATACACGAGGGGGGCGACGAGTAGATACGCGGCGCCCTTGATGGGGGTGCAACCCCTTCTCCAATTTGAAGTTGGAGCGAAGCCAGCCCGCCAGAAGGTGCGCTGGCAAAGAATCTACAGGCTACGGCCTCACGAGCATGCAAATAGGCTCGGAAGGCTGCGCGACAGATAGCAGGACTGCTGGGGCGCCATCGGTCAATAAAATAGATACGCACCACACTCACGCGGGCCCGGGCCGGGCGGGCGCGCCACAATCAGCAAGCGGAAATACCATGCCCGGGGCCACACAGGGGCGGGCCGTTTTGGGGGCGGCCGCCGTCCGAACGCAGCCAAAAGTCAGCCGGCGGCCTTGCAGGCGCCCCCCGAAAACGGGGCCGCGGGCTGAGATTAACGCCAACCCTGCGCGCGCGGGCGCATGGCTTCGGCGGGCGCGCCCCCCCGCGTTGTTTCAAGGTGGCGGGGCGGGGACTTTCGGGGGCCTGCGCAATGCGCGCCGGCCGGCGGTGCCGGTGCGGGGAGGGGGCGGGCCGTGGCGAGTCTGTTGCAGTTGGTTTTCCGCCCGCTTTTTCGTGCGGGGCCCCGCCGCCACGTGATCGGATCTCGGGTGTCTATTGTCGCGCGGTTCCCCGCCTGCATTCTCCGGCGGCGCAGGTGTTTCGTGTTCTGACTCTTTCAGAACGCCGCGCGCCCACGCAATTCTGCCCGACCCGAATTGTCCGCGCACACGTAGCCCAGACTGACAGGGCCAACAGAACGGAGAGAGAGGCTGGCGGCGAGATATCTCGAAGCTGCAGACATTCTCCGCTCCAACTCTAAAAATGTTGCGCAGGAAGATGGAGAGAAATATCTCGGAAGAAAGCTTCATATGCTGGCACGTTCCAGACATCTCGCTCCCGCTCGTTGGCTTTTGAAACAAGCACTTTTAGACACGCCATACCAGTCTCACAGCACACTCGTTTTTCTTTTTTCACTATTGTTTTTAAGCTTCTTAATGTGCCATCCGTCGTCGTGGTCGTGCCAGCCGCCTCTCACTCTCAGTCTGCCCTTCGACAGAAAAACCACGAACATCGCAAAAGCGATGGATGCTCTTTTTTCTGTGTCACCCGCATCAAAAAGAATAGGCAGTTTCGCTATCTGTGTAAGCCTGGACCGCAGTTGCACTTTTGTCTTCACATTGTTCACGCCCGGCTTCCGATTCCGACATTACCTAACATCTTCTTCCCGTTCGCGTCATCAAAAGCAGCATCTTCAATCAAAGTCGCAACTTCATTCTGACACGACGGACTCCATCACACGCCATTCTTCATCACCACGACAAATCTTCTTCTTCACCACCCACCATCATCCAAACCTCCACTCCCAGTCCATGATGGATCCACACCGCAGAGAAGTAGAAGTAGATCTTCGATCATCATTTAGGGCAGATGCCTAACGTAAGTACTGAATGTTCTTGATAGCAGTAGTTGCTAATGCTGGCGCGGCAGTTGAAGCTTTTGTCGTCAAACAGGCGAATCTTCGGAAGGTCCTCGCGCAGGAGCGTGGTGTGTGGTACCAAACGAGCCGGAACATCAGATGAAGGCAACATCAGTCGGAGGATTTTTATCGTTGGCAACAAGAACAACTCGCGTGATTTGTGGTTAATCTCGTGTCCTCTCCGGCGCGGCCTGCTCGTCTCACCCTTTCACTTTCTCCCGCCCTCTTCATTTTGTCATTAGATTTGATGCTGTGGCACAACAACTAGTACTTACTCACGCCCAAAACCCCCGACTGCAGGTTCGTCGTTGAGTTGCAACAAGTAGTTGTAGAAAGGACGGCTCAGTCGCAGTTACTTACCCTTTCTTCCTTCTCGGATCGAACCCGTCTAGATGCTCCGCCTTTTCCTTCATGACATTCGCACTCGCCTTGGCCTTCACCTCCGCAGCTTTTCTGTCCTCCAATTCCCGTAATTTCTTTTCCCGTTCTGCTTTCTCTTCGTACACTTTCCGCTCCGCCGCCCGGACACGGGCTGCTTCGTAGAACGACCGGACCATCTTCGCGAGGTTTGCGGTGGAGAGCGAGACGAGCTCCACATCGTCCCGGATTTCTCGCATATCGTTGGCCAGAATGTGGAAAATGCGGTCTAGTTTGATCACCTTGGGCTCCAGGACCTTGATAAAGTTGGGGTTTGAGGAGTTTGCCATGCGCTACACAATGTTGAAGTTGAACATCACGGCATCAATAAAACTAACACCATATTTGTCATGCAAGGTGACAACATCTATCAATCATGCATATATCAAAAACTTCTCACTCATACTTACCTCGTCCACGAAGCTCTTGCAGGCTTCCAGCCTCTTCTGCGCGTCCATTACGTCCTTTGTTCTCGCGTTATGCACTGCAAATGTGTCTGGGTCTGGAAGGATGCAACCAAGGTTTGTGTTTGTCGTGCTTGTCTGGCATGACTGAAATGTCTGTGATGCGTGTCCAAGAAGACACCCTTTATTTGCATGTCATGCAAAAAGAACGCAGTTTGTCATGCATAAAGCGCAACACTAAGCCCCCCAGCAAGTATTTCTATTTCTCAACATGCTTGGCTGTGCATTACAGTGCAATCACTAATTCACAACTCAGCATTACAAGTTTCTAGACCCAGACATATTTGCAATGCCTACGCGTCACCTTTCAAAGACCGAATTCCGCTGGTGAACTTATTCTGTGCAAAAGTATCGCACTCGTTCGTAGTAATTGCAAACATCGTTCGTCCGTTCGTATGGATCGGCTCTGCCGACCGGGTGACCCGTCGCCTTGCATATAAATGACCGACATAGGCGATCCCCGTTACGGGACATACATATTGGCCGTACGGAAGGGCCCTAGGCGCTACATACATAGTTCATCCTAGCGCCTACCACTTCGGTCGGGACTAAGTCAGCCTGGTCCTGGGGGTTCACAGCGCACTAGCCATCTGCTAGCATAAACAGACTGGGTTTTGCAAACTGTAACTGATCTAACATCTCAGAACAGTGAGGCCATCATAAAGGTGCGCTAAAACGAGTTCGGGGCGCTCCATACGGAAGGGAGCCTTTCGACGCGGCGCGCACTCTCCTGTAGAGTTTTACGCGGAACACGGATGGGCCGCGCACGCAACTCAGTCGAGGAGGACACGCGCTCCCTCAATAACAGAGGTGGTAGTCACTCGCGGCGGCTGGCCTGTCTGAAAACGGTAATCCCCACCTCCCATCTTCCCGGTTCGTCAATGACTCTGGCAAGCCATGTTACTTAGACTCCCCGCGCATGCAAATATGGGACGGCGGGGGGGTTTTAAAAAGAGCGCTCGCCGTCCTTGATCTACTATAAAAGAAAAAGCCCTATAATTTCGGCGAGGCTGTTTAATTATTCGCTAGCTGATGGCCTCCTGTATAGTAATGGCCTCCCTTTTCTCCTCCTTTCCCCTTTCTCAATTTCACTCGCCTGCATCCTCCTGCTAATTTAACTCGCCTCCCCATTTATCTCGCTGAAAACTCCGTCCTCAATTTCACTCGCCTGCCAATTTAACCCGCGACGCCAGCGGCTTTACTTCGGCGCATGGTGTGAAATCTTCGCGGCTTCTCTTCTCAGCTCCTCGACCTCTGCGCAGCGTTTTGCTCTGTTACCTTCGTTTTTTTTTTTTTTTTTGGATCCGCGCCGCTCTTGTTTCTCTGAGTGCGGTCGATCTTCTTGGCCTATCGTCGCCGCCTGTTTCAAAGTTTGGACATTTTGAAACGCGCCCCGCGATTCGCCTGAAGCTTCTCGGGGTGATCTTGGCCCTGTCGCGTTCATTGGCAACTTAAGGGATCCCCTGGAGATCCTTAATCTGACTGCGCTGAAACGATCTTAGAAGTATGAGGGCAGGATCTTAAGGCGAACGCGCCGGGTCATATTTTCCGGCAGTCCTCGAGCCTGCCGGGCCTCTTTTTTTTTTTTTTTCTCAAACGGGCGATAGTGTTTTCGTTTTTTTTTCTATGATTTCGATGCTGTGCGTTTTTCAAAAATCTCTGGAGTGCATTTCTTTGCCGGATTTTGCCCCTAACGCTTTTGGGCCGAAAAATCCACTTTTTTCCTGAAATTTTTTAAAATTTCCGAGAAGGGTAGCGGGGTGGCTCTTGGGCCGGGGGCGGGTTGGGGCCCGTCCTGCAGGCTGCACAAGAAGGCTGGCGGGATTTGGGTCGCTGCCTTCGGTGCTTCGCAATGGGATGAAGCAAAACACAAAGGCGCCACGCCACACGGGCTCGGTATGCCTCAGGAGCGCGCGGGAGGCGGCGCGCAGGCATGATGGACGTGGCTGCTCGACAACGCGGGCGCTCGGATGCGTTCGAATTGAAGTGCAGAATTTCCTTTGCGTGTGGCCAAGAAAAATTTTAAAAAAATTTCGATTTGCCCAAAAAAAATTTGAATTTGGCCGGATAAAATTTCAAGAGGTGCGAAAAATGGCCAAAAAAAATTTCGGAAAATCGGCCACATTAGCAAAATCCCATTGGTTTTTGCAAATTGGCCACTTTCTAGAATTTTTTTCAAATTTTTTTTGCGCGCCTCTTGATTTTTCCCGGATTTTTTTCAAATTTTTTCTGCGATTTTTCCTTGCCAAACCCAAAGAGAAATCTTCTACGGCGGCAATGCGCCACAAGGGCGCCTCTGCTCCCCGACAGAAGAAGGCGCAACCCCACACGGATTTGCCACTCTGGGTTCTCATCGCCAGCAGTGGAGGCCAAGAGATGTGGACCACCCAAGCGGGCAAGTATGCGACACCTGCGCCCGGCCCTCCTCTGACAAACAGGGGCGAGAACAGACTCGGGAAATGCCTCACATAGGCCAGACCGTCGGGGAAGCAAAAAAATTCAAAAAATTTTTTTTGGCTTTTTTTTGGATTTTGTTTTTGCGCTATGTGGATTCTCCGAAACTTTTTGCGTTAGGGTGGAAATCCTGCGAACATTTCTCAGACTTTTCAGTCGCTCGGCCTGGTGTCCGATTTTCGGTCCGTCACTATGTCACTTCAATCATAGGGATCTTGCGTCGCCTGAAGTCGTCCCCCCGCTCCCCCTCCTGTGCTGTCTTGCAGCGATCTCCGAATAATCCGCTGCATTGTCTGCGCCAGCGTTTCCCCCTCTCCCGCCGTTTTTTGTTTACTATTTTCTTGCTCTTTACTCTTTTGCCTTTTTCTTGCTATTGTGCCACCATCCTCCGCCTCTCTTTCTTTGATCCCTTTTCTCCCCCCTCCGGGCTGTTCCTCCTCCTTGCATTTTCACTGTTCCTCTCTCTTCCTCTTTGTCCTGTAGAGCTACTTGCTCCGCGGCCTTGAGTCGCCTCTGCCTCTTTTGAGTATCTTCGATGCCCTCCGTTCGAAAACTCTAAGGAGTACGGTGCTCGCGATGTCAGCGGGTCCACTTCTGCGCGTGCTTCTTCGGCCGGCCCTCTTTCCGTCTTGCTTTCCTTTTTTCTTATTTCCTCTTGCTTCTTTGGCTTCCGTTGAGCCGTCGGCTTGTCATTTCCTCCCGTACTTCTTACCTCTTTGCCGGTGCTACTCCGCGTTATCCCCATGCTTATGCCCTTGCTTTCTAGCGACGCCCTTGCTTTTGGCTGCACTGCTGAGAATCTGCCACCTTGTGCCTCTTTATCGCGCCGCCCCTTTTGCTTTTCATTTATCCTCTGGGCGGCCTCCTTCTCTCCTTTTCCCCCTTTAATTTCATTCAGTGCGGGTCTCTGCTGTTTTGCTGGATCGCTTTCCCCTACGGTCAGCCTCTGCTCTGTTCTTTTCTCCTTCGACCCTTCCGCTGTATTTTGGTTGCTTTGCATTGCCGCATTACCTATGTCTCTCCCTTCCTCCTCGTCTGCTTGATTTTCTGCACCTGTCCCCTCTTTTTCCCAGATGTAGCTCCGGAGCTCCTCTGGTAGTAGCCGCCTTCCTTTCTTTCTATTATCGAGAGCGATAGCGACTGCGCCACTGTTCCCCCTCTGTCGTCCCCTCTGCGCCACTGTTTTCCCTCGCGTCCCTTCTGTCTTGCTCGCTCTCTTCTTTCTCCCTTATCATTCGCTCGGCATTCTCCCGTAGTTTATCCATGACGTCATCGCCTGCCTTCTTTACTTTCATTCGCTCCACTAGATGCGCCACCTCTTCACTTTCCTGCTCATCTTTCCACTCTTTGAGTATTCCTCTGATGTCGCTACTCGCTCCCATGTCTTCGGGTTCGTCTATTTTTGTAAGCTCTTCCGGGCATAGGGCTCCTGTTATAAAATCTTGCCGGTCAGTCTTTGTCATCTCTGGCGAAGCTTCTACGTCCGGCAACTCTAGCACTCCTTCTCCGAAGTCATATATCGGCCATATAAGCGATTTTTTATCCATTTCCGACACATCAACGGCCTTGAGAGTCTTACAGGTTACTATGTCTACGCCTTCTTCCACCTTCCTCTCTTCTTCCTTCACCTCGAGACTTCCCTTATCGATACATATTCCCGCCGTGCCTCGGTGGCCCTGAAATCGTAAGCGTCTCTGAGCTTCCTTCTTCTCTATTCCGCAGCTCTTTTCTAGCCTTTCCTCTATTTGTTGGTGTAGTTCTTCTATCTTCTCCGTCAGCTCTAGGCATATCCCGTTCTCCGCTCGCAGTTGCCCAGCCGTGGCATTTCTCAGAGCGTCGTAGTCCACCAGCTTCACCACTATCCCCTCCGCTTCTTCTTTTTGCAGATCCTCCAATATGCTCAGCGTATTACTTACGTACGCGAGGAATCTTTGCTCCTGCTCTCTTTCTTCGATTTCAAGACGCTTCTGCTCTGTTTTGATTTGTATACTCTTCACATCCACGAGGTTCTTTGCTTCGTAGTTCCTAATGGTCCCCATACTATTTTCCCGCGTGTCACTATCGTCAGCCCTAGCTCCTCCGCTGCAATTACTTTCGTCACTTCTTCATCCTTTGGCCAGATTTTCTCGAACGTTCTAGAGTTATCCTGTGCTATCCCTGTCGCTCTTAGGTCTGACGCCGCTGGCATTCTTATACTTGTCCCCTTTTTCATGGCTTCAAGCAATGCGACATCCGCTCTGTTTCTCTTCTCCATCATCTCCCTGATTCCTTTTGTTATGCCCTGTTCTCCTTCTCCCAATATTCGCACCGGTAACGTCGCCCATTTCATAAATAGACCGATATCCGTTAGCATGTTCTTCTGCGCCAGTGATCGCAGTGTCTTGATGCCCATCAAGATAGAATGGGTCTACTGCGGCCAGTATATTACACGAGTAAACTACCCGGCAAAGCGTCTCCGGCGTTGTGCCCGTGATCTCCATTAGCTTCCGCGTCGTTTTCTCTGTAAATCCCATTGCTTCCGCTATGACCACTGCCAGCTCTCCCATCAGCTCTGCCCAATCTTTGTCCGTGAAGAACATCTGCACTACAGGGAGGAAGTAGATCATCGCCGACGTAAAGAATACTTGTGTGACCCATTTTAATTCTTCGCCGCTGATCTTCCGCCTTGCCTTCATCACCTGTAGCGATAAGTGCTGCCCTATGCCTATGCTTTGCCTTACTTGTCCTTTTATTAGTCTTCTCCGCTGCTCCGTCCCTAGCGTTGTTATTGTCGCTCCAAGTATCTTTATCGTCTTCTTCTCGCTGAATCTTATTCCGAACGGCCTAAATGCTTGCTGCACCTCTTTCCTTCTTCGCTCTTCTTTGTCTGATGATGTAAGTTCGCACTTCTGAGGTGCCAAGAATTGCCCTTCGCGAGTATACATCACTTCGCACGCTATTGCTATCTCTTCCAATATTTTTAATACTTTTTCGTGGTCTTCTTCATGGTATGTGAGTGCCAACGTGCCATCATCTACGAACTGCACTGCTAGCGTCTGCGGGTGTTTCTTTTCTCTTTCCACCTCGTTCAGCTCCCCTATCCATTCACGTTTTTTCTTATTCCTTCTATTCCTTTTCAGTACTCTTTTCTTTCTCCTCCCTGTTCTGGCTGGTTTGTTCCTCTGATATATCTCGTCCGTCTCGCCTTCTATTACGTACGGCGGAAATGACGTATCCGCCCCGTCCTCTTTAGTCATCCCAAAACTGTCCTGAATTTTTTCCCTTAAACTCGTCTTCGCTTGCTTTAGTTCTTTTTCTCCCTTTACTCTTCCTCCTTCATCAAATACCCCCTCTACGTATTCTCGCACCGCCTCCACTCCTGGCATGAAAACCAACGTGCCTGCTAACATGCACTCTACTGAGCCCTGAGTTAAGTCGTGGCGGTTTTTTGCTTTCGCGTACGTATCCCCGTTGCGTAACCAAACTTCCTTATTCCAGTTCATCGCTGCGACCAATTTCAGATAGCACGGGTGCACCCCGCTCCGCCTATAAGCCCTTAGCGCCGTAGCAAGCGTTAGATTATTGTAGAAATTCGACGCATCAAGCCCGATTATTATACTAATCCACTTGCTTGCTTCTTCTGCTTCCTTCCTTTTTTTTCTTCTTCCTCCTCCTGTCGTCTTTTAGCCTCTTTCTTTTGTTCTGTATCCGGCTCGGTTATCGGGGAGGCACCTTCTTCCTCCTCTTACATGCATTACAAATCTTGTTCTTAAGGTAAATCCGCATTACAAATTTTCTTTCTCATGCTGAGGGAATTTGTAATGCATTCATACGAGTACGATACTTTTGCAATGCATAGAACTCGAAGACGGTCAATTTCCCGTCGCCGTCATCCAGAATTCCCCAGGTTTCTTTCAGATACTCCTATCAACTGCAAAAGTGTCTGGGTCTGGAAGAATGCAATTTGCAATGCTCTCTGTGAATTCTAAAAGTATCTGTGTTGCCTGAGCAGCCAGAGGAGTCAGTTCTTGGCACGAGGAGAGGGCATTTCTCATGCGTAATTAGCATCAAGAAGCTCTCAAAAAATCTGTGATGCTAGCACCAGCATCACAGACCTCACGGGTGATGCAGAATGTGCATGACAGTCCCCGACTCTTCCAGACCCAGACATTTTTGCGTTTGATAACTCCGGCGCCATGTCTAAATCAGACAATCTATCCAGGAGAAAAAGCCCATCCGTCCCCATCCAGCATTTTCTGCATGACAAACACCGGATTTTATGCATGATTTGCATGATGAATTGGATGTTGGGGATGGGTCTCTTTTCGTGGATACAATCTGTCTCTAATGTACTCGTTGTAGTTATGGAAGCGTCAGGTTTGAAATCGACAAAGTTGAAATAACTTGTAATGTATAAAATCGATACCAGTTGGAAATGGAAGCCCAATTTCCAAGCGGTGCATGACAAATTTCGGCGCCGCCCAAATCCAGTTTGTCTTGCTGTTTAGGGACAGAAGGCGCGTTTTGTCATGCTACATTAGCAGCTCTACCGCAGACCCCAAACAGGCTGACAGTCGGCCTCACTTGCCGCCCCTGCAAGAGAGGCACTTCATGCCTTGCAATTTATGCATGAGAAATTATTTCAACTTTGACGATTTCAATCCTGACGCTTCCATAGTAGTCCAACGCGGCGTAGAACTCCCGCCTCGTCTATCCAGGAAAAACTAAAGACCCATCCCCTTCCCCATCCATTTTCTGCATGACAAACACAGCACTTTTTGCATGTTTTGCATGACAAATCGGGTGGGGCTCATGGGTGTAGTTTTTTCCTGGATCATATCGTCAAATCGCCGGACCTGTCGACGTCGATGTCCAAAATATCCTGTGCAAAACTATCGTACTCGTATAAATGCTGGTCTTGCATTACAAATTTCTTATTCTTTGTGAAGGCAAATCAGCATTAGAAATTTTATTTCTCATGCTGAGAAAATTTGTAATGCATTTATACGAGTACGATACTTTTGCAGTTCATACAAAAACATCTCCGTCAAAATCATCAGTTCCCTTTCCTTCTGTTCCTGCATCTGCCGGGCCATCACCTCCTCATCCTGTTTGGACAGTTGAATATGCAATACAAATTTCCCGCACATGTACAAGGTGCATCACAACTTTCATCCTCGCTTTGGAGTGTACTAAAACTTGTCACATGCTAAACTAGGATCGAAGCCAAGTTTTGCCATGCACAGACCGCACTTGTACTAGTGTACCGTACGGGAAAATTGCTGTGGATATTGAAATGTCTTCTGCACCACCATCGCCTATCCAAGAAAAAAAGTGTGTAAGTGTAACTTTCTTTGAGAAACAGCATAACAAATGACAGAGAAAACCTGTTATGCGTGACTTGTAAGGGGAAACACACGTGAAAAGAGGACTTCATGGCTGTCTGGCATGACAGGCGCAACTCTGTTGCATGTTCTGCAACACAAATTTACACTTACACAGTTTTTTTCTTGCATATCGCCATAATGGTGTTCAACACGACCATGTTTGCGATCACGACAAACAGGGCGAAAAACAACCGCAAGCTATGCACTGCAAATATGTCTGGGTCTGGAAGAATGCAAAGTAAAAGTTCTTTGTCATGCTCGGCCAGCATGACTCTCAAGTCTGTCATGCACGTTAGCCAAACATCCCAGTTTTCTGTGATGCAGAAATGCAGTTTTCCATGCAGAACAGGCAACACCTAGCAGCTCAAAAATTTGTCATGCGTGGCCACCAATTGAGACGTCCTCAACATTGTCCAGCCCGCATCACAAGTTTCCAGACCCAAACATATTTGCAATGCATACATGTAGAAGATCTGCCAATCGGAGTCGCCGCCGTTTGGCTATCCCACGAAAAAAGTGCTACAGTTCCAAGTTTGTAATCAATTCAGCAACACAAAGTTCTCTGCATGAGAGAGAAAACTTGTAATGCAGAAATCCTAAGGGAAAACACCTATGGAACGAGGCTCCTATGCATATCCGGCATGACAGAGCTTGTCTGTCTTGCTTCACCACCTGCAACACAATGTGTAACTGTAACACTTTTTTCTTGCGATAGTGGCCGCAACCGAACTAATAGCTCCCCGTCGATGGAGAGCATGTTTGTCATGTCGATGCCGTACATGTTTCCTGCACCACCACCCCCTGCAGGTGGACTCGCCGTCATGGTGCCCTCTAAAATTGCCGCTTGGATTTGTGTCGGGGACAAAGTGGTACTTGTGACGTTCGGTGGTAAAATCACCGGCGCCATTGTGGTGGTGGTGGTCGTGGTGAAGTCCAGCGAAGACGTGTGCCTATGCAATACAAATTTCCTGTACATGTACAAAATGCATCACAAAAGTCATCAACCTGGAGCTGCCACTTTCCTGCTGAATATTAGAAGTACTTAAAAGAAAGCTCTGTCATGCAGAAAGAGAAATCGCATTTGTACATGTACAGGAAATTTACTGTGGATAGTACCCGCGGAGATCGTACTCGTAGAGAAACACATTCCCCCCCTCGGGCAAAAACCGTTTCGCCAGTTCTTGAAACGTCAACTTCCGCACGATCCCGTCAGAAAACGCGTCTTATGAAAGTGCACAACTCCCCCTCGTCTCCCTGATTTGTCATGCAAAAAACCAAGTCCACTCTTATTTGCCCCTTGGGAATGGTGGCATCGAAGATATTTCTGGTGGCAGCCCAAACACTACTACAATCCGATGAAGAGAATTTGTCATGCAAAAGCTGCACTCTTGCCGGCCCTTCTATTGCGTGTTTATGCAACACAAATCATGAGGGGGAGGGGGTGTAGTTGTGCACGGTCATACGTCTAAGGTGACGACCTGAAACATGGACAGCATGCCGTCCATGACGTCTCCGTATAGTACTTGTTTGTAGTCCACGTCTATGCATTGCAAAAGTATCGTCCTTAGGGGGAATTGCAATACAGATTTGAGCTAAAAGAAAAGTGGAATTCCGAATTTGTCATGCTAATTTTTTTTTTTTTTGAATTTGAATTTGCCATGCTAATTCAAATTTACAATAGCAGGGTTGTCATGCATAAACTGCATAGTACGACTACTAGGACCACGATAGTACTTTTGCAGAGGATACCGTCGTGGTGGGGCTGCTCGAAGCCTTCCTGCTGGAGGAGCTTCACCGCCAACACGCCGAAACAGTAGACGAAGATGATCAGGATGATCAGCGTCCAGGAGGTGACCAGAATCGAGCTCGCAAAACCGTTCACCAACTCCCACATTTCCTTGAACTCCGGGCGCATCCGGACCGCTTTCGCCACGCGGATCACGCGGATGGTACGGAGGGCTGATGTCGTTGCACTTTTGTAAAATTGTTTTTCTTTGAATCAAGTGCGAACACGAACTCACAGCCACTACCACGTACAAAAATGACGATGCTTTCATCTTCATGGTGCCCGAGCTGCCCGTAGCTACAAAGCACATGATAAGAGGCCACCGCCGACCACCACCTACAGCCAGCCAGCCAGCACAAGAAGTTTGACTTTGAATTTGATTCTTCAAGTACTTCTATACCAAAACCATACCTGTGAAAGTCCGCATCCCACTGGGGTCCAGTTCCACTCCAAGTAGTGGCAGGACAAACTGTATCGTACGAAAAAAGTGTTTCACTGTGATGATTTTGCAAGACCTGCATCACAAGTTTGTTACACATGACACTGAAAATCTGCCATGCGCGCTTCCCACGGGAAAACACGCTTGCCAATCCAACGCCTTGCTCGTGTAGCAAGACAAATAGTTCTGTGTTCCATTTTCTCCATCACAAGTTCACAGTGAAACAGTTTTTTCGTTGCATAAACTGCGGCAAAAACCCGCACCCGACGACCAAAAAGGTATCAAATCCGTTAAACGGTTCGAAGATCGAGGTGAAGCCGTAGGCAACAATTCGCAGTGTCCACTCCCCGAAAAATAGAAGCGTGAAGAACTTTTCCATATTGAGAGGGAAAATTCCCCCTCCCCATATCGAAAAGGTATATTTCCGGAAATTTGCGTTGCTGGTTTGTGGCCACAAATCGCATTTGTCTTGCAAGAAGACAATGGCAGAAGCTCCCGCCCCATTATAGCAGCGATTTGTCATGCTGTTGGGCCTAGAGGGCAGCCGTTTGCAGCAATGCTGAGCGACTAGACCCAAACGCCCCGACCTAGGCTGGGGATCTGGCCGCAGTGCCTTTCTGCAATACAAAGCGCATTTGTGTACACAAATCCATCATCAGAAATCCCGTCTCGATATGGGGAGGGAGGATTTTTCCTTACGATATTCCAGCGCGTCAAACATGTCTGCGTTCGCGTACCGATCGAATTGGGAGATCTGCCAGGATAAGAACCCCGCGCTCATATGCCTTGCACAAGTAGTATCGCACTCGTACTAAAAGTAAACTTCTAATCGCAGTACAACAGCCTGCCAGGTCTAGCTCCATACCTAATTCAGCATTGGAATAAACTACTCCGTTTTTTCTTCTGAAAAAATTTGTAATGCGGATTCTACTTCGACTTCGTGCGATCATGCTTATGCTTTTGCAATGCATAGTTCACCAGAATCAGCAACGATCCGCCAAGTTCGAAGTCGAGGGAGGAAACTAATCGGAATACGTCGGGAAATTGGTGGACGTAATCGGATTCTTTCCGTCGCATCCGTATCCACAGTAAATTTCCTGTACATGTACACATGCGGTTTCTGCATGACAAAACTTTCTTTCAATTCCGTTCAGCATGACACACAAGGAAGTGGCATGCTCCAACTTGGTGACATTTGTGATGCATTTTGCACATGTACAGGAGATTTGTATTGCATAATCCGATCCTCTCGGATGTAATCCCGGATGCCGGTTAAACCCGACAACTCCAGCAACGCCTTGATCCATTCCGGCGCATCTATCGCAAGAAAAAAGTGTTACAGTTACACACATAGTCTATGCAAGACCGGCAACACACACAACCTTTCTCATGCAGGAAATGCCTAGGAGCCTCGTTTACTTCCTGTTTTCCCTTATGATCTTCGCAATACAAGTTTTCTCTGTCGCACAGAGAAAATCTGTGATGCAGAAACTCCAACAAATGTGTAACTGTAGCACTTTTTTCTCGTGATAACATCCACGTTGAGCGCACTGGTAGCCAGCGCCTTCGGGTCCTGCATTTCAAACATCCCCCCCTTCGCCATTTGCGACAGCTCCAGCTCACGTTCGAAATCGGCTATCAAATGCAAAAATGTCTGGGTCTGAAAGAATGCATGTTTGTCATGCTTGTCTGGCATGACTCTTAAACCTGTCATGCACGTTACCCAAGAGCTCCACTTTTCTGTGATGCAGGAACGCGGTTTGTCATGCAGAATAGGCAACACCTAGAAGCTCAGAAACTTGTCATGCTGAGCCAGCATTTCTGGCCTCATCATGAGACGCCACCCAGCATCACAAGTTTCCAGACCCAGACATTTTTGCATTTGATATCGGCGGGAAGCACGCCAAACTTCACTGCCGCATGCCGCAAGATATGACCCGCTCAGACGTTACAATCTCAACTGTTACAATGGAAATGGAAACCTGTGATGCAAAAAGTGCATCATCTAGCCAACTCGCATAGGATTGCGCGTGACAAGTTTCGGAGCCCCAAACTCGCACTGAAATCTGGCGAAATCTGTGTTGCGAAAAGGAGCGCAAGGATTTTTATGTTAGTCATGCTGCTCATACAAGGCAAATTCCAGTTTCTATTCTTGGGATTGCAACACCTAAGCAGGTTATACAAGATTCCCACTTCTTCGACATTCCGCCGGAACGCGAGGTTCAAGCTTATGCGGTGCAAAAGTTGTGGTACTATTGGTGGAGGTGCTGGACTCGTTGTACTTTTTACTAATCGCAATCATACAAGAGATAATGATAAATCTCTTTTTCCTCAGGCTAACGCTAAATCAGCATGAGAAATAGATTCCATGTGTCGACATGTTGCTGAGCTAATTTGTAAATGCAATTACGATTACCACTAGCCCGATAGTAGCTTTATTGCAATGGATAAAGTTCTGGGACCGCTGAATCTCGTTCTTGCCTCTTCTCCGGATCCGCCGAATTTCATCTACTTGCTCTTCCAACGTGAAGCCCTCGAGCGTGAAGTGCCGTTGCCGCAGGATTTCGCGCGCGTCCGGTAACACCGTCATCTATGCATTGCAAACATGGCTCCTCGGTCTGGAAAGTTGTCATGCTAATGCCCGAATGATACGCAAACTGTATTGCCGGGCCGCGCATGACCTGTTTCTGAGCGGCTATGTCTAGCGTTAACCGCATGACAAATCGGCTTTTTGCATTGCAAACATATAGAAGCGCTTTAGCGCAGCAAGCATGACATACTTTTCTGCATTATCGACCAAGCATGACAAAGTTGCACTCTTCCAGACCAAGACACATTTGCAGTGGATATCATCCCCCTTTCGTCGATAAACATGGCGTCTTTCAGGAACTTATGCATTGCAAATGTGTCTTGGTCTGGAAGTAAGTAGGATGCAAGGCTTGTCATGCTTGTCTGGCATGACTGAAGAGTTTGTGATGCGTGTCCAAGAAGAAACCCTTTTGCTTGTAATGCAAAACGCAGCTGGCCATGCGGAAAGCGTAAGCGCAGCACTAAGCAGCGCACATAGACATATTTCTCATGCTTGGCTGTGCATTACAGAGAATTCACTGATCACGACTCAGCACTACAAGTTTCCAGACCAAGACATATTTGCATTTGATAGAACTTTTCCTTCTCCATCTTCTTCGCGTTGATTTCCTTGTCGGTCAATATTCATAGAAACTCTACCGCAAGTTGTACACGACATACAATTACAGATGCTGTCTTTGCATGACAAAATTCTCCCCAAGATTGTTCAACAGCGTTACAAGTTTCATTGCTTTGGAGTCGTGGCAGAATTTGTGATGCAGTTTGTATGTCTTGCACGGGCGGGGTAAAAATTTGTATTGCATAGTCAGTCCGAGATTTGCATCCGCCACCATATTCGCCTTCGACGGGAGTTCCGCGCCCGTGAGGCCATGCGACGAGCTGGTCCCCGTGGCGGAGGCAGTATGGGACTCTCAATTGTTACACTCTCAACTGTTACATGAATTTGTAATGCAAGAATGAGAAAAGTGAAAGAGGGAAGGTTGCACCTGTAACATTACAAATTCCGCACAGATTTAGGTGCGGTTTGGCCCATCGGGAATTTGTCATGCGGAGCAGGAGCTTGGTCGTGAGGATGATGATGGTGTTTTTGCATGACAAATTCATGTAGCAATTGAGCATGTAACGTTTGAGAATGCCGTAGGCGGTTAAAGTGGCGTCGGACATGCCGGTGGCCGCCATCTTATTTCCAGCTCCGTCCGCCATTTTTTAGCCCGGCTTTCTGCTCCTGGCTTGCAGAAAAGTCCGTCGTGCGCTTAGCGCTGCTTGGTCCTGCTTTCAGTGCTGTGGCTACCTTCTTTTCAAGTACGACGCAGATCCAGATGAGACGGTGCGTGTGAGGGTGCTATCGGTTGCTCTTACCGTTTATTTAATAAACGCTAAGAACACGCGTGGATCGTTACCATGGATGTTGGCGTTGTCGCAGTGGCTTTATCGAAGCTGGTGGTCATCTTCTTGTCGTGGAGCGTGCCTGAGTGAGAATGACAAGCCCTGGACGAGGCTGCACCTTTAGCCACGAGGAGCGGAGTCGAAGAGGAAACATGATGCAGCTCCAGGTGATGTTGTAACGCACATTATTTTTCCTCGCAATGAAAATGATCGTGACGAGCAGGAGACACTTCTGCGAGCAGTTGATGAGGCTTATCAAATTCCTACTCGAGGCACAGGTACACTCACAGGAACGAGGAAAAAAGAAAAACCAAGAACCACGGTCAACATGATCACCCAGCCCCATCTCCTTTTTGTTGAGCAGCATCATGAGGCCGCAGCAAACTGCAGAAGTACTAAATAAACTCTCAGTACTACTGGTCCCCTCTCCACCACCAACATCCAATTGAAAGCTCATCTCTGAGTGTGAGTCTCCTGTTGATTTCTACTCGTGACACTATATTTTGTTTTTGGCAATCGCTCACTAGAAGTTCACGGCCAACGTGGCGCACGATCTCTCGCCTCCTGCCGCCTTCGCGCGACTCCTCGTGAGGACTGCAATTCGCCTCCACGTCCACCTGTGCTGAAGAAGAAGTTTCGCGAAAACTATGCCGACCTCCACATTGAACATCAACTGGAGTGTGCGGAAAAAGTGCCGCGACCTTTGCAGCGTCCGCACGAGGACTTGGCCCTACTTTTTTTCGTACTTCTACTTACAACGTAAAGCTAAATGCAAATCTAAATCCATCAAAATCTACTGTCAGGAGCAACAAAACTACTCACTCGCTCGATTGAATAAATGTACTGTACAAGAACATAATTTCAGTGTGATTAGTTCTTAAAGCTGAAAACATATACATGAGAAGCTATTTGCTTTGTATTCGCGTTCACTCGAATAAAAGTGCGTACCTTAGAGAAAAAAGTTAACAGTATGAGTTTGAGTCTACTTCTTCTTCACTCCGACAAGAACTAGTACACTTCTATCACTTACTGTATTCCAAAAAGTTGCCTCAAATAATCGTCTTGCCGCCGCTGCAGTTCGGTTGCGTTGGAAATGGCCGCTATCCACAGAAAAAAACCTATCCCCATGCATTTTTTGCATGACAGACGCGGGATTTCATGTATCTTTTGCATGACAAATTGGATGTGGATGGGTGTTTTTTCCTGGATAGCCGTGGGCGCGGACCTATTGGTTGCACCCGAACTTGTGGTTGTATGGAAAGGAAAAAGCTTGTCACAGTCACGTGTTACACGTAATTTTTGTGCTCATCATCTTCCAGAACTACGATGCAACGCAAACAAGCTCTGTCAACATGTGTGAGGGAGAAGATGTTGCGCGTGACGAGGAGCCACCTCAGTAGTTTTATACATGCTTTTGTCGTTTGCGATTTCTCCGCACAATGAACAATTCTTGTTGCAGAATTTTTGTATGCCCCCAACATGCAGATCACATTCGCGTTCTCCTTCAAAAAAAATCTGCTAAAGTGTGTTGTAACTGTAAGACTAAGACACTCGTCTTCCGTTGGGATAAGTCACCGGGCGGCTAGAATTTCGAGGTGAAATCATGGACGAATCAGTGCTTGTCCGCTGATTTGTTTCGTCGCCTCTCTCGTCCTTGACGGTCGTGTTTCTTGGGGAGAACGTAAGCGCAGAATGATGTTGATCACCAGGAGAGAACGTAAACGCAGGAAGTATCAACAGGAAAAATCCCCCCTCCCCATATCAGAACGAAGTTTCTGATGCAGGATTTGCGTACACAAATAAGATCTGTCTTGCTGGAGAGGAATGCAGCCCCATACTAGGCCTAAGTAGAGAGGCTCTGGCCTAGGCGTCTAGCATGAGAAACGTCCGTGCTGTAGGCCCATCAGCATCACAAACCGCCTGCACAATGCTGCGTAGCTTGTCGAGTTGCCTTTTTGCAAGACAGACGTGATTTGAGGTCGCAAATCAGCATCACAAATTTCCGGAAGCATACCTTTTCGATATGGGGAGGGGGGATTTTTCCTCTTAATAGGAAGGAGTTGGCGTTCATTGTCGTTTTCAACGTGATCCTCGAGTCGCAGCTTAAAATTATTTTCATCCAAGGGGCGGTGAGCAAGCTGATCTTGGTCCTCTTGCGGCAAACGAAACAGGTTGTCGAAGTTTTTACCGAGCGAAGCTGCAGCTGTGCTGCTGTCCTCTTGTTCTTTGTGAGTACGACGATCTACTGCTTCCTCGGCAGTAGAAGTTGTACCTCCAACAAGGCCCAGTCTCTGATCCAAAACGAAGGCGGGGGGTGTGTAGTATAAAAACCCGCTCAGGTGTTACAATCTCAAACGTTACAATAGAATCTGAGATCTGTCTTGCATGATGAGCATGATCTAGCCAACTCTCATAGGGTTGCGCATGACAAGTTCCGGAGCTCCAAACCCCACTACAATCTGGGGAAATTTGTATTGCAAAAGGTGGAACGCTGCGCGAGTCTGTCATGCCCATCACACAACACAAATTCCAGATTCTATTGTCACGACATTTGAGATTGTAACGTTTGAGCAAGTCATATGTAGGAGTGGTCCTTGACGCGGAGCGGCGCGACTGCTTGGGCCTGCTGCTGCTGCAGCTGCAGTATGGAAGCGTCAGGATCGAAATCGTCAAAGTTGAAATAGTTTGTCATGCGTAAAATGCAACCCACAAAATGCCTGTCTTGCAGAGTAGGCAAGGGAGGCAGATTGTAAGCCTGTTGCGGGGTAGAAATAGAGCTGCTAAAGTAGCATGACAAAAGGCGTCCTCCTTACCCAAACAGCATGACAAACTGGATTCCGCCTCTACCCAAATTTCTCATGCGCCACTTGGAAACTGGGTTCCAACTGGCATCCATTTTATGCATGGCAAGTTATTTCAACTTTGTCGATTTCAATCCTGACACATCCATATGCAGCTGATTCTGGTTATACTGCTGCAGGTAGGCCTCATAAGCGACCATATCAACATCTTTATTTCGAGGTACTTCTTCTACACCAGTACTAGCTCCGTTGACAGCAGGTGGCTGAAGCTTCGAGACATTATCAACATTTCCTTGCTGTAACGCACGACTTTTAACGGCCTGAAACTGATTTCCGACAAGGAATTTGCGTTGGCCCATGTCCTGGAAGTTCCGCAACTTGTGGTCATACTCCACGTTGATCATCATAGGTTGCGTCAGGTTTGGCCGGCTACTGGGCGGGGGCTGTTGTTGAGCGGGTACCACTGAAGATGGCGATGTTGATTGAGCATGGCTTTGAACCTTCTTGTTCCCTTTTTTACTTGAGTTTGTTCCACCGCCATCCGTTTTCAGGGGAACAACTTCTGGTGCCCTTCCTTGTGCAGCTTGTGTAGTTGGTGCAGCGACATCACCAGCTGATCGTTTTGCAGCCTCTGTGGTTGTACTAGCGGTGGCCGCCCCCCGCCCATGCAGTTTCAAACTTTTCCGAAAGTTCGCGTACCGGGCGGCAGCTGCAGCTCCCGTGGCTTCACCCACTTGTTCCCTTTTGGCAGTGGTGCGAGAGGCAGGTGCGACTACTTCGTTCTTTTTGGCACCTCCAGTGGGCGTTGTCGTCGTCCCTCTCTCCATTTCAACTCTTGCAGTCTTCACCTTCGCCCGGCCACGAGGGCCGCCACGGCTTGCAGCAGGTGGGTTACTATTATCTTCTCGAGGACCTGCTCTATCACCACTAATATCCTTCAGCGCGGTAGCCTTCTCCTCATCACGCCACACGCACACGCAGGGGAGTTCGCAGGAGAAATATGTGCAGGGTATGCATTGCAAAAGTGTCGTACTAGTACAAATCGCATGACAAATTTCCTTAGAATGGAAAATGGGATTTGTCATGCTGATTTATCTTTGGAATCAGATTTGTCATGCGTATCTGCGATTAGTACGAGTACGATGCTTTTGCATTTCATACAGGTCGTAGCACAACAACTTCCACATGATCCACCCAGCGAAAAAATACAGATCAGGAGAAAGACGGCGACAAGACCAAATATTACTGCAAGCGCGATCGAGAGCATTAGCATAGCTACCGTGAAGATCTGGCCATCTTGGCTGTCGAGAGCATTTTCCTGCTGCTGGGGGTCTTTTTGTCCTCCTTGCACTCCAGGATCGTCGTCGTCCGAGATTGTCGCATTCTTGGGACGGGGGTTCATCTGCATGGTCCTCTCGTCCCATGGTTTAATATTCGTTTGCGACGTTATCCTCGTGGGGGAAGATGTTAATGTTGATGTTGTCGTCGTTGTGTCAGAGGATGGTCCACGACCCGTCGCAGTTGTACTATGGCTCGCAGAAGATGATGGTCGTCCCGTCGCAGTTGTAGTATGGCTCGCAGAAGATGATGGTCCTCGTGCAGCGACAGTACCTGTCGTAGGGATTATACTGGACGAATAAGCAGGAGACGTTGAACTTGAAACCACTTTCTTCATGCAGGGAAAGCGAATCCAGCCTGGCCTCGGCTGTCTGCTCGCTACTTCGTGACTCTCCGAAACTCTTGTAGGGGTGTTGTTCACGAAGATGAGACAATTGTTCGAGTACATGTAGCCCCGGCAGTCGTATGGAAGTTTCAGAATCGAAATTGACATCAAAGTCGAAAAATTTGTGATGCACCAAATCGATGGCAGTTGGAGCCTCAGTTTCCAACTGGCGCATGACAAATTTCGGGAGTACCGAAAGCCAGTCTGTCATGCTGTTTCGGCAAAGAAGACTCCGCCTGTAGTGCTACTTTGGCAGCACATTGTGTATTACCCCTAAACGGACTTACACTCGGTTTCATTTGCCTGCTCCCCAATACAGGCCTTCAGTGCCCTGTATTTTATGCGTCGCAAATTTGTCGACTTTGTCGATTTCGATCCTGACACATCCATAAGTCGAAGGACCTTGGTAGCGGCCTGCGTCCTCCATCCAGCTGCAGCACGATATGGAAACGAGAAATCTAAATCCCCCCCATAACAAATACGAAACTTCTGCCACTGGATCTGTGTACACAAATCCGAGCTGTCTTGCTGGAGAGCACTGCAGCCCCATATTGCCAGGCGTGAGTAGGGAGGCTGTGGGGGCCTAGGCGCGTAGCATGGAAAACGTCCGCGCTGTAGGTCTAACAGCACGACAAACCGCCTGCGCAATCACGCCAGTGCGGCAGAGCCTGCGGAGTTGCCTTCTTGCAAGACAGACACGATTTGTGAGCACAAGTCAGCATCACAAATTTCCAAAAATATACCTTACCTGTCAGTATGGGGAGCGAGGATTTTTCCTTTTGATACCTGAGTCCCGGTATTTTCCACTCGTTCGCCGTGCACGACTTTTCGCACTCTTCTTTCAGAATCTTCGAGGAATCGATATGACTTGCTCAGCTTTTGCAATCTCTAGTGGTTACAATGGAATATGGAAATCTGTGATGCAAGAGGTGCATGATCTACCCTACTCCCACAGGATTGCGCATGACAAGTTCTGGAGTCCACCCAATTCGCACTACTAGAATCTGGCGAGCTTTGTATTGCAGAAAGTGGAACGCTGTGCGAGTCTGTCATGCTCATCATGCAACACAAAACGAACCTAGCAGACTCTATGGTAGCCGATTTGAGATTGTAACGCTTGAGCAGGTCATAATCGAGGAATGGCACGCCTCTTCCACTGGGTCTCTCGACATCTCCAGCAATTGCCAGGTGTCTTGTCTCGATATCAGAAAGAAAAATTCCCCCTCCCCATGATATCGAAACGAAGTTATTTCGGAGGCTGGATTTGCGTACACAAATCCGCTGCGTCTTGCACTGAAGGGCTGCAGGCCAATATCGCGCCTGAGTAGAGAGGGGCTGGCCTAGCCGTTTAGCATCAGAGTAAACGTCTATGCTGTACTAGTAGGCCCACCAGCATCAAAGGCAGCCGGCATAATGCGGCGGAGCCTGTGGCGTTGCCTTCTTGCAAGACAGACGCGATTTGTGGCCACAAATCCGCATTGCAAATTTTCGGAGAGGACGTGCCGTTTCGATATGGGGAGGGAGATTTTTTCATCATGATACTCGATCGGTCCGGTCTCGTTTGCGCACCAGCCAAAACCCAGGTTTTCGTATATCAAATGCAAAAATGTCTGGGTCTGGAAACTTGTGATGCTGAGTGGCGTGTCATGATGGGGCTACAAATGCTGGCTCAGCATGACAAGTTTCTGAGCTCCTAGGTGAAGCCTTTTCTGCATGACAAACTGCGCTTCTGCATCACAGAAAAACGGAGCTCTTGGGTAACGTGCACGACAGATTTAAGAGTCATGCCAGACAAGCATAACAAACATGAATTCTTCTAGACCCAGACATTTTTACAATTGATATCGTAGGTAGTTGTGACATAATTTTGTTCCGTACTTGGTTTACCATTTATGAGATTGTGTACTGCATCCACATCAACATGAGGTTCATCTTCATATTGATGGCCCTTCGGGTTGTCGACGCCCTCGACTGCAGAATTCTTTTCATCTGGGATGATAACATCAACCGAAGGAGGGGCTGAAGATGCTGTGGACTATGAATTGCAAATGTGTTGTCTGGGTCTGGAAGGTTGCAACTTGTGATGAGATGCTGTCTTTGGATTCTAAAAAAAATTGTATTGCTTGAGCAGCAAGAAGAGGAATCCAGTTTGTGCTACGCAGAGGCGGGGGCATTTCTGGTCATGCGAAATAGGCATCAGGAAGTAAAAAGTAGTTGTAGTTCTCTAAAAATCTAAATCTCTGATGTTAGGTCATGCATTACAGGCATCATGCGACGTGTTCACGCAAAACATGCATGACAAACCGGGCGATCTTCCAGAGGACCCAGAGGACATATCTGCAATGCATATGGACGTGTCTTTGTTCATATTCATTTCCCCGACCTTACGACCATCAAGGGGAGGCTCGTGGTCCACCGTAGTTGCATTCGTAGAAAGTCCTGGTCCACCAGCAACATCTACATGTCCTTTCAGGTGGCGGTCGAGACGTAAAATTCGTTTATTTTGGTAGTCCTGCAATCTTTGCAGTGCCTTCTGCGTGTTGACATAGATTTGCTGATCAACGTCTCTTACGTTAATGTTATCACGTCTCATGTCGTTGCGGAATATGAGCTCCTGTGTCTTTTTCATTTCTTCCACGAGTGCCCTTTCTTTCACCCATATGGCGTTCTCAAACGTTACATTCTCAACTGTTACATGAATCTGCAATGCAGGAATGGCAAAAGCAAAAGAGGGAAGATTGCAAAAATTCCATTACAAATCCCGCGCAGATTTAGGCGCTGTTTAGCCCTTCGCAAATTTGTCATGCGCAGCAGCTTGATCTTGTGGATGATGATGGTAGTTTTGCATGACAAATTAATGTAACAGTTGAGAATGTAACGTTTGAGAACTCCATAACCCTGTCCCTGTCCGGATCCTTTTCTTTCGCTAGCTGCTCCAGTTCACGTACCAAGATGAAACATCCCCCCGCCTCTCCATATATCGCAAGAAAAAAGTGCTACAGTTACACATTGTCTTGCAGGTCAAGCAAGACAGACAAGCTCTGTCGTGCCGGATATGCATAGGACCCTCTTCTCATAGGTGTTTTCCCGTAGGATTTCTGCATGACAGGTTTTCTCTCTCATGCAGGGACATTTGTGTTGCTGCATTGCCTTACAAATGTGTAACTGTAACACTTTTTTCGTGGGATACCATAATCAAAAGATTTCTTGGGTAGTACACAACATAATCAGTTTTGTCTTCTTGCAGTGTCAGTGAGGTCGTACTAGAGGCAGGTCGCGAGGAGGACCTGGTGCGCAACATAGGCATAGAAAGGGGTGCTGTGGTCGTGTTGGCGCTGAACGCAGCACCAGAGGGGGCCTGCCCAGTACTTCTCGAAGGCACAGGAGCGTTGCTGCAAATCGCCTACATAAAATAAATCAACGCGGCGGACTCCTTGGGTAGTTATTTGCCCGCCTGTTGCAAGACAGACACGATTTGTGGTCGCAAATCAGTAGTGGAAATTTTTTTGACAAACTACATACCTTTTCGATATGAGGAGGGGGAATCTTTCCTCTCAATAAGATGCGTTGCTCTTTTCTGCCTTTCCAGAAGTTCATGTCGTTTGATGTTGCGGCTTGTAAATTCATTCGATCCTTGCGAGTAACTTCGTGGAATAGTGGTCGCGGCAGGAGGTGGGGGAATAGATCGTGGACGAATCGCAATCGATTCCGATTGCTTACTCGTCGGCACTTGTATAACTTTTGGATTTTGCAACCGCGGGGTGTCGATTTTGCCATACGGGAGGTCGTCCTCAGCCGATCGTACTTCTTCAGTTCCTGCATTGACATTGTGCAGGCCTCCGTCGTGGCCACCCGCTATGCAAGAAAAAAACTGTGTACGTGTAAATCTGTGATGCAAAACATGCAAGAGACTTACGCCTGTCATGCCAGACAACCACGAAGTCCTCTTTTCGTGTGTGCTTTCCCTTAGAAGCCACGCATGTGAAATTTTCTTTGTCATGTAGAGCAAATCTGTAATTCTGTCAGCCAAAGAAAGTTACACTAACACAGTTTTTTTCTTGGATACCCGCCGACTGAGTACTACTATCCAGTGCTCCTGCCCGGGTGGAGGTGGCATTTAGCTTATCGGGGAGCAGAATGCGGTGCGAGGTCAAGGTGCTTTTCTGCGCAGCGTCACCGTCATTCCGTTCTTCAAGGACGACGGGAAGCTCCTTCATCAGCTCTGTGGAGAGACTATCCAGCAAAAAAATCATGCTAGCGGGTCACATTGACATTTGATGCAATGCAAATGCATCAAAGAAAAAAAATTACAAAAGTTAGATGAGTTCAGCTACAGATACACAGAAAAGAGAAAATCTGTAGACAGCACGCGTCCTAACTTGTGTATCTGTCGTATTTTAGTTTTTTATTTTTGCATTTCCCAAAAGTGCTGACCTGGTAGCTTTTTTCTGTGACATAGAGGCGGCGCGAAACGCCTTGCAGCTCGTCCTGGTGGGTCGCGTGGTTCTCGTCTTGTGTAGCAAGTGCATTTAGTGCTGGTCGTTGAGGTGTTGCGACAGTAGATTTTAGAAGAAATTTATTTGATGAGGCACCAGCAGGAGCAGCATGATTCACTCTCCTTTGTTCCGCCTCCTCGTTGAAGATCTTAGCGTCGTGGCACATTTCCGTGAACCGCAAATCTTGCCAGAACCAGGGAGGCCGAAGTGGGTGGTGGGAAGATGTTGACAAAAGAGCCTTTGCCTTGTCGTTCTTCAGCCACCTACTACCGGTTGCAGTAGTTCCTGTGCCTCGTCCGGCTGAAAGAAAATCATCAACCTTGTAGTTCTCTCCCGCCAGCCTCTCGTCGCCACCCTCCACGACGACCACCGTCGGGGCTCCTGGCCACAGGTAGTTCTCGCGCAAAAAGCAAGTCTCTGTACCGTTCTCCGCCTTATATCTAGCTTCGTTCTGCTCCCATAGCAGACGAAGTAGAGGAGATGTAGTTGACGACCGTCGTGGCGTCCCAGGACTAGTTTCTTGATGTTGAGCACTCACGAGGACTACAGGGGCCGCTTCAGGAGGATTTTGCATGTTCGAAGATTTTTCAACACTTGGTACTCCGTCTTGTTGTGCGCGATTTTTGCTCGTCATCTTCATCTTCAGCTCCACTTCCTCATCTGGTGCAAGAACATGATTATTGTCGTAGTTTCTCCGAAAGCCCCGCATTTTGCGATCTAAACTCGACACTACAGTAGTTTCATCTCGATTTAATATCATTTTTTCCTCGTCGCCCTCTCCACCTCCACCTCCGGCACTGGACTTCTGCACCAGTTGTATCTCCCCGGTTTTCATCGTTTTACTCTGACCACTATCGGAGATCGTGGAGAAAACGTCCGTCACATGATAGCCCGACAGAGGGTCGCTCAGGGCCATATTCTTCGCCCCCTGTATAAACAAATCCCGAAAACGCCGCAGGTACGCCAGAGCGCTCTTGAAAACCAGGTCGGTGTTCATTTTATTATATGGAGGTGTCAGAATCGAAATCGACAAAATCGAAAAATTTGTGATGCGTAAAATGCAGGGCACTGGAGGCCTGTATTGGAGAGCAGGCAAATGAGACCGATTGTAAGCCTGTCTAGGGGTATGCAATGTGCTACCAGAGTAGCATGAGAGGAGCGGTCTTCTTTGCCCAAACAGCATGACAGACTCGATCTGGGTGCTCCCGAAATTTGTCTTGCGCCGCTTGGAAACTGCCTTCCAACTGGTATCGATTTTATGCATCACAAGTTTTTCGATTTTGTCAATTTCGATTCTGACACATCCATATATTACGGCGGTGAAATATAATTTCGTCTGCTTCACCTTGTAGTTCTTCTACCGGTGCTGGTCCGAATTGGTGCTTTTTCTCTTCTTGCACGTACAGGAGCCGCTCGGGCTGGCACAGGTAGGGAACGTTGCTCGAGAAGTACTCGTTGTTCTGCTTTACTGTGTCCTGGTCTACTGCTCCTGCAGCTGCCGACGAAGATCGGTTTCGCGCATCCTCCAGCGCGATTTGCGGATCAAACTCTCGCCTCAGAAACGTTTCCCGCAGAAAATCGGTTTGAAAGAGGAAAAGAGATGATAATTCTGAAGTTGTGAATCGATTACGATCGGCATGTGTTTTTGAAAATACCGGCTCACCACGTCGACCTTCTTCTTCCACAGGAAGATCTTCCTCTGCCACAACATCCGTTAAAATCAACGCCAGTTGCTGGAGCAGAAAGGCACGGAACTGAGGCAGCCCCGCGGCAGATGATGTGGTACGTGGTCCGTGTGGTGGAGGTCGTACTGCAGCTGTTGGTAAATCGACGACGGAGCTGGTCTCATCTTCATGGTCAATATGGTGTGCTGAATCAACATAGTCCGTACCATTTTTGATGTCGGCGTACAGGTGGCGCGACGAGCAAGATGCTGCGTGAGAATTTATTTCCGCAGCGGAGGTGGCCGGGCCGACGTAGTTGCAGGCACCAGCTCCCTCGCGCCGCGCGACGGCACGGCATTCGTCGAATCGCTGCTTCGATTTCCATCGCTCGGTCCAGGACCTCGTGCTTAATATTTCTCTGTTCAATACGGCACTCCGGAAAATAGAGTCCAACTGAGCTCCGATGTTTTCTTGTTGGACTACTCTTTGTTTTTCATCTGTAGAAAACGAATTTTTATCGTCCCCGTTGCCGACGTCCCCCTGCGTACTACGCGAAGATGAAGATTCCGGAACCTGCAATAAGCTGCAGGTGAGCAGCTGCAGCGACGCGAAGGTATGGAGATCGGTTCGGCTGTGCTGGAGAAAAAAATGGCGGAGCATCTCGGTTTATCCACTGCGAATATCCCTGGATGTCTGGAAGTATGCAAACTTGTGTTTGTGATGCGGCCTGGTGTGGAAGATCCTAGTCCTAGTACAAAAGTGTGCACTATTGCATGAGCAGCAAGCGCCGCCGTCCAGCTTTTGCTAACGCTGCAGAGAGGGCATTTCTCATGCGGGAGAGCCGCATTGAAAAGCCATCACAAAACCTGTGATGCCGAGGCAACAACACACGGTGGGCGTGGGGGGCCATGCAATAAAATGTACAATGACAATAAAGCTTGCATCTTTCCAGAGGACCCAGATGACATATTTGCAATCCATACAATCAGCTTCGCGTGCTGCCACGCTTGCATTTCGGCCACCCAGGTGTAATCGTCTAGAAGCTCCGTCGGGATTAGATCGCTTTGCGGTTCGACACCGTGTTGATCGACAAAGTTCCTCCTTGCGTCGCGTACATCGCACGTGGATAGAGCCGTATCATGCGCAAACACGCACGACCAATGAGGAGAAGGAATCCCACGACACTCTTTGTCATGCAAATACAACTCTGCATCATGCCCAGAACGACACGTCTGACGCGGCATCTTGTCCTCCCGCACAACATGAGCGCCATTTTCTACTTTCCGTTTTTTGAGAATTGTCGTGCTGTTCTAGAAGTACAAACCTGGTTCAGCATATAATAAATTATCCGATGCGGATTTTCCTACAGCCAAGCACGATTGCAGCACTACTGGTGACTGTCATGCGTGTGTTTGGATTTGTCCTTGTCGTCCAGAAGGAACAATGAATTGCAAAAATTTTCATCATCTCCACTATGGGGTAATCAATATCATGGGTTGTGTCGGTTTATTTCACATGGGATAAGTCCTACGGCTAGTACCAGCGACGTCGCCAAATCTTTCAGGAAGGAGCTGTCGCACTGTCTCATCGATGCGCGCAGAAAACTTTTGCGGCTCCAAGTCCTTGTTACGCCGTCGTGCAGGAGCTCGTCGTCCACCTGTCGATGGTGCTAGTAGTCCTTTTACTGTAAGAACTTCATGTTCTACTTCGCTCAACATCGAAGAATTAGAAAAAATTGATGGCACTTTATCCTTTTCGCCGCCGGAACTAGATGTTGGTGTCGTGTCGCCCCCAGCTAATAATATCGCCACAGCGCCGCGCAAGGAGCGCAAGACGGGCAGGAGATTCGTGTTGGTCGCGAAGACACGCTGCAGCAGGGACGATATGCCCAGTTGTCCTTCTTCATCTCCTTGCCGAGGTTGTCGCTTTTGTAGTTCCTCCTGTGCTTGTTCGTCGTCTCTATTTGAAATTCTTCCCAATGGCCCGATAGTTGTGCGTCCAGGTGGTCTGCCGCTCGGCTTCTGGGTCTGCTCGCCCATATCAGAATTCATTGTCATTCCCTGCTCCTGCAGGAGCCTCAAAAGGTGTTCGTTAAATTCCAGATCAGCACTTAGGAGGGACGAGGTGGACGCAGTATGTTCTACTTGATCTGCTGGAGTAGACGGGGCCAACTTGCTCTGAGACGGTGTTTGATCGTCGGAAGAAAGATGATGAAGATCAGTTTCATCATGATCCAAAAACACGTTTTGATTTCTCCTACTGGTAGCACTACGGCTCGTGTCATCTTCGGCACTACTCGTCTTCGGTAAAAGTATCGCCTTTATCTGAGAAGTGGCACTAGAAGTTTTGCTCACGGCAGCCAGCAGTTTGCGACTAAATTTTGCCAGACTCCGGACCGTCTTGAAATTTCCCCGCACCGCAGACCCAAATGCGTCCACAAATAAGTCCGAAGTACTAGCGGTGCTTGCTCCTCGTTCACCCTGTCGCCGTGATCTACTCCCTTGCGCAGAAGCCGCTCCGGCGCTGCTTGTGCTTGTTCCAGTTCCGAATCGCTTCTCTACTTTATCTGCTTTTGCCGTAGAAGAAGTTCTTGTAGTCTCAACAACATCTTCTTCAAAGGGCAAGGACGTCGGAGCTGGCTGTGCTGTAAAAAATCCTGCTGCATGATCTTGTCTATACCCTGCTCCACCTGGCCAAGGCGTATCGGGTCGCAAAAGGTACGTCAAGGCGATTAATTCCACATCGAATCGCAAAAACGGCGGAAGCGAAACAGGTATAAGTTGTTGAGACACTTGGTAGTTGTCGTCACCACCGCCTTCGCCTCCGTAGGAAGCCGCGTCTGCAAAAAGCATCTTCGTCTTGCCCCTCGTGCTGTAGTGAAGGTCCATTTCTTTATCCGCCGGCGTTGTTTCTTCAAGTAGTTCATCCTGAAGAACCTGATTAGTGTTACTATCCTTCTTATTCTTTTCATCTTCAACCATGGTCCTCTCAAGATGAACTCCTTCACCAGACCCCCGCGGAACAAATACATCCACCGTGGCCGTTGTCACCGCGGCCTGCAAGATGAGCAACCGGTAATGGTGTAATTTTCCGAAAAACTGTTCTTTCTGGAACGACAAAGAGTCCCACACCGCCTGGCCCCGCTGCGCAAAGGCCTCGCACGCGGTTGCCAATTCCTTTTTCCACGGTTCATCATCGTCAGGTAGAAAAACTGGCGTGCGCTCGAATTTAGGTTTCTGTTGCTCCCGCCAACCTTATCCTGTGCAAAAATATCGTACTCGTATTGCAATCATGCATTACAAATCTTGTTCTTAAGGCAATGTAGCATTACAAATTTCAATTTCATTTCTCATGCTGAGGAAATTTGTAATGCATTTATACGAGTACGATACTTTTGCACTGCATAAACCTAACAAAGCAGGAGCGAAGTCTACCTCGGAAGCATCGTCTGGCTCCTCGTTTAATATCATTTCCCGCTGTTGATCTAGTTGCAGCACTGCATCCTCTTTGTCACGACCATCTTCTCCCGCCGCCGTCCCTTCAGAAAGAACCGATTGCCAATTTTTGTGCTCGCTACTTTCCAAGATCCGCTTCTCGGTTCGCTTGTTGGTCCGTCGTGCACGTAGCTTGTTCTCGTAGCTTGTTCTTGACCGTCGGAGCACAGAATCAGGACACGCGAAAGAGAAAGCTTTTTGCGGGTGTAGTGTATTGAAAAACTGTTTTAGAAGAAGTTCTTCACGTACCTTTACCGATGAAGTACTACTAGAGGTTGGCACAACTTCTGGAAATGCTCCAAGTAGAACATCATCAAATACGTTTCGGGAGCTCCTTGGTGCAACAGGGTAAAAAGCTCCTCCTCCAAGTCCAAAAGCATCAAACGCGTGCAGGGAGCTTGCGAAAGAGAATTGCGCCGCCCGGTCGAGTATCCAACGCAAAAAACATCGAACTAGATCTGGTGGTTCATGATCGGCATCGGGACGAGCAGAGTACATATTTGTCAAATTGTGCTGACCCAGCTGCAGAAGCAAAACGTCTGAACAAGATGCTAGCGCTTGCATTCCAGAGGCTCTGGAATGCAAGCGCTAGCATCTTATTATGAGGGCGTCAGGTGTTGAGTTTTCAACTACTTTCAAAATTTTTATTAGCTATTGAAAACCGCACTTAAAGTAATTAAAATTTTGCATCTGTATTTGAACTAGCTAGATCAGGGGCATTCGGCGTCACGCGCGACGCACATAGCCCCTGATCTAGCTATTTAAAGTTTAAATGAAAATCATACATTAGTTAAAGTGCGGTTTTCAATAGCTAATAAAAATTTTGAAAGTACTTGAAAATTCAATACCTGACACCCTCATACTTATTCAGACGTTTTCATTATTGATGTTGAGAAGTTGTTCAATGCCTAGCATATTACAACATCACCGCTTTCCGCAACGCGAAAAGTTTTTAGTCCCTTGGTGCCCTTGGCGACATAAAAGAAATGAGCAACGGAACTTACTTTGACTTTCATCCATGCATGACTGATACAATTTGTGTCGACGTGTTCTACAAACTACATGCGGATGAAGATGATCAAGATGTTGACAACAAGTTTGCAGCATTATGCTCCTCTTACAAAAATCTTCCCGAGAACCACTACGGCCCCCCAGTCGATTCGATGACTCTATTATTGCGTTTGATATCGAGGGTCCACCGAGCGCCCAGCCAGGTCTCAAAGAAATCGGGAGGGCCTGCAGAGGTAGGCTTTGCGCCCTGTACGACCGGCGCGTGATGATCGACGTCGGGTTTTTATCCTGAGTAAAAACGTACCCACCCCAGAGTTGTCATGCAGATTTGCCATGACAGGAACATTTGTGATGCGCAACCCCATGACAGGCATTTTCAATCGTGTTTGGGAACTTGTAATGCTGTAAACAGGATCAGAAGGTCGATTTGTGATGCTGCTTTCCTTGCTAACTTGCACTACCTTACGGACTGAAACTTGTCATGCGTGACTCACAAAACTCCTAGGTTTGTGTTGCAAAATCCCCATCCTGACTCTGGTGTGGGTACGTTTTTACTCAGGATACGGGTTCCATTAGATTCTCAAAATACAGCACTTTACAACGCCGAACTTTGTTGTCGGCATCATGATGGCTCAGCTGCAGGTTGCTACGCGCCTGGTCGTGGAAGTCGATGTCCCGCGGCCCAAGATGAACAATAGAAGAAGATGCTGCACTAACTGTCACGCGGCCCGCGCGCACCTGCACCTCCCGACGCAATATATCTTCACGCGCGACCTCTACTCCGAGTTGTGCACGGGCTAGACTTAGGGTAGTTTGTTGCTTCACCACAGCAGCAGGAAAAGATGACTCTTCATCATGCCGGTAGTGCGTTGGTGTCGAAGATCTTCCCTTTTTAGAGAAATCAGCAGTTGCATTAGCTTCTTCTGGAAGTAGAAGATGACGAGCTTCTTGCTCTCCCACTTTCAAACCCGTGCCCGTTTGTTCTCGGGGTCGTCGTGGTGCAACATCAGTTTGCTCTGGGAGCAAAAACGTGAGGCGCAACGGAAGCTGCAGCATGTCAAGCAAGACGAGGTTAACAACAAATCCGGAAGAAAAGCGGCTGTTGACAGCTGCGTTCTTACGACCAGGAGGAGGGGCTTCGTCTGGGTCTACTCCTTGCGACACTTATGGCCCGCTCAGGTGGTGGTCGCGGTGTAGGGACAAAGACAAAGAGAAAGACAAACATCTTCGACAATTCTTTTTTCTGTATATTGCAATCACGTTTGGAAGCGGCACTAGCAGTTTTTTGTACTCATTCCAGATGAGTACTTAGGCACCACAGCAGCTGCGCGCCTCATGCTGAAGAAAGCACATGCAAAATAACACTAGTACAAACGCGCACCTTTTCTATCTTATCGATTCGCCCTTCTGGTCGAGTGTCGATGCGCACTGAACGAAATTTTTGAGATACTAGGAGTAGAAATTTACATATCCAGGCATGATAGCTTGGAACAATAATGTTCTTGGTGTGTGACCTCCACCTCCTGAGGAGCAGGCCATAGAAACCAGACGTGATTTTTCCTGCTTCTTGGCGCAGCTGCCCCCGCCGACGTCGTTCTTGTTGTATTAGGGTGTAGGGTCAGCACTGCACCTGCTTCACTGCGACGTTGGTCTAGAAATACCAGAGCAGTATCAATCAGGCCAGGCCAGTCGTGTAGGAGCTGCGACGAGTCGTTTTGTAGTTCACCCTGTAGTTCTGCTTGTCCTCGCTGCACACAGGAAAGCCCGTTCGCACCGGCCTGACTCACGGCTAAAAATTGGAAGAAATAGTAGAACTGCCTTCGGTCTCGCTTGCTGTAAGTCTGGAGTGGCGAGGCGAAATGCGATGAGGACCCTGCCCGTCGTGTAGTCGTCTCTGTCAGCAACTCCTCCAAATGCTCCCGAAACCACGCCTCACACCAAAGCTCGCCATCGCGCTGCAGGGCCAGCGCAAGTCCTTCCAAGTGCAGCGTGTGCCAAATCCGGATCGCGCGAGCTTTTTTCTTGGTACGGGTCTTCTCTTCTAGTAGCCGTTCTTGTTCTTCTTCGTCTAGGTCCTCAGCGACGAGACTACTGTGGGTAGCAGTCGTCCTCTTTTCGGTCAGAGACTGTCCTCCACCGCGGCTGTTCAACAGGGCGGAGATTTTGGAGGTGTCAACATCTCCGTAGCCAGCCCCGGCTCCTTCTCCTGTAAAATAAAGCAGGTAATCTTCGTCCTCAGTGTCAAGCTCAAGGTCAACATCATGATCGTGTACGATATTATGTAACAGGTCTTGTTTCAGTTTCCTCTTCCCAGCCTCGACATTGCTCGTTGTCGTCCCAAGAGCAGTGCTAGTAGTTGCATTTTGATGTTGCCTACTCATGTCCGTGGTCCCCAGAATCCATCTCCTCGGATCGTTGTCTTCCCTCGCCGCTAGCGCCAGTTGCTTCAAAAAGTTTGCGAAACTTAGCTTCTTCCGCTATCAAAAGGAAAGATCCCCCCTCCCCATATCAAAACGAAATTTCTGATGCTGGATTTGTGTACACCAATCAGCCTTGTATTGCAGAGAGGCACTGCGGCCAGATCCCCACGCTAGGGAGGGGCGTATGGATCTAGTTGCTCAGCATGGCAAACGGCCCCGCTTTAGGCCCAACAGCGTCGCAAGTCGCTTCCATAATATGGCGGAAGCTTCTGCCCTTGTCTTCTTGCAAGACCGATGTGATTTGTGACCTCAAATCAGCAACGCAAATTTTTTTTTTTTTTATACAAATTACTTACAAAAGGCATGCAGAAGTCATAAAACGGCATAGAAGGAAGGCTGTGGCTGCTGCTGTTCTTGCCGTCTCGGACTTCGTTCCTCCTCTTGTGTTCTTCTGGCTTGCGTCCGCTTAATCTGTACTCGCTGGGTTGCCGTTCGGCAGTTGGAGATACAGCCCCCAGGTCCTTGTGTAGATATGTATTTCTCCTTACATCGTCCCTCACATTCACGCCTGCGGGGGAACGGACGCCCGGGATGACACTGCCTGCTGTTTTCCACCCCCCACTGCAACGGGGTTAGGAAACAGCAAATCAGCAACGCAAATTTTCGGAGTCATACCTTTTTCGTATGGGGAGGGGGGATTTTTCATTACGATATCCGCCCGCGCATGGCTTCCCGCACTGGTCGGCAAGTGTCTTCGTCACTGTACAGGTCGTCGCGGGTGCCTGGGAGCTCGTACTTCGTGGGCTTGAGGTAGCGAGGACTTTTGGTCACGGCGAGGAGGTACCGCAGGGACCAGGGATTTTCGATCCAGGCCATGCTGAGGATACCGCTGGCCAAAAGCCGGCATTGCAGGTGGTGACTGTGCGATACGTATTTGTTGACTTTGCGGGCATTGCCATTGGTGACTGCTTCTCCCTCTTTCCGTTCTGTTTCCTGCAAAAAGTGGAACCAGTGCGAATTTTTGGACACCAAAGACGCCGCCGTGAGGAAGATCACGCGACGAGCCGCCTGCAGTACGTCTTCTTGTTCGGGAGCAGATCGCATCCGTTCGCGGATCCCACGAGCGGCCAGCGGCGAGTTGTTGTAGTTATTTGCTCGATGAGGATGTGCCTTCACAGTGTCTCGGAACGGGCAGTCAGACATAAACCAGCTTGCGAAAACAGACCAGGTATCTTTCCGACCCGCATTCAAGTTCTTTCCCCATGGTGTTGACCACTCGAAAACCTGGTCCCCTCCCGCTATTCGCGCTCTCCCGTTGATCACGGACTCAGCCGAGAATCCCGTTTTCCCCTCCGCAGTGTTTCTGTGGGGGCTCCAGGCTTTCACAATACCCAACAGCAGCTGCGTTTTTCCACCTAGAAAACTCCGGATATGAAATTCATAAGCGTTACATTCTCAACTGTTGCGTGCATTGGTCATGGAGAATTTCCATCAGTAACAATATCGACACGATCAAGCTGCTTCGCGTGACAAGTTGTCGACGCGCTAGATAGCAATCTGCGCCAAGCCTGTATTGATGCAAAAGGCGCAATCTTCCCCCTTTCACTTTTGATGTCATTCACATTCTTACGATTACAAATTCACGCAACTACAGTTGAGAATGTAACGTCTGACGACTCCATACCGAAACTGGTCATAGTCGGGCGAGCGCCGGCCCCGCTCCGAGATATCAAATGCAAAAATGTCTGGGTCTGGAAGCTTCTGAGACTTGTCATGCATGTTTTGCATGACTCAGGATGTCTGTAATGCACGACCTAGCATCACAGATTTTTAGAGGGCTTCCTGATGCCTACTCCGCATGACAAATAATGCCCTCCCCGCGTAGCACAAACTAGACCCCTCTTGCTGGTCATGCAATACAGATTTTTTTAGAGTCCAAAGTTGGCATCACAAGTTCCAACCTTCCAGACCCAGACACTTTTGCATTTGATACGGGACTCGGTTTTGCAAAAAGTCGGCTTCCGCTTTGGAAAACAGGAACAAACTAACAACTTCCTTCTTCTTCTCACCTTGTTGCGTCGGACCGACTTCGTCTGCTTGCGCTGTCCTCGGGAAACCGTGATGTCCCGTACGGCGAGCGCCTCTTCAAATGCGGGGCTTGTTTCATCATCTCAGCATCTTCATTGAATCATGGAAGATATTGATCGGGACATGACAAAACGTTTCTCCAAGTAGAACCTCCCTCATATGGCAGCTACAACGAGTACTTGTACTACAACTACATCTATCATTGGCAATGTTGCATCATGATAATTCTGTACAAGCAGTACGGGACATCCAGGTTTGTATAATTGCATAGGCACCACGTCTCCCACACGGACAGCGATTTCCCGTCCGGGGTCCTCTCGCGTCGTGTTGGAAATTTCCCTCTGCGTATGCTTCGCAAACATGTCTGGGTCTGGCAACCTTGTGATGCGCCGTCCTGTGCAGCTCGTGGGTTAGCACACAAGAGTCTGATGAATCTGTCTTGCACGATTTTTCCCAACAGTTTGTACTAACTTTTGACCAAGTTGAGGAGGGGTTTCTCATCATGCAGAAGAGGGATATCGATATTAGGCATGGTAAGAACCTCAACACAGAGACAGAACCTGTCGTGCTAGCTGCTGCATTAGCATTCCATTTCTTACGAAGAAACGCCAACCCTGAAGGGGCGTAGTCATAAGAAAGACCGCGCATAACAACAAGCCTAGCAATCCTCCAGATGTGAAGTAGACCCAGTCAACATATTTGCACTTGATACGCCGGGGCGAGAACCAATTCTTTCGAAAAAAACAGAGCTGGATGCCGTGTCGCTCTTTCCAACTCTGGCAGCAGCAACAGTTTTCTCAGGTAGGGGGCTCCCAGAAGGTCCTCATAGCCCTCGCCCTCGTCCGGGTAGTTGCTGCTACCCATAGCACCTTGCTGGAGGTCCACCTTAGCAGGGACGACGAGCGGCGGATAGTCTTCCTCATTTGGCGAACGGTTCCACTCGGTCGGGTAGCTGGTTCTTTTGACAATAGTACTTTGCTGATTACCTTCATCTTCGCCCACCAGCCTGCTTCTTGATGTTGTGCTATCTTTTTTATTTGCTTCGGGTTTGTCTTTGTCTTTTATCTTCTCTGTGGCGTCGGTCGAAGGTGTTCTTGCTGTGGTCCTTTGATGGGTCGCTTCTGGTGTCCCACCTCCTGTTGCTGCGTTCTTCCTCTCTGGCAGCTTCCTGCCTTTGTCGACGTCAGCATTTGTCCTTTCATTGGTCCCTGTTTGTTGTTGTTCATCTTCCCCTGTTGTTCTTTCTGCAAAGGATGAAAGCGAAAAGCTCACAGAAGTTCTGGCTCTACTTTTCGATGTCGGGGCTCCTACATCAACAACTTCAGGAACCAGGGACGCAGCAACGTCTTCAGCTTTTTGTCCGAAGGCGGAAGTAGATGTAGAAGTAGATGAACTCCTGCTGGGTCGTGGAAACAGTGAATCCGTCTTCCGTGTAGTAGAACTCCTCGTCCTGGGAAGATCAACAGGATCTAGTACTTCCACGGACGTAAAAATTGCGGGTGTAGTTCTTACTGGGGACAAACTCCACGACGGGGAGGTGGACGACGAGATGCCGTTCATGTAGTCCTCGTGTGGACCGCCAACAACTACATGATCAGCATCTACTTCAAAACTCCCGCTCACGTCCTTTGTGTTGCTGCGTCCTCTAGAATTTCTCCTCTTCACAAAAGCGATACCGTGGACAAAAAAAGCGGCTGATCTTTGTTCTTGTAGTTGTTCATCTCGTGTCGTGGTTTTTACTACCAGAGCAGGTGCGTCTGATGTAGGCCTTCTAGTTCTCATGTCCACTACGACCTCGCCAGGACGAGGAGCTGCGGCTGCCCCCGCATCAACTGTTGTACTTCTTGTAGTCCGGCGCGTCGAGTACGTTGTTGTGCTGAAAATCAGGCTGTAGTCCTCCACGTCATCGGAGGTCCTCGCGGCCCAAGGTCCTCGTCGCGGAGTTGATGCATTATTACGCCACGACGTCTTCGTGAGGAAAAGCGTCCCGGTCGTGGTCAACAGCATAATAATTGCTGTCAAAAACATCAGTGTCGCCACCATGTGCTGTATGAAAAATTGCACTGGCCACGACACCAGGACGCGCCGCTGTCGATTTCTTGACGCGGTGGTGTTCTTGAGCAGCAGCTTCTTGCGTCGCCATTTGAAGCTGGTGAAAATGCGCACCAACCAAGAAAAAAGAATCGAAATATGAAACAGTGGCATGATGTTAGTCGTCTGTGTGGTGGTCAACGTCAAATCAAAATCAAATAATCGAAAAGCAGAGAAAAATAAAATGACTGGGGTCGTTAAATAATGTCCTGGTTGTTCTTGAAAGCGCCAGAATTTTTCCAAGCAGTCCTAGTCGCTCCGGTGACGAAGTAGACCACCGTGTTTGGGTTCTTGAATAGAGGCACTTGATGTTATAGTGATACTAACAAGTACCTACTGCACCCGACAAGAACTCTTCCACCGCAATAAAGCGTGAACCGATATAAGCGGAGCGCATGCGATGCAAGCGAAACTAGGGACCGAGGATCGTTAAGCAAGAACTTCACGAAGTTCAAATTCTTCAACTTCATCAACAGCGAATATGCTCCACCGAAGAGATCACAGAAAAAACAAACAGATACTTCGTTGGACAGTGACAGAACATGTACTACATCCATGTCCTCAGGAGGCGCAACAGAATAACAGTGATCTACTGCTCGAAATTAAAACCGATGTGGATTTTTTTTCGGTGCACAGAATGTAGTACAAGATGATGACATCACCCGACAGGAAGCTAGGTAGAACTTGCTGTGGGGCTAGTGCAACACCAGGAGAAAAATGCGAAAGACCGATAGGAGCGCGGTGTGATAGATTTTCCTTTGATATCTTTACAATCAACCGATGAACCACTACCAACAGTCTTGATCCCGTCAGGCAGCAGCAGCAGCAGCAGCAGTGCCTCCAAGCAAGAACAATCAAGAAGATGAAACACCCGCGGCCGTCGACACATCAAGAAGTACTTGCTGAATTTGCTTTGATTCGTAGACAATCAAAGGAGTACTTGCTTGTGCTTCGTAGAGCGAAAAAAAACGAAGAAGTCGAAGGAGTCCTGTTCTGCCTGAGTTATCTTCTACGAAAAAAATTCCTCCGCGAACAGTTTATCCAATTTTTCCCTTTCCTCCACAAAATCGATACAGCTTCCCTTCGACCAAGTGAAATCGTCGGAGAAGCAGTAGTATGCATTGCAAATATGTCTGGGCCTGGAAAATAGCAACTTGTCGTGCTGACTCCGAATCATGCAAAAATCTGTGTTGCATGAGTGCCAAAAGCTGTCTACTTTCGACCAAGTTGGAAGGGCGTTTCTCATGCAGGAGAGGCATGGCAGAGACCTCACAGAGTTTGTCATGCTAGGTCTCGCATTCCGGACCTCAACATGGGTCATGGAAAACCTGCATGACGAGTGTACCCGCTTCCGGACCCAGACACTTTTGTATTTGATAAGTAGTTCGTGACGGATAAATCATGGTGCACACAGGTCTATCCTGTGCAAAAGTATCGCACTCGTAGTAATTGCAAACATGCATTACAAATCTTTCTTCCAAGGTAAATCCGCATTACAGATTTTTTTTCTCATGCTGAGGAAATTTGTAATGCATTTATACGAGTGCGATACTTTTGCAGTTCATAAGGTCGGCTCCCTCCCAACCGTGGAGGCCCTAGTAGTGCTGGTGTCCGGTAGTTGTTTCTGTTCTTGGACGGAGTTTGTTTTTCCAGGTTCTAGTCTTTCTTCGTCCATTTTCTTGTCCACCACAGCACGACTTTTCCCCGTGGTTGCGTTCGGCTCCTCCGCGAGCATGAGCACCGCTTTCACGATCGGCAGGGCGCCAATTTTCGCCGTCCGCATGAAGTTCTCGCCCAGGAAACTATCCATCAGCCCGGGGTTTTATGGATGTATCAGGTTTGAAATCGTCAGAGTTGAAATGATTTGTCATGCATAAAATGCGATACAAAAACTGAATCTATTGCAGAGGACGCACGGGAGGCAGATTATAGTCCTGGAAAGGGTCAAAAGTTGGACTGCTGACTAGCATGACAGAAGGCAGCTCCTTTGCCCTAAACCGCATGACAGACTCGCTTCCAGGACCGGGAAAATTTGTCATGCGCCGACTACAAACTGTAGGTCTAACTGGTATCCGTTTTATGCATTACAAGTTATTTCAACTTTGTCGATTTCAATCCTGACAGTTCCATAGGTTTATGCTCGTGCGTACAAACGCAAGCGGAACCGCGATCTCGTCCTCGGTGTCACCTCCGAGAACTTGCCAGAATTTATCAGAGTGCACAACTACTCCCCGCCCCCCTCATTTGTCATGCAAAATACCAAATCCAGCCTGTGCTTCTTCGCACGGTTTGCACGACAAATTCTGCCAGCAGCCCAAGCAGTACTTCTACACTCCTGTGTAAATCTGTCATGCAAAACCGCCACTCTTGCTGACGCTTCTATTGCTGTTCATCATGCTATACAAATGAAGGGGACAGGTGGAAGCTGTGCACTCTCATAGAATTTCACGCGCGGATAGAACACCGGTAGTTGAACATCGAGTCCCTTCGCTTTCAAATTCTTGATTTCCTCCGCCGCCACGCCGCACATGCCGTCCACGAAATTTCGCACAAATGGCTGCAAAATGCTGTAGTGAAAGTACACCGAGGGAAGCGCGCAAAACAGCCAGGCGGTCATGCTGGAGACGGTGACGGTTTTCAGGTTCCGGTTGGACTTCATTTTCAACAGAGTTTGCAAAATTTTGTGCGAAATGTACATGGCGTGGTGATTCCTTCCTCCGGCGAAGCCCGCATTGGAAACTAAAATGTCGACTTTTACGCCCTATCAAGTGTAAAAATGTCTGGGTCTGGAAGAATGCAACTTGTGATGCGCATTTCAGAACACACAAAAATCTCTGATGCATAGGCAGCAAAAGCTGCTCACTTTCTGTCACCAAAATGAGGGCTTCGTCATGCGGATTCAGCATTGCGGAAGCTTGTCGAAACCTGTGATGCTAGTGCTTCCATGCCACACCTTCTGTGTCATGCAGAAACAGCATGACTCTTCCAGACCCAGACATTTTTTTCATTTGATACGTTCGTTTTCTCGAGCGTTTTCTTGATTTCCAATTCGATTTTCTGCTTGTCAATCGGAATCAGTTCGAAGTTGAAGCACTTTAAGCGGTCTCCGATTTTTTCCTTCAGGGTATGCAATACAAATTTGTTCATGATCCCGTCCACACGTATAACATACAAAGTAGCGCGTCACAAATTTATTGTTCGCTGACTTAATAGTGCGTGCCACTTGTCAACATCCTGCTGAATGTGAATACGATTGAAGAAAAGTTCTATCATGCAGACAGCTGGTTTGTATACGTGTACGGGAACAAAAACAAATTTCCTGTGGATACAGAGCGGCAGCTTCCGATGGAGTTGTCAATACTGTCGCGGCACCAGAAGCTGTAGCTGTATCAAAACTCCGACCGGGAGGTGCAATAAAATAGTCTTGATCTAATTTTTTGTCCCCAGGCACCAAACGCTCCAGAATCTTTCTCTTTGCCTCCTCGCACTTCTGCACGTTCCTGGTGCCTAGAAAAACAGTTTTCGCATTCCCCAGTTCCGAACTTGCCCAGATCGCAGACTCCAAACCGACCCCGGAGTTCGCGCCTGTGATGAGAACGGTCTTGCCCGCCAGTCTTTTATTTGTCGTAGCGTTGTATTCCTCCAGAAATTCTTGCAACAACGGCTCATCGAAGAGCTTGTGCGAGAAAAACAGCACACTGCAGGTGGTTGCTGCGCTTAGGAGAAGGAAAACCTGCGTAGTCGTCATTCTGCTCGTCGTTGCAGTTGCTGCAGTTATTTTCGTTGTTTTATTTTTTGCTTTTGATGTAGTTCGTTCCTTGCTGATTTTTTCACTTCCACCCTGTTGTCCCAGTGCGTGGGCGAGGAAAAAGAGCATGAAGAACGTGGTGAACGCCGTGAAAAAGGGGAGTATGCATTGCAAAAGTGTACTATCGCGGTGGCGGTCGTGCTCGTACTAATTGCAATCATGACAGTGACAGGCGACAGCTGTGTTTTGCATTTCTTTGCTAGCTGGTTCCGCGTGACAATTTCCTGGCTTCGATCAAAATTTCTGTTGAAGATGCAATTCCAATTACTCCTATGTATTATCGGGTCCTCGGGGACGACTACGATTTACACTTTTGTGATGCATAAAAAAGTGCAGGTCCTTGATCGCCCACAGGTAGATCTCCGAGGCCCGGGCGATGCTGAGGCAGATGCCGGAGAACGCCAGGACCAGGCAGGAAGGAAGCGTGATGAGGTAGACGCTCATTTTGCTTTTGTATATCAACTGGATGATCTACTGGGAGAAATTTCTTTTACGACGTGGATTCGCAGCGCCGGCTCTGATGATGTTTTTTTCTCTCACTTCAATTTAAGAACCGAATGTTGTGACTTACAACTTCATAGCACTACTCTGCCAACACAAAATAATCCGAAAAAGTTTCAAGATGTGCGGCCCAGCGGGTAGAAGAAGTATATAAGCAGTACAACTAAAAGTACAAGTTGTCTTATGCGGTCAGCGAAAATAACAAGTACTTATCCGAGAAGTTAATCATAGTCGTAAGAAATTTATAGGCACTTTAACTCGATCAGTAGGAGTAAACGACGGTCTGGATGGAGAACAAGCGATGCGGTGAACCTTCGGTCAATCCTTGTCTACGCGTGCTTTCATGTAGCTACAGGATCTGTCATCAGAAGATCAGCCATAACTTCTCAAGAAGAACTTCCGGATGCATAAATTCAACAGTATTTTAGTCTGCAGGGCGGCGAGACCCTTGATATCAAACGAAAGCGATCTTCATTTTTTGGACCTTAGGTAGTTTCTTGTTTGCACACAGGTGGGGATGAAGACGAGCATGATCTTTGTCATTACCAGTCGGGTCGCAGGAAAAACCTCGTCCAAGAAAGAAGTCGTGGTTTCGTTTTCGACGTGCTCCTGATTCTTTTCGTTCACCGAACTGGTTTTTTTTAGGTGAAAATGAACACCGCAATCGCCTCCAATGCACGATGAACAACTTTCATCGTACAGATGCAGTCCTCGACGACCTCGCTAAAAGCCACGAAAACAGGCTAAGGCTTTTTCATACTTTTTTCTGGAAAGCATCAAAACAGGGGCGATCGCGAGGAGATGTACTTCTAGTAGTGTGGTTCGAAAGTGACAGTGAGTTCTAGCACGGTGACATGATAGAAGGGCCGCCACGACAGAAGCAGATGCTGAAGAGTCTTCCCTGCTTCAGTTTTATTGGTAATAAAGCAAGCGACCGTATTAATCCTTGGCCACCTCCCAGTTGGCAAACCTGCAGCTAATTTTTGGCTCCTGCTGATGTTGCGCGGTTCTTGGTCTGCGTGTCGTTTAGATGTTGAAAGCGGCAACATCATCTTTGTTCTCTTCTAGCTCAACAACACCGTCAACACAACACCTCTTCCGATCAAACCTCTACCTCCGTGGTGGTTGTAAGTCCAAATACTACAAGTGGTCCTTTCTCTCGTCGGATTGTATTTAAATCGCCTCAAGTAGAGCTCCTGCATCAGACCGCCTTCGACACCGGGTTAATGCGGAAGTGCAAAGACATCAAGGAAAAAACGAAGCACTTCAAGTCCTGCACGAGGTAGTAAAACTTCTCCAGCCCGTCCTTGTCGTTCGACTCGTGGACTTCCTTGATCTTCCCGATATAACAGTGCACAACCCCCTCCCTCCCTCTCATTTGTCATGTGAAATGCCCAACCAAGGCTGTGCCTCTTGGCACTGTTTGCATGACAAGTTCTGGAAACTGAAACAGCACTATAATCCTGTGCAAATTTTCCATGCAAAACCTGCGTTCTCGCTGGCGCTTGTATTGCCGTTCAAGCTATACAAATGAGACGGAGGGGAAGTTGTGCACTGTCATACCCGATTTTACTGGTGGTGAAGGAGATGTGATCGCGGCCGTGAATAATCTCCAGCTCCTGTCGCCCCACCCGGTCCGGTTCCGGCCATTTGTCATCGTCGCAGGTCAAAATATCCGAGTCGACCACGATTTTCAGCAGAGTTTCAATCTATCCTGAGTAACAACGTCCCCACCCCATGGTTGTCATGCAGATTTGACGTTACAGGAACATTTGTAATGCGCCTCTCCATGAGACGAGGCATTTCCAATCACGTTTTGATGGAATTTGCAATGCTCTAAACAGGATAAGCAGATGCATTTCTGATGCGGTTGTCACATTTTTACTTCCATGCACTAGCACACTATGGACCGCAACTTGTCATGCGTGGCTCCCAAAACTTCTGGGTTTGTGTTGCTAAGTTCCCAATCATTGTTGACTCTGGGGTGGGGACCTATGTACATATGATACAATCACCGCCTTCGTGACATGCGCTTCCTTCCGAATCATGGTGTCGTTCTTGTAGTTGCTGTTGTTCGCGTAGCGCAGCCGGCCGTTGCTGCGCAGTTCAAATTCCAAAAACTCATGCCCGAATTTCCCGCGGTGGCCGACGTAGTAGCGGACGTAAAAGTTCGAAGTGTCGTATTTGCTGTTGGCCGTGGTGGAGAGCGAATGCTGCGGACGGTTGTTTTCTCGCTTGTCTAAGGCGTTGCTGCTCGACTTACTCCCCACCCGGGGGGACCGAGATCTGGACCGGGCTCTACGGTCGTCACGCCGAGAGGAACTGTCTTGCTGCTCGGAGGAGGACATTTCGTTGATGTCGGTGTTTTTGTTAGTCGTCCCTAGAAGTAGACCTTGTTCAAACTTTTACTCAATCGACAGAAATCGTCGTGACCACGAGAAAAATTGTTCCTCTGGTCTTGAAATCGCTTGATGATTCTCGTCGTGCTAGTACAGAAACAATTTCTAGTATGCGTAGATTGATGCATGATCAGTGTCGACCTTCAACAAAATAATTCGTTCGCTTGCCTGCGTGAAAATCATGGAAAACCGGTAGAGGACGCGCTGTGGCTCTCTACTAAAAAAAATTGTAACTGTTACCGCTATTATGGCCACGGAGAAAAGATTTTGATGTCTTTACAGGGATCGCGTGCGGATCTTTTGTCCGGTTAAAATTGCGCATTTTTGGTTTGGCGACTTTCATGGAAGTAGCTGCTTTGCAAATTTGATGAACTCGCGCCTTTTCTCGGATGATCTTCATTTCTTTTTCTCGTTATATTGCACCAAGTTTGGTGAAAACAAACGTCACGCAAGGGATTGCAAACCAGCTGCTTTTGGTTTGGATTTTGAGCGTGCTAGTGATCATAATTCATTTTTTCCAAACTTTTTTCAACAGGGTCGTTTTGAGATTCGGCGACGCAACGTTTATCATGCGAGTATGGGCTTTTTAAAAGTATAGCGTCGCTAGATGAATTTCTCATGGTAATTTAGCTTTCGTACAATCAAAGGTGTAGTAAAAGCGCACAAAGTCCTAAGTACATGCTCTTGGTTATATATGATCAAACAAATTTGCATTTTCGCCATGACAAGAATGGACATTTCACTATCTTAAATTTTGCAAGGGAGGAGGTGTAGCTGTGTTGAAACGGGGAGATGGATCTGTTCATTCTGTTGTAGGGGTGAAACTTGGCACTTCATCTGAAAGCAATTCCTCATACCGTCAGGTTTTGTTAAAGGTAAAACTCAAACTATTGCTCAACCGCCTCTGTAATTTTCGCTTTCGCTGTAACTGTAAGATAAATATTGTCTAAGGTAAAAGTTGCAATAAACGTGGTCGTTAGATTTTGTCTACGCTAAACCCGGAACCAAAAGTAGACATTCTCTTCCTGATCTACCCTGTGGCTCCGGGATTCGTATAAAATTCGACTAAAATAAAGGAAAAAGGTAATATTATCTGACTAAGTTTGCTATTGCTTCGAGTCTAATTCGAAAAAAAATCAGTAAGCACCAAAGGTCAGTAGAACCATGGAAACATACAAGCACCAAATCCAACATTTTGAAAGATTAAGTTGTTGTTTCAAAATTTATCGCAATTGTCGTGCATCATGACAACAGTACCGTTACATCACAATCGTCTGTGACCTGGCCACATTGAGGGGCTCTTTCGACAATCGCGCCGGGCTGTTTACTGCCCGGAACAGAGCAGATGAGTCCCTACTCGTTTCTGACAAATTCGGGAAGTTCCCCGATCCCTGACTCTGCATGATCGCCGTCATCTGTTGCTGCGCTTCCCTCTGCCTGGTGTTCGGGCTCCTGTTTGGACTGTTCAAATTCTCCCCTCCGTCGACGTTGGATAATTGTTTGCTCGTGTCGGATATCAAATGCAAATACGTCTGGGTCTGGAAACTTGTAATGCCGAATGGTCATGATTGAGCGCGCCTTGAAGTGCGGCGCAGCATGACAAATTTTTCAAACGCTCTCTCATGCGCAGCACGCATTACCAACTGCCATTTTGCATGACGAAAGTGCGGCCCTTTTCTTGTTGCTGCAATACAGATTTTTTTGGAATGCGATACACGCAATACAGGTTCAACCTTTCCAGATCCAGACGTATTTGCAATGGATATCGGATAGCTGCTGACTCCGGTTGTGCTGTGGGTTCATGGAGAAAACTGATTCGCAGTCCGTTGTTTTCCCGCCAGCGTGAGTGGAAGATGGCATTAGCGGTCCATTGGTATAGTCGGAGTCTTTTGTCAACGGGGGTCCACCTCCTCCACCGGCTTTATTTACCACTGGTGAAGAAGATGATGCTAATACTGGATTGCCGCTCTCCATCGGTCGCAAAAGCGTTCCTGCATATTTGTCGCCGGCGGTGGGAATGTCGATGGTGAGGGATCTTTGCATTGCTTTGTTGCTTCGCTTGTAGAATTTGGAGGAGTGAAAATCGTCGTACATGCGCGTTTCGCGGAGTCTTCGCATGGTTTTCTCCCACAAAGCGTCGTTGGCTCGTTTTCTCAATCCTGAGTAAAGACGTCCCCACCCCAGAGTTCGTTGTCATGCGGAAACGCATGCCCAAAATGTTTCTCATGCGGAGCCCCATGACAGGTATTCATCCTCTAGTCGCGTTTTGGAATTTATAAATGCTCCAATCAGCATGGTGCGCTAGATTTGTGATGCTTGTGAACGAGGTAAACAGGATGACAGCACGACGCCGATCTTGTCATGCGCAACACCCTAAGTAGGTAGATTTGTCTAGCAGATTTCCCATCTTGACTATGAGGTGGGGACGTTTTTACCGAGGATATTCTCCTCTCGTTGTTCATCTCTACCTCGCGGTGCTGTTTCTGCATGGCGGAAAGTTTCCCGACGGGAGACCAATCCTGTATTACAAATACCAAGAAGTGGATAAGTTTCGACAATCTACTCGTGTCATGCTGGTTGATGGCAGAACAGCTGCAAGACTGGTTTATTGCGAATGCCATGCAAAAACAAAAATTATCGGTAAAAAAATTATACCTCCGGCCACATCCCGTTGTAGGCGTGGTCCACCACGTTTACCCTCCTTTCGAACCAATTTCCGCGTTTCCTGCCCCACTCGTGTCCGGAGACGTTTTTGTTCCTAACAGCATTGTCGAGTTTCAACATCTCTTTCCTGTCGTAAATGTGACCATGAGCGTCGTTCCCGTCAATATCGGAGGTAGACGGGTAATTCCCCGCTATCAAATGCAAATATGTCTGGGTCTGGAAAAAAAAACTGTGTTGCATAAGCAGCAAATAAAGCACCCCACTTTCGTCATGCAAAAACGCAGGTTGTAATGCGTCCTGCGCACGACAGAGCGTTTGATGAAAAATTTGTCATGCTGCACTGCACTTAAGGGCACAGTCAATCATGATGGCCATTTAGCATCACAAGTTTTGAGACCCAGACATTTTTGCAATGCATACCCGCTCGGTAGCCGCTGAAGCCCGCCTTGTCGTACGCGGTGCCGAAGTCGAATCCTGGGGCGTTAAAGCGCGAGGCGGTTGGTCTGTGATAGCAGTCAACTATATTTACGCTTCAAATGCGCTCATCATCATAATCATGCATGACAAACAGGAGCGCTGCTTCTCTGTACGCATGACAAACAAACAAGACAAACATCCGCTATACCTTGTCCTGTTGTTCACGTAACTGCCCTGGAACTGTACGTTTCTCGATACCCTGACTGACCTCCCGTTGTTCGAAGCTAAAATCGGCGTGGTCTGTGGTCTTCGGTCCGCCGTTCTGCTCACTAGGTAGCCGCGGGAGCCGCGCTGATATGATTTTGTATGTTCGATTTGTCATGCGGGGTTCTGCAGTAAATACCGCTTTTGTCATGCATAAAAGCGAATTTCTTCTTTTATCTATACCCCCGTCGTCCCCACTCCGACACTGAAGGCCATATTCTGCATCTCCCCCGGGTCGTACATGGAACTAAACTGGGAGAATATCCAAGAAAAAAAGCGTGTAAGAGTAACTTTTTTGCAGGAACAGCATTACAGATTTGCTTTGCATGACAGAGAAAACCTGTCATGCGTAGCAAGTACGCGAAAAGACGTATGAAAATAGCCTCTGATGCACGTCCAGCATGACAAGTGTAACTGTATTGCAACGCGGCCTGCACAACAATAAAGTATACACTATACACAGTTTTTTCCTTGCATAGAGAAATCTTGACTAAAGTCGTTCCGCAGGTCGTCCTATGCACTTGCCAAACTTGTACTTTATCGCACAGTACGTAGATAATTTTGCATCACAAATTTTAATTTCTTGGAAACAAAAAAACATCGAGTATGTCATGCAGGTTTCGCTACAGAAAGAAACTCTGTCATGCAGAACCACGATTGTGCGATACTACGTACTTTTGGTTCACAACAGGATACGTCCGACTCATTCACATTTATCAGCCCGCTCATGTCGCTCGCGTACGCGTCTCCGTGGATTTCCTGGTGTAAGTTCTTGTGGTGCGGGCTTCGCGGGGACACCTTAAACGCTTCTAATTTCCCCGTTTTGCTGTTCGGGCTGTACTCCCCACCCCTCGTTATCGACTTGCGGTGCCACCCCGTGCCGGAGAAGGTACTGTCTCGTGGCGACCAATCCTCAGGAATCATCTCTATGCATTGCATATATAATGTCTGGGTCTGGAAGATTGCAAGGTTTGTCGTGCATATTGTGCCTGACCCATGACGCCTGTAATGCATGACCCAGCATCACAGATTTTTAGTGGGCTTCCTGATTCCGATACCGCAGGAGAAATGCCCTCTCCACATAGCACAAACTGGACTCCTCTTACTGGTCACTCAAGCAATACAGATTTTTTTAGAATCCAAAGACAGCATCACAAGTTGCATTCTTCCAGACCCAGATAACATATTTGCAGTTCATAATCTCCGGGGCATTGTGATTCGCGTTGTTCTGCACCATCGAGGGTTTGTTGGCCTCGGGGAATCGGAGGCTGTGATGGTGTACATTTTTGTGAGCCAGAACCAACTACTGACGCAAAACAAAAACATCAAACGCATTCGCCTCTCCTCAACATGCAGGTCAACATGCAACAAAAACCATCGCTCTGTTCAGAACCACGCTCTACGACTCATTACCTGTTCGCATGATGCTCCAACCTGAGCGTGTGTTCGTGCGGCCAGAAGCTGGAGTATCGTTTTCTGCTCCACCTTATGCATTGCAAAAGTACCGTACTAACACGTTAGTATGAATCGGATTAAAAAATTTTTCAGCGTGAAAAATTAAATTTGTCATGCTATTCTACCTTGAAAATCAGATTTGTCGTGCATGCCTGCAATTACAACGTACGAGTACGATACTTGTGCACAGGATACACCTGTGCATGGGGTTTTTGCTCCATTCCGTGTCTGAGGTATGGAAGTGTCAGAATCAAAATGGACAAAATCGAAAAATTTGTGACGCATAAAATCGAAGTCAATTGAAGCCTCAGTTTCCAAGTGGCGCATGACAAACAAGGCCCACCCGAGCGTGGGGACAGGGTCCCCACGCTGGGGCCTTGTGCCCGTCCCTAGTGGCGCTAGTGGGAGAGGGTGTTCGGCATCGGGGCGGGCAGCGTCCGCCCCTCGCCTCACACCAGGCGCGCGCATAGTGGCTTAGTGCGCGAGGCACTAGTGGGGCAAGGCAGGGCGTTCACCTGTCGCGGTCACCTGTCAAGGTCACCTGTCGAGGTCACCTGTCGAGGTCACCTGTCGAGGCCACCTGTCGCCAGGGGTATGCGTTACCAGAACCTGGAAGTCAAGCAATGTAAATATTAATTTCGGGAATACCCAAATCCAGTCTGTCATGCTGTTTGGGCAAAGAAGACTCCTCCTGTAGTGCTACTCTGGCAGCACATTGTGTACCCCTGAACAGGCTTACAATCGGTCTCATTTGCATGCTCCCCAACCCCAACACAGGCCTTCAGTGCCCCACATTTTACGCATCACAAATTTTTCGATTTTGTCGATTTCGATCCTGACACATCCATAGGAGGCGTCTAAATCGTACAGCGATGACTGCGCCGACTCGACGCTTCGGCTAGACCTGGCTTGTCTGCTGTGCAGCTTCAATCGCATATACTGTGCCGCGTATCGTGGGTCTGACTTGTCGTAGAGCCTTCGTTTCGTCAGGGAGAGGCGGCTGTTTTTTTGATGTGGTTGTGCTGGTGATATAGTAGATTTGAAGTAGATCGATTTGCCATGCGAGGCAGGCTGGCGTACCATGGTCGTTTATCCTGAATAAACTTTTAGTTTTACGTACTAAGTAGTATGAAAACAAGTTCTATACGCCATATCCGCGCTTTTCAGATTCCTCTGCCACGTCCTGTCTGGGTCGCCGGACATGATTCCCGTGTAGGGGTTTTCGCCGCTCGCGGCGAAAATTCCATTTATTGATGCGGACGACATCTTCTTGATTGCGGTTTACTGTAGTCTGCTCTACTTCTGCGAAGAGCAGCTGCTCCAGTTGTAGTCTGTCACCACTGAATTGTAGGTGTTTGCAGTTTCGTCTTCGTTCAGCAATGGCTTCGCCTTGCCCTGCTTGCTTTGTCCACAGGTGGTAGCTAGCTGCGGAGACCACTGTGGCCACTCGCACTCCTGTTGTGTGAAGACCGCGGTGTTATGCTTCAGTCAGCAAGAGCAATCCCGAGTCAGCCTGTCAGTGCGCAATAAGGCGTCGCACGGTAGTGAATGTTAGACGTTCTCCGGCTCTTGCGCTGGCTGGGCGTTACAGTTTGGCCTTCCCCTGGCCGATATCTGTCAGAACGAAACGGAGTGCATTTCTACGTTGGTTGGCTTGGGCCCTTTCTTCCATACGAGGTGCGATGCTTCTCTTTTGGTGCGCATGCTCCCGCCACCAGTGGACGGGGATGCTCAGAGAAATCACCAAGATCAACAGCTAAAAGTAAAAACGTGCGCGGGAAGACCGCAGCTTTCTCACGGGTGCGTATGTTGTATCTTTGTGTTGTTGCGGCAACTACAACACAAAGATACGTACATATTGCTGAGCAACTCACTTGAAACTCCGTCTCAGCCACTCATCCTCGTCGGTACCAACCAACGTGCATCGCAACGGCTGCACTTCGTGGAGCGCCAACCTGCTGCACTTCGTGAGATACCACATCGCTCGGGCACAAAGATTGCGCGCCCCTGTAAGGGTCGGCTCAACAACATTTTTGTTCATCAGGTGAAAACCACAAGCGGAACGACCCTTCAAACGCCAAGGAGAGGTCGGCCCCGGAGCAGGACACCGCGCAACGTGGCCTAGGCCCAACAGGCGTGCGGATGATCAACACCAGGCAAGACAATACTCACGACGGAGCCTATGAATGGCTGCGGGCTGCGGCCGGCCACGAGCAGGAACTCACTGTCGATGGAGGCGGCGCCAGACGGACATACGAAGCACGCGCACGCCCCGAAAGCGCGCTGACATAAAAACACTGAGGGAGCGAGCAGGCCCCAGGCGGGAGGCAGGCGCCAAGGCCTTCGCGCACGCCAATCAGTAATACCAACGGGGCAGGACCAGCCCACCGGGCCCCAAGTAGGCAGCCGGGCACCGGTAGATTGACGGGGCGCGCGGGGCCGCTGCACACGGTGGGGCGGGGCGGGGCATGCAAGGAAATGACCCCGCTGGGCCCTGAAACTACGCACCCCCGGCCGCATATACAACGGGGCCGGCTGCCCAAAATGTACGCCGTGCCCGCCACTGACCTCCCGGGTGTCTGCGTGGGAGGCCAACAGGCGCCACAGGATAGGAGCCAAAACAGGGCCGCCAGGGCTGCTCCGGGCGTTGCTGGTTCCGCGGCGTGCTAGCTTTCGCCTTCAGTCGGCGAAGACGGGGATACCTCCCTCCGACCAGTCCCGAAAGCCGGGGGCCGCGCGCCGGCCCAAACCATCCAAGCCGGGCGGGCGGCGCCCATTCGATCAGCCGCCCAGAGTTTTTACGGTGGGGCCACACCCCGCCCCAAACCCGCCAAAGGCGAGACGCAGACGCTCGCCAGAGCCCATCGGCCCTATGAGCCACGGCGGCAATACCTTCACCACGATGGGGGCGGGGGCTCGGGCAAAGGGCGCGCCCGCGCACCGGGCAGACGGCCTCGCTCCCCCGAAAAGAAACGGCCCGGCCAGCCAGGGGCCAAGAGGTGCGTGGCGCAACTGTACTGGCAGCGCGCTGGCTGCGACCCGACGTTTTTGCCGACCACGGCGGACACTCACCCACTGGCGGTTGGCCCAACTGCTTCGCAATGGCCTCACCCGGGTACGGAGACGCCAGCCGACGGCGGTGATTCTGCGGCCCCCCTCCGACCGGACCCGGGGGGCTCTTGCGCAAACTGTTTCCCTGCTTGAGTGCTCGCCCGGTCTCAAGCCCAAGGGCGGCGCCGCGCAGAGTTAACGAGCGCCAAACCAGAGCGCTCCGGCCTTCTTATAATCGGGGAAGCTGTAAGCGTGTCAACTTTCGGAAGTTTTCTACCGCTCCTCCTGGTCCTGACTCTCTTCGTCTCGCGTCACAGAGATCTCCAGAAATGTGGCTGAATTCAGAAAAAGATGAACAGAGCACCACTCTATTGATTCAAGACAACACACACGATAGATTTGCACCGCGCCCCCATCTACACCATAAGGAAGGTAGTTTCCCTGCTGCCTCCACACTGTATTTTACTTTTTCAGAGATTGCGATGAATTGAGAAACGGAAACGTCCTTAAATTTTCGGTTCTATTGTCCCTATCCATCCGATTTGGGGAGCTGCGAAACATCCGGAAACGAAGTTCTTCATCGCTAATTGTAAAATTTGGAAACGAAAAAGTTCTGGCACGGACCCGGATCGTAGATAAGTCCGTCGCGGTAAATAGGGTCTAGTACGAAAGGAGTTGAAGTAGTCTTGGAAATTACTACTTGAAAGGGAATCTCAATCTTCTTCAAAACCGCGGCAAATTATCTCAGCAAGTTCCTCGTCTGCCCGCCTTGATGTAACTACTCCTGCTTGGTGACGCAGGTCGTTAGTTCACAAAACGAGCGCAAGGAAATGCGAAGAAAAGTATTGGGTGGCGCGGTTTCATGATCGCCCCTTCAGGATACGTCGGCGGCGGTAAATCTTGATCTTCATAGAAATTTCATAAAATCGTAAATCAGTACTGTAGCAAGGCATTTTTTGATAAAACTTTTTTGACATCGTAAAATCCTTTTTAAATCCCAGTTTCATTAAGCTAGTCGACTATGACAGGTTGGTATGGAGTTCCAGCTGCGGTTGCGCAAGCGGATGCGGAATCCATCAGCAGGTCGCCACGTAATTGTATTTGTAAATCCTCACCAGCATTCTTAAAGTATAGCGCCACGCAGTGGCAATGAATTTTCAATTTTGTAAAGCGAAACTTGATGTCTAAATCTGAAGACGATGTGGGTAAAACCGTAAACAGTTCGAGAAGTAGTTGTCAACCGAGAAACGAATTGCTAAAGTAAAAGTAGAAGTAAAAGCATAAGGAAAAGTAATCAGTTTGAGTTCTCGTTAGATATGATGTGTGAGTTAAAAGCTCGACTGCTTGATTCGCATATTAATGACCAAACGCACAGAAAATGCGCCTGGCAACACCGTCTGGGTGCGAAGCAGCGAGATCTTTGTCCTCCGGTAAAAAGTTCTTTGACAAAAAGTTGTCAGTCTATAATTTTTCATCGGCCTACACCTACTACTAGTAGTAAAGCGAGTTCGCGTTGCACCAAAAAAAAGTAAACAAGAAGGTAAGATGTTGCTTCTTTGTCATTATCCTTTTTGAAGGCGCAAAGATAAGTTCCTTTAACGGTATCGAAACTCGTAAATCTAAATTGTCTTGCTCTGTCAAAGCATTTGCTCGCCGAAGTTATACTAGCAGGACGAATCCGAATCTGTAATATCGGTTTATAATTGCTCGAGAAATTCAATGGTCTTGTGTTTTCGAATTTTGGAAACACTACCCTGCTGTAATGGTGCGTTCTTCTTCTATTTTCAAAACTTCGTAAAAACCTGGTAAGTATATTACTGTAAGTAGATTTAGTTCAAAATTGTGCTGTAAAGTTGAAGTTCTATGAGTCTAAACGAAGAAATCGGTAGAAGGTCGAGGTGACGACGACTCAGACTCTGCCGACTGTGCAATCAAAATTTTATTTGCGGTTTGTATTTATGCTGCTGACGGAAGCTGCTAGGCACTGTTTTGCATTTTGTAAACCTCCACCGAGGGTAGTTGTTCTATGGGACAGAAGATGTGAAGAGAGACGTTAGTAGTTGAAGCTCAAGTCCTAAATTCTCTAGTGGTTTTCATATTCATCGATGACAACAGAAAGAAGTCGCTGCCAGCAGCAGAAATTCATGTTTCCCTGTACTGGTCTTTTCCATCAAAATTTCAGTTTGTATTCTCTAGTAGTTACTTTTTGAATTTGATATAAACAGCTTGCGGTATAACCTCAATCTCATTCAAACTTCTTCCGCTCGTTCTTCACTTCACTACTTTTAATAAACCTACTTGTCCCCACCCGCTCCCAACATCTCCTTGATAAGCGACTTGACAATGGACGGTTGTTCCTGTTCGTGTTCCCCCTCAGTGTCACTTTCCCGGTCCTCGTCTTTCTTTCCTGCTACTTTCGCTCCCAAACCGCCTCCCGTAATCGCGTCGATGTTGTCTTCGGGGAAGAGGTAGTCCTTCTCTGTCGATTTAAACACATCCTGTTCATCCCGATCTTCGGTGGTCTCCCCATGACAGCACCCAGCGACGTCCTGCTCGTTATTTATTTCATCTTCGCCGTCCATGCTATTCGCAGACAACGCGGAACCGGCAGTCACCATGGAATCGCGACGGTTTCCGGATTATGCATTGCAAAAGTATCGCACTCGCATAAATGCATTACAAATTCCCTCAGCATGAGCACTAAAATTTGCCATGCGGATTTACCTTAGCAAAAAAATTTGTAATGCATGACTGCAATTACTACGAGTACGATACTTTTGCACAGGATACGGAAGAGCCGATCACCGAGTACGAGTTCACAATCGCGAGAAAAAAGCGTTTCACTGTGAACTTGTGATGCAGAAAATGGATCGCAGAAGTGTGTGTCATGCTATACATGCAAGACAATGGATTTCTAGCTGTGTTTTCCCTTAAGAACGCCGCATGGCAAATTTCCGCTGTCATGTAAAACAAACTTGTGATGCAAAACCTGCAAAATCCTTACAGTGAAACACTTTTTTCGTGCGATATTCACCGAGTTTACGCTGCAGCCACCGGGAGAACAGCCGAAGGAGTCTGGGGAAACGAGTTCCATATGGCGTTCTCAACTCTTACATTCTCAACTGTTACATGAATTTGCAATGCAAGAATGGCAACAGTCAAAGGGGTAAGCTTGCTGCTTTCGCATCACAGATTTGGCACGAATTTAGATGCTGCTTAGCGTCTCGGAGATTTGTCATGCGAAGCAGCTTGATTATCTGGCGGCTTATGCAGCTTAAGTTAGTTTTGCATGACAAGTTCGTCTAAAACTTGAGAATGTAACGTTTGAGAATGCCATATTCCAGTTCCGGAGAGTACAGCGTGTCCACGAACTTTTTCACGGCGGACTCAGGATGTTGAACAAGGTGGTGATTTTTCGACGTTTTGCTGTTTGTCATGCTCGTACCACTTCCCGCAGTAGCTTGTTTTTTTCCCTTTTTCATGGAAGAAGACCCGAGAAATCTGTGGTTCACAGTGGTAGACGCGCCGCCATTTCGCACGGAGGAGGACCCGCTTGTAGTTCCGTACGCTGTGTGGTAGGTGGTCTTGGAGTTGCTGTTCATCGACGCAGCATTGGTCGTGTTCTTGCTGGTCGTAGAGCTCGTCTTGCTGGTAGATGAAGTTGTACTGGAGCAACCTCCGATCGGCGGAAAGATCAAGTCCGAACCAATCCCAAGTTCGTCCGGGACCACTCTTCCGACCACAGATGACTCCGCACCTGCTCCAGTCGTGTTCTCACCTTCCGCCGCTTCCACGAAGGATAACTCTCCGTCGACGTCATCTTCGGACAGTTTCTTCGGCGGGGCAAAAGTGTGGTACTTGGTGCACTTTTCCTTGTTCAGATTCCCGGTCACGTGGTCTTGCTCCGCCCACTGGTGCATATCCTGTGTAAAAGTATCGCACTCGTATTGTAAAGTCATGCATTACAAATCTTTTTCTTCAGGTAAATCAGCATTACGCATTTTATTTCTCATGCCGAGTGAATTTGTAATGCATGTATACGAGTACGATACTTTTGCAGTTCATAGTGCACGTGGTTTTCCAATTCCTCTAAGTAATCATTGTCCTTGCAGTAGTCCAACGCGGCTTGGTATCGCAAGAAAAAAGTTTTACAGTTACACATTGTGTTGCACACCGAGCAAGACAGACAAGCTCTGTCATGCCGGATATGCATAGGAGCCTCGTTGAGTAGGTGTTTTCCCGTAGGATTTCTGCATTACAAGTTTTCTCTCTCATGCAGAGAAATTTGTGTTGCTGAATTGACTACAAATGTGTAACTGTAACATTTTTTTCGTGGGATACTTGATAGAGCAGAAAAATGTACCGGTAATTGTAACTGTACGGCTTGTATGCATTGCAGAAGTACGCACACGTAGTAAGAATTGCATGACAAACTTGCTCAGCATATCGAGTGGATTTGTCATGCCGATTTAGCTTTCCGATGGAGATTTGTCATGCGAACTAGCTGCGATTGCAATTGCTACGAGTGTGATAGTTTTGCAAGGCATAGCTTGTACTCGCGCCTCCGCCGGATGATCAAGTGAAAGGCCTGATCATATCAAAAGGAAAAATCCCCCCTCCCCATATCAAAGCGGAAATCTGTGATGCAGATTTGTTGTCACAAATCAGCTTTGTCATGCTACACGGGAAAAGATGCGGACTGTAGTGCTGGGTGGCGTGGGGGAGCCTTGCATCTTCAGCATGATAGGAGGCAGCTGAGAGTGGGAAACAGCATGACAAATTGCCTGCAAACGAGACCACGACTGCGGCGCTTGGCCTTCTAGCATGACAAGTCGATTTGGTACCTCAAATCCTGCATCACAGATTTCCATTTCGATATGGGGAGGGGGGATTTTTCCGTTTGATAGATCATATCCGGACTCGTTCCGGGTCGCCAGTAGTTCGTCCCCGAAAATCATCATGAGCCGGATGAAAGCCGAGTCCAAATGCGCATTCAGCAGGGTGGCGTTTGGTGGGCAAATTTCGTAAAACATCTATCCACAGTAAATTTCCTGCACATCATGTACGTAAACGTATGCGGTTTCCGCATGACAAAACTTTCTTTCAATTCTATTCAGCATGACAAGTGGCATGCTCCAAGTTGGTGACATTTGTGATGCATTTTGTACATGCACCGGAAATTTGTAGTGCATAACATTTTTTCCAATTCGATGAAGTGCTCCACAGATTTCGCTTCGTATCGAATGCAAAAGCATCGCACTACGTAGAAATCGCATTACAAATTTCCTCAGCATTACAAATTGAATTTGTAATGCTGATTTGCCTTGAGAAAGAAATTTGTAAATTTAGTCGTTGAAAATTTCCATATTTGTGCGCATATTTGCAAAATGTAGAGGACTCGCAGCAGCAGCTTTTGGCAGCTGACCGGCGGTCTGCCAGCCTTCCTTCTCGTGCTTCCTTTTGCCGCTCCACTGAAAGTGCGGGAAAGGGCGTCAGAAGGTGTCGTTGTAAGCCATTTTCTGCATTTTGCTATGATGGAAATTCCCAGCTCGGTTTTCCGGACTGGCCAAAGGAAAGTGCCGAAGACCGAGGCCTTCCGGGAAGCCAAAGGGAGAGGGGAGTGGGGCTGCAGGCGAGGCCAGGAGCAGCGCTCTGACTTTCGTGTGGAGCCGCCTGCCGTGCGGCGCCCCTGTGTTGCGCACCTTCTACACCCGAACGAAGCCTGGGCGCGAGGGTGCGCCCAGGCTTCGTCTGGATGTGTCTCCGCGCGCGTAGGAGTTGGCGAGGCGACCAGCCATCCGCCAAATCCTCGGGTTTGGAAGTCAGACGGTGTGGGGAGTTGAAAGTATTGACGCTCGCCATTTTGCAATGATGGAAATTCCCCGCTCGGGTTTGGGTGAGAGGCAAGCTACAATTTGCAATGATGGAAATTCCCCGCTCGGGTTTGGGTGAGAGGCAAGCTACAATTTGCAATGATGGAAATTCCCCGCTCGGGTTTGGGTGAAACACAAATTGGGATTTTGCAATGATGGAAATTTCCCGCTCGCGTTTCACCTTCGCCAAGCTCACCCAATGCGAAAACGCATACCCCAAAGCAATACCCCAACGCGATACCCCAAAGCAATACCCCGTACGAATACCCCCATCAATACCCCCCGGGATTTTTGGACTCAGCTCGGTGCACAACGATGACGAATACCCCCAGCAAGTACCCCCTTCAAGGGGTATTTGTTTGGGGTATTGGTCTTCATGCGACATCTTTATGCGAACCCAAGATGCCTGACAGTATTTCCCGATCGCACCGGAACCGTGGGCGGTTGCTTTGCGACCTGGCTGAAGTACGGCCAAGAGTTTCTGGAGCAGCGGGACATGCTCAGCGAAATACAGCTACTAGGCATGTTGCGCGGTGGGCTAGCGCTCGGTGGAGGTGCTTTCCTCGGATTTGCTGCGCTTTTTGGGTGCATGCGCGCTGGCCGGGAGACCACCTGGAGGCTTTTCACGAATGGCCCCCGGCTTTGGCGAATGCTGGCGGCCTGCTTTTCCGCATCCTAAAATTGCAAGAAGACGCGCCACGCCGGTCGCTAAAAAGAGTTGCCGACCGCCACTATTGAGAGGCTGCAGCCAGTTGCGGCGCGCTACAGCCGCTGCGTTTGGCCCAGTTCCAGAATTGCAAACAATCAGCGCGCCTGGATTCGCGCGGCTCTGGTGCAGCCGCATATCCGTTCGGCTGACCCTTCGCCAAAGGGGTAGCGCTAGGATGTATTCGCTATCTACTAACTGCGCCAGCGGTGCCAGAGAATGAACCTCCGGCTTCCGCTCGACTCCCCAGCAACTCGCTGACGCGAAAACGTCGGGCGCGGGCGTGAAAGATGAACATGGCAGGCCCGGTAGCGGGTTGCCTTTCGCTACATTTTGCAAATATGCAGCTAGATATGGATATTTCCAAGGATTAATAAATGCATAAATGCAATTACTGCGAGTACGATACTTTTGCACAGGATACTTCGGACTTAGAAACGAATTTCTCGTATCCCGCAGCAGCCATGGAGAAAAACTGATTTTTTTATTTTTTTGTTCTGAAATGTGCATGACAAACCGCAAATCGCATATGTTTCCAGAAGCACCGACGTCTAATTATACCTTCGTGAACGGTTTCACCCCGTAGTATTTCAGCATCGCGAAAACGTCCTGCATATGCATTGCAAAAGTATCGTATTCGTATAAGTGCATTACAAGTTTGCCCAGCATGAGAGATAAAATTTGTAATGCGGATTGACCTGAAGAAAAGGATTTGTAATGCATGACTGCAATACGAGTACGATACTTTTGCACAGGATACTGCACCACCTTCCAAAAGATCAACGCGGAGGAGCACTGCGTTTTGTCACTACTCCAGTATGCATTGCAAATATGTCTGAGTCTGGAAACTTGTGATGCAAGTCAGGGAACAAGAATGAGCACACTGTACTGCACTGCCAAGCATGACAAGTTTTTCCGTGGTTCTGAGTTGCGTACTTACTCCGCATTAGAAACTGCGTTTTTGCAACATGACAGGCAAGAGGAGCTCATCTTTGCGGCCACGCAATACAGAGCTCAGCGTCATGCAAGACTAGCATGACAAGTCTCGCAATCTCCCAGACCCAGACATATTTGCATTTGATATCCAGCAGTTCGTGACGAAGGATAGCAAATGCAGGAACACCTTCTCCTGCAACGTCTTGTCCTTCGGGTCCTTCTATCGAATGCAAATATGTCTGGGTCTGGAAACTTGTGATGCTAAAATGTGGATGATAGAAACCATTTCGAAGGCAGCCCAGCATGACAACTTTCCAGAACGCTTTCTCATACGTACTCCGCATGAGAAACTGTGTTTTTGCATGACAAAAATGGCTGCCACTTTTGTTGGTTATGCAATACAGATCTCTCAGGAAAAATGTCGAGCTGGCATGACAGGTTCCAACTCTCCAGACCCAGACATATTTGCATTTGATACCTTCAGATCCCACTGCACCTGGTATTTCGCCTCATACGCTTGCATCCTTTCCTCCAACAAGTAGTAAAACCGCAACCCGTGCGTCAGCTCCTTCTTCTGAAAGTCAAAAACCTTCTCCTTCAACGGCTTCGGTTCGTCTTTCCCCCCGGAAAATTTGTCGTAAAACGTGTTTTTGCTCGCTGCGACTAAGGGCTGCTCCGAGGAAGAGGATGAATTATCGGAGGTAGTGGAGATGGTTTTTGTCATTGTCGTGGTGTTCGAAGCTGCCGAGAAAGTTTTGTTCATCTGCTTGATGTGGTCGGTTTCACCGACACCGTCAGCTACACCCAGAACCTCGGCGAGTTCGTCCTCGTTCGTTAAGCCCGGAGGCGGCGCTAGATTCTTGCCGGATGATAAAAACGAACCGCTGATCCGTTTAATGTTTCCGGAAGTCGTGGAGGATTTGTTCTGATGTTCTTCGACACCACCGTTTATTATTTTCTGCTTTGCAACGTGCTGATTGTGATTGTCCATACCAACTCCTCCCCCTTCCGCTGCGAGGAACTCCGGCGTTTTCGGGATCGGTTCCGCATGATTGGACGAGCCAGAGTTTTTGTGGAACTCTCCCTGCTCGTCCGCATAGTACGAGGTAGAAGTACAAGAGCCCGAAGACAGTGCCATGGTGGATCCTTTCGACAGTTTTTTCTCCCGCTTGATGTTTTTACTTATCAGAAGAAAAAGTGTTAAGGTTAACGGTTTCCACAGATTGCAATCATGCATCACAAATGTAGCCCAATATGCATGCTATGCATGACACATCTGGGCACGTTTTGCGATGCATTACTGCATTACAAATTCCGTTCACGTTAACACTTTTTCGTGTGATATTACTTGTGTCTTGATCATTCTCGTCATCTTCGCTGGCATCCAATTTCTATCGCAGGAAAAAAGTGTTACAGTTACACATTGTCATGCGAGACTGGCAACAGAGACAACCTTTCTCATGCAGGAAATGCTTCGGAGCTTCGTTTCCTTCCTGTTTTCCCTTATGATCTTCGCATTACAAGTTTTCTCTGCCACACAGAGAAAATTTGTGATGCAGAAACTCCAACAAATGTGTAACTGTAACACTTTTTTCTCGTGATAATTTCGTATCAAGATCTTCGCCCTCTCCGTCCGATTCGCGTTTTTTGCTGTCCGTGTTGGACACAGAGTCGTTCTTACCGTCGCTGCTGGTGCTATCCGCGTCAGATTCGTCGTCGTCAAAGTTAATGTTGTACTCTTTTCCTTTCCCAGTTGTAGAAGAAGCGCCAGTTCCACCTCCGAGCATCATTTCTAACGGAGCTCCTTTCATCAATTTTCCGCCCTTGATCCCCTGCTGATTTTTATCCCAAGAAAACAGTGTTACAGTGACACATTTGTTTTAAAACTTCAGCAACACAAACTTGCTCTACATTTTTACAGAGAAATAAACCTGCAATGCAGAAATCCTAAGGGAAAACACGTACGAAAAAAGCCTTTTATGCCTATGCGGCAGGAGAGAGGTTGTCTCTATTGCTGGGTCTGCAGCACAGTGTGTACCTGTAACATCACTTTTTTCTTTGCATAATTCTGGTAAAACGCGTAGTACTTGCTCATCCACTCCGCCCATTCTTCCTTCGACCAGTTGCTGTTACTCTCCTTTCCTATCCTAGAAAAAAACGCTGTTAGTGTAAATTTGTGATGCTTAACATGCAAGATGATTGCGTCTGTCATGCTTGGCATGCATCGTGGGGTACACGAAAGGGCGTTTTCACGTACTATCTGCGCATGACAGGTTTTTGCTGTCATACCAGACAAATTTGTAATGCTGTTCCTCCAAAAAAGTTACACCTACAATGTTTTTTTCTTGGGTATTTCCCGCAGCCAGAATACTACTCCCGCCATTTATGTCCTTGTTCAACATGTTACCCTTTCCGGATGATAGCGTAAATCCCGACCCCTTCGGCCCCTTGTGCAGTCCTATGAATTGCAAATATGTCTGGGTCTGGAAGGTTGCAACTTGTGATGCTGGATTTGGATTCATTTAAGATTAAGACGACTTGCATTGCATGACCAGCAAGAGGAGTCAAGTTTCTTTGTGCTGCGCGGGGAGGGCATTTGTCATGCGGAATAAGCATCAGAGAGCCTTCTTAAGGTCTCTGATGCTAGGCCATGCACCACTGGCATCATGGGTCGTGCAAAACATGCATGGCAAACCTTGCATTCTTCCAGACCCAGACACTTTTGCTTTTGATAAGTCCGTACCACTTTCCGGTCGGATCCCACGACTGGTACCACTCGCGCATCATCTTCTGGTACGCCTCCGGGTTGTTCTTCCCATGCGCACCGGGCTTGTTTGTGGAGTCTGGGTATCCTGTGCAAAAGCGTCGTACTCGTATTGCAATCATGCATTACAAATCTTTTCGTTAAGTCAAATCCGCATTACAACTTCTATTCTCATGCTGAGGAAATTTGTGATGCATTTATACGAATACGATACTTTTGCAATGCATACTGGGTTGTTGGTTGCAACACCTTTCCCGTTTTTATTCGCGTACCAGGAGGTGGGCGGGGGACGCTCGGACTCGTTTGTGGTGGATGTAGGACCACCACTACTACTGCTTCCGTGTTTCCCGATCGAATTCCACCAACCGTCTGGTGCACCGCCGCCGCCAAATTTCCCACCTTTTGCACCGCCCATCAGTCCACTTCCGGGGGCGGAAAAAGGGCCACCAGCAACCTTTGGTCCTCCAGCTCCGGGAAAACCACCAGCTCCGGCGAAAGCCGCCTGTGTATGGCATTCTCAAACGTTACACTGTCAGCTGTTAAATGAATTTGTGATGCAAGAACGGCAAACGTGAAAAGGGGGACCTTGCGCGTCTTGCATGACAGATTTGGCACAGATTCTCAGCCTGTTTGCCGTTTGTCATGCGCAGCAGCTTGATCATGCAGATACTGATGGCAATTTTGCATGACAAATCGTGTAACAGTTGAGAATGTAACATTTGAGAGTCCCATACTGTGCCATCCACTCGTCGAAGGTAACCGAGCCGTCGAACGGCGGGGGCTGTTTTGGAGATCATGTTGTACAACCGGTGATTTCAGATATATTAACATTTAAGTTCTTCGCATCGACAAGTACTGGACAAGCAGCAAGTTCACCAAACACGACCACATCGAGATCTTCTGTCATGCTCAAGATGCATCAAAGTACTATGGGAAGAAACAACTATACCAAAGTCAATCCCGCTGCACCCCAGGTCTCGCCCAGAATTTTCCCATAATCCAATCCTGGAAACAGGGCCGTCGGGTCCGGAAATCCGGGGATAGCGCCAGGCAACCCCGCAGTTCCTGGGAGCCCTGGAAAACCACCCAAGCCCGGCACCATTGGAAACCCCGGCATTGGAACCCCGAGCGGTCCTGCAGCTCCGGGCAACCCAGGTAACCCGGCCAGACCCGGCAGCAAACCAGCGGGAGCTGCTCCGGGAATCATTCCTGCTCCCGGAGCTGCTGCACCAGGTAAACCTCCGGGGAAGCCGGGGATCAAACTTGGGTTCGCAGTGTAGAACCCGAGGAGGTCGTTGAACATCTGGTCATACGCGGACAAAGCGTATCAAGCGCATACATCTCTGGGTCTGGAAGGTTGGAGCTTGTGATGCTAGCTTTGGATTCCAAAAAAATCTGTATTGCATGATCAGCAAGAGGAGTCTAGTTTGTGTTACGCGGGGAGGGCATTTTTCATGCGGAATAGGCACCAGGAAGCCCTCTAAAAATCTGTGATGCTAGGTCCTGTATTACAGACATCCTGGGTCATGCAAAATATGCACGACAAAGACAAACCCGGCAACATTCCAGACCCAGACATTTTTGCATTTGATAAAGCAGGATTCGAAGAACCCGGAGCACCAGCAGCTGCTCCTGCTCCACTACTCGCCCCACCTCCAGCGCCGCCCGCACCCGCCGCAGCGGCTAACAGCGGATTCAAATTCGTGCCTTCCACTCCTCCTGGACTGCCCGCGAATAAAGAATTCGCGCCGGAAAGCAGACTGGAAGATGTTTTGTTGTTTTTATTGTCCGAATGTGAATTAGAAGTACTATTTGGGGGGAGTATCAAATGCAAATATGTCTGGGTCTGGAAGGTTGCAACTTGTGATGCTGCTTTTGGATTCTAAAAAGATCTGTGTTGCATGACCAGCAAGAAGAGTCCAGCTTGTGCTACGTGCATCGTATCGCTTTGACATTTGACTCCTGTCAGGGTGGCGTTAGAACAGATTTAGCCTCTGCCAATACCGTGGCGTTAGAACAGATTTAGCCTCTGCCAATACCCTAGGTGGACACCCGCTTGTGCTACGTGGACAGCAAGAAGAGTCCACCTTGTGCTACGTGGAGAGGGCATTCGTCATGCGGACTAGGCATCAGGAGGCCCCCTAAAAATCTGTGATGCTAGGTCCTGCATTCCAGACCTCATGAATCATGGAAAAGCTGCATGACAAATCTGACAATCACAATCTTCCAGACCCAGACATTTTTGAAATCCATAGGGAGCGGCGGCGTGCAAACCCGAGATTTTTTGCTGTTGGTGGAGTTATCGTCAGACTTGTCGTCAGATTTCAGGAACTTGCTACTTTTCGGACGATGGATGCTGCTTTTCTGGTTTTCCGGACCCCCGGGAGTCTGTCGTGAGAGAAGTTCGTGGATAGCAGGTAGTTCATCTACAAAACAAAATTCCTTCTCGGTAGTACTAGTATCACTATCAGAAGGCTTTGTTTTGAAAGAATAAGATTTTGCATGAGAAACAAGGTCCGAGCACGGGGACAGAGTCCCCGTGCGGCGACCTTCCGGCATTTGTCTGGGACGAGTTCGGGGGTTGTGGTGGCACTGGGCAGGCAGACCCCTGCAGCCCGGTGTTTCTGTGTGGGCTGCGTCCCCTGATCCGCGACAGATCTGCGGACGGAGCCCCTCTGCTTGCCCACACTAGACCCGTTAACCTACCGCGAACAAAGAAAACAGAAAGGAAGAAGCTGGCGCCGGGTCTGCAGCTGGCCCCTAGGTCATGACGCGGGGACCGAGTCCCCGCGCTGACCTAGGGCTTTTGCCCCTGGGCCGTGCGGCTAGTTTCCGGGAATGAAACGCCCAAAGCTGGCCCCTACGTTATGACGCGGGGACCGAGTCCCCGCGCTGACCTAGGGCTTTTGCGCCTCGGCCATGCGGTTAGTTTCCGGGAAGCGCCCAAAGCTGGCCCCTCGGTCATGACGCTCGCGGGGACCGAGTCCCCGCGCTGACCTAGGGCTTTTGCGCCTCGGCCATGCGGTTAGTTTCCGGGAAGCGCCCAAAGCTGGCCCCTCGGTCATGACGCTCGCGGGGACCGAGTCCCCGCGCTGACCTAGGGCTTTTGCGCCTCGGCCATGCGGTTAGTTTCCGGGAAGCGCCCAAAGCTGGTCCCTAGGTCATGACGCGGGGACCGAGTCCCCGCGCTGACCTAGGGCTTTTGCGCCTCGGCAATGCGGTTAGTTTCCGGGAAGCGCCCAAAGCTGGCCCCTAGGTCATGACGCGGGGACCGAGTCCCCGCGCTGCCCTAGGTAGGGCTTTTGCTCCTCGGTAATGCGGTTAGTTTCCATCCGGGAAGCGCCCAAAGCTGGCCCCTAGGTCATGACGCGCGCGGGGACCGGGTCCCCGCGCTGGCCTAGGGCTTTGCCCCTGGGCCGTGCGGTTAGTTTCCGGGAAGCGCCCAAAGCTGGCCCCGCGGGGACCGAGTCCCCGCGCTGGCCTAGGGCTTTTGCCCCTGGCTGGGCCGTGCGGTTAGTTTCCGGGAAGCGCCCAAAGCTGGCCCCTAGGTCATGACGCGGGGACCGAGTCCCCGCGCTGACCTAGGGCTTTTGTTCCTGGGCCATGCGGTTGGTTTCCGGGATGTAAGCGCCCATAGCTGGCCCCTAGGTCATGACGCGGGGACCGAGTCCCCGCGCTGACCTAGGGCTTTTGCCCCTGGGCCGTACGGTGTCCGGGAAGCGCCCAAATCTGGCCCCCAGGTCATGACACGGGGACCGGGTCCCCGCGCTGACCGAGGGCGCCTTTCGTCCCTGGGCCTTGCCAACGGGGCCCGGGAAGCTCGACAGGGTGGCGGCTCGCGTGACAAACTGGAGCCCGCCATTGCACATCTCGCGTGGCGAGGTCCCAAAGTGTGTCCGGGGTGTGTCCGAAAGTCTGCCCGGGGTGTGTCGGAAAGTCTGCCCGGGGTGTGTCCGGGGTGTGTCTGGGGTATGTTCGGACTTTTTGCCTGGGGTGTGTTCGGGGGTCTGTCTGGGGTATGTCTGGGGTGTGTCTGGGGTGTGTCTGGGGTATGTTTATACCCCACCTGTTGCTTTTTCGCCAAAAAATTGTAATCCGCCCGTGATTGACGGCCATTTGCATACCCCTGACACACCCCCGAACATACCCCCGAACATACCCCTCGCCTGCATTTTTGACCAGCTGCTGCAGTTTAGATAGTAATACGCCGGCAGTTCCTGTACCTGTTATGCATCACAAACACACGCTCTTCTTGTAGTTTTATCATATCATACCTTCAGCTCCGGTTCGTCGGGATCTATTTCCAACGCGACCGGTTTCAACGGCGAAGTGTTTGACGAGATCGGCGTCGCAGGGGTGTTCTGTAGTAACGACATTCTTGTATATGATATTGATTTTGATAATTTAATGAACAATCATGCATGCAGATGCATGACGAGCTAGCACTTTATAAAACCTAAATCACCTTCACCGCAGTTCTCCTGCATGACAGGCAGTATATCTCCATCGCCAAAATCCTATACCCTTGTTCCCCGCGGGCGCCGCTTCTCGGAGCTTTTATTCGCTTGACCCTCACGAAGATGATTTACAGCCGCCGCTTCTTGTTGGGTCTTCTTTAATTGCTGCATCAGCTGTTCCCGTAGTTGGTCCGAGAGGGAGGGACCCTGATTACTCTGACTGTCGGAATGCATGCCCGCAGCTGGCATCATGCCGACGGGGGGCACATCGTCCCGGCCATGACTAGCTGGTGCCCCGTTGCTGTTGTTGTAAACTTCTGGCTGCATGTTGTTCTGCTGGTGCTGCTGGTGCATCATGGAACTCGTCTCGTGATTGTACGATCCGTTTTGTATCCCAGAGAAAAAAGCTGGCGGGGCATATTTGTATTTGTAATGCAAAAATAAATACACAGAAAAAGTTGTCATGGGTGGCCCCATAGCATGCTGTTTCGGATATGCAATACAGATTTTTTTGTGTATTTATTTTTGCATTACAAATATGCCCTGCCAGCTTTTTTCTGTGTGATATTTTGTTGCTGGCTGTACATCTGGTCCACGTTGCCGCTCATGGGATTGTACGGATCTACTTGCTGGAGGTTGTATTGCTGTTGCTGGCTGTACTGTCCGTGTCCATGGTCCATCATATTACCGTTTTGATGCTGCTCTTGTCCGTACTGCATCTGCTGGCTGTAATCAGCACCGGACGCCGTCGTGTTAGTACCCATCTGGTGGTGCTGTTGATCGTATTGTTGGTTGTTGTAAGAACCATTGCTGCCACCGTATCCATTGCTGTACCCAGCAGGACCTCCCTGCTGATCCTGACCCGCCATCATACCTTGGTGACCGTTGCTCCATCCCTGCTGTTGGTCCTGTCCCCATGAACCACCTCCGCTGTTGTAATTATGCATCCCGTCGTTGTAACCACTAGCACCGTTGTTCCAGTTCGCCTTTTGATGATTCGCGTTGTTTTTGTTCCAATTCTTCTTGTTGTTTTTCCAGTTATTGTTGTTGTTTCCCCACGTTGCACCATTGTTCCCGGTGCTACTGTTCCAGTTGGAGTTGTGGTCGCCAGCATTCTTGCTGCTTTTCCACTTGTTGTTCGCCGCTTTGTTAGGAGGCCCCCACTTGGACGCGTTGTTCCAATCGCCGGCAGCGTTGCTGTGATTGGCTATGGCGCTCTCAAACGTTACATTCTCAGCTGTTACATGAATTTGTCATGCAAAACTACCATCAAGATCCATACGAGCAAACTGCTTTGCATGACAAATTTGCGAAGGGCTAAAAAGCACCTAAATCTGTGCGGAGTTTGTAATGCTAGAGGTGCAGCCTTCCTCCTTTGACTTTTGCTATTCTTGCATTGCAAATTCGTGTAACAGTTGAGAATGTAACGTTTGAGAACGCCATATTGGCTGCCACCATGCTGTTCTTGACACAGGAGCTGCCGATCGACAGTCGACTATGGTGTCGTGGCTGATTCCGCGGTGAAAAATCTGATTGCGATTCTTGGGATCAATATCCCGCCTCTTCTCGTCCTCTTCCTCGATCTTTAGATTTCACTTTCCGTTTGTTTATTGACTTATTTTCCGGCTATTTTCGTTTTTACGACATAATTTTTTGAGTAAGCACTACGACATCAATCTCTTGTCGGCTTGCTTCAAAATTTTGAAACTTCTTCGAAACAATAAAACCAATCTTACATAGACGCCTGCCTGTCTACTACTATAGTATAATTTTTGGGCGGATTTTGGGTCATTTTTGCTGATGCCTGGGACAACTGGCCAGAAGCTAATTTTTCTGATGCTTTCCAAGATTTTCTTTTTCACTCGTGCTGTTCATCTTCAAGATCACAAGAACCCCCTCAAGAAACAAACTGACGAAGGAGCGGCCAGGACCTGCTCTCAAAAACTAACTTTTTGCACTCAAAAAACAATTTTGTGCTCTTCAACATCCCCGCTCAAAGAACAAGTTTTTAACGAGGTCGGTGGCTCTCTCGGCGTTAAAGATGTTAATGTTGACATAACGATACAACTCGGACCCGCGTCGAGAAAGTCTAAGAACACTTCGAAGTCGAAATCGAAAATTGCAGTTTCCTCATAGCATAGAAATCCAGTGATAGAAGTTGCAGTTGTTCCTTCATTAGGCTACAAACACGACCAGCTCATCTCTGTAGTAGTTTCTCGTGACGATGCAGCTATTTTTGCTTTAGCCTTCTTCGATTTTTTGTGAAGATCCTGCTGTGCTGCTTGTTAGAAACCTTCAATGGGCGATCATGGATTCCAACAGAGCTGCATCGTCTTTTTACTCAGGTAGTTCTAGTTTTACTGGGGCGATCATGCCTTCTTGTGCATTTTTTGCTTTCTTCCATCTCTTTCACATTCGTTGTTTTCACATCGTTGTTTCACATTCGTTGTTTTCTTCCATCTCTACTACTTTTGGGCTATAATTTAGGCGCTTATATGTTCAATTTCTTTCTGCTCCTCGTCGTCGGTAGAGATACAACTGACGAGGTGCGGAAAACAAGATAAAGTTGTTGATGACGCGGCCTAAAAAACCCTGTGGATGAAAAAGTAAAAGGTAAAAGAACTAGAACTACCCCCTGAAGCTGTAAAACTAAGATGTTGTTGTATAATTTAAATCGGTCTGGACTTCTAATTCCAAGCGCGATTTTTATCTGGTCGGAACCGGAAATGTTGTATGGCGTTCTCAATCGTTACATTGTCAACTGTTACATGAATTTGTGATGCAAGAATGGGAAAAATGAAAGGGGGGGCATTGCGCGTCTTGCATGACAGACTTGGCGCAGATTGTCAGCCTGTTTGGCCCTTCCAGGATTTGTCATGCAGAGCAGCTTGATCGTGTGGATGATAATGGTAGTTTTGCATGACAAATCATGTAACAGTTGAGAATGTAACATTTGAGAACTCCATATGTTGTGTCGCCTAGTTGTACATCGTCTCACGATGATATGATCTGCTAAATGGTGGTTCTGATTATACACGGCATGAAGAACATGATTATCTTTACTTGAAGATCATGTAAATTTGGGAGGGAAATATACTAAAATTTTACACAGGGGTAAGTAGTTTGACTTGTTTTCAAAACAGAAATCATTTTGATGCAAAGAAGTTGTTTATCTGATAAACAACTTCTTTTCAAAATAAACTTCTCGACTCGAGGATACTACTTCTTTATCTTTCTTTCCGTGCTGCCCGGGCATGACATGGATCAAAAAAAAAATTCGAGGCCATAGTAAAAGATCCTTTGCAATTTCAATCTCTATCTCATCCTTCTCACCTGCATGCTAACATGCAATGCTAAACTCTAAACCTGTAAGCTTTTTCTCGACGACATCAACTTCCTGAAAATTCATAAATCGGAGGTCCTCAAGTAGAGTGCTGCCAGGTATGAACTTTTCCAAGAGTTTCATCGCTTTCAGATAGATAAATACTCCAGAGAGATCGAAATCTATGTCAACATCAATGATAAACAATATGGATATGCATGTAATATTGTCGCTGAAAAGTATATGGGAATCTGAATCTTGTGGTGGGAGAACGGCCAAGCGAGAATAAACAGAAAGCGAAAATAATTATACAGTTCTTCACCATTTAGTAGATTTATTCTTGTTAATGTTCTTCCAAGAGAAGCTGCAAAACGAACATCATCTTCCCAAAAAACTACTCGTACTAGCCAATTGATGCTGATGCAGCAATACCAATATTATACAAACTATAAACCCTTGTACAACTATTTGCTTTTGCATTCATTGCGCAGCTTCTCGTCGTCCCTTGGCTTGCCCTTCTTAGCGACACTGGTACTCCTTATCCGCTACGCCCGGCCATGACACCCCTGGAACCTCCTCGTAACAGTTATCAAATGCAAATATATTATGTCTGGGTCGTCTGGAAGAGCAGTGGTGCGAGATTTGTCATGCAGTTTCTGCCAGACCCGGATATCGTCGGGCCGCATGAAAGCTTTAGCATCACAGATAATTATTTCGAGCAGCTCTCCAAATGCTGCCTAATGCGCCCCTCTTTTCTCGGCATACAGAAAAAATGGGACCTTTTGCTGGCCATGCATGGCAGATTTTGATTTCGTCATGATGTAGAATTCGCATCACAAATTGCGATCCTTTCTAGGACCCAGACTACATATTTGCAATGCGTAGCAGTTGGCTGCGAACCACTTCCTTTCCTTCCAGTCTTCCATGTAGTTCCGCCCGTTGAGGTGGCGGGGGATGTCGGACGGCAGCGCTTGGGTGCCGTCGTGGTTCCATCCGCCGCCCGCGTGTTTGCCCGACCAAACGTTTTTTACCACGGCGAGCTTATCCATCTCTGGGTCATTCCCCGGATGGGAATAGGCGATTTCGTGGTTGGGAAACCAGTGCTTCCCTCCGTTGTAGACCAGAAACGCCGCGTCGCCCGGCCCCCCCTGGAGCTGCGAACACTCCCACTTTCCCAGCACATCGCCGTTTTTCCGCCGCGCTTGTCGTTGGATAGTCCACTGCGCAGAGTCGAGGAAACCGGCGAGGTTTGAAGGCGTCGAATTGTTCGGAGCTGCACTAGTCTGTGCACGGTTTTGAAGATTTATTAAACCCTGGTGACGCTGTGTAGTAGGTGAAGTCTGTGTCATCTGCCCCCCGGTTCGAAACAACGTCCTTCGCGCGGCTCGTAGTTGGTGCCGCGCGAGGGCCTGCTGCAGCACCTCTGGCATTTTTGTCACTTTCGTGGCCGGGTATGGAAGCGTCAGGATTGAAATCGTCAAAGTTGAAATAATTTGTGATGCATAAAATGCAACCCACAGAGCGCCTGTCTTGGAGAGTAGGCAAGGGAGGCATATTGCAAGCCTGTTGAGGGGTAGAAATAGAGCTGCTAAAGTAGCATGACAAAAGGCGTCTTCTTTACCCAAACAGCATTACAAACTGGATTTAGGTACCACCAAAACTTGTCATGGGCCACTTGAAAACTGGGCTCCAACATGGGCCACTTGAACTGGCATCCATTTTATGCATGGCAAACTATTTCAACTCTGACGATTTCAAACCTGACACATCCATACCGGGTCTACGCGGAGTAAGGAGATGTAGAGGCCTATCGGCCCCGTGGTATCCCACACGGTGTTTCCGTACGCGTGCAATTCCACGCGGCGGAATAAGTGGTAGATCATGTCCCCGAGGAGTAAGTTTAGCGGTTTCGCCGCGATGAAAGCGTTCATCAAGCCTTGTAGTGAGGAGTCTTGGTTCGGCCAGTTCGGCAACTGCTTGATGGCCGGGAATGATTCGAAAAAGTTAGGGTCTTCGACCCCAAACGAAAACGTGAAGTCTTGGCAGGCGAAGATGAGTCCAATGTCGTCCTTGGACTGCATTTTTTCCTCCGAAACGACCCTTTTCGTCACTGGGTCTCTCGTCACTTTTCTTGGAGACCGGAACTTTTCCGTCCCGGAAAACGCCATCTCCAACAACTTGTCCCAGTCGACGACCGGGGCGAGCTTCCAGTCGATGTACACCCCCCCTTCCCGGTACAGGACTAGCAAGCGGAACAAATCGGATTTCATGCAGTAGGTATCGAACGCATCGAATGCCCAGAGCATCTCCTTTTTGTAATGCTCCTGCAGGTACTCTCTGGCCGCATTCAGGTTGAAGAACTTCACTTCAAACTCCTTTCCCGGTCCGGCGTTCAACTCGGCCCACTGCGCAAACCCTTCTGTTTTTGTCGGGTCCCGCCACTTCTGATACCGCAAAAACTCGTCCAAGGTCACATCCTTTTCGTCAAAAAACGCCGTGAGGATCAGATTTCGCGGAATTTTCGTCTGGACAGGAGGTTGTGGCGGAGGTGGAGGTGGTGGTGCTCCACCAGGTGGAACAGGAACAACAGTTTTTTTGTAGAAATTCCTTTCCACGTAGTCAATCGAGGCTTGGGTCAAAAAGCCGTGGTATTTCTCGTGCATCATTCCCACTGGTTCCTTAACGTTTTCTAAGTCCGCTGTTGGCCACACCCCTGGGCCGTCGTTGTAGTCGATCTCCACGTGGTGTTGAGATTGAGAACCAGGTTGAGAAGGCCATGAAGGCTGTTGAGAGTCTATTGCAATGAAAAATGCTCCCACCCCCGAACTTGGGAGCGTTTGTATTGCAAACCCTTCCAAGTGAAACACTCGCCCTCTTGCATCTATCAGCATCACAGGTTCCCAATCGTGAATAGCAAAAATTTGTATAGCAAAAGACGCTAGCAAGAGCGGCGCTGGTCATGCAGGCGATGCGATACACGCCTAGGCTCTGCATCAGAAAGTAGATTCATACTCCTTTCATGCATGACGAAAAGTTTTCATTTGGAAACCTCGCATCACAAATTTTTGCAATTTCAGGAGTGGGGGGCACTTTTCACTGTAATAGAGTCGTCCCATCCTTTTCTCCATCTTGTGTACCAGGATTCAGTCCAACCGTCGAACCAGGGAACGAAAATGAAAACGCACGCACCGCCTGCGAGGACAAGAAATATGAGGAGAAGGATCAGGACGCACATTTTCGTGCACCGGCAACAGCCTTCGCGGGACGAGGGGGTTGTTTGTGTTTCATCATTCTCCATCTCCTGTTCCTGATCTGCAGCAGCATGTTCATGAACGTGTCCCACTTCTGCACCATTCGTAGCACTAGTAGTATCCACTAGTACAACAACTTCATCTCCCGCACTCAGCAGTAGAGCCGCATTCTCGTGGTCCCGGGCGGCCGCACCGGGGTAGTTGTACGTGGAGGTCGAGTTAAAGTTATTGTCAACATTTATTTTTTCTCCTGCAGGAGCCTCCATTGTTCTAGGTCGTGGATCCTCATCATCATAGTGCAGCGAGGAAGGTCGACGTGGCGGCGATACCAACTTTTTTGTTGACGTGTTGACTACATCAGTCGTTGCATGATCTAGATCTCCACCAGCACGATCAGGCACCATGGCGACTTGACGTGATGTGTGGTCGCTAGGTAGGGAATTTATTTCCTTATTGTCCGCAAAGTGCACATGCAAGTGATCGTGCTGGTGCTTCGGATCGCAGTCGCGGTGCAAAATGCTCGCCGGCTGCATGGTCTATTGAGAAATATACTGGCAATAGTTTAGTACTTCTTCACATTACACAACAGCTGCAGGCAATCTTAAAACTGAACATTACAAATTCAAAAAAAAAAAGCACCTTGTCTAAAACTTTATTCCAAGGTCGTATGAACCGCTTTCGTCTAACTAGTAGTGAATCTGAATATTCCAAAAAATCCTTTTGACAAAACAAGACTGTCCTCTTTTGTGAACGTTGGGATGGTCAACCACAACCCTGCGGTCAAACTACAAAAGCAAAACCTATCAAAACAATAAATTATACACATCAACTCCACTAAAAACAAAAAACACAACTGCTCAAAAGATAGCGCTAAACTGCTTACGCGTCGTACTCCTTGAATTAAAACACGTGTCGTGAAGTCTTGATTTTTCGTCCTCGTGCTTGATAAAAGTATAGAAGCGTTGGTCTTGAAAAAAAGTGCGAAGCGATAAACAACAAACGGCTGTAAGTTTTGGCTTAAGTATAGTCAATACTTAGTGTTAGTGTGTGCATCAGAGCAGAAATCGTGCATTAGGTGCGAAATAAGCAACACTCCCTGGAAACAATAAGGGAAGAATGAAGATGTGGTAAAGGTTAACTCTCTCGTGCAAATTGATCAGACGCTGTTCCTACACAAGAACTGGCGTTGCATCACGACAGATCATTTGCTCCGAACGAGATCCATCTTGATCTTCATATTTTCTATTTATTGCGGATCTTATTCTTCATTTTCGTGGTCTTTAGAAGTTTTTTTTTTCCTATGAGTCTGATCGTCGTTGTGGAAGATTATTTCTCGATCAAATATTTGAACTTTGGTGGCCGTCTTTAGGGATCTTCGGTGGGTGACCATCCCAAGTGCATGCTACTGGCGTCGACCGGCACAGGAATTCGAATTTGATCTGCTATTTCATCTATTTCGCATTTTTCATGATGACAGATACCGAGCATAATTTTGATCACTATGAAAAGATCGATTCGTTATGTTGCCCATTTGCCGGCACGTCGGGCTCGCCCTAAAACAACCTCAGTCGCGAATAAGAGAGAGACTGATGATCTCAGCGACACGAGGCGACAACCGGAGCTGTCGAGGCGCGAGAGCTTAGCAAGCCTTCGCACCCTGTTGAAGGGCGAGGGGACGTGACAGTAAGATTGGTATTAGAACATGTCACAGACACAAGTTTAACGAAAGACGAATAAGATTTTCAGAGTTAGACTTTGAATGGGTGTTCTGCGGCGATTAGTGGATTGGACGTAGACTAAGCCACGCTCGCTGAGGTGTGGGAGGGTGGGTAAAAAGAAAATTTTTGATTATGATTGCGAATACGACTAGGATTAGCGATTAGGATTAAAGGATTATGGACACGTTGTTTATACCCCGGATGCGTGTACCAGACCCCGGCAAATACTCTACGAGAACACTGGGAACAAAACGAACACGATCTAATACCGCTCTCAAAATTGGAACTCAAACGAACCGCTACGCGCTACTCAGAGTCCATAACTTTGATCACTATGAAAAGATCGATTCGTTATGTTGCCCATTTGCCGGCACGTCGGGCTCGCCCTAAAACAACCTCAGTCGCGAATAAGAGAGAGACTGATGATCTCAGCGACACGAGGCGACAACCGGAGCTGTCGAGGCGCGAGAGCTTAGCCACCTTAGGCACTGTAGTAAACGCGCCAGCGCGAATAGTTTGTGACTCCGTGGAGAAATTTTGCTCCGAGAGTATGACTTCTTTCATTTTTCGATTGAAGAAAAAATACGACTCACGTCGAGTGTTGGAATTACGGCTTCTGTTCCGGCAGGTAGAAGTTGACTTTGATGCCAGTAGGCTTAGTGTCTTTTGCAAATCTGTCTAGGATTAAAGCGTAGTCCTCAACTTTCCCCCCGTTGTACCCCGTCCCGATGTTCAGCGGGATGCCGACGGTGGTGCCCGAGTAGCCTTGCTGTTTGCGGGCTGCGTGGGTGCTTACGAGGGCAGCCGCGAGATCGCACATGATCTTTTGAAACCGGTCGCGCCTGGCGTCGCTCGAGTCGTCATAGTAATTCCCCTTGTAATTGTGCAGCAATGTTCCCCGGGGGGGGCCTTTGTTAAACATTGCATAACAGTTGACCACCCGACCGCGCTGCTCGAAGCCGCCGAACGGCTTGGCTTCCACGGGCTCGTGGTACCTCGACGCTGCTGGGAAGAGCTTGTAGAGCGCCGCGGCGACACCTTTCGGTGTTTCTACCGGCATCACCGGGCAGATGTGGATGAAAAAATCTTCTTCACCCTCACCGAGCCCTCCGATTATTGGTTTTTCGAGTAGATTAAGCTGGTATTTCCATTTTGCGGAGCCCCTGAGTCGTTCAACCTGCGGGGCGAGATTATACTTGTTTCTGTCGACGCTCCACAGCGGAAGCGGGGCCGTCGAGTAGACGAAGAAAGTGTCCTCAGCGGTGACTTTTTCGCCAGAAGCTTTTTCAAAGCACTGCGTGCCCTGCTTAAACGTCATCGCGAGCAGCAGCGGCGCCAGTAGTTTCGTGAACCTGTCGCCGAGCTTCGGGACACACAGCGCTATCCTCGGCCTTGCTTCCAGGGGCACTGTGTGTACGAGTTTGTTGATGTACTTGATTACAGGGAAGATTATTGAGATCGGTGGGAACCACCACGATCTGCCCGCCTCCCACTCGTTGTAGTGGTGGAAAACCGGGACGCGCTCGTTGTACTTCTTCCCGATTCTCGCCAGTGGGTCGTTGTCCCCGGCGGTGAAACCTTCGAAGGACATGCCTTTGAACTTCGCGGAGATAGAGCCCCAGGCCCTGGCGTTGAAGCGTCTTTCTGGACACGGGTCGCGAAACGCGAGGAGCTCGTCGGCGAACCTGGAAAGGCAATCCGCGACAGGGTTTGCGTCCCCGTCGATCTTCGCGCCGATTAGTTCGTTGCCGTAGAGGATTAACTGTTCCCGTAGTTCGCTGGAGATATCCGCGAGCAGGGGGTCGTGGTAGGATCCCTTGTTTGCGACTCGCTTTGAAGTGACGTTGTCCGTGTAGTACATTAGAAGCTGGTCGCGCATGCGGACTTGGTTTTTGTTCGCGGCTTTGATTAACATCAGGAGCGCGAACGACTCCTTCACGTTGATACTCGATATCGCGATTCCCGGCGGGTACTTGCCTTGGAACGTCTCCTTGATTCCAGAGATAGTACCGCCCCACATGCCCACCGTCGTGGATGCGTCGCCGTGGATAACGGTGAAGCGTGCGGGGGGCAGCGACCTGAGGAATTGCGGTCCGTGGTCTAGGATATCCGAGCGCCACAGGAAACAGGAAACCTGCTGCGTGTGCTCCCTGTGGAGTGGCCGACTTGTGAAGATTTTGGCGTACGGGTTAGCTTGGAGCACTCGAAGCCACCATTTCAACTGATCTACGGATTTGTCAGAAATTTGCACGCGCGGGTTGAATTTTTTGTCAGTCTGCCACCTCTTATGCACACCCGTCTTCTTCAGATCTTCATGCAGATGGTGCAGAGGCCCGTTGTGGACTACGATGGTCACAGACTGCAGTTTGCCCGCGACAGCCGCGAGGTCCTTGGCCCTCGGGTTCTCAGCCTTCTTGCTCTTCGCGTCGTCGACGATACGCAGGAATTCTGTGACGTCCGCGATGTACGAATCGAGACGCTCCTTCTCGATGTAAACCCGCATCAGCACTGTGTTGATTACTAGCCCGAGCCAAGGGCAGACTTGGGTCGGTTTGATTAGCTTCCCCGGCTTGGTATGCAGGATGGCTCCCAGTTGCTGGTAAACTACAAACATTTTGTCGAGTTCTTTCTGGAGTTCCTCTTTGCTGTTTTGCATGTGCTTCAACAGCGCTCGGACGTCGTCGACGTAATCGCACGACTGGGCCCGAATCCCGGCGTTGATTCCGCATGCAATCATGGTTTTTATGTTTGCATCATTGACGCCGGGCGCCGGCTTCACACCGAAAGGCATGAAGCAGTGGCACCCGGAATTCTCCGTGTGTGGGAGGTCCATGCCGAAGAAACGCCTGTGCTCGGGGCACAGCGGCCAGTGTGCAAAACAATCCTTCCAGTCTAGTCCGATTAACCATGCCAGCGGTTGCATGTCCCAAAGGAGGCGCTGGATGTTACTGTAGTCCACTGGCGGCGGGTAGATGGATGGATTAAGCATAGTGCCCTTGGAGCTCCAGTCGGTGACTAGTCTCAGCTTCTGCCCCCATTTTTGGATTAGGATTGTGGCGGGGGCGATCATGAGACTATCTGGGTGCCCCAAGGTGTTCTCCCTTTTCACGTCGTACAGGACTAGCTTCCGGTCGCGCCAGAAGCGGTATACTTCGTCCGTGAAAAGTTCAGCGTAGTCGAATGCGTTGCTGTAGTTCTGCTGCCTCGTTATCGCCATGTCTGGGTCTGTCATGTCGAACCTGTAGCCACCGAACCACTCCAGTATTTTTGCCGGTGGGACACCGTACCTGATGCAGTTTTCTAAGTTGAGGGAGTTCCCCTCGATCATGCACATGTCCTCTGCGCGGCGCCACTCGTCGTCCGGCCCCGGCAGTGACGCGACGAAGTCAGCGATCTCGTCGGACGTCGTGGGACATCCGGCGTGGATGTACTCATGGAAGGTATGGCTTGACTTCGGGTTGAGACCCAGACTAATTTCTTCTTGCGTCGCCCCGCTGTGCACCCCCGGGATCGGCTCCCTGTGCCTAGTGCGGAACTTGAAACCCGTCTTGATATGCGCTGCCGGTGGGCGACTGGTGCCTGCTACACCTGTGTACCCCGTGCTGTGGATATCGTGCGCGGCTGCTGTGGCGGGGCCTGCGGGCGACGGCGACGTGCTCGCAGGTGCCGAGCGCTTATTCGAAGCTCTCGCGCGCGGGCTATGCGGGTCCTCCTCCCATATGGTGGGAAGCCTGCTGCCATCTTTTTTCCGACCTAGCATGGATTACTGAAACACGTCCTAACGCAAAACGAGAGAGG